TGAGTGGAAGTTGATGGTAAAATAGCAAGCACATGAACATCAGACATCACTGAAGTACCGGCAAAAACTTACATAGTTCCGAAGCTCTTCTTGTAGATGCTTAACTAAAACATCACTCTCCTTAGGAGAATCATCTTCGAATGAGAGGCTTGTTAATCTTTTCTCTAATTCACTCTTCTGGTGCAAGCACTGAAAAAAAATAAAAATACATCAGAACTTTACGAACAAAAGGAAATCAAACATTTCTTTCATGAACTCGAACTTCTTAATGAATCTTCACTCCGTAAGCAAAAAGCTAACAACTCCGTCAAGCGCCATACAGTAAGCAGGAGATAAGAACATCTTCACAAAGTCATTTTGGTACAGTGACGAGTCAGGCATCTTAATGGGTTGTGACACGCATCATATTGTTGTGTAACTTTGACTAAATAAGCCAGCAGGGAGAACCTAAGTATCATGATCAATATGTAAAGAAAGGCACCTCGGAAAATTTGGACTGCAGATCCTCTTGCTGCTTCCTCAGCAGCTCAACTTCTTGCTCGGAACTTTTAGCTCTGAATTCCATTTTCTCAAGCTGAAATAAGAGAGGTTCAAGTTAGCCAAGAACAGAGGCCGACTTTGTCAGATTATATTGTACTTCACAAATCTGACTACTCACATCCACAGTTATCTTCGTAATGGAAAACTTGGAATCCCGGTTCAGCTGAGCAAGTTCATTATTGAATCGCTTCTTCTCCTTTTCTATGCTTTTAGAAATATGGCCAAGTTTTGCCTCCAACTCTTTTGCTTTATCTTCAGCAGCAGCTGCAGTGGATTCTGCTTTCTTACGAAGGTTCTGTTCATTTTCAAGCTTTGCCTAAAGCAGAAGCAAATAAACATGGTACATTTAATATAGTTCAACACATAACGAAAACTAACTCCAAAAAATATATAACCAAAACCGAAAAGATCAAATGGATAAAGCGAGTCGGTAGTAAAGGCTGCCAAAACATTGATGATGCATACCTGAAGTTTGGAAGACAATTCTAATTCTTTTTTCAACCTTTCATGGGAGTCATTAACCTCCTTCAGTAGTTGATCATGCAATGCTTGCTCTCGTCCTTTCGCAGCAGCAAGTTCTTGCTCTACATATGATAACTTCTCCCTAAAAGTCTTCCTCTCCTCATCTGCAAAGGGTTACAAACTTACAATTCTACATGAAACTACAGACTCGTGCTGATTGGGATGGAAAAATGGTTAAAACAGATTTCAAGATACCATAGTATATTCAAAGGAACTATTTTAAAAGGAAAATCTAACACCAAGGAAATAACAAACTCCTATAGTACATATCCTAGCATGTCCAATTTCTGAGATGGAGAAATGCCTGTAGGATATCCCAGCCCTTTCTTTGCTTCTCAACTAAATTAAGTGAACCAAGCTCTTATGGTCATGTTACTAGTTACTCAACATGCTTCGAACTGGGGAAAAAACAGTATATTTGAGAGTGCGCCTGCATTACTGCAAGAGTAACTGGTTGCAGATCCAATAATCAGTTCTGGCATGGAAAACTCTATAAGCAAACAAACTAAAGGGAAGAACAAATGATTACCCACCAGCTTTACCGAAGTTATCATTCAATTCAGCCAGTTTAGACTGATAGTCCTGAACTTGCTTTTCTGCATTGCTCAAGGCATCGAGAAAATCTGCTTTAACCTACAAAAAACACATATGGGCTCAAATTCAAAACTACATGTCATATAGATTATGGAAAATGTTCAGAGTGAAGGCATAATGGATAACGATGATTAAAAACCAAGAAAATTCAGAACCAAGGAATCATGTTCTAAAAGTAGCTATAAGTTCAAAGAATATCCATCTCCACCCACAATTATCTCATGTGGAGAAACCTACCTATCATCAGAGCATTGGAGAACCCTAAAAACTTGAGTAATTAAGAAAGATCGCCATTCCGCCAAAGGTTTGCAGCACCCATAACCAATGCTTTGCACACTACCTAACCTTAATTTGATACCAGAATTATGATTATAGGAGAAGAACAAGCACCCGAAAGCACAAATTCTCATATCACTGCTTCGTCTTTGTTTTCCGAAAGTGAAGAGAAAGATAGAAACCAATTAAAGCTACAACTACAATTTTTGGCTAAGAACGCAAACACTTACCTAAGCTGTAATACTACTTCTCGCTTCTAGAATCACCCGCGCGCCACGGGCGGAAAGGCACAGATAGGATCGTAGCAAAAAACAGAAATCCCTAAGGACGAATTGAGTGTTCTGATTCTTCTGAAGAATAGGTAAAGAGAGCGAACCATTTGCCGGCACTGGTAGGTGCAGAGCATGTGTTCTGACTGTTGGGAGGGCTCCCGGCGAGCAGGACCAGCAGAGGAAGGATCTTCATAGATAGCGAGCTGCCGGTGATCGGAACCGACGGGCGGGCTCTCGATGATAGGAGCGGGTTCGATTGGCCTCGCCCTTTTCGGAGCTGGAGTTCTGAGGATCATCCTGGGCTCTGTCTTAACTGAAAGAAGCGGCTTCACCGGCGTCGGTAATGGTTGCCGAGAGAGAAAGAGAGCGCGCTATTTATTTGAAAGCAAAGGCGCCATTTGGGTTCCACATCGTAGTGTAGGGAAGGGCAAAGAGCAAGGACAGAAGGGTCGTGTCGGCTTACCCCAATGAAAAATTACGGTGGGCAGCTTTTTATTTGTTAAAGCTTTTGTTTTTATTTTTTTATTTTCGTACCCACTAGATCGAGAAAGCTGCAGCCACTCATTTTGGAGGAGGAAAAGAAAAAAATCTCTCTTCTTCCATCTCTCACCGAACTCGGTTCTCCGAAACTACTCGACATCTTCCCCGGCCGGCCATCAACCTCGGCGCCGTCGACAGACACGTCTATCCCCGACCTTCTCGATCATCTACCAAACTATAGACTAATCCGCTTCACTGACTGCCGCGGTTATAGACTCGAGCGCCAAAGGAAACCTAAAGACTCTGCCATTTTGAATCGAAATCTCCGTCGACCTCCATAGCTGTTCTCCTGCTTCCTTATAATGGTAATATATCCATCTCTGAGTCCCGATCACCTCTTAACATCATCTGATTTGTTCAGATCAATACCGGTTGCCACTTTTTAAGTTCCTATGTTAACTTTTCGATTTGTTTCACCAGACCCAAAATGGGTTAGTGAGTTCGAGTTGTTGGGGGAAGTAGGAAACTAGAAGGTGAAGTCGGACAAGTCTCTTCGCTTTTGCTGTCGCAAGTAGGAGGAAACTAGAAGCGGAAGCTGTAGAGCCAAAGAACGAGAAATCAGGGTTCTTCCCTTCTTCCATTGGGGCAGCTTCTCTCGAATGCGACCCTTCTCAATCTCAATTGGTAATGCTTCTTCCTCACTTTACCTTTGTGTTTCTCTCATCCGACCTAGGGTTCCTGAATTTTAACTTGTTGGAAACTGAGTTATTTTCACTAGAGATGATGTATAGAAACCCTATAATCTAGAGTTTAGGAAGGCTGTAAAGAAATAAAGAGGAGGGTGAATAACACTGAAAGAGATGAACTTTAAGATGATCCCTGTTTCACGATCAAACGAAGTTAGGATTGTTAAATGCTGAATTCAGGAGCTTCATATGATGTGTTGGTTATCTAAGCTACTTTGCAGTTCGGATACTACTGATAGTCTATGCATCTTGCCAACATGAATGTTGCAGTAGCTGGGGTGTGCTTGTCTCGCCAGCCAGCTGCCTTTCTTCTGTTTATCTTGCAGTTAGATTTTTGTGTCCCTTGTCCGCCTGGCTTCTGCTGCTCATGTTTGCTTGTTCCGCTGAAATATTCTTTGTTCCATCATTTCCCCTTTCTTGGTTGGGCATTGATGATTGCGAGTGATATGCTTGTGCATGCCTCCCTTTTTCTTCGTTTTTTACAACTGTCCCGTGTACTGCTGCCCTGTTTGCTTTCTCGTTGATTTAATTGCTTAACATCATAAAAAAAGGTGTTGAACTTATTTGACGGGAACCCCGGGATAGGTATTACTGCAACTACTCTGCATCTTTTAGGCATTTGATGATACTCTTTAGTGTCCTATAATCTGTGGATTGTTTGTAGTGGCTTAGGTATGTGTGATGTACCGGTGTATATTTGTATTCATGGTCTTTTGTGTAGAGAGTTGTTCTTTCCATAAATGATTTTAAGAACATCAGCATGTTCCTTCCTACTGAACTTCATGCATTTTTGTTTTTGGTGAAAGAAAGGCTAATTATTAATTCATTAAAAAACCTCAGGAAGCGAAACTCTAATTTATGTTATTTTCGTCCTGTAGAGTTATCGAAATGCAAACTTATAAGAAATTGAGACATGTACAGAATTTAGAATTTATGCCTATTCACCATTCACAAGTTCAATCATATAGAATTGAATCTAAACTTCGCTCAGCCATGTTTCTACATAATTTGAAAAGACAATGAAAGGCTATCTTTCAGACGTTTTCAAGTTGTGAGAAATCTTATAGAAAAGACACTGAGAATAAGGTGTGTATTTAGTGAACGTGAGGGCCAAAATCTTGTAGCTTGTAGTTTTTGCTGTTTCCCGATTGTTTAATTAGCTGGGGAAAGTGATAGGGAGGGAAGTACTTTTGATATGGGCTTCTTGTCGGTTTGAGGTTAAATGAGGTCTAATTTGCTTTTCCTTTATCTCATATATAATTTCCTTTGTTTCTAGATCCTGTTACAATGTATTGATTGTTATGGGTTCAGGATGATTTTTCTGGGTTTGCAAGTTTTAGCTTCCGTATGTTGCTTTTTTCTAGTGCATATGGTGAGTGAGTTACTAAGGCTTCTTGATTAGCTGTATGACTCAATTGCATTGCTGTATGGTGATGCTAAATTTATCAATGTTGATTGACGGGTAAAATGGTCTAGCGCTTTTGGAGCTATTAATATTTGAAGCTGTTTCCATTGTGATTGTCTCTACAGGTTGACCTGGTACTAGTGGAGGATTTTGCCTTATCGAGTTATGGCATTCACTGGTTCGAATCATCCATCTGGAGGGCAACCCCATCCAGGTATCTGCTGGTTGACCTTGATTTGGTGCCACGAATAAAAGTAAAATGGGTGTGGCATACAGAAACTGTAATAGTAACAGGATAACAAATCCTATTCAATTGAGCTATATGGTCTTGGATTACGTAGAAGAGAAAATGGCTATTGCTATTATTCTTATGTTCTTTTTGCTTTATCTTCATGCAATATGACTGATGCCTTATTGTTGATAGGGAGCTGCAATGATGCTCTATACAAGGAGCTCTGGCACGCATGTGCTGGACCTCTTGTTAGTCTTCCGAAGGAAGGGGAGAGAGTGTACTATTTCCCACAAGGTCACATGGAACAGGTGCCTTATTTAATTTGCTTTTGGAAGGATGATAATTTATCTTCTTGGGCTTCCTTCCTGTCTGCCTTGCCAGTGCTGCTATCTCTTGCATGCTGACTGTTCTCTCTTCCTTTCTCCAGCTTGAAGCTTCAATGCAGCAAGGTTTAGAGCATCAAATGCCCATGTTCAATCTGCCATCTAAGATTCTGTGTAAAGTTGTTAATGTGCATCGCAAGGTTAGTGAGTGGTGATTATTTTTCTTGTCGGGAGTTGTATATTATTTTTTGTAAGTTACTAGTGATTGCTTTATTGCATTGTGGCTTGCTCTGTGTTGAAGTTACTATTTCTTTGTGGCTGATAGGCTGAACCTGAAACTGATGAAGTATATGCGCAAATTACTCTGCTTCCAGAGCCAGATGTGAGATCTCTTTCTCTATTGAAAAAAGGTTCAAGCTCGTTTTCATGTATTGTTTCTATCTTTTCTCAGCTCACCTCCTATTTCTTCATGAATCAGCAAAGTGAGATTACTAGCCTTGATACTCCCCCACCTGAACCTGAGAGATGCACTGTCCACTCCTTTTGCAAGACACTTACAGCTTCTGATACTAGTACCCATGGAGGGTTTTCAGTTCTTCGAAGGCATGCAGATGATTGTCTACCTCCACTGGTTAGCACTGCCATTTTTTTATTACAGTTCTGGTTATATTATGGATAAAAATTGCTGGTTATTGACTGAATTATTTACCAACTCTGTACCAGGATATGTCCCAGCAGCCACCTTGGCAGGAATTGGTTGCCACAGATCTCCATGGCAATGAATGGCATTTCCGTCACATTTTTCGAGGTGAGTTATCTTGGTAGTTACAAAGAGTAGTTGTGAACCTCATTGTAACTTGTGTTGTCAACTCGTTAGAGATCCATGATTTCTCCAGTTTTGGTGTACTTGCTTTTGGATTTCATTGCTATGCTATGCACGAGGCTTAACTTTGGTTCTTCAATGTGTAATATTGGGGTTTATATATTTGATATTCATTTGCTACCTTATGGCTTATACGACATTTAGGTGTAGACTTGGTGGTATACTGCTAATCTGAGCACTAAAATATTGGTTACAGGTCAACCCAGGCGCCACTTGCTAACCACTGGATGGAGTGTATTTGTTAGCTCGAAAAAGTTAGTGGCAGGCGATGCCTTCATCTTCTTGAGGTAATTCCATTATACATGATAAACTTGGCTTTGATTTCACACATAGCTGGATCATACACTGTTGATTCATTTTCATTTATATATTGGAAGGGGGGAAAGTGGAGAGCTTCGTGTTGGAGTTAGGAGGCATATGAGACAACAGACAAACATGCCATCTTCTGTCATATCAAGTCAAAGTATGCATCTAGGTGTTCTTGCGACGGCTTCACATGCGATTGCAACTGGAACTCTTTTTTCTGTCTTCTACAAGCCAAGGTTCGTGCGGTTTGCTTAATTCGTTAGCTAATTGTCTTTCATGCGTTTCTCTGGTCTTTCCTTATAAGCTGTACGGTTACAGTATTTACAATGTCCCATATTAAAGTAATTGTTCCATCTGAAATGTAGTTTTACTTATCTTGTTTTTTTGTCTGAGATTTCCTCTGCCAAACCCATAATTTACTTGGGCATGATGCCTATGGTATTTGTTTTCTGATATGGGTGCATAACATGATTATGATTCCTTATCCCAAGACTTGTCTTATCCTTTTGTTATTATGGCCCAGATATGTTATGGGTTCAAAGCTATACGTTCTTTCCATAGCTTTATGTTAGCTTCCATGACTTGAGGGTATTTTCGTATTGATGGGAACTATCATCCTATTCAAAGTGTCTTCTTTATTATGCTTTCTGGTTTGTCAAAGACCCTTGCTTGTGGAGTTGGTTTGCCTTTGTCTAAAGACAATTCAGTGCATTCTTTCTCCTTGGCTGAAACTGTTGTAGAATTATAAATTATAGCTGAATCAGCATTCTGTTTGCAGGACAAGTCGGTCCGAGTTCATTGTAAGTGTTAACAAATACCTTGAAGCTCGAAACCACAAGCTATCTGTTGGAATGAGGTTTAAGATGAGATTTGAGGGCGAGGAAGTTCCAGAGCGAAGGTCTTATCTCTTAAAGTTGATTGGATGAAATATATGCTCCAATTAGTTGTAGTGTGTAACCTCACTCTTGTTGAAAACTACAGGTTCAGTGGCACAATTGTTGGTGTTGGGGAAAACTTATCATCAGGGTGGACTGATTCTGAATGGAGATCTTTTAAGGTTAATGGCCCTTCCATCTCTTCATTTTATTTTAACAAAGTTGATAGCTGTGAGAGGTCTTATTTCTTGGTTCTTCATCTTTGTTTATAGTGTTGATGAAGAGTTGTCCAAATTTTTGAAGCAGAACTCAAAAGCTTTATCTTTCTCCCAATGTTTTGCTTTTGTCCTTGTTCAAAAGGTCCAATGGGACGAGCCAGCTTCAATTTGGCGACCAGATCTAGTATCTTCTTGGGAACTGGAGCCACTTGTTGCAACTGCTCCTTCAAACTCTCAACCAATGCATAGGACTAACAAGCGGTCACGGCCATCCATTTTGCCTTCACCGAGTCCTGACCTTAATGCCCTTGGTTTGTCATTTCCTTGTTTTTCCTTTCTCAATTTTATTTGAATCGGCTAGTGGCAATAACTTGCTGTTTTCACCTTAATATATTAGGCATGTGGAAAGCACCTGTTGAGCCCTCCAGTCACTCGCATCTTGATTCACAACGAGGATCCCTATATCATTCACCCACTTATCCTGTTAAAACAATGGCAAACTCAGCTGGCTTCAGTGGGAATAGTCCATTATCTGCAGTTACCACCACTTCGTCAATGTATTGGCCTAAACAGGTGGAGGGTGTTACAGAGTCTCTTTCCCCAGCCGTTAACAGAATTTCTGGCGACATGAAGCAAGGCTCAGGGAATGGCTACAGGTTGTTTGGCATTCAGCTGGTTGATAACTGCAATAGGGAGGAAACATCACCAGTTGGCGCTGTTTCAAAACCAGGACAGGCCGATTGCCCCATTCTGTCACTAGATGCTGAGTCTGACCAACAGTCTGAGCCATCAAATTTCAATAGATCTGAAATCCCTTCAGTAAGTTGTGATCCTGAGAAATCAAGTTTACGATCTCCCATGGAGTCACATAGCAGACAGGTCAGGAGCTGCAAAAAGGTATATTCCTTCTTCTGTCCAATATTTGCAGTATGTGGAAATGCTTCTTTGTTCTGGTTTGGTTAGCAAGCTGCACTTGCAATACACAGGATATTGTAATGAGCCATAACTGAACCATAGCTGTTCATAAATAGCTGATTTCATTGTATGATATTTGTGTCAGTTATATAACGGGTTATGAAATCGGTTTCTAGGTTCACATGCAGGGGATTGCTGTTGGAAGAGCTGTAGATTTGACACAATTTGAGTGTTATGATGACTTGTTAAGGAAGCTGGAGGATATGTTTGATATTGAAGGTGAGCTTAGCGGCTGCAACACAAAGAAATGGCAGGTTGTCTACACAGATGATGAAGATGACATGATGATGGTTGGAGATGATCCATGGCAGTAAGTTCATTGTTACCCTTCACTATTTCCAATTTGACGGCTGGTTATTTATTTCAAAAAATAGAAAGGCACTAGATTGTATAAATCATTTGGTAGTTGGAAGAATGTGTCTTTGAGAATGCATACATCTAAATAAGGTGATTGTATAAATCAATTGATTGTCAGAATAAATTTGGAAGTTGAGATAGTGATTGCGACATATCAACTGACCGCCTTTTTAGTGATAAGTTGATTGTATAATTCTCTTTCAGGGGTGAAAATTTTGAAATCTCGGCTCGAAGTTACAATTTTGATATATTTGAAATGAATCATTCTCTGTGAAGTGCATAATTTCATAAAGCCTTATGCGGAAAGCCTGATGACTTCTATATTTCTTGTGTTCAGCGAGTTCTGTAGCATGGTGAAGAAGATCTTCATCTACACAACAGAGGAAGTGAAGAAGCTGTCACCTAAGACAAAACTGCCAGCCATGGAAGAGGTCAAAACAACCAGTGCCGATGTTGACGTGGATGCATCAGCTCATATGGAGGATCAGTCATCCATTATAGGGTCCGAAAGCTGAACTGCTCCCAAAATGTTTACATGGTAAGTGGGTCGAAGAGAGGGTTACTTAATGGTTGGGAGGCGGCATTTGTAACTGGGTAGCCATTCAACGAGTGAGTTGTCTGTGGATTATAGCTGTTGGGGTTTTCTATTTTGTTTCACCCTCAGTTTTTTGTTGCCGTCATGGTAAAGGTTAGAGTGTGTTGGTTCTTTTGCTTGTTCAAGTTCAAGAAGGGCTGAACAGCAGCTTCTCCATACGCGACCCTATCCCATTCTGTGAATGAAAGAATACTCGTATGCGATTTGCATTTGTCTGTTTCTGAAACAATGGCAGCTGGTGCCCTTTTGTGTATCCCTCTGTTGGGTGGACTTTGTTTTAATTGCGTGATGGAAAAACTTTTCGATATTCTAATTCTTCCCTGTGTATAACTCCAGGCTCAATGGTGGCGTGTTGGAGAAGAGCCCAGGTCCTTGATGTATTAGGCCATTCGATGGTACGACATGTTTCCTTTTAAGTGCGTACGAATATAGTTTGTCCCTTAAGTTACTTGAACAAGTGCGAATTTTACTTGCAGCGCAAGGTTGGTTCATCTATTTAGCCGAATCATCTGATCATACTTGATTGGCATATGGTATCCCCGAATACCCAAGAGCATAACATTTTCTTGTTAACTTTATTGAGTACTTAACCAAGTTTTCATTAACAAAGATTGAATCAAGAAGAGCAAGAAAAACAATAAACAAGGACACCAATCCATGAAAATGTTGCCTTTTGCCTCAGGTGAGTTGCCTGCCTCCTCGTTGATCGGAGCCACCTCCGGTATTTGTTTCTCTTCCTTCCTTCCTCTCTTGTGGCTAGAAGACTGAAGGCAAGATATCTTCCTAACACTGATATCTTGGAGAGTAATTGGAAGGCAAGTTAAGATGGAGGTTGGGAGATTGGTCACAAATCATTGAATCAGGGTCTAGGAGGATAATTGGATTTTTGACAAGCTTGATTCTCGCCTTGATCCCAACCCAACTTGGGGTGACCCTAATGCTTTGGTTTCAAGTTTCAATGACAAGAACTCTTGCTCATGGAATCTATTGTCCTAAATAAGGATTTTCGCAGAAGTCTGTCAAGCTGTAATGCAAAAACCTCTCTTAGTAATCCTCTAAGAGGATGTACCTATCAGGAGCCTACTCCTAAAAACGATGTAGAATCCTAAGATACCAACTAAGGTGAAGGTTTACTATGGAAAAGTGAGTTGATAGTCTTACCTAGTGACATCCAATTGGTAAACAAGTAAAAAAAAAAAAAAAAAGCGAATCCGAAACGTTCTTTTGGTGACTGATACAATGATTGAGCAAGTTTGTGGTTTGTTAACTAGTGTGAGTGATCATCACTCACTATTGCTAAATTAATTGTAAAACTCAACCCTAGGGGATCGCAAACCATATACTTTAATCAATCCAAATGGGAGCTGAGAAATGGGAAGTAAGAAACTTGCCCTATTAGGCATGTTTCATTTTTTAATGTTTTTCCCCTCTAAGACAACCTCCAGTGGATCTTTTCGAGGGGGAGAAAAATAGAATACTCGCACTTTCCGTCTGTTTTCCAGGAAAGAAAAATGGGATCTTTTAGATATAAATATCAGAAAGAAAAGGAAAAAAGAAGAAACAATGATATTGGGTTGCAGGCTGCTGCAGTTGAATTTGAGGTAATGGTGGCGCCACGTCGTTGAGATGTGAATAGAGCGGGAAAAAAGATAATGAATGGCCACAGAGCGAGTGAACCTCATGCTTCCATAGTCCATAAACAGATAACACTTCCAAGACTTCAGCCCACCATTTTTATAAAAAAATAATCTTTGCATCATAAATGAAATTGTAGTCGGTTGGCTGGCATAGCCGTAGGGCCTCCTGATGAAGAAGCAATGGTGTAGAATACAAGAAGTGTGCTTTTTTATTTTGGTTCTAATTTCTTTTATAGGCTCCCTTTTGTTCCAGTTTCTCCTCCCAAATCTGCATGTAGGTTTTTGTTTGTGGGTGTTGCCTTTGTTTTCTAGTGGCGAGGAAAAGAACAGAGAACCCACATTAAAGGGAGGGGAGGGAGGGGGGAAAAAGATCAGAAATTCTTCTGAGGTTGTCAATTCTCAACAATGTTTGCTTTTCTTATAATTTGTCCCAAGCTGCAGCAGTAGCAGTGTTGGTGATATTATTGTTTTGTGTTTGTGTGGTTCAGGAGTCTTCATCTTGTTTCCTTCACTGAATCTCTGGTACGTTTCCTCTCTTCTGCCTCTCTCTTTCTCTCTATCAGGGTTGTACTGTTGATCAATTACTGAGCTTTCTTTGGTTGTGATGGTGGTTATGGTTGTGTAGAGTGCAGGTGACAAAAGGGTAGTGTTGAAGGAGTTGAGGGGTTTTTTGGTGAGTAATCTTTACTGCGGTGTGGTTGTGTACTTGTGTTCTTGTACTGTTTGCTTTTCTTGGCTGAAAGCCTGAAATGTGGCTTTATATGTGAATTCTGATATTGGTGATCAATAGTTTATCTTATCTTGAAAATCAGAAGCAAGTCTTTATTGATCAATGGTTCCTTGTGCCCTTTTCTTCGCTTTCTTTCGTTGCTCTTACTTTATTTTGTTTTTTATCATGATTCTACTTGTGCTTATTGTATCTGTTCTTAATTGCACAACAGGAAGGAAGTTTGTGCATGCCACACAACTGTGTGCATAAGGGTTTTTTTGCTTTCTTCCATGGGAATGAGCATTTGAAACTGAAGATGGTCTTTGTTGGAAGTAGAGGTCCTGGTAGAACTTGGGGAGTTTCTCTACTTCTTAGGTGTTCTTGTTCTTCTGGCTTGAATGTGTTCCACGGAAGTAACCATGGAGCGCTCGCTTGACTCTGCGCGATTGAAGTCTGATAGTGCTATAGAATCTAAGAGCTTTGTAGCTGCCGACTGGATTCAAATACCTGTGTTGCTTAACTTCAATTCAGGGGAGGAGGCTGTTAGGGTGGCAGCGGGAAGCCATAACTTGAGCCATCAGGTCACTTCACCTGGAGGATGAAGTTTCTCCGGATCAATTTGTCTAGGCAATGAGGTGGGGAGGTGATGTTAGCTTGAGACACTGGTTGGACAAACCTGAAAGATCTGTTGAGGAATACGAGTGTTTGCACATATTCTCTCAAATTGTTGACATTGTAAATATAGCACATTCGCAAGGGATTGTAGTCAACAATGTTCGACCTTCTTGCTTCTATATGTCCTCCTTCAACCATGTCTCTTTCATTGAATCTGCTTCTTGTTCCGATTCTGGGTCTGATTCTTTAGAAGATGGGTTGAATAATAACCAGGGCCTTGAGCTTAGAGATTCATTCTCTCCTTTGCTTCTTGCCATCTCCCAGCAGCAGAAGAGTGCTGGTGGAAGTGAGGATTTTCGGCCTGTCTCAACAAATGCTTTCTCTGAAACTAGCTGCATTCAATCAAGTTCAGCCTGTGGGAGAGTGCCATTAGCAGAGGACAATGAAGAAGATAATAATAGGAATGTTGGGAAAGGAGAAAGAAAGCAACCACTGTTCCCAATGAAGGAAGTTTTGCTTATGGAGACTGGTTGGTATACCAGTCCCGAAGAGGCTGCTGGTTCGACAAGCTCCATTGCATCAGATATATATCGGCTTGGTGTGCTTCTGTTTGAGGTGAGGTTTTTAATTTGTATGGAACCATCTGTACTTGTTTATTTTACTTCATTTTGCTAGTGGTTGTCTGGATTTGAAGCTTCATACTCTGCTATTTTCTCTTTCTACACTGATGCTATGTAGTCCAATTGATGGACAGTTGTTCTGCCCTTTCAATTCAAGGGAAGATAAGAGCAGAACTATGTCTAGTTTGAGGCACCGAGTACTTCCACCCCAACTGCTGCTGAGGTGGCCAAAAGCAGCTTCATTTTGCTTATGGTTGCTGCATCCGGAGCCTAGCAGTCGGCCAAGCGTGAGGTGAGTAAACATTTCATATTTAAAGGTGTGTTTGGTTTGGTGTTATTTGTCTCAATTACATGCTATTCATTTTGTATTTCAATGTGCAAGGTGTATTCGTAATAACATGTTTTTGGTTTAGTGCATTTGTGTATATAATTTCTGTCAGAAATGTAGAAAGTCATGTGGAGCTCACTTTTCTAGAATGCATTTTCAGATACTCCCTACTTCCAAGTATTTGACAGTGATGCATATGGGATTGCACTTGGAATCGTAAATGCATCCAAATAGATGATAAGTGTCGAAAATAACGATATGTTTGTTCAATTGCATGCTATTGCAAATAATATTATGTTAAATACACCCAACCAAACACCTGTTGATGGATTCAGTAATCTGTTACCTTTTTATGCCCCCTTTGCCTTTAGTTTCTGTTTTCCTATGTGTTACTTGCAAGACTTCAACAATCTTGCTTTTGTACACAGAACAATCTTGGTCTTCAGAGTTTTCTCATTATTTGTCTCCTCTACAAACAGGGATGTGTTGCAGAGTGAGTTCCTTGCTGAACCAAAAGATAAACTAGTAGAGCGTGAAGCAGCCCTACAGCTGAGACAGAGAATAGAAGAGCAAGATCTGTTGCTCGAGTTCCTGTTATTGATACAACAGAGGAAACAGGATGCTGCTGATAAGTTGCAAGACACTGTTTCTCTTTTGTGCTCTGATATTGAAGAGGTCGTGAAGCATCCATCCTTTCACGGGAATAATGTAAGCACCGCTGCAGAAAAAGGGAAGGAAGATCTTCTAGATTCTGATCTCCTGCTCATGAACCCGTCTCAGACAGATGATTTTTTCGGCCTGGGTTCTCGAAAACGATGTCGACCTGGTTATCAGACTAATGCTGAGGAATCTGATGATAACATGGAGGATGTTCAAAACTCTAGTATGATGCCATCACAAGCTCAAGGAAGTCTACTGTTTAAAAACTCACGGCTCATGAAGAACATCAAGAAATTAGAGGCAGCATATCTGCTGACAAGATGCAGACCACTGGCAGCAGTTAGGCCACTGGGAAGATCGGTTGGTAGACATTCCCAAGTCAGCAGTGATGGAAGAGGTTCTGTTGTAGCGAGTGAAAGAAGCTCCATTAGTGGGTTACAACCAAGAGCCCCGCATGTTGTGGCCAGACAAACTGGATGGATTAGTCCATTCCTTGAGGGTTTGTGCAAATACTTATCTCTGAGTAAGCTTAAAGTCAAGGCGAATGTGAAGCAAGGAGATATGTTGAACTCTTCCAACCTAGTATGCTCTTTGAGTTTTGATCGTGATGGGGAATTCTTCGCTGCTGCTGGTGTAAATAAGAAGATAAAAGTGTTCGAGTGTGATGCAATCATAAATGAGAACCGTGATATCCACTACCCAGTTGTTGAGATGGCTAGTAGGTCGAAACTGAGCAGTATATGTTGGAACAGCTATATTAAAAGTCAAATTGCTTCAAGTAACTTTGAAGGCGTGGTGCAGGTGTGTTCGTGAACCTTACTTATTTCGACCTTTTTATATTTTGTTAGCCAAAGATGGAAAGAACTTGCTTAACCATGTTCAGGGGTACCTTTTATGATAAATTTGTGTAGGTATGGGATGCTTCAAGAGGTCAGGTAGTTACTGAAATGAGAGAGCACGAGAAGCGTGTTTGGTCTATTGACTTCTCATCTGTAGATCCTACACTGTTGGCTAGTGGGAGCGATGATGGTTCTGTCAAGCTATGGAGCATCAATCAGGCAATTCTACTTTTTCCACTTGTTGGATGTGAGCTTTAAAAATTAAACGTACTAACGTTATCTAATCTTTTTTCTAAAGCGTGCAACGCTTCATTTTTGCACGTACGGAATGTTGTTTGTTTTAACATATTTTCATCTACTGCAGGGAGTAAGCATTGGTACCATAAAAACAAAAGCCAATGTGTGCTGTGTTCAATTTCCACTAGATTCCAGTCGCTCTCTTGCATTTGGTTCAGCAGATCATAGAGTTTATTACTACGATCTTCGTAACTCGCGAGTTCCACTGTGCACATTGGTTGGACACAGTAAAACTGTGAGTTACGTGAAGTTTGTTGACTCGACAACTATGGTTTCTGCATCAACGGATAACACGCTGAAGCTCTGGGATATGTCGGCCTGCGCATCTCGAGTCAATGATGCTCCACTGCACTCATTCACGGGACATATGAACATGAAGGTAAAACACCATTTTGTATCATTTTGTCATCAGACAATATGATACATTGCTTGTATAGTCGTCCTGTGCTTAACGATTATAGGACTTGGAGCATGTGATGTGAGACTTCGGTTTATATGGAAATCGTTGTTTTATTCGTTTGCATTCTTGATGTTGCAGAACTTCGTTGGTCTATCAGTGTCTGATGGTTACATTGCTACTGGCTCAGAAACAAATGAGGTAAGATCCTGAATACGTAACACAAGGCATAGCTTGCCACTTCTTTTGCTGAATTTTGATCTCCCTCTGGAAGTTTATCATGCTGCATTTGACACCCGTTTTAATCACAGGTGGTGATCTACCATAAAGCCTTCCCCATGCCAGCATTATCATACAAGTTCAACACCACAGACCCGGTCTCCGGGCATGAAATGGAGGACACATCCCAGTTCATCTCATCAGTCTGCTGGCGAGGCAAGTCGTCAACCCTCGTTGCTGCAAATTCGACCGGCAATATCAAAATCCTGGAGATGGTTTGATCCGATTTGGCAAGCACACACCATTACATATACATGTAGCAATAATTTAGAGCCAGCTACAGAGATCAAAGGACCAAGTGTTGTTAAAAGCAAGTAGAGAGAGAAGAGAGGGGTGGGTACTTATTAGTAGTTGTTCAGCATTATGTTAGAGCCAGTCAATGTTTTCTAGATTATTACTTAATGCTCGGTGATTTTATAGCCTTTTTTCTCCTTTTTGTCATGGGTTGGCGAAACAGAAGCAGATGCTGCTGTTTATTCATCCACTACTATGTATATTTTCTAATGCATATCATGGTCCAAATCATCATTCTTCTTAGTCTGTTAACGCCTTTATTCTTTAATCTTCTCTCCTAATCTTCGCTTAGGAATCCTAAACAAGACAAACATCTCCCAAGGAAACACAAACAAACACGCATCTTGTCGCACTAATTAAGCTTCATGCTAATAACATGGTATTGTCTTTATATTAGTTAATGATAAACATGCTTGTAATAAAGAGTCAGTCACAGTCACGGCTTTCTAAGCCAACTTGTTAAGATTGGTTTAGCAAACAAAACTTAATCTATGATAAGATGACAATCCCAATCCAGTTAACAAGAGAGGTAATGGCAATCCCAAAACCAGCCACAACTGAAATGGAATCATGCCGATCACAGTTATTTCCCACTATTATTTCACGACTTGGCTACCCCTATTTTGCAGCTGTTTTTCTTTTTTCTGCCACATTCGCACCATGAAAGTCTACAAGTAACAACAGCTACTATTAGTCTATTACTGCAGAATCGTTGACAGTTCTTCACAGCCCAACTCCTCAGTTAAAAGTGTTGAACAATGGTGTCATCATTCACACTTGCTGGGCTCCCCCACAGAAACAGAGTCAACTACTACAAAGTAAAGTAAGGCATGATCCAATTATTGGAAAATAGTTCACAGTAAACATATTCAAGAAAAGGGTTAAAAGGGTACACCAAAATCAACTGTTAGAAGAACACAAACAAAAGAAGCATTCTATAAGATGATGGAGAACCTACAAAAAGAGAAAAAGAAGAGTTACCCTTCTCCCATTCTATAATTCTGTAATCTAAAGCCGCCCCCCTCAAACAGATCATATCTATTTCTGTTGACAACAACAACTAGCTGCTTGCCTTGCAACTCTGGTAACAATGATCTCGATGGCTGCAGCAGCAACTCCAGCATCATACCAACCCAAAAAATAAATTCCTCTTTTCTTACATTAAGTTTCTCAATGAGCTATATATCTAGGTCTGTAGACTGGGAATGAACCCAACTTCCCCCTTTCAAGTTGTTTCCTTGTATCAGCATGCAAGCAAGAATAGTTTCTTGCAAAATCTATTTACACTGATTCTCTCCACGCCTTGCCATCAGAGCTACCCTAGCTATCAGATGTTTAAGCCGGTCTGCTCCTGGACCTGGCTGGACTTTGTTAATGTCCCCAACTTCAGTGCAGTCGGGGCTATTGGAACACCACCCACCAGGGGTGAATGCCCCGACCTTCCTGCCAAGCAAATCGTTGTCAATCTTATCTAGGACGGGGTCGTTGTGCTGAAACTTCCTAGCAAAGGCAGCACCACTTGCAATCATCATTTCGGTGTCGTTGAGGGAGAGTACATGTGGATGCTGCTTTGGAGGCGTATCCCAAGCAATGTAGTGCAAGTCGTGATTGATAGCCGTCCGAGCATACTCTGGCGCATTGCAAATTACCGTGTGGAAGTAGCCTTCAGGAGAGGACACAAAGTTTGCATAATACATGAGCAACGTTCTCGGTAGGTTATCCCAGCCCCAGATTAAGTATTCGACAAAAGGACGGGTGAGAACCATCCATGCAGAACCTGTGGAGCAAAAGATGAAGATATGGTTTGATAGTAAGTAGTTGGCAAAGTGCCATGTATGATAGTTTGGACATACCACGAGTTACAACTAAAGCAGTGAGAAGCTTTTGAACATAGATAGATAGTGAAAACGGATATCATCGATGGTTTTCATGAAAACAACTTGATCAAGCAATAGATACATTGTCCCAGAAGCATAGCCAAACTCCTAAACCATTAGATTAAGGAGACTAATAGAAGCTATTTCCAGTGAAGCATAGAGCTTCTATTCAGTGATGAACAACAAGTGATTTGAAACTATAAAGTAGAAGATGCTGATTGATTGTAGCGACTGAAGTGTCCGGCTTTGACTTCTACCTTCGTAATGATAAAATTTACTAGGATCTCATAAAAAGAACTTTGTAAAAGGTAGGGAAACCGTTTGCAATTAGACAAAGTGAGTGAAAAACTACACAGTGAGTGAATACTAATTAATGAGTAGAAAGACAGAAATTTCAACTGGTTTTAGCATAGCGGTAAGCATGCAGCAGTGAAAACACATGAATAGGTTAATTACATATACTAACCAGTAAACAACTTGAATGCTGTTGGCAGAGGTCTCCGAGGGTTAGCCCCAAAAATGTCTTCCTTAGTGGTGGAATAGAGTCCAGGATCTACGATTAGTGGCATTGCTCTCTTTTCCCTGAATAACACCATAGGGTAGCCTATTACTTACTACTAACAACTCCTAAACTTCTACCTCCACTGTGGATGCTGATTTTAAAATTTCTCGGGAGTGAGGTGGAGAAACAGGGAATGGAACTTACTCTTTCCAACCCAGCTGACTAGTATGCTCGATGAAGTTAAGATTTCGGTTCAGAGTTGAGAAAGTGTCCAGAAGATCTGCATCACATAAGCAAATGAGTAAGTACCCATATAGAAAGCAGGAGCTTCCTATCGAGAAGATAAAGGCCCCAAACTAAATTCACTTTGAAGACATAAAACTGACCATCTTGCGTCACAAGAGGATAATCAGAAGCACTGAGGTTGATGAACCAATCCCACTCTTTACTTCTTTTTAGAAGAATTGCACAAGCATGAAGTGTATTTGAGACCATGGTGGGTCCTCTATAGGTCACCATATTAGCTTTGGAGTTCATGTAGACGTTCCCATACTTGGAGAAAATCGGATGCTTCTCCACTCTTGCAGCAAGCTCTAACCTTTCCTCTGCCGGGGATTCAAGATCCAAGTGCACAACGTAGTGGTTTCTCGGATGGTAAAGGGCATGAAGCGTTCTCCAAAGCTTATCCAGGTCACCTTTGGATCCAGATACCAAGTAAGCAAACCTAGGAATTTTAGGACCAGGGGGAGGTGGAGGAGGAGATTGTAGAACAACTTTTGCTTCAGCAAAACCTTTGCCTCCTGTTTGGTTTACACGGGACGGGAAAATATTGAAGATGTGATTGATGGTGTGGAGTGAAGAGATGAGACCCATGTTGAATGAAGTTGCTAAGAGGAAGACACAGATGAGGGAGCTTATGACTAGAGGGAAAACCCACTTCTTCTCCATGTTCAGAGACCCCATTGCAGGACCTTATCATGGATTCCTATGAATGATCCTCTCACATCCAATTTCAAGTGAGCACTGAAGAAACTCTTTCTCCTCTGTGCTATACAGCGGCTCTTGCCTAGGATGCCACAGGACGAGACTTTGCTTGAATACAGAAGAAACAGGCTGCTCTACATAAAACAAGAACGATTTAAACCCATTATTATCATCACCACGCCCTGGTGGTATACATTGAAATTGAAGACCATTGTAGTCGATCAAAAATGACAAAAAGGATAATCAAACAGGTAACATTCATTGAAATATACAAAATTAATATAAAAGATACCAAAAGCCTTCAAATAAGTTCTGGAAAAATTAAGCTACAACAATAGGCAGAAAATGCATCACGGGGGAACCAAGCCTCTACCTACTAGAAGCGGCCAGGGTTGATTATAGGTATTTTTTATTTTTTATTTTTTATTTAATCTTAAAGGAAACATTTCAGTGTTCTAGCTCAACAATGCTACGAACCAGGAAATTCTCCCAGCTAAAGATCCCAGCTTTTGAAAAACCAACTAGGTAAAAGGATCCCTTTACCCTTCTGATACACGAAACAATCAACACCACACATCTCCACAACCCAATCAGCTAAATCGCAGAAGAAAGAGATCGCGAAATTAAGAAAGAAACACAGAACCCAAATACGGTAACTCAAGATTCAAATTATTTGGATCAATGAAGAGAAGAACCCAATACTAGAAACAAATCCATAATGGGGAAGCAAGGAACTCAAAAGATTAAAGAATCGATTGAATTACGAACTACACAAATGGCCAAACCAATAATACGCTGTGTTTCCCGGAAAAGGAAAGAAATCTAAAGGGCGCAAAAGATTGACAGAAACCAAAAGGAACAAAAAGAAAAACAGAACCCAGGTAGGGACAGAGCGTTCCAATCAATCATCAGCCATGTGAGTACCTTTTTCTTCCAATGCAGATTGCAGGGTGGAGTTGAATCCAGCTCCCTTTTCTCCTGCGGCGTCTCTGAGAATCGGGCGGAGGAAAGGAAAGGGGAAAAGTGGGGGAAACTAGATGGAAATACAGAGAGCGATGGAGAGAGCGTCGTGATTAAAAGAATTGCTAAAAAACCTCAGATACGAGAGAAGCACAAAGAGAGACAGCGAATGGTTTCAATGTGAACAAGAGGAAATTTTCAGAAAGAAACCATTTTTTTTTTTTTTTGAAGGAGACTCGTGTTTCTCTCTCCCTCTCTTTTCCCTGCGGGGATGAAGAGAGTTTCTATTATTGTGAGCAAATTGCGGGATTTTAGGTTTTCTTGTTCCTTCTTTCCCCCTCAAATTTCCCTTCTGTTTAAAAAAATTCCATTTTGTTACTCTAGGCTAGGGAGAAAATACACTTCACTCCTTCCTTTCCTTTATCGTCCCATGCCAATTCAAAAGCCTACGAATTTAGGGCTGGAAGTTTGGTACCGGTATTTGAGATATACCGAATACCGTACCGAATTTATCACTATTTGGTATTACCGAATATCGGTTTATTTTTTAGGAATCGAGATTGGGATTCATTTTGGAGTGCTATTCGGGATTACGGAATTGGGATCGATATATACCAAAATACCGAGAAATACCAAAAATTAAAAATTAACAAAATATGACACGCAACCTTTAGTCATTCCTCATTCTTTCACAATTTAGAAGCCCCCCATCCAACTCAATTTTGACTATCCAGTTTAAGTCACTCTCGTTTCTCACCTAATCTCTTGTTATTTTCATAACACCAAAAAGCAAACACTAGTATTAGTCGTCTTTTAACCTCCAATTCGTCAAATTAAGGATTACCAATGACAAGAATTTGAGATGTCGCCTCTCCTCCATTCTCCTTATCCATATCCTAGCTCTAGGCAAACTCAAGACCTTTGCTTGATCTCTTTACCCTAAATTAAACAATCAATTCTAATTTATATATTTAATTATTACTTGGAAAGGTAACTAATTTCGTATTCGATAATACCAATTGGGATACCGAAAAATTTAGGGATTGGGATTGAGATACCGAAATTATTTAGGGTTTGAGATTGGGATTGACTTTAGGATGTAATTCGATATTCAGGATTTTGGTATTTGATATTGGGATACCGATACCGTACTGATTTCCACCCCTAACCTTAATGTTCATAATATCGGTCACATATTTAAATGTTAAACATTTTGGATAATCTGAATTGGACATCAGTGAAAATTCGAGACATTATCGTCTATAACCAGTGTTATTAAAGCCGAGCCGAGCCGCTCGGCCCGACCGGTAAAACCGCCACCCGGTCACAAAACCGGCTCGTAACAGTGTAAAAGCCGCTCCGGTTTTATGTAGCGGTTGTCAAGCGGCCGAGGCGGTTAACCGTTCGAGCCGATCGAGCCGCTCGTCCGATTTTTGCCATTCAGCCACTAAAGAAAACTTTAAAATTTAAAAGAAATTTTTTTGATTCAACCAGCTTTTAGACTTGCTAACTTAACTTGTATATGTTAGATACCAACAAATCACCTAATATCCCCAGTTAGTTTTATCTCCATTTTGACCAAGAACAGAGCGGGTCCAAACCTTATTTGAATTCTTGGTAAAGAACATAAAAAAAAAATTCAACGTTGGGTCGAGGAAATAAATGGATAATTTAATTGAAAAAATTGTAGAAAATTGAAAATTGAAATAAACCAAAAACGTCGGGCTCTCAAATTGAATCCTTATTTTCATTTCACAATTTCGAAGGAAATAGATGAGCTCTGATTAAGAAATGTCCACTATTTATACTGATAACGTTTATTAGATACTGGTTCTCTAACGGTTTTTAAACGGTCTAATGCCGGTTGAACCGCTAAAGTGCGAGCCGTTCGCATTACCGGGTCATGCTCCGGTTCGATTCTGACAACATTTTCTATAACATATATAATTTAAAAAATATGTACAACGTTGAAATAAGGACAAAAGCAGGCAATCAAAGCCATGAACTTTATAGACAGCTGACTACTTAATCCATCAATAGTGCAGAACAGATGTCTAGTTCCCTCCGTTCTGTTCCGTTATCCGCAGTCAATCTACGATAATCAAAATTGTCACAACCTATTGGGAAGAAAACTCAATGACCCTAACATCGAAGTGCAGAGGTGCCAAGAAGCCCAAGGTTCCAACTTTGCTTTAATGTTCAAAGGGAGAGGAAATGAACGTAAACCCGTACCACAGCTATCAGCATTCCAGCTTCATTCGGATTTGTAAAATTAAACAAGTAGGAGTTTTCTGAATACCATCTCGACTTATTAGAACAAAGCTAGGACAAGTTGTGCTCACGCATCAAAGCTTCGATCTTCTCAACGTCTTCCGGGGAATCAACACCATGAGCTTCGTGGTCAACCTTTATTACCTGATAAATCAGTAAAGTTTGCTGCTTAGTACAAACAGAATAACTAAATTCTCTGTAAATTCTTCATTGTAGTTCAACTCCATATCTAAGTCCATACAAAAGTCCATATCTAGGAATTCCTAATCAGTGTGGCCTCTATTAAGTGTTGATCACTACAGCCAGCCTTCATTAAGTCAAGGATAACATAGTCACATAGATTGATTGTTCTGCTTGATTCACTGCATTCAGTCATTTTTGGAAATGCTCATTTTCGTTTTCTCATCCACATGCTTACCTATAACTAGCCATTTTATTTAGTTCAGTGTGAAGAATAAATGTGTGGTGTCAAGACATTCAAAATACTGTGACTCAGCCAAGTATCATAAGGCCAGACAAAACCACCCACCTTCATTTTGTAACCATTCTCATGGACTTTAAGCTGTTCAAGATCTTCTTCTAGTTGCAGAGGAGTAGGTGGAAGTTCTGGGTATAGCTTCAGAAACTTTGTATCATAGCTCTGGAAACACCATATCACATCATTGTGAAGAGTTAAAAAAACACAATTTGGCTAGTGCTTACAGCAATAACAAAACTCTGATTCTCCCTTTTATTGATGTCCTGATGCAGAAAACAGTAGCAAGGAACACTCTTGTCCATACCTGAATACCAAGGTGGAGCATATAAGGAAACCTTGGATTGACTTTTCCTGATCTGCATTTAGTAGGTCCAAACATCACCGTGTTGTCCAAACAAAAGGTTAAAGAACTAGATACATTAACAGAAAATCAAGATGGAGATATTTGATAGGCTCACTTATTATAGGGTATCAGCCCTCTGGAAAAATAGATGGCGTAACCTTTGTTATCCACCACACATTTTACACGGTTAGGATCGAATGCATCTTCAGGTTTCAAAGCTGTTACAGCTGTGCTAAACACTGCATCTGGGGCTGCCTAGAAACACAAAATGCGACTTCAGTTATAAGAAAAAGCACCCGATGAAACCTTATCGTGTAAGATTAGCATGTTACATTTGCCTGAATAATCACGAGGCTGCGAAGAAGCTACAAGTAGGCAATTCTGAAAATTATGCTCAGAAATCTAGCAAACTGAATACAACTTACCTGCAAAGCTTTGACAATTCCATCAATTATCTCGGGTTCAATCAAAGGTTCATCTCCCTGAATATTGACAACAACATCATATTTCTGCTGAAGCTTTTGTAGAGCTTCATTGCAACGTTCAGTACCTGTTTACACACCATGAAATGTTGTGAATCAAGATGCAACGACAAAAACCAGCAGATAAAGAGATGAAACTATTACACCACTCGCGCCAAAGTATCTCACCATTGCGACAAGATTCTGAGGTCATAATAACATCAGCACCAAACCCTCGACAGCATTCTGCTATCTTTTCATCATCCGTTGCCACAACTACACCAGCAAAGGCCTCTTAAAATCAGATATCCCAACTCCCAAGCATGGGCGACAAGCACACGTCTATGCAAATTCCAAATTCCAGCCAGAGACACAGCTTAAAATTTGAAAAACCACCAACAATATACAATACAAACTAGACGCAGCTGAGGGTATTGGCTGGGCGTACCTACATGATTCAGAGAGGTCGCAAGCTTAGCCCTCTCCCAAGTTCTCTGCAAACGATCCAACGAAATCTCTAGTCAAATCAATTTACACAAACCTCCTCTGGGTTCCAAATAATTCCAGTAAAGATCAGAAATTTGTCATTTCTACACATAATTTTACTTGATTCAATAATGCATCGGCCGAAAGCAACAAGAGTACGAAAGCCAGAGGATGCATTCAAGAACCAATGAAACGAATAGCATTCAATCCCCAGAGAGAAAGCGAAAGGGAAATCGCACCTGTATCATGGGTTTCCCCAGGATTTGAACGAGCGGCTTGCCGGGGAAGCGTGAAGAGGCGAAACGAGCGGGAATGATCCCAACGACGCGGCTCCTAAACTTTCTGGATCCGCCGAGATAAGTTCGAGCTGCGAGAGCGGCGGCAATGGCGGCACCGGCTACAATGCCGTGCACGATCCATGCCTTGGTCGATGAGAAGGATGAATCCGACGACGACGAAGAACGAGATGCACGATCCATTTCTCCTCTTCTCTTCTGTCGCTTTTCAGGTGCTCTGGCTCCTTCAGTCAGTGAACGACGAGGTTTGGTCTTCACTCTTCAGTCACCTCTGTCCCCTTGCCAGTTGCCACGTTGCCCCTCGATATGGGCCCTAGACTGCCCAGCCCATATAAATCCTCGTAACCGGCCCAGCCCAGAACCCAGAAGTTGCCATGTTCCTCCCCATTTTGTACAATTCATCATGTTTAAATGATTGGCAACAAAATGTCAATTTGCAGGATTTAAGATGGACAATGCTCTGCAGTTTTGAACTTCCATTCATACATCAAAGACATTAATCACTTAGTTGGTTTTAAACGTTTGATGAAGGCATTAATATTGTAGGCACTGTCATTCAAAGACTGCATCATTAAAACTGCCATACATTGAATTTGGCCTGCCTGTATACAGTAAAATGAGATTTCTTCTCATAAGAAAACATGCAGAGAGTAGTAACAAATGGCTACTGGTGAGCTTGCTTCAATATACATGCAAGCAAAGCCTTTAGCTCTCTAGCCAGCTCTCTCACTCTCGTAACCAATCTTCGCTCCTCTCTTCACGTAAAATGCATCCGAAAAATTAATATCGATCGTCGAATTAGGGACATGAACCCCGAGGGGGAAAAAAACAGAAGAGAATAAATACAAGAGAACTGATATCATTGATACGAACGTAGAAGGAAGGAGGCATATTGATGAATGACTCTTTTGTCATCTCTTCAGTTCTTGTTTGCAGAGAGGGCAACATGATATGATCCTGAGCCATTGATCCACGCATTTCAAGTGAAACATATGTAAACATGGAAGTTGTCTTACTTCTTCCTTGTCTTTGTATTTTGCTAGACAAATGCAACATTCCTAATCATCACCACAGTAGAAGAAAGATGTCAAGTTTTGTATAAGATTGAATATGACAGAGCTGTGCAATAAGGTAATTTGGAAGAGAAGAATTATTGTTAGACTTACCTCACTTGCAGGGGTTGGATTGGAATTTTCATCTTCCTTTTCGTCGTCATCGAGACTTTTGTAATTCCAACTTGGGAGGCTGGAGATTTGGTCATCGGAGGCAGCTCTGTCAGCAGAGCCCATGTTCATGTTGTAGCCAAGGAAGGTGCTGATGAGAGGGACACAGCAACACAGGAGCAAGAACAACAGGAAGGGGAATGAGTAGCAGACTGCGTTCCATGCTAGGAGGGAGACGCAAAGCACATTGAGCTTTGGAGCTCGGTTGATCGACCCGAATCTTGAGTCGAATATCCAGACGTTCCCCATAACAAACCAGATTGCAAAGAATAGCTCAAGCGACGTCCGACATTTGTTCATCAAGTGGGTGCACCGGTACACGTCGCTACTGTTTCATAGAATTATAAATGGGGAAATTTTCTATCATGCATAAGAACAACGAACCAGAAGACTTGAAAAAAGGAGTTTCATTTCACCTGGACTCGTTGATTCTCTGCTGCTCAAGATCGGGAAGTGGAAAGCCTTCTTCTCCATGTGAGCGGTAGAGTTGTCTGAATCGACCGTAGAGCAAGAGCAAGTTGAGTGCGCAGCCAATGTCGTAACCAACTATCCAAATTCTCATGGGCCAAACAGGCTTCTCTGTTTTGGAAACCGACAGAGTGAAGCCACTCACGGCGAGCTGAAGGATCAAAGCTACAAGCTCCAGCAACATCCAGGTCCTGGAATTGAAAGGGTTGGTGTCGAGATCGGACCTTGAGCCATTCTGGTAGTGGAAGACCCTCCTCAGAAAGCTGAACCATCTAGCCCTTGAAACCCTCATCGCAACTCGTATCAAGAACGAGGTAGGAGGGGAACGAGAAGGCCTGTTTCTGATGCCGCTTACATCTCCTTCTCCAGCTTGAGAATTTGATGCGTATGGAGTTGCAGAGCCTGATGAGTTATACAATGAACCTACTGTAAAAGGGTACCTCATATTCATTCTCATCTTTCAGAAAATGGGCAGGCTCTGGAACAGCTCAAATAGCTAAAAGAAGAGAAGAAAGATGATCTGGTGAGCGTAGGAGGGGAAAATGGCAGCTTTCTATTTCTTTCCTTGATTTCTTTTTGGGTAAGCAAGAACACGTCCTGGGTGAGGGGAGGGTAGTTTGGAATTTAACTGAATAGCAACATGAAGTTTATGTGACGACTCTAACGAAAAACACTCACAAAATACAAGAGTGAGGCCCCATCTGAGTGGCGCCACGCCATAGATAAACCATGAGCACTCTTTGAGGCAAAAGATCGAACACCAACAAGGCACTCCCAAATCCTCCGCCAATTTCCACAACTTCCACAGAACTCCAAAAAAGCTCGTAACCCAGAAAACCCAAGTGGGTAAATTTGAACAAACTATATAACCCAGAAATATTTGCAGAAGGAGGGAAATGGTAACGGGTTTATAGCAAGAGAGAAGAGTTGGGGAGAAAAGGACAGGAAGGTGAAGGGTTGGGTTTCAGATGGTGACCAAGAATCAACCGCACACCTTCTGCTCTGGCGTCCCTCCCACAGCAGCAGCATCAGCAGCAACCTTTAACTTGGTTTCCAAGTTGGTCGCCTCCTCCTAACTTCCTTCGTCTTCTTGTTGTTTCTCGAGTAAGCAAAGCGGATGGAGATATAGACATCAGCACCTCACCTATAAACTACACGCAGCAGCAAGCAAGCAAGCAAAACCCTCTTTCCTACTTCAACTGCACCAAATCTTCCCACCAAAGGTAAGCAACCTAAGATTGTGACCCCTTTTTTCTGTTTGCATCAGCTTCTGATCGGTGTGTATTGGTTTAGCTACTAATAATCCCGATTTGGATAAAGAGATTTAACTAATAAGGAAGATTGGAGATGTTTGAATTGCGGCGGGTATCGTTTGGAAAAGGGAAATATATTGTAAGGTGCGTGAAGTTGGACAACCAAACCCACCAGCTTTCTCTGCCACGGCTCTTCAATGAATGATCACGTCAAGCAACCGCAGCCATGAGTCTTCTCACCGGAATCCCTCCGGTTGTAAACGCTGCCGCCGACGGACTCCGCGACCCCGCAAACACCAATTTCCATGTAAGCTTCCTCCCAATTCTCCTTCTTCTGTTAGATTCCGGTGATTCATCTCCATCTTCCATATCCACTTTGTTGTATAACTTATGTTTGATTTCTTTTGTGGAAAAACCGAATGAGCCGAGTTTTGAAGTGGGTTCCTGATCAATTTTTAATGGGGATCCTTCGACTGGCAGTTTGAGCAATTTAGAATCCTGTTTGCCAAATTCCAAATCTTTGTGCCAATTTTTTGTCTCGTTTGGTTCCTGCGTTGAGTAGTTACAGAAAGCAAGAACATGACTTTACTTTGGATGGGATAATACAGGAATGCTTAGAAGAGTTCATTGTGTTTTTAAGCAGATAAACATGGTCTACTCGCCCTAAATCGTATGTTATCCCGATCAATGTGTTCCTATTGTGCTGTTGCTTCTTGCCGCTGCCTGCTTTTATGGTGGTGCTTGTAGAACAGCTACTATGAAAGTGTCTCAGGAAAACCTACTCGTTCTTGTATTATTGATATGTATATATATACACTAAAAGGTATAACAGCCAGCTATTCCTAAGTAAAGCAGTTCCCACTAAACGTAAACTAAGGAAACAGAATGACAACAGTAACAAAGGTAGTTCCGAGAATATCTCCTCCTTATCACGCCCCCACAAGTGGAACCTCGGAGAGGTGAAACTTGGAACAAAAGCCATGGAATGCCTGACGGGTAAGAGGCTTTGTAAGAACGTTAGCTAGTTGATCGGTTGCTGGTAGGTATCGAACATGAAGTTGTTGCTTGTTGACCCAATCGCGAACAAAGTGAAACTCAATCTCGAGGTGTTTGGAGCGTGTGTGAAAGACCGGGTTGTGAGCAAGGTACGTGGCTCCCAAATTGTCACACCATAAAACAGGAGAAGAGGATGGTGCTTGTCCGAGCTCCGTGAGTAGCGCCTGTAACCAAATGACTTCAGATGCAAGTGTAGCTAGGGCTCGATATTCACATTCTGTGGATGACCTGGCTACCGCCTTTTGTTTCCTTGTCGACCAAGACACCAAATTCGATCCATGAAAAACAGCAAAACCAGAAATAGATTTCCGATCTTTGGGACAAGAGGCAAAAGAAGCATCCGAGTAACCATGTAACTGGGAATGAGTAGACCGTTGGAAGAGCAACCCTTGTGTGATGGTACCTTGTAGATAGCGCATGATCCTTTTTACGGCTGCCCAATGTGCCTCTGTAGGGGAGTGCTGGAACTGGGAAACGTGATTTACCGCAAAGGAGATATCCGGTCTTGTGAAGCTCAAATAATGCAGACCGCCAACAATACTCCTGTAGAGGCTGGGATTATCAAATGCCGGTGACAAATCAGACCCACTTTGTACCAACTGATCAGGGGTACAAGGCGTGGATATGGACTTGGCTTGAGCCATTCCGGATCGTTCCAGCAGCTCGAGTATATACTTGCGCTGATTTAGTATCAACCCAGTAGATGTGTAATGCACCTCGAGGCCGAGAAAATATGATAGTCGACCAAGATCCCGGAGAGCAAACTTGGAGCGGAGATGACCCAGAAGCTGCTGGATAATGGAGGAATCGTTACCTGTAATCACTAGGTCATCTACATAGACCAGCATGTAAAGAAGAGCAGAACCACTTCGGTAGATGAAAAGAGATGGATCCGTCTGGGAAGCAACAAAGCCAAAATCCCGAAGTGCTTGTGACAGACATTGAAACCAAGCCCGAGGCGCTTGGCGCAATCCATAGATAGACTTTCGGAGACGACAGACGTAATCTGGATGCTCGGGATCAATGAACCCAACTGGCTGGCGCATATATACCTCCTCCTTAAGGGTGCCGTGTAAGAAGGCGTTTGAGATATCGAGTTGATGTAATGGCCAAGCATTGGAGACGGCAATACCCAGGAGAAGACGAAGAGTTGCAAGCTTCAATACTGGACTAAAAGTGTCACCAAAATCGTAGCCGGGAATTTGCTCAAAGCCACGCGCAACAAGCCGTGCTTTCTCCCGTTCAAGAGAACCGTCTGGATTAGTCTTTTCTGCAAACACCCAGCGGTTAGAAAGAACATTACAATCAGGCGGGGCTGGAACCAAGTCCCAGGTGTGATTGCGAACAAGTGCGTCAAACTCGGTGACCATAGCAGCCCGCCAGCGAGGCAATTTGAGAGCCTGAACCGCAGTGGATGGTATGCATGAGGGAGCAGCAGCAAGGTACTGGCGTGGCTGCAATTTGCCGGTCTGAGTGCGAGTGAGAATCCGGCGAGAAGAGTTGGGCGCTGAGGAGGGACAACGCGAGGGGAAGTGTTGAAACGGGGACGAGAGGGAGGGGGAGGCTTGGACGCAGGTGGTGGTGAAGTAAGAATTGGAGGGGAGGACAGGGGAGGAGGGATTGAAGGTGGTGCATGTGGACGAGGTCGACGATGGTACTGGATTAGTGGTGGCGATGGTGGATGAGTGGAGGGGCGGCGGCGATTATATTGTAGCAAAGGGGAAGGTCGCTGTGTAGGCGACGGATGGGAAGGGGTAGGCTCGTTGGGGAGAATTGGTGGTGGAAGGATTGGTTGTGGACGAGGAGAGGTGGGCTGGGGATGGACGGGATGGACGGGATTGGGCTGAGGAGTGGAGCTCGGATTGGGCCGAGAATGGGGGGAGGGAGGAGAGTTGGGCTGGGGAGTGATGGAAGTGGGCTGGGATAGAGAGGATAAAAGAGGAGGGTTAAGAGCGGAGTTTGGGCCGAGGGGATGGACAGGTATCGGGCTGGGTAGGGTAATAGTCTCCGTGAGGAATAGATCTGTGGGGTTTGATCCGGTTGGGTTGATAGGTGAGTCTTTATAAGGGAAAACCGATTCATCAAAAAGAACATGACGACTGACATAAATTCGGCCAGTAGAGCGATCAAGACACCGATAACCTTTGTGTAAACCACTATAACCCAAGAAAACACATGGTGTAGAATGTGGTTGAAGTTTATGGGAAGTTTGAGGACGAAGCCAAGGGTAACATAAACACCCAAAAACCCGAAGATTTTGAAGATCCGGAGATTTGTGAAACAAGGTTTGGAAGGGAGTTTGGTTTTGAAGAAGAGGAGTAGGAGTGCGATTGATGAGATAACAAGCTGTGTCAAACGCGAGAGACCAGTATTGGAGCGGAACATTAGCCTGGTGTAACATAGCTAAACCATTATTAACAATGTGGCGATGTTTCCGCTCGGCACAACCATTTTGTTCTAGGGTATAGGGGCATGAAGAATGATGAATAATGCCATTGGCCTCAAGATAAGTTGACAATTTTTGATATTCACCTCCCCAATCAGATTGAAAAGTTTTAATGGGGAGGCCGAAAAATTTCTCAACTAGTTGGCGAAATTGAATGAAAACATGAAGAAGTTGAGATTTATAACGCACAAAATACACCCAGCTGAATTTGCTATAGTGATCATAGAAGAGAACATAGTAAGATTGACGATCATAGGAAAGAATAGGAGCAGGGCCCCAAAGATCACTACAAACGAGTTCTAAAGGTGCAGAAGCACGATATTGGGAAGACGAAAAGGGCAATTTGTGAATCTTACTAATAGAACAACCATGACACAAGGAAGGAGAACTATCATGGTATTTTATTGAATGTGTAGACAAAAGTTGTTTGACGGCCCGAAGATTTGCATGACCCAATCGTTGATGCGAGAGATCAAGAGAAGCGGTGAAGACACGAGGTAGAGTGCGACTTGAGATATGGAGAGGCAAGGAGTATAGGCCATCACGCACAGAACCACGATAGAGCTCATCCTTCGTGCGACGGTCCTTGATCACAAAATAGGTATCAAAAAATTCAATGGAGATGGGGTTAGAACGAGTCAAGGAGCTGACAGAAAGAAGATTTTGAGGAGCATTGTGAACACGAAGCATATTATCAAGCACATATGAACGAGTAGAAATATCAGCGGTAGAGGAACCAGAATGAGTGATAGGCAGACATTTACCATCGCCAAAGGTGACTTGATCAGGACCATTATATTCAGAATGATGAACCAGATTACCCAAATCGGAGGTGAGATGATGATTAGCACCGGAGTCAAGGAGCCACTGGGACGAGGATTGGGCGGGGTGAGAGGAGTGGGCAAGATGTGAGGCAGGTCCGGAATTGTAAGTGGGTTGGGCTGAAATAACCGGGCTGGGCCTTCCCCCCACAATTGTGGCAGACCAACATTGATGGGCTTGAAGGCCCAGCCCCTAGCAAGCCTGAAGAAACAGGCCGAGAACCACCGGAATTGGGCCGACCTGCAAAAGAAGGGTTAGGAAAAGAAGCAGGTTGGAAAAACCCACGACCAGAATATCTCCCTCCTCTGCCGCGATTGAATCGGCCGCCGCTACGCCCCCCGCGAGCAGAATAAAGAATCTGCGGTGGTGCCCTGTCCACAGAGGCGGATTGGAAACGCTGCAGCTGCCTCTCCTCACTGAGTAGAAGGCTGCTCGCATTCTCAAATGAAATTGCCTCCAGGCGCGCTTCGAGGTTGCGGGTGAAGGGACAATAGTCCTCGTCGAGGCCATCGAGGAGAGCAATCACCAGCTCTTGTTCTGTGACAGTAGCGCCGAGGGCAAGCAGTTTATCATAGATGGCTTTCGCGCGGTGGATGTATTCATGGATCGTCTCATTGCCGCGGGAGAGACGCAGAAGATCCTTGCGGAGCTGGCCGATGATGACGGGAGAGCCCGAGGCGTAGACAGCAGCAAGAGCATCCCAGGCATCACGGGCAGTAGACTTGTTGACAATGGTGGGCATCACAGCTTCTGTCAGCGAGAGATTAATCCAGGCCAGGACGAGCTGATCATTCTCGTACCAGGTGGCATATGCTGGATTCGGGTGGTCCTCGACATTCAAAGGAGGAGGAGGAAGGGTGCCATCGATGTGTCCGATGAGACGATTACAGCGAAGCAGAGGATTAAGCTGAGCACGCCATAGCAGATAATTGGTGGGATTTAGTTTGACGGTGAGCTGGGGATTTGAGGGAATCAGCAGGCGCTGAGGAGGGGAAGGTTGAAGAGATGGAGAAGAGGAATCAGATGTAGTGGAGGAAGTAGCCATTTGAGGGAGAAGCAGAAGAAGCAGAAACGGAAGAAGAAGAAGAAGGTATGTACTCGTTTGAGTTTATTATGGCTCTGATACCATGAAAGTGTCTCAGGAAAACCTACTCGTTCTTGTATTATTGATATGTATATATATACACTAAAAGGTATAACAGCCAGCTATTCCTAAGTAAAGCAGTTCCCACTAAACGTAAACTAAGGAAACAGAATGACAACAGTAACAAAGGTAGTTCCGAGAATATCTCCTCCTTATCAGGAACCAACTCCATGATTAGTGGAACATAAATCATCAAAGAGATCATAGTTTGCCAAATCTCTAATTTTTTGGATTTAGGATAGTTTCTTTTCATGGATTCGTAGTTTGTGAATTGCTTTTTCTGCTTTTGCTATAATCTGAGATGATTTGTGGGTTTAATAGCGGAAAGCTATTGAGGTTGGTCATTGTATCTAAGGTTTTGTTCTTCAAAAGTACTAAATTCAGAGCTCGCCTGAGCTGAAGTCTTCCTTGGCATCTGTTCTATACACCGTTGATAGGACACAGTCTATAATTAATTTGATACTTATTCTCACCATTTTGAAAGGGAAAACGAAAGAACGCATCTTTGTCAATGCACGCTTGGGACCTGTTCACTGGATTCTGCCAACTTATGGACTATGGTTACTGGATTGCCTATTTTTAGGATGGTGTATTCAGAATAGATCGATTGGGATCTCTACTTTCAGAGATGGGTTTATGTTTGCTAATTGTCTTCAGTCTTCCTCCAACAAGGACTAAGATGTATCATATGAACTGAAGATCAACTAAGCTAGCTGGTCATGAGAGATCACTGGTTGTGTTAGCAACCAGCTAATGCTAGCAATACTTCTCTCAACCACCTCTAGACACCGAGTCCTGATTAGGGCCTTATTCAAATAACAACCACCACTGATGAATTCCGCAATCTCACAAACACCGAACTTCGAGTAAGCTCCTGCCATTTTTTTCTCCTTTTCCTCTTCTTTGTTTGCTTCTGTTAGATTCCATTGATATGCTGCTGTTGATTTCTTGCTGATGGTTCGCTAATTGAGATATATGTGGCTTTTGCTTTGATCTATGAAAGGATAATGTGGGATATCTATGGCTTTGTATTGATCTATGAAAAATATTACGTGTAGAGGATTCATTTGGATTGTTGTGAAGTTCATTTGTTTAGATGTGTGTAATCTGGTAAGAGTTTAAGTCAGTGCCTGAGTTATAAGTGAAAGAACTTTCTGTAGAAGTGAGGTAGTTGAGTTTTACCTGTAGTATGATTCTCCACATAAATCATTACTGTGGATTGTTCAATCATGCTTCTCAGGTGAGATCAGAAAGATGGTACTCAGATTAGTTTCATAATCACAAAGCCGGCTGAGAACTAGATTATTGTGTGTTTTTTTTTCGTTTCGGACTTTTTTTTATGGACTTTTCGATTCCCCAATCTCACAAACACCAAACTTCGAGTAAGCTCCCCCTGATTCTCCCTTTTCATCTTCTTCTTCTTATTGCTTCTGTTAGGTTCCAGTGATCCTGATAAATTAGTATGCTGCTGTTGATTCCTTGCTGATGGTTCGCTAATTGAGATATCCATTGCTTTGGTTCTACCATTATGCATTACAGTTATCAGTCCCCATGTTTTGTTTCCTAACACGGATTCTAAGCAACATTGTTGAGGATCAATGAGCATCTGATTGACATGAGTGTATTGTGCTATGCACTTGCAAGAAAGAGATACAGGGAGGAAGGAGAATGATTATATATTGCAAGAAACCATTACTGGAAAAGTCTGTGGACTTGTTTTGGTCGAAACTGAGTTCAATCGTTAGTTCGCATATCAGCCTTGGAGGTATTAGCCATTAGGCAGGTCTGTGAACTGAAAAGCTGACATTATTCCCACGGAAGGCATAAAACTGCATTTGTGGTCGGTGGCATGTGCATAGCTATGTTCAATGTGATGATTTAAATCGTGTTATGTTTTTAACGCTTTTGTAATCTGAGTTACCTCTTTCTATGGCAGGTTTAGGGTTTGTGATAAATGTATAGGTCGGCAGAATTGACAAAAAAATAAAGAAATCACGAGGCCACGGAGATTCTCTGCGACTTGTATGAGCGGGTATGATTACAAAACTCTGGACTTTGTATAAAGTGGTCACAAAGTTTCATTTTCTACGATACGATAATACAGGTCTGAACCTGTAACAAAATTATCATTTTCGACCCATTTCATTTCATTAAACTCGTCCGATTAGCAGTTCATATCAATGAAAGAATAAAATAAAAATTTAGCATCACCATCCAGAGTCACCCAGCCATGTTGCATACTTATTTTGACATATTTTTTTTTATGGTCATTTCGCTACATTATTAAAAAAAGCGTAATTATTTTGTTACAAAATGAAAAAGGGTTTACACCCATTTTGTTTTAGAGTGAACATATTTTTATTGTCAACTTTTTAAAAAAAATGATAATGTATCGACTCTTGAAATGATCCAAAATGGGGTTCGGAAGTAGTTTGGACGAGATCCGGAATACACTTCTCTTTGAAACCAAATGTGCACAAACCTTTTCATTTTGTACAAAATAGTTACACTTTAATGTAATGAAATGGTCATAAAAAAATAAATATGCAATATTAGTTTGGCTCGGATGGGTTGGGTTACTTTGGATGGTGAGGCGAATTTCTTTTATTTTCTGGATGACATGGACTGTTAATTGGACGAGTTTGACAAAATTTTAGATGGAATTGACGAAAATGACCATTTTGTTACATATCCAAACTTGTGCTATCGAATCGTACCAAATAAAACGTTTATGCTAATTATCCTATACGGCTATGCCCGAGAGTTGGTTGGTTGACAAGACTGGAAGTGAGGACAACTTGTCCGTGCAGAATTTTGGAGCTCCAACGAAAAGGATGCAAGGTGCATATTAAGATCAGTAACTTGAGTTAATGTAGGGACAACCAATTAATCTGTTAAAAAAAAAAAGACAACCAATTAAGAAAAGCCTTCATTTATACGCTTAATCACAAAATGTTTTTTATGTTGGGTCAACTCAACATTGCTCGTTTATCGTTATTGAAACCTAGTGCTCTCTTTATATATTTCCTTCATGTCTCTATATTTTAGGGAGAAGGTCGGAATGGTTAGAGAAAAAACTTGATGTTTCTTTATTAGTGTGTTTATAATTTTAGAACGAAGGTTGGAATGGTTTCAAATCCTAACTCGTTAAACGTCATGAGTTGTGTAGCTATATATTTTTTGTTTCTTTTATTATGTAATAGAAAATGTTTTTGTTTTTTGATTTGGATTTGCAGCGTAGTTTCTTTTAAAAAATGAATTTACAGCGTAGTCTTTATTAACCGACTTGTTTTCCCCCGTCATTTCAATTTGATATGACAAAATTTTAAACCAGATATGACAAAGTGAGTTGCACTTAATGGAAATTCATTCTAAATTATATGAATAACTATTTGTCAGTGTATAATCATTCAAAATACTTGCTAATATTCTCTGAAATACAAGCATGTCTTCACACATAAAAAGAAGTTTTGCTAAAACCTTAATGACGTACACAAGATTATCGTTGCTCACAACAGGATATTAGAGTGTGGCATTACTCCAAAGATAGAAACTACACAGTCAAATCAGGTTATCACCTAGCTCTATAATTGACTATGGCCCCTATTCGGAAACCGATAGTTCATACCATCGATCCTCCCATTTGAAAAAGACATGGAATATCCAAGTCCCACCTAAACTTAAATTCTTCATATGGTAGTGTCGAAAAGTAATTCTCCCCAGAGTGATGCCCCCTTCAAACTCGTGGAGTAAACTGTCTTAATTGATGCCCTGTTTGCTGGAGACATCGAGAGAGCATTGAACATTTATTCTTCAGATGCCCCCTAGCCATCAGATTGTGGACTTTAGTGGGATTGAGCAACTTCATTGACTCCGCCCAGACTGTTAACTTTAGTCTATGGTGGCGATATGTCATGGTCTCAGTGACCTCTCCATTCCACATTCTCCAATGCGTCTGCTTACTCTGGAGAATCTGGAAGTCTATAAATAAAGTGACTTTTGAATTTTACCAACCTCATGTCCGTTCCCTAGCTAGAGAATTCTACAACCAGGTCCTTGAAGTCTCTAGCCTCCTCCCCCCTCCTTCGCCTCGTAGATCTCTCCTCCCTCACCGCCCACCCTTCACTTGGGTTCCTCCGCTAGAAGATTATTTGAAGATCCATTTCGACGCAACTGTTAGTGCAACCGGATGTTCGTCTGGACTTGTGGTCTGTGGGTCCGACGAACATGTGGTGTTGGCGTTCGGGTTGCGTCATCAGGGAGTAGTCAACCCCTACCTGGCAGAGCTTTTAGCTGTTAGAGACGTTATCTCCCTCGTAGTCTCCAGATCCTTGTCTCGCGTGATAGTGGAGGGCGATTCTGAAGTGGTCGTCAATCAGATATGGCAAGGCGTCTTAAAAGATTCCATTGGTGGTCAGGTGCTCAGGGAGTGTCATCAGATCCTAGTCTCTTTGTCAATCTGTATAGAGTTTAGGCCGGTTCCTAGAGCCGCAAACAGTGCTGCCCATAGAGTGGCGCGTAAAACATTCCTTTTGACTATTTTAGAGCTAGAATCTTTTGATTTTTTGGGTGGCTTCATTAGTCTATCGCTTGTAAAATGTCTAAGTAGTTTTGGTTGCATACCTTATCTCATGATATCACTCGAAAATAATAATACAAAAATCGACATTGATGTCGAATGTACGTCACGACCCACTGCAGGGCGTGGAACGAACGCGCCATTGCTCAACCCACGTGCCGCCCCATAGCCGGAAAAAAGGCCACCCGAAAAAACTATTTTTTTCCTTCCTTTTCATCACGGAAAATATAACCGTTGAGCATGGCCACGTGTCATTCAATCCATCCACCTGTCAATCTCTCTCTCTTCTCCTTCGGATTCCCATCTAGGCCCCTCCATAGTCGTCTTGTTGCTTGCTTCATCTCCTTCCTCCCTCATCCCTTCCCTTTTACGACAGTCTATTATCACCACTACAGCCTAATTCCCCCTTCTCTCTCTCTCTCTCTCTCTCTCTCTCCCACACTCTGCTTCTTCCTCCGTCGTGAATCCTCTTATCCATCTTCCCGATAACCCTTTTCCGCTGTGCTTTCAGTTCACACAATCTAATTCTATTCTTCTTCCCAGTAATGGCTTTTCACTGACCCACCCAATTACCCACCAAATGTTGTCTTCTCCCAGCACCACAACCTTCCTTCTCGTTCTGCTCTGTTTCCTGACCTCTTCCCCTGCCTTCGCGGCCACCGATTTCGATTTCGGCACGCTCACCCTCAGCAGCTTGAAGCTCATCGGCGACGCCCACTTGAACAATGGCAGCGTCCGCCTCACCCGCGACCTCGCAGTCCCCAACTCCGGCGCCGGCAGAGCTCTCTACACCAAGCCAATCCGCTTCCGGCAACCCGGGACCCACTCAATCACCAGCTTCTCCACCTTCTTCTCCTTCTCGGTCACCAATTTAAACCCCTCGTCGATCGGCGGCGGGCTGGCTTTCCTCATTTCACCGGTCCCTGACTCGATCGGCGCCGCCGGCGGATGTCTGGGTCTCTTCAGCGGCGATGGTCTCGCCGCTGGGTTCGTCGCCGTCGAATTCGACACTCTGATGGATGTTGAGTTCAAGGACATTAATGGCAACCACGTCGGGTTAGATCTCAACAGCATGGTTTCGTCTCAGTCCGGAGATCTGGATTCGGTCGACATCGATCTCAAGAGCGGCGATCTCGTCAATGCCTGGATCGATTACGACGGGCCGAGTCGGGTCCTGGAGGTCTCGGTTTCGTACTCGAATCAGAAGCCGAAGGAGCCGATTCTGTCGGCGGGTCTCGATCTGGATCAGTACGTCGACGACTTTATGTACGTCGGCTTCTCCGGTTCCACTCAGGGGAGCACCGAGATTCACAGCGTCGAGTGGTGGAGCTTCACCTCTCTGTTCGACTCAACGCCGCCGGGTAACGGCGGAGGCGCTAGTTCCGGTCCAATCGCCGCCTCTGCTCCGCCACCGCCGCCGCCTCCTCCATCGATTACTCTGCTCAGCCCGGCGGCTGATTCCGTCAAATCCCCACCGCCGTCATTGCCCCCCTCCAACGTAATTAACAGCAATCAGGGGAAGAGCAGTAAACCGTCCTCCTCCTGCCACAACCAGCTCTGCAAAAAGGGGCCGGGCGCGGTTGCCGGAGTGGTAACCGCCAGCGCATTTCTCGCCGTATTCGCCGGGATCCTCCTCTGGGCATTTTCCAAGCGAGTGAAGAAGGTGAAGAGGAAATCGGAGTCGTTCGCGTCCGAGGTAATCAAAATGCCCAAGGAATTCACCTACAAGGAGCTCCGATTGGCGACGAACAGCTTCAATTCGAATCGAATCATCGGCCACGGCGCCTTCGGCACAGTCTACAAGGGCATCGTGACGGAGACCGGCGACATTGTCGCCGTCAAGCGATGCTCCCACAACAGCCAGGGGAAAACCGAATTCCTCTCGGAGCTCTCCATCATCGGAACCCTAAGGCACCGGAATCTCGTCCGACTGATCGGCTGGTGCCACGAGAAGGGCGAGATTCTGCTAGTCTACGATTTGATGCCCAACGGAAGCTTGGATAAGGCCCTGTTCGAATCCAGAATGATCCTCCCGTGGTCGCACCGCCGGAAAATCCTCCACGGCGTCGCGTCGGCGCTGGCCTACCTCCATCAAGAATGCGAGAATCAGGTCATCCACAGAGACGTCAAATCCAGCAACATCATGCTCGACGAAGGGTTCAACGCCCGACTCGGTGATTTCGGCTTAGCTAAACAGGTGGAACACGACAAATCCCCTGACGCCACGGTGGCGGCCGGGACGATGGGATATTTAGCGCCGGAGTATCTCCTCACCGGTAGAGCCACCGAGAAGACCGACGTGTTCAGCTACGGCGCGGTGGTGCTGGAGGTCGCAAGCGGGCGGAGGCCGATAGAGAAGGACGCCGCCGCTGCCGCCGCCAACGGTAACGGCGTTAGAGGTAACGGCAACTTGGTGGAGTGGGTGTGGGGGCTACACCGTGAAGGGAGGTTGTTGACGGCGGCTGACCCGAGGCTGGAAGGTGAATTCGAGGAGGGAGAGATGATGAAGGTTCTGTTGGTGGGCCTGGCCTGCTCGCATCCGGACCCGTTGGTCAGGCCCATGATGAGGAACGTGGTCCAGATGCTGGCCGGAGAGGCGGAGGTGCCGGTGGTCCCCAGGGCGAAGCCCACGATGAGTTTCAGTACGTCGGATTTGTTGCTGAACTTGCAGGACAGCGTCTCCGACTGTAACGACGAAGCCGCCATGATTACGCTCTCCACTTCTTCGTCGTCCGACGGCAGCTTCGGCGGCGGGCACCACTTGGTGTGATAACTGAGTGCTCCCAAAAAAAAAAAAATTAACAAAAGAAGAGCAGGGAGTTTTTATTTTCTGGATCGGACTATACAGATTACGGATATGATTATTTATATTCTTTTTTTATTTATTAGTTTGGTGCACCGTACGTTTGGGCGGCGTGTTTTTTTTTTTTTTACCGTGTATATTGACGTAATAATTTGCGTCACCATCGGAATTTGCATAATTGCGCGTCATATAAAGTTTGTATCAAGATCGTCCATCATTTTTTGAAATCATAGCGAGTTCGCAATTGAATATTGACGTGATAATTTGCATCTTACGTTGAATAAATCATTGGAATTGCATAATTTTTGCGTCATATAAAGGTGATATCGAGGTTGTCCATCGTTTGTTGAAAGCATAATGAGTGTAAACACCCAATCTATTCGTTATTTGTGTTGAGTGATCACGAAATTAGTGAATTAGATGGTAATCATGACAACATAAGATATCAAGATTTGGGGTGGCTTCTTGCAATCACTAGAAAGTAAGTGTTACTCTATTTGATAGACAAAGTGAACAAATCTTCTCAAAAGCCTCTCCTTTCTGTCTTGCAATCACCAAAAAAGTAAAGTATTACTCCATTTGATAAACAAATCTCCTCAAAAGCCTATCCTTTCTTCCCAACATCTCAAGCTACCAAGTAAATGAATTAATAGTTTTGCTAAACCTTCTTTGCTTTATGCTAACTGGATATGTCCGTTGGTTGTGTTTTGCGTTAAACGAGAAATGTGAAATGTTACATGTAATTGTAAGAGAGAATAAACTAACCTGTAAATGAATATAAAGTAAAAAAAAATGTTGACCTAGCTCTCATTTGATGAATATGAACATCTAAGCAACTAAATAACAATTGAGAAAACAAACTTTGCAAAACGGTGAAGCAGACAATAAAAAATGGGCTCGTTGGCCAGTGAATAGGTACTCATTGGAGAACAACAAACACATTTTGAAAATCATTAATGTGGTTCTCTTGTTTTTCAATGAGTACTACTATAAGCGTGTACTAAAAATGTTAAAATACAATAACTATTCCCCTAGTATATTTATTATTATTATTATTATTAATACAGATAAGCCAGGAACATCTCGACGCACGCACTGCTTGAGCGATTGCGGAGCGATACCAAAATTGGGGTTGACATGTTTGAGCCTTTGGGCCCTCCACTAAGATCCCCTTTTGGTGCCTCCGGGAACACTACAACTGGGCTCGAGATTGGTCGAACACGAGACCTCACACTTCTCAATCGAGAGTCTCTCGAGAGTTTTACCCGTTCGGGTTCCCATGGTCCAGGTGGTTAGGTTCTGGAGGATGCCTCAAGGACTCTGCTTGGGGTGGATGCCTCTTTGTATCCGGATGTGCAAGACCCTTTCTTGGTGGAGCTTCTATCCTTGAGGGATGGGATCCGGTGTGCGCTTAAGATGGGTGAGCAGGATGTCGTCTTCGCTGGTGATGCTCAGGTGGTGCTAGACAAGGTGAATGAGGACTTGTGCTTGGATGCTCGTGGTGGCCCGATCTTGAGCGAGATCAAGGTGTTGAGCCAATGTTTTCTCCGGTCTAGTGTTTGTTTTGTTGGTCGTGCTCGTAATAGGGTGATCCATATGGTGGTCAGAAAAGCCATTTCTTTGTTCCCTAGTTTGATAGGGTTCGATTTTCATTCATGGCTCTGGTCGGCCAGCTGACTCTAGTGTATCTTAATTATCTCGTTTAATATGGAGTATCTTTGGAGAGAGAAAAAAGACTTGCCTATTCTCCCACTATATTTTTTTGTCATAGATAGTTTGTTACATTGCATTGGAAATATAAAGGCGGTAGTCAACCAACTGGGTCGCTACCGATGCAAGGGTCGTTTGTGCCACGCGATGGGTAGCTCTGTTAGTACTACGAGGATAAAAAAAATGAAACAAATGCAAAAGAGGTCTTCAGTGCGCGCACTTCTTCGAGTACAGCCCCACCTCGATCATGGTTGACATCATCGTCTATTGCTCGACGTATGACCAATTGTGAATCCCCACAAAAGCAAACAGAAGAATAACCACGGTGTAAGCTCCATATCATTGCATCCCGTAAGGCTAATAGTTCAAGCAGAAACGGGTCCGAGATTCCATCGTAAAATTTACCGTATGCACAAACTACCGATCGGTCTCCAGTGAAACCGACAAACCCAATGCCACCTCTTACGCCCTTCCTTGTTGCCCCATCAAATCGAATAAGGAGACTACCTGGTGGGCAAGTAGGAGTTGGAGGCGGACGTCGAGGAACTCTCGCAGGTGAAGGTTGAGTCCCCGGAGCTGCAGTAGCTTCTCGCCATTCATCAACCTGGTTTGTAAATTTCCGGAACAATGTCCCAGGCAGATACTGTATGTTTTCATACATGGTCCAGCATTTCCCTTTCCAGACCCTCCAAACAAGAAATACCACTTCTGCCATGTCGATTTTGGATAACTGCATAGAGAAAAACATATTGTGCCAAGCTAGGTCGTTATCGACAGCAACAATGGCTGAGTGGATGTGGTCTTTTCCGGCTAGCGTCCATATCTCTCGAGCGATCTTGCAAACAAAGAAACTATGAGAAATGGTTTCTACAACTGCCGAGCACACAAGACAAGTGTTGGTGTCACTTAAAGACTTCCCTTGTAATATCGCACGCATTGGAAGAAAGCCACGAGCAACACGCCACAAGAACACTTTAAGTTTAGGGGGAATGGGTAAATTCCACAAAGTTTTCCAGAATTGAGAGTTTAAGAATGGTGGAAGAGGATCAAACTCGAGGTGACGCTCGGAGGAGAGCAGCTGATAACCGGACTTGATCGTGTAATGCCAGTAGCCGAGTAGTGTCAAATTAGTTTGTCAGGCCGAGGAGAAGAAGGCAAAGGAATGGAGAGGATCCACTGGACACTATCTGCTGTGAAGGAGGCGCGAAGCAGCTCCCCATTCCAAGTTCGAGTGATTGGATGGATAAGGGAGGCGATGAAATGATTCTCCAAAACCGCCCCAGGTAACAACGAAGGTACAAACGGGGGAGAAGATGGCAACCACGGGTCTTCAAGGATGCGGATTGTTGTTCCACACCCACCTGCCACCGCAAACCCTGCTTTAGTAATCCTCGACCTTCTAATACTCCTTGTCGGGCCCACGAGGGGCGAGAGCCAGCTGACGCGTTGAGGAAGTCACATGAAGGGTGGTAACGAGCCTTGTAGACACGTGCAAGGAGAAAGTCTAGAGCTAGCACGATCTTCCCAACTTGCTTTGCAAGCATGACCACATTAAATAGATCAAAATCGCGGAAACCCAACCCTCCATGGAATTTGCTTACACACATCGCTGGCCAGGAGATCCAGTGCATTCCCCTGTCTTTATCCTGTCCGGCCCACCAATACCGACTCAATTGACTATTCAAGCGGCGACAAGAGGTTGTTGGGATTCGGAAAGAGAACATGACATACACCGGAGTTGTTGATCCCACAACATTGATGATAACCTCTTTAGCAGCTAATGAAAGTGCTTTCGAACGCCAACTTTGAATACGAGCAACAAGGTTATCTTCCACAAACTGGAAGGTTTGAACCTTTGAACGCTGAATCTGAGCAGGTAAGCCCATGTATTTCTCTATGGAACTGATGGAAGCAACCCCAAGTAACTCTTGCCATGGCCACTCACTCTTGTTCGGACATGTTCGAGCTGAAGCAAACCGAAGACTTCTGCAAGTTTATACGTTGTCCGCTCGCCTATTCATACAAGTGCAGCAAGTGAAGAAGATTGTGGCATTCAGTTGATGTTGCACGCAAGAACAAGTATGTATCGTCGGCAAAGAAAAGATGCGAAAGGGTCGGAGCTAGTCGGTGGATCTTCAATCCGTGAAGTTGCTGGGAGCCCAGAGCGTTGCGGAGGAGGGTTAAGAAGGCCTCGGTATAGACAACAAACAATAGCGGCGAGAGTGGATCTCCTAGCCGAAGACCACGTTGAGGGCGAAAGTAACCATGTTCGTTTCCATTGAGGAGGACCGTGAAAGAGACTATTGTGACGTAGACCTTTATCTATTTCATCCATTGATCGTTAAATCTCAGAGCTTCCATGACTGCAAAGAGGAAATCCCATTCAACCCGTTCGTATGCTTTTCCATATCGAGTTTTAAGGCCATCCACCTATCCCGACCTTGTGATTTTGTTTTCAAGAATTGCATCACCTCCTGGGCTATAAGAATGTTGTCAGATATATCTCGGCCCTTGATGAAGCTATTCTGAGTATTAGAGATCACAGAGGGAAGAACAACAACAAGACGTGAGGTAAGAACCTTGGAGAGGATCTTGTAGAAAACCTGGAAGAGGTTAATCAGACGCATCTGTCACATAAGTTCTGCATTCGGAACCTTCGGAATCAGAGTGATGTTAGAGTGGTTGAAATTCTGCAGCAATATTCCTGTTCTGAAAAAGGATAAGGCTTCCCTGCATACCAAGTCTTCAATGACGTCCCAATAAGTCTGGAAGAAAGCCCCAGTCAGGCCATCGGAACCCGGTGCCTGCCCGGTCCTATACTGAATGCGGCCGCTCTGATCTCTTCCCGAGTTATAGTAGCCTAGAGAAAAGCATTATGTCCAGCAGTGATCTTCGGCTGGATGCCCAGCGCATGCATAAGGAAGCTTGGGGAATTCCCATTTGAAAGAAAAAGAGTGTGGAAGAAACCCACAAAGATAGTCCCTTTTGCAGGCACATCAAAATGAGGGCTCCCAGAGTCATCTCGAAGTACCTCTACTAAGTTGTGCCGCCGGTGCTGAGTAGTGGTGATATGGAAGTACTTGGAGTTAGCATCCCCCTTTTGCAACCAGTTTGTTCGAGACTTTTGTTTCCAATAAGCTTCCTCCTGAAGATAGGCAACTGAAAGCTGAGATTCCAAGCTTTTAATGGTGTCCCAATCCGTCGGCAGTTTGTCGCGTTCAAATTGAATGGCTTCCCGCATCTCTCTGATTTGCCGAGCTGAATTCGTAGTGCCAAGCCTCGCTCAGTGAACAAGTTGATGGCGTACCTCTTTGAAAAGGGAGAACATTTGAAATTGGAGAGTCTCTGTGGCACTCGACCGCCAAACACGAGCTACAATCGCCCTGGCATCATTGTTAGTGCACCAACGACGATCATAATGAAATCTTGGTTTGCCCTTTCCTGATGTTGGAATCAGTTGGAGCAGCAAGATCTGGTGATCCGACCCTAGATCGGTCAAGTGAGTGACCTGCATATTAGGCCACAGATTCAAGAGATTAGTAGAAACCAAACCCCTATCTAGTCTCTCTAAAATATGAGTAGCCACTCATTGACGGTTAGACCAAGTGAATGGTGGACCCTTAAATCCCAAGTCTAGCAAGCCTGCCGAGTCAATGAAGTCACGGAGCACAAGGAAGGAGTTCTGCCACCAATTTTCTCTGATGCTTGGAGCAGGCAATTAAATTCACCTACAACAATCTTAGGCATGGTGTAAGACGAACACAAATGCAATAGTTCATTAAATTGAGAAAGACGAATATTTGCATCACAATGCAAGTGAACAAATATGACTCCCAAGGTGCCCCAAACTACATGCTGACATTCCACAAACATGAAGAATCCAACTTCATCTAAGACTCGACAATTAACAGAAGACGAACACACAAGAGCTAAGCCTCCTGTTCTACCAACAGGGGAGACACAATGGATAAAATGATACCCTAAACGCCTAAGCTTCTTATGTACAAAGTCATCTTCGTGCTTAGTTTCACTGAGAAAGACAATCGACGGAGAAAAGCGACAAATGGCCCCAAACAATGAAGGAATTGTCAGGGGAGACCCCAAGCCCTGACAATTCCATACCACCATGCTCATCGCGGTTGCTGGGACCAGTTTGGGCTGGTTGTCTCCACCGCAGATTCATCCACTTTGACACCAGAGGTATCCATCGAGTCGACAAGAGCTTTCTTGGACGCTAAAGACATCTTTATCGCACCATCAAGCAGTGATGTATCACGAACCAATGAGGCAGGCTGCTGAATGGCAAGGCCGCCCCCTGCGGAGTCACCATTGGAACGGTCGACGACGTTCTAGCAGTTAGGAGCAGGTGGCCAGCCTCGATAACAGGAGCAAAAGAAGGATTGGCCTGAGGCATTGCTGACAAGAGACCACGACTGGTATGGCCACCGTGCTTCTCGTCCCCTTCCTTAACCTGACGCACCCAAGTGTATTGTTTCCGACTAAGCAGAGTACGTTCATTCACCTTTGGGCCAGATCTCTTCGACACAAGTTCCTTACTGTACGGGGTCACCATCCCAACAAGTTCTTCTCGCCGAGGACATTGTTGACCAATGTGGCCTAGGATCCCATACAGGTAACAAAATTGAGAGAGTCTTTTGTATTTGATAGTCGCTGTGAAGCCACCTTTGCCGACCTTCTCGTGAGAGGTAGAGACTGACACCGGGAGCGGATAACGAGCATCAATCCAGACCTTGGAGTGGATATAGAGTTCCCCTGAAACCACCTCCTTGTGAACCGCAGCCGGGTCACTCTTACCTAGGGCTAGGCCTAGCAATGTCCCCACCTTGCGAGTACAGCAGAGCGGATGAATATCCCATAATTGGAGTTGAAGATGGACTCGCCACAATTGTTCAGCCACTTCAGGGGTAACCGTCACCCAAGGAACCATATTGACAAGGAACTTAGGAAGGAACCACGGCGCCTCCCTCAGAATCCCGTTCATATCAGCTTCCGTCGGGAAGACGAACTGCAACAGCCCTTTCGGAGCCGGAAGAATGGAAATCGCGCCGAAACATTTCCAAAGGCGTCCAAGAGTAGTCTGGAGATTACGAAGGGGATGAGCGGGCCCAATAACCCTCCCTATGAGGGAGAGATCACTGCGCTCAACCCCAGCAACGAGATCATCATCGCCAAAGACCACTGGAATCACCGCAACCATAATAAGCGACAACAGATTAGGGTTTGGCGATTGTGCAAAGTGGATAGAGAACGAGTAAAGGAGAACCCAAATTGGCGAATAGCATCGCATAGCCCACCGAGGTGGTTTTGAAGCCCCATCATGGCCACGGTCCGTTTCCGGCGGGCCACGTTGGCGGAGTGGCCGTTATCGGCAAGTCGCACGGCGGCGAATAGCACGCTCCCATTCTCCCACTATATTTAGATTTTAGGTAATTGTAAAAAAAAAAGCCTTGTACTACCATTTTTCTTGATATTTCGTTCAATTGCGTTTTTTATTTATTTATTAATAAAAATGCAGAAACCTTGATGGGCCTGTATTTCATCACGAACTGCCTGATCCTTGACTTCGGAGGAATGGGCCCAACAAGAAAGCCTACGGAACCGACTAAGTCCGGCTTTCCTTCTTTCCCTCGGAATTATTAATCTATAAAAATTAAAAACTAAAAAAACATTACGCGACAGCTTCTTCAATCCTCTTCTCTTGTTCGCTACCCTGTTTCCCGTTTCTGTCGATCCCCCCTGATTCGGACGCGAGAGAACTCTCCGTCATAATTCGCCGGCGACTCTTCCCGAAACCCTAGTCGTCTTACAGGTATGCTTCTGGGTCATTCAATTTTGCGCTTTCTGAATCGCTTTCTGTTTGCTTGGTCAGCGAAAAAGGAGCCTCTGATTTTCACCGTCTCGGAAAGTTTTCGTTGATGCTAGCGAACCAGAAATCGAGCGTCTTTATGAATATTTCTTCATTAGGGCAACCAGATATGGCATGTGAATTAGAGATTTTGAAACTTCTGGTTTCGTTCTATAGCTTCCATTATCGAGAAGCTCAATTTTTTGAATTAGGGTTCTCCTGTTCATTGTGTGGAAAGTTGTACCGGTAGCGATACCACTGGAATTCACTGTTGTGGGTTTTAGCGTGTCCTTTATTTTGTTGCTGGTGCTGTGCTTTTTGGATTATTCCCTTCATGCTGTGGAAATTGATTTCTGAATCTTGTTTTTGGTGTCTGTCGAGTATAGTCAGGGAGCGATGACTACTGCAGCTCGACCAACATGGGCTCCTGCCAAAGGTGGTAATGAACAAGGTGGTACGCGAATTTTTGGTGCGTCTCAGAAGTACTCATCAAGGGACCTTGCTGCTCATACCAATCTCAAGCCGAGGTATGCCTTCTTTCTCTTCTCACGCTTCTTGTTTTCCCATTGATCATCTCTCTTTTATGATTGCTATCTTAGTGGAGAATTTTGGGTTCATGGTTTAGTTGAGGAAACTTCATCTGCAATATTAGTTGAGCTCCACTAGTGACTCTTCTAGGTTTTGTAAGACTTCTTCAGTTGGTAGGTATGTTGAGATAGTTTGAACCTAGGCTAGGTTGGATATTTTTTTTCTTTCGCCGTTAGTGCTATAGTGATCCCTTGGGTTTAATTGATGTAGTATCCTTATTATATTTCTGATCGTGGAGCCATACTACCTCTACAACCTGACTTTATCATCTTAGCGATGTTCCTCAGGCTCCATTGTACACTTTAGTTTCTGATTAGTCATGCATGTGAACTGCGACGTGTCTGGACAATCTGGTGTTGTAGTCCTCGAGGGACCATCTTGTTCATTCCTGATATCTCTTTGTATATGCCAGGAGGGAAGGTCAAGACACTCAGGTTGAACTGCAGAAAAGGAACCTCCGTGCGGAGCTTGAAGAACGTGAAAGGAAACATTTCTCATCAAAGGACAAGTCATACAGTGGTAAGTTATTATTGGACACCAGAGTGTTGTTATTTGTTAGTATGGTATATCATTAGGATATTACATCATTAACTGTTCTTAATCCTGTGTCCGGCTTTCACTCATTTCACTGATATTCTTCATTCATTGTATAGATGACAGAGACCGTAGAAGAGGAAGTCAGCTCCTTTTGGAAGGTTTGTCTGAAAGCTGCCTTCTTTGTGCAACTATTAGCTTAATGATATCTACAATCTTTGTTCTAACTCTACCTGGTATTCACAGGTTCAAAAAGAGATGTAGACGACCGCATTATTCCTCGTAGAGAAGATGCTGATGATTCGGATGTCGAAGCAAACAACAAGAGGTTAATATTCTTGAGATGCATATTATTGATGCGTTTAACTATCTGTTTCTGTGTGTTCCACGGTTCATTACTTATTCACAAAGTCCACCAGAAATTTATTGTGTTATAACAAGGGTTTTTCTTTCTACAGTGATGATAGTGATGACGACGATGATGAAGAGGATACCCAAGCTCTGATGGCTGAGCTTGAGAGGATAAAGAGAGAAAGAGCAGAAGAAAAGTTCCGACAGGTACACCTGACTTCTGGATATGGATGTTGCTGAAAGTTCCTTGCTTTGCATTCTTTTTTAATCTTCGGAACACCAATGTCTTGTTTCCAGTCTTCAGTTTTGCGAATTGATTATGTACCTGAAGCAGACAAGTTCATCTGGCTGAAACTGAATTGTGCATAATTTGTTTTTCAGGAGCAAGCACTTGCAGCTGAAGAGCTGAAAGCCAAAGAGGAACAGCTTCTCCGTGGAAACCCGTTGCTTAACAGTAATAACCCAACATCCTTTACTGTGAAAAGGAGGTCAGTAACAACTAACCAATTGAATTTCAGCTTTCTTAATCTCTCTGTTTGTGATTCATTTGTTCCTTCGTATTACCATTCTGATCGTCGCTTTTTTGTGCATTGGTTGACAGGTGGGATGACGACGTCGTTTTCAAGAACCAGACCAGAGGTGAAACCAAGGCGCCCAAACGTTTCATCAATGACACCATCAGGAATGATTTCCACCGCAAGTTCTTGCACAAGTACATGAAATAGTTTTGGTGGTAGCAGCAGCAACAACCACAATGCTCAATATCGTTCGAGGGCGTAACCTCCCTCGAATGATGGCTCTGTCGTTTTATCCTTTTCATGTACCCATGTGGCTGTCTCGTTAAGCAATCAACTCTGCTCCTTTCACTCAGACATTTGCGACGGCGAACCCTTTACTTTCCAGTTGTTCTTTGTCAACCTTGTAACTGGCTAATGATTGTATTTATGTGAATGATGCTGTCAAATATGTTCCTTTCTCACAGTGAATGTGTAATATTCCCAGAAATTTTGAGTTGTACGCTTACAAAAATGCAATTCCTTCCCAAACGACAACATAAATACAGAGTTGCAACTTACACGAAACATATACAAATGGCAGTAGCCAACCCAAAACCCAACCAAGCTTCTTCTGACATACATTAGCAACAACAGACACTGTGATTTTGTACACTGAGCCAGAGAAAAGGAAACCAAAGACCAACAAGAGAAATTGAACAAGAGGTGCCCCAAGAAAAAGATTCTACTACGATCCTACCATTATACACTTCAACTTCACAACACAAGACTAAAGAGCAAGAACACCTAGTTTTTTTTTTGCTTTCTATTTTTGACTTGCTTAATCGCCATTGCTCTTCTTCGGCTCTTCTAACACGAATTCCACATACAAATCCTTGAGACCGATCACAACTGTCGTTATCAACGGACCCATGATTGCTCCCTGCACACACAATAAACCAGCATAACCATCAGCAACCATGCAGCGGCCGAATGTATTATCATGGTGGATTTGCGACTAACTAAAGATGAGAGATTGCCATTTTCATCAGGAATTCTTCAATACAACAATTACCTATATCATCTCTCGCCTGGTAGTGGGACAAGTTGAAAAAATGGGGAAATCAAAAGAGTGATAAATCTTACCTCCACTGCAGATGGAAACAATGTCATTCCACCAAGGATGCTGAGCCCAGTTAGATACTGATTGTGACCTGGTATGTCCTCCTGAATTTCAGATGCACCATAGTCCATAAGCAGAAGGTGAATCACGGACAAGCTGATCGCCAGAACATATCTGCCTTCCAGCACCAGCTGCACAGCAGCTGGAATCGTTGAAAACCATGTTGGAAATATTGGCAGCAGAGGACTGATGATTGCAAGAACGGTAGACACATACAGGAAGTGGATTTTATACAGCCTGAACAAGAGCCATGTTAAACATCCTTGAAAGAATGTAATCTCAGCTGTGGCCAGAAGAACACCCGAAATGGCCTTGTCAAGGACCTCGACACATCTAGTCCTCACTGATTTCCTCATTGGCAGCATGCACATTACGTGCTCAGTTACCCCACCAGACTCCGATGTGATGAGGTAATACAGAACCCAGAAGAAAACCATCGACATCGAGACAAAATTGAAAACCTCAGCTGCTCCAGAGATGATCGAGCTCCCAACCGACAGCATCATCTTAGCTCCTCCACCTAGCAACGAAGCGCTGCTGGCAAAAACACGTTGAGAGACATCCATCCCTCGGAGGGCAAACCCTTTCGCCTTCTCGACTATATCCTCACGGCTAATGATCAGTTCCTTGAAGATTGAATCCAGTTCACTGTAAATTTCTCCCCATTGGCGGTCTGTAACTTTCCTTCTTAAGCTCATGAGCTTCTCAGTGTAAGGAGGTGGGCTCATCATAAGAGCTGATTGCTCTAAAGAAGAATTGGTTGGAGGAGTGATGATGAAATGCTTGATCCCTGTAACCAATTCAGTGACATTATACTGCATTGCAAGACTATCTATTTGGTCAGAAACCGTCTCATAGAATGTGGTTGTGTACCTATCCACCATTCCAGGGACATCATTCTCATCCATCCACTTCCTTACACCAAACTTCTCCGCATAATTGCTCTCTTCCACATGAGATTTTAAGGAAATCACAGCATCTTTCCCTTCAACACCAATCTGGTATGAGAAGAATATCAACCCAACTAAGAACCCAACAATCATGCCAATAATCAGGCCAATTGCAACAATTGTCTTGAGTTTCTTCAATATCCCTCTAGTGAAGAATGCACTAATGGGACTGCGCTTAAAGCTGTTGCTCCTAAAAGAAGACACAGCAGAGAATGTCGAATCTACAGTCCTTGTACTGAACAAGATACCTAACCCTAGAATGGAAAGCGCCCCCATAGCACCAATGTTCTCATAAACAATTACAAAGACACCAAACGAGACCAACCACCTCACTAGCTTGGAAAACCCACTTCGATTCCTCTTAATTCGATCACTTTTAGGCTTTCTCTGCAAAACCCTAAGGCAAAGCTCCTTAATTTCCACGAGAGTACCGACAAAAACCTGGAAAACAGCTATGGGGATGGCGAGGACTGTCTCAGTGAGCCCTAACTTGAGAGGCTCCTCCCAAAATGAAACGAGGGCCTGCTGAATGCCCCTCAAGGGTATGGAGCACAAAATTGCCCACTGAATTGGACGCAGGTACTCCTGCAGGAGCTTGCCGACGAAATAGAGGACGAAGATTGTGAAGGCGAGGCCGGCGTGTGCCATGGCTATGCAGAGCGCGAGTCGTACCTGGGGATCCCCCAAAAAGGAGGCATCTTTATTAGTTGGGTCGCCGGAATTTAACGACCCAGATGGTTTCGGCGGCTTGCCGGAGGGCGCCGTGGTGGGTTTGCGGAATGAGGCCGATTTGAACATGTCCTGCCACGGCAGAGTTGAAGAAGCAGAAGACTCCGGCGGCTTGGAATCTGGGTCGGCGTAAGGAACCAACTCCATTGCCGGGGAAAAGGGAAATGGTTACTTGCAGTGATTTCAGCAGAAAATTGAAGAAGAAATGAAGTGTCTGCGGATAACCAAAGGAGGGCGGGCGAATTCGGATATTCTCTGCGTGGGAAGCAGAGGAGTTTCTCTTTTCTGAAGGAGGGAAGGACCGAAGAGACGGACAATAATGATGAGTGTGAGGGACCAGGCAGCCAATCAGAGGAAGCCAGAAGGGATTTTCTACAGAGAGGAGTTTGGATTCTTTATGAAAAGGAAATATTGTCGGCTGTTTGGCGGGGAAATATCTCAGACGTGGACAGAGTGGAAAAAACAGAGGAACGCGGAAAGAAAAACAGAGGAAAGAGAGAGAAAAGGAGTTATTCTTCCACCACCACCGCATGAAATGGATTGGAAGGAATTTGCCATTTGCCAGATGATGGTGTAAGGCTGCAGGCAGGAGATTGATAGCCGTCCTGTCTCCCTTTAGTAATTGATTATGCTTTGTTCGTTGTCGCTGAGCTGGTGCATTTTTTTTCAGTTCTCCCAATTTCGGGCATTAATGGTGGAACACAAGAAGAGCAGAGGGTGGAGAGAATTGAATGAAAAGACAGCTGACTCAGGAACTTTTATTGTGGAAACCCAGAATTGTAGCACACACTTCAGCCCAGGCTTCCTCACAGAGTCGGCCCACTTCCAAACGAGAGGTGGAGAGCCCATTCAACTTCGTCACCACCTCCAAGCGGACCGTCCAGATGATAATGAGCAAATTGAAGCATCAAAGAGAGCCCATTCTATCCGAATAGGGATGATGAACCCGCCTCGCTGAGTGTTACTCGATCTGACCCGTGATGGGGCGGGAATTACCCGACCAGCAGTAGCGTGGGTCGGAGCATGTGATATCTACTTCTGATTCGCTTTGTCCGGCCTCTCCTCGTTCGTGGCTCGTTCTACTATCTCGATTTCTATCAGTATCTATTCATATTTCTCATATATCGTGACTTTTCTTCAATTAGTTAAACTTGATCCTTCAACTAGTTAAACTCAATTACCCATTTTATTATCACTAATATTTTTCATTCATAAAGTGTTTTTTTCCCTTCGTTTGAACATTAAAGGTAAAATATTGTTTGTATTGTTGATGTGACTTGAATCGGACTATCAGCCGCTACGCCACGGTATATGGGCTCAATGTTATTTGGGTTTGGGTTCTGGACCTGGTCTGTAACCGTTTCCTTTGCCAAATTGGATTAGGTTTAGACTCACATGGAGAAGTACTATAAATACTTCTCATACTCCTCTGTAATTTGTAATCTCCTCGATATAGTGAAACTGACTCTCTCTCGTTCGTGGACGTAGCTAACACACATCGTGTTAGTGAACCACGTAAATCGTGTGTCTGTGTTTTTTCGATTCTCGCTTTCGTATTCTTGCTTTATCGTTTGCGGCGATTGCCCGATCTGTAGCAGCGCGTTTATAACATGTATTTTTTCAAATGACATATAAGAGTCGATTAACCCACCCGCCTCGTACCCACACGGGTATTATCCGCCCCGATCTGCAATAGCATGGAGCATGCAAGACATAAATATTGAGGTACCCACCCCACCCCTGCCCATTGCCATCACTATATCCGAACTTCGATTTGATAAAAGTTGTGCTCATAATTCACCCATTTCACAACCATGCATTCATAACAAGTCCATGAATTCCAACAATGCATCTTCCGAACCAACAACACAAAATTCCATCTGTCCCGTGTGTTCCAACAACTGAGAGAATAACCAGCAACTACTACAACAACCTGGTTTTTCTTCAAACGAGAAATCAGTTAATGCTGTCCTTGTCTAGGTCATGGGTCCCTTTTAGCCTGGTGGTTAAGGCCTAAGGGCAACGTGATGAAGTAGGGACAGAACAGAACAGAACAGAACAGAACAGGGGAGAGGCAGAGACAAAAAAGGAGCAAGAGTCCTGTTCACCATTAAAAGCCATCTCAGTCGGCAGCAGTCAGGTCAATTGTTGTCTTGTGTTCATTTGGGGGAGGTTGCTTTGCTAGAACTGGCAGCAAGCTTCTGAACCGTGTGCTCTAAGGCAAGTGGGCTAAACCGTGAAAATGGTATCGCACACCCTACCTGCTGGTAGTTCATTTGGATCATATATACCACTCTGCTACCCTCATCCCAATTTAGGGTAGTTGAATCGGTCTGGGTTTAAGTATCGCGTGATTACTCTTTTTTTCAGACTTTCGATCGAGATAAGAACAATGAATATAGCACAATCGCTCATTTGTTCTCGTGTATTACGTTGGCACTGCAACACTCCGACGACGATGACAAAATTGCCACAAACAATTATAATGGATGCTTAATAAATTGGGACATTTGTTTTCCACCTACTCTACAAATTGGATGGATTGAGACTTTGAGAATTTGCCCTCTTTTCAGTCCTTTTTTCTCCTTAATGAGGCTTGATTGTCCTCTTCTTTCTACTGGATTTGCCTTTTTTTCCATGGTGATGGAAGGATGGATGGAGGTTCAGCAATGGAGTAAATTAAGACAAGTTGACATTTTCTTCTTTCTTAGGAAAGCCAAGAGAACAGAGGTTTCCAGTGTACTAAGCAAACTTTGATTTGGTGTTCCCCAAACTACTGTATTAATTTTCCATACAGAGTTAGTTCTCTTTTTCATTGATTTATGTCACAAGTAGAATAATGTTAGAAACATGCTCTTATTATTATTATTGTAGTAATTATTATTAGGCTTTTTTAGATGTACGGCCGGTTGTGGCAGGTTGTTCTGTTATTTTCTTCTTAATTCTGAAAGAAAGACGGATAGAAACATGGTCTTATTATAATTGTGTCTTGTTCAATTACGGGCCGATTGTGACCGCCGAACACTTCTTTTCATTCTCCCCCAAATCTTCGTTCAAATCTCTCTAAATTATATCCTTGATCCTCGCTGATTCTCCTCTTGAACCCCTAAATCTATCTCCAATTCCTGTGTTTCTTACAAATTATAAGGTCCAAACCCCATATGCTCCTACAAACTTGTCTAATAGTTATAAATTGAAGTAGCCTCAAACATATGTATTTATGCAAAAGAGATCTTTGATTTAACCCTTGATTTTCAACTTAAGAATCTCAAATTTGAATCTAGATTGGACTTCCCCTTTTCCCATAGACCCAAAATGGTTGGATGGAAGAGCCGTTAGTAAACAAAGAAATGAATGCATGGGCAGGCGGGCTTCTTAATTTGAAGGACACTCTTTCTTGGTTTAACAAATGGCACCCCAAAATAATAATTTATAAACAAAGGCAATTGATAATTAAATAAGTAATCATGTTCCTTAACTTCTCCGTCCTATAATAACTCAAATCAATTGAACAAGACACAACCGACACATTTTCCTTTTTTTGTATTTTACAGACTCCACCAATGGGAAGTCGACTTTCGGGTCAATATCAGCTTAGGGTTTGATTAAGAATATGCAATTGAGTCGTTTATGGAAAACATATATATTTCTATTAAGTCTCATGAGATCTCAAACTCTTGTAAATTAGTACGCATTTCATTCTCCATTTTTCATATATATAGACTCATTATTAAGCTCTACATGCATGCATTTATCGTTGTATTATTCATTGAACAACTACTAGAAAGTTCACTCTTTGATTCGTTTCGTTCAACAACTGCAATACAAGTAAAGGATCTAATCGTGGTGGACTGAAATGAGATTCGAACGATAGATTCATTCATTAAGGAACCATTTACAACAAATTTAGCAATCCAATCAGCTTGATTGTTGAAATGTCTCTTTATTATGTAATAACAAGTAGCTCTCCGCTCTTTAAGTTTAAAATTATGTTTCAATAGTGGTACAAGTTTAAAATTGTGTGTCTCAGTGGCAGAGCTGGCTTGTAAGATGGTGGGTCGCGGGGCACACATTGGTTTGGGATTAGAACAAAAAGAAAAAAATATTTGTAGTATTTTGTACACGATTCATAATACTCAAAATCAACACCTTATGTTCACTAATTTTACTTGTCTGCCAATAGATCGGTGAGAACTTTGAGGCACACATTCACCTTGCATATTATGTAATTGAATCTAGATTTTACATTAAAAAAAATCGTATCTCTAATTGTTTATTCTGAGTTTACTAATTCATAATTTAATGTCGAGTTCTCCATCTTCAAACAAAAATCAATCGACAAACTATGAAAACACGTCGTGAATAATTTATATATTAACAAAAAAAATCTTCTTTTTTTTTTTTTGCGCATCAACCCCACCTTAAACGAAATGCTCACTACTCCAGTTATGTGTATACTCATAGATTTTAACACCTAATCCACTCCCTTGCCCATAAAATAATCAAGTTATTATAAATGTATAAAATACAACATTGCCCGCTACAAAATGTGTTACTTATGATTGAGATGTATTATGTACTCTATCATAATTGCCACACCAAAATTGATTTATTTAATTATAAATCCTTTCCCTTTCGTCGACATAAATTTCTGAAAGGTTAGTTCTTCTTCCCCTTCCCCGCTAGAGAAAAGCAACAATGAAAAAACAGAAATAGCGAGAGACGAGAAAGATAGACGCAGGATTCTCCTTCTCCACAATCCACATATCTCTCTTCTCTCTTCCTTCTTCCTGTGTTCATCACCGCCGGATATTCACCGTTCCCATTCATCTTCTCCATTTCTTCTGCTCTCGTTATCTTCACATTCTTCTTCACATTTCCTTTGAATCTCATTGCGGCATTGTTCTTCGCCTGATTTGAAACTACATTTCTCACCACCGACGAATCAATCCCCATATCCATTTTTCTTCTTCTCTTCCTTTGGATGATGGTAGGTTCGAATTTGATTCCTCCTGTTTAAACATTGGCCGGAAACGAAAAACCGCAGAGCCGGAAACAGAGGAAAATCCAAAACAGAGCATCTGGCATTCCTCTGGCTTTGGGAAAAATCATCTCTTTCTAGTATTTTGTCTTGCCATTTTATCTATTTAGAGCTGCATTTATACAATAATGGCGGTAATGGAATCGCTGCTGGGAAATGAAGCAAGGAGATTCATCAAGAGGAAAGATAGTGATGCAGGCGAAACAGGTTTTCTTTTCCTCTCCTCTTCCTTCCTCTGTTTTCCTTCACATTCGTAACACAATAGGTTCGCAGTCGCCAGTCGGGTTTTGATTTTACTCTGCAAATTTCGTTCCTTTTGGTTCTGCATTTTTTGTGGGTTTTCTTTGTTTCGCAAGTTTTCTTCCTCGGTAGAAACAAGTAAGATTTTTTGAAGAAACAATCTAGCAGTTACACTTTTCTTCATGTACTCTGTCTCCCATTGATCTCTAGGTGCTTTGTTATGATTGCCAAACCAGCTATGGAACCGATTAGTGGCGGTTTTGGATCATAATTAACCACTTTCTTTTTCACCGAATTTAGTACCATACTCTGTCTGTTTTTTCAACCAGGCCGAGCACTAGAAGAACTGAGAGGCACGCTGTACAACGATCTTCGAACCTCGGAAGGAGCGAAGCGCCAGCAGCAGAGGTTCTGCGGGCCGGTAGTAGCCATGACATTCAATTTCGTGGTCTCCATAGGAATAATCATGACCAACAAAGTGGTAATGGGGAAAGTAGGTTTCAATTACCCAATCCTCCTCACATTGATCCACTACGCAGTGGCATGGCTGCTGCTTGCGATATTCAAGACACTGGCTTTGCTCCCGGTATCGCCTCCTTCCAAGTCCACTCCTTACACTTCCATCTTCTCCCTGGGCGTCGTCATGTCGTTCGCGTCTGGTCTCGCCAATGCCAGCCTCAATCACAACAGCATTGGGTTCTATCAGATGGCGAAAATCGCAGTCACGCCCACCATTGTTTTTGCAGAGTTCATTCTCTTCAACAAAACCATCTCTCACAACAAGGTAGTGGCGCTTGGTGTGGTGTCAGCAGGTGTGGCACTTGCTCAAGTGACAGATTTGCAGTTCAACTTCTTCGGAGCTTGCATAGCCGTCGCCTGGATAATTCCAAGTGCGATTAACAAGATTCTGTGGTCGAATCTGCAGCAGCAAGCCAACTGGACCGCCCTCGCGTAAGAACGAAACTACTGGATAGCATCACAAGAATTCAGAACCTTCACCCCACTCACTCATTTTCCCCTTCTTTGTTTCAGTCTGATGTGGAAGACAACACCGGTGACGGTGCTGTTTCTGCTAGCACTAATGCCATGGCTAGATCCACCAGGTGCTCTATTGTTCAAGTGGGATCTTCAAAACTCATCTGCTGTTCTCATATCAGCTCTCCTTGGCTTCCTCCTTCAATGGTCTGGTGCTTTGGCACTCGGGTGAGTCTCCAATAATACGAATTTGATACGCGACTTATAGCGCAAGGAATCATGTATTGATGTCATTGTTTGGTTACAGGGCAACATCCGCAACTTCTCACGTAGTCTTGGGACAGTTCAAGACGTGCATGATCTTGATAGGTGGGTATCTACTGTTTGATTCGGATCCCGGGTTCATCAGCATCTGTGGAGCTGTGGTAGCACTTGGAGGGATGTCGGTTTATACTTCGCTCAACTTGAAGGAGACCAAAAAAGAGAAGAGCTCCGGGAGTAGTAGTAACCCTCATCAGAAGCAGACGTTGCCACTGTCAAAGCCAAAGACACAGCTCGAACCCACTCCTGAGGAGACCTCTGAAGATATTTAGACCACTGCTCTATTGTCTTCCAATGCTGTCTGAAAATTTATCTTAGGCCAAGGTCATAGACAGAAGAGAGATAGTAGATAAGAGAAGTACCACAGTAGCCTGCCCTTCAGAATATGCGAGACACTTCATTGTTGGGAATTTTGTTCCGAGTGAAGAAAAAACCATGTACAGAATAATTCTCATATTTTTTCACAGTAGTTAACGCAAAGTTTTTCAAATCATGCTTATCTCTGCACTTGAAATCAAAATGGTTAAAACATTCTGCACTTATAAGCAAGCTAGAATTCAGATTTTGGCATCAAAATAGTATAGAACTTGAACGAAATAAGGATCCTCATTATTGACAGAATAAGTGGATCCTAGAATAAAGCAGAAATAAAGCTCCCATTCGCATTAATACGGCCGATTACAGTTGTATAATAGCTCTTTGTTCCTCAAAATTTCATATACAGGTGAGATATTCTGAAAAGGAAAATTTGGTTAATCCCACCTATCCTCAGCTTCTTAATAACTAACTCTTCTCTTTGGTAGGTATCTCAATGAAAGCAAAGACAAAAAAAACATCAGAATGATTCTCTCTACTACCCAGGAACAAAAAGCATACCCATAAGATGGGGGCAAATGAGAGAACTGGAAACTGAGCTGAATCACACCGTGGACCTACCATCTTCTCCGTTTTCACCTTACATTGGTCAGCAATTTATATCCCCCACCTGCGAAATCAACTTACCATTGTCTTCAGCCGGTTCTGTATTTACATTCATGGAGATTGCACCTAATAATGCCTCAAAGGAACTTTCTTGATCCACCACTGACTTCAGTAAGTAGAGCTCCAATTCATCTGTGCCAGCTGAGGCTGCTGCTGATAAGGTGCAGTTGGTGACGGTCCTACCGGCTCAGCTGCAGCAGAAATTGCATGAGACTGCTGCTGCAACAATGGGCTCGCTGTTGAAGAAGCAGCTATTGTCTGTAGAGGTGGATAAATTCCTGGAAAAGAGCCATGGGCAGCAGCAGCCTGGGGAGTAGCGAATGTAAGGTGGTGCTGTCCCTGTGGAGAGAGATGATACAAAGAATTCAGCTGTAGGCTGGACAAGTCTTGTCCTTGTGCAATCCAGGCTGAAACATCACTCTGTTGGCGCCAAGAAGAAAAATCGAAAGTCTGAGACTTTAGGCCATATAACTGAGGAAAATTGCATGAAGAGTTTTATAAGCTGAGTTGAGGAAACATAGAACAAACCGGTGGTCCTGTTGACAGAATACGGTTCTCCTTCAGCTGAGATGCTGATAGATCTTCATTGCTAGCAGAGGTACCAGATGTAACAGCTAGACCAGGATTGAATCCAATGGGGGAAGAGCCATATGAGCTGTAGAATTGAGGAAGTGCAATAGGCGTGGAATTTGCTGCACCAGTCCCTGGCTTGAATTGTGGGTTATGAGGGAACTTCACCCCTGGAGCAGTGGCTGCTGCTGCTGCTGCGGTTGTCAGATACGGGCTGCCAGGTGATGGCTGTTGTTGAGGCATCCCATTGTGGCTTAAGAATTGATGCATTGGGTGTAACATATAGGGGTTGAAATAAGGTGTATATGGGAGATAGCCAAGATGATATGGTGGCCTCAGCAGAATTGGTTGTGTAGAAGCAGCAGCTGCTGCTGCTGCTGCTGCTCGGTTTTGTCCTTGAGGAGATGGACTGTGACTGGGTGATACTGCAACATTTTCACCCTACAGGAGAAAAGGCTTAATTCAGGAAATAATGACAATTCATTGAACATGTCTATGAAAACTCTTTAGTTTCGGCTAAAGGAATGCAACACCATGTCCAGCCAAACAACTATTTCCCAGGCCAAGTCTTATGCAGTAATAAGGTCAAACTAAATATAAAATGAAACCACATAAGTTAGCAAACACAAGCCAAATCCCTGAAGCTACAAATGAACAATTCCAAAGAAAAAGCTTGCAGCTGAGCTAGATTGCCAGAAAAATAAAGCTACTAAGATGAGCACGCCAAAATTGGAAACAGTTTCAGTCGCCTGCTCTCTCTTATCACAAAGAACTTTGATTTGCAAATAAAATATTAACTATCTCAATTACCAAAGGATAATTTATTGCACTACAAGGAAGAATATCTGCATCATGACTTATAACTACGAAAAGATTGCAAAGAGAAGAATAGAAAATGAAAGGAGATAGGAGAAAAATTAAGTCTTACGGCAAAGGGTGAGACTCGAGGAGGATCCCTTGCTTGAGGCTCTTGTCCATCAAGTTGCCCATTGTGAACTCCTTTTGTAGGTGGTAAGACTCCAAGTCCATAGTTTGGGGTAAGTTGAACTGTGGGGCTTTGATGCCTTTCTGGAGTCTGCATTCTCTCTTGCTTTGGATCTGCTTCAGGTAATGCATTGCCTTGTGATGGTTGGACTTCTTTGAGGACATCTTGGTCAGACTCTGACTCACATTTATCTTGAAGATCAATGTGTACAGCAGCAGATAAATTCTGACCACTGCAAAGTAATTGGGAACACACCAAGTGATTTTATTTTAGATTACGCTTTTCCTCTAATGATAGCTGTAAACGATAAAAGGGATCAAAATCAATGATCCTAAATAATTATGGTTCAACCACAAAACTACACTAAATGGTAAGGAACGCAGATTCTGGAATAACAGACAATGTGGGACGTTCTGCTACCTTCTCCCTTACAACAAAGACTTCTCATGTCCCTTTCTATTTAACACTAAAAAATTTACTACGTTACTTCATATATGCAGTGTTCAAGAAGACGCGATTAATCTCTCGCCTAGGCGCGATTAATAGCTGGGCAGGAGGAAATCGCCCCGTCTAGCCCTGGGCGATTGATCTAGACACCTAGGCACTCGGAGACGCGTTTTCACTCTGGTGGGCGACGCCCAAAACAACTAATAAAGAGGGAAAGTGTAGCCTTTTTGTGAAAATCCCAAACCCTATTCTATTTCCCATTTCCATTCGACTAACCGCTCCCCCTCATCGACCAACAGTGAGATCCCTCCCCATGGTTGGCGACTTGGGATGTTTGGGATTGTGGAAAAGGGTTGTATGTGTATATGAATGGATGAATAATGATATGGTGACTTGGATTTTTGTAGAATATGGCTTATCTATCATTTTTTTTTTCAATGTTTAATCTCGCCTAGGCAACGACTAATCGGCCTGGGCGCTGGGCGGTGCCTCTTCGCCTAGATAGCGCCTAACGTCTTCTTGAACATTGCATATATGCAAGCCATGTACGCAATAAATTAGAGTTAGAACCTCAAATACTAATCTTACAAATACACTTTCTTTATAGAAGACAGAGAGGCTTATCACAACACAAAGAAATGTATTCAAATCACAAACCTAGATGGTTCCATAGCAGAATCAGCAGTCCCATGAGATAATTCAATCGCATTTGCAGAATTGATATCCCTGGTGTGACCATTGCCAGAATTCACTCCAGTGCTAGAACTAGATTCAAAGCTTCCAAATGTCAGTCCACTCTTGAAAGCATGAGGAACTTTGAAGTGATCCGGAAAAGTAACATGTCCATTAGGAACGTCAGGTTCAGTTTTAGAGTCTGGATGCAATTGAGAACTAACTTTTGCTCGTCCATCAGCAAATGAGGAACCTGGTCCACAAAGAACAATTAAAATCCAATTATTAGAAGCAGTAGAAAAGGACATCCAAGAGATTGTGACACTTTCAGATCTATAATTTCACTGAAGAATCTCATCTAAACCGAGGAAAGCTTGTAGCATGTCAAATGAGCAGCAAACAATCAGAGCACAGAGTCGAGTAGTGATATTTTAAACACTATACGAACTGTTGTGTAATATGACATAAAGTAACTACCTTTGGAAGGGGTGATAGACACTTGTGGTAGTTGGCTATCATACCCAGAAGAAGGCCCTATTACGACAGAAGTGTCTTCAGTTGACAATGTCAAGGGCTGGAGGAGTACAGAAAGCTGGCTCTTGTCAACTTCTTTTGGTGTTCCTGACACCCTTTCAGATTTTAAACTCAGAGTGCTATCATACCCAGAAGAAGGCCCTATTACCGCAGAAGTGTCTTCAGTTGACAAAGTTAAGGGCTGGAGGAGTTCAGAAAGCTGGCTCTTGTCTGCTTCTTTTGGTGTTCCTGACACCCTTTCAGATTTTAAACTCAGAGGGCCTGCATTCTCATTTTTAGACAGTTCTGAAATGGCAGCTTGAGAAACATGCCGACCGTGATTTGGTGCAGCAGCAATCAAACGACCCCATGCTCTTTTACTTGCATCAGCATAAGAATAAGCACCAGGAGCATTTGACTTGGCAACATCCTTGGTGGCTAAAACCGACTTCCCTTGCTCATTCTGAGTCATGCTATCAGCTGTCTGATCAGGTGCAGACATTGGCGGTAATTTAGCTGTCTCTGATGTCACATCCAACTTCTTCGCATCCACTAGCCCAGTTTTTGGGGCTTTTTCACCATCATCTACAGCAACATTTGAGCCGCGCCTCAGACTAGGATTCTCGCTTTTGAGACTTGAAGGGCCATTGGTGTTGACTGCCGCGACTCTGCTACAGCAAAAGATACAACAGAATAAGTGCCGTACAAAGTTTTTAGTGACAGAATAGTGCATGTATTGAATCATAAGAAAACAAAACACCAAATCAAGTTCTCACTTTGCTGCAGGAAGTGAATGGTTACTGTTTGGTCTGTGTGTTCCAGCCATGGCAGTTGAAGGGACTCTCTCTCTCAAGTGACTTGCTCCATTTTCCTTTCGATGGGCTGCATTCCTCCCACCATTAGCATCTAAAGGAAAGGCCACCAAGACAGTGTTTTGTTTACTAAACAATTGCTTATATTGCTTGCAGAGATGAGTTCCTAACCAACTAGTTATTTTCTGACCATACAAGGAAATGCTTAATAAATATAGACCATTGAGTCAGGGAAACTTTCATCACAACAAAAGGGGATCTAGAACAAATATTTATGCTTGTTAGAGTAGTTAGAATGAACAGATATGAAAAAGATACAACTATTGCAATGATCTTCGACTGATTTCAATAAGAGATCCTAAAATTGCACATGAGGTCGACCCAGACAGGTAACATTTTCCATCCTGAATGTAACCAATCTCAAACACAGAGCATTCAGGGATTACATTTTTAGCAGACTGAATCTAGGACAGCCACATAACTAGGGGGAGAAAGCAAAAGAATGTTGTGACAAAAATCAGTATGGTCAATCAATAGTTACCAGAATAATTTCCTCGAGCACCCCTACCCCCTCGACCTTGAACATTTGATGACTGCAATGATACAAACAATGGGTTATCAATTTGGAAGCCAACAAGTCCAGAAAAACTAAGTTAAACGAAATAGCTGGAGAACAAAATTCATATGTTGTAAGGTCAAAAGGTATCATCTGAAAGTACAATATGTTATCATACATTTTCCTTCAACTACAATCCATCAAGACATGAATAATCGGATGAAAAGGCCATACGAATCACTTAGTCAAGTGGTCAAATTTAGTTGCTTCATCACCCCATACTAGAGTGAAAGCCTAATGTAACAGTTTTAAGAGGGCGTACTATGCCATCAAGCAAACAGAAAACTAGTGCAACATGAACGATTATAACATCATACCCTTCCCAAAGATATTTGCCCTTAGTTCTTTGAGTATGAAGGCTGTCCTGTAGTTCTTGCTATCTACCAAGTCAGCAGTCAAGGATGTCGTTGGAACATGAAAGTGCATGGCAGACGAATTTATGCAAGTATAAAAGGCTATACCGAGTTCTATCACAACCTAAAATTTAACTTATTGTTAACATTCAGACGCAGCCCCTGGTAACCAAACACCTTAAAGCACGAGATGAGAAGAACTTTTAGAGGTCAGTATATCTCACCTCTTTCTTCCGTTCACGCTTGCTTTTCACCTCATGAAAAGTGTCTGCAAATCATAATCAATCACAATTTAGTACAGATAAGTCAATCACCAGACCACTGGCGCCTAAAGAAAATCAATGGAAAGCAATAACCTTTTTTTTTGTAATATCAAATAACAGATTGACTAGCCATAGGAATCATTAATACAATGCAGCAAAGGTGTCGCAAAGAAAGATAGAAAAGCTAGATCTTTAACTGATTCAACGGGGGAAAAAAGCTAGATCTTTAAAGAACACCCGAGAAAATAAGCCAGAAGCCTGCTGAACTCAGTAATTTTTTCTCTGCAACAAACACAATCGGAAGCGTAGGAAAAGAAAACAACAACAAAGCCATGTGACAAATATAGTTTCTTATTTGAGCAGCAATATTCAACTATCCCTTCACAGCATCAAGTTCGCTACTTTGTTGCTCCATTGACCCACACAGCACGGAAATCTCTCAACCCAGATCACAAATTATTTTAAAAATGAAAGTATAAAGTGAATTAGACGATAACCCATTAAACCCTAGAACAATGCGTCAAAGAAAACGTAAACAAAAACCCTAACACAGCATGCTAGGGTCGTCAAACACAACAGCTTGTTTATACCTAAATAGAGAAGCTTCTGAGCAGTCTCGTTGGGATCCATGGCGCAATCCTTAAGCACGGCATAGATTTCCTCGTCGCCGTGTTGCTTCCCAGTGATCTCCCTTATATCGTGTATCACTTTCCGTGCATTCTCCGGGATCGCAACCCTTGCAGGGCCTCCGCCACGAGCACTGCCGCCGCCGCTCATGGTATTTTAACTTTCCCCAATAATGTCGTTGTTGCTGTTGTCGTTCAACCCCTAATAAAGAAAGAGACGGAGAGAGAAGAACTACAAGGAAAAGGATGGGGAAACAGAGAGGGAGAGGTATTGGATTGCTTATTTATATAGTGATTGAATTTCGAGTTTCGACCTAATTTTTACTAATTGATTGATAGCCCTAATATAAACACTATGGAAGATTGGAAGCAGATGGAGGAATGTCTAGGCTAGGCAATGGCTAATTACTCGTATTATTTGCAAATGTAGGTCGAGCTTCTACAATAATAATAAAAATATTAAGTTTAGTTTAATTTAATTTTACTTATATTTAACTAGTAACTATTTAATAAACAAGTTGAGTTCGAGTTGTACTTGTATGCTGATATATTAATTTATATTTAATTCGAGCTCGACTTATTAATGAGCTTACAAACTCTATTCAAATTGACTCATCAATTAACTCACAGGTATGACTCAACTAAACTCATTTGGCATTCTAAATCATCAAATCATTAAAGTAAACTCTAAAATAATTTATAAATTTAATATATGAAAAATAATGATGATTAATTTGTAATAAATTGATCTCATTTTATATACTCAACTGACACATCATTTTATATGAATAATTTACTCTATTGATCTCAACTCATTTAAATCATTCTATTTAATAGAATTATTATTATCTAACCAGTTTATAACTATATAAATTAATAAATGACACATATTTATTCACGTACTCAAAATCACGTAATATAGGACGAGGTATATAATCCAACAAGCCTATGGTATCAACAAGCCAACTCATAAGTTATAGATGGATACACTCCCAAGTTGTCGGCCGAGTTGGATTATTAGCCACACCATCGAGTAAGTTCATGAAATCGAAACAAGCCAACTCACAATTTGAACTCAACAAGTTACTAAGTCGAGTTGACTAGAGAGCCTCACGAGTTAAAGAAGGATTAGCTCAAACGAATTGAGTGTCGAAATGACTTTTCTCAAATCGAATGTCGAGCCACTTGTGAGCATCTCCACTCATTTACACACCTACTCACAATGATGACCATGTTTCGTAACAATATCGTTGACTTATGTCTTGTATGAGATTTGTCTCGACTGTTGTAGGGACCTTATGTCCCTCAAACAATGTCAATGGAATACTAAGAGTTTAGGATTAGGGATGCTAATAAGTCGAGTCGAGTTGAGGTTTGCCTAATTCAGACTTGGTTCATTAATAAACGAGTCGAACTCGAGCTCGAGCCAAATCATTTGTTAAAACCTTGGTTCGTCATTAAGATCTCGACTTTGGTTTGAACTCAACTCGTTTATTCTAAGTAGTTAAACCCTTAAACCGATCTAAAAATAATTTATAAATTAAATACTCCAATGCTTGTTTGTCATGTTTAATAAATGTGATCAATTGATATCTTGTTCGATATATGTTGTTGGTATCGTATTACTCACTTCATAAATTCAAGTAGTTCATACTTCATATCCTGTGATTTCACAGTATTTAGTATCTAAACGATATATGGTATATAATTTATCTTTTAGATTATAAGTGAGACGTATTTTTTTCACATACTCAAAGTTTTAAACATCATACATGGTTAAATATGCAATTTCAAAAAATTAGGATTTTTCAATAAGTTCACTTATAAGATATAGATCGATTTGCTCATAAACGATAATTGTTTTGGTTCATTAGCCACAATGTTGAGACATCTCATTAGCTCAAAACGAGACAGTTAACGAGTTGAACTCAAACAAGTCACCAAGTAGAGTAGACTCGCAATTTTAACAATATTCAACTCAAACTCGAATCTTGGTAAACAATTTGAGATTTAAACAATATTTTACCGAGTCTAATATCAACAACTCGTGAACAGCTCGGCTCATTAATCACCCTAGCTGGACATAGCAACATAGGCTGATGCCTGCTAGGGATGACAATGGGTCGGGGTTGGGGCGGATAGTGCATATCCATAACCCTACTCAAAGTAGTTCGGGTTTTACCCATACCCATACCCATACCCACATAAGAAACGAGTATAAAATCCAAACCGTGCCCATACACGTTTGGGTTTCAGGTATCCACGATTATCCATGGATAATAGTTTCTCTTTATAACTCCAACCAATATGTTAATATTCACACGTATTCTCAAGTTACGTAAAATGAAAAGTACGACAATAATTCACTAGAATGTAGAAAATTAATTAAAACAACACAATTTCATAAAATATTATATTTCTATGCTAAATATAAAATATGTTAGAGAAAAATATTGATTATTTCTAGACAAAATACATATGTCTGTGTATAATCGGGCGAGTTCGGATTGGATAGTGAGAAAACCATGCCCATCCATTAATTGCAATATTCGAGTTCGAGTTTTACCTGTACCCACTAAAAATTTGTCGGGTTCGAGTTTTACCTTATCTAATTAGACCGAATTCGACGAATATCCACATACTTTTGCCATCCCTAAATTGCCCGCCGCAAGTGCAAATTACTGTGAAGGAGGAATAGGCGAATAGCCCAAAATCGTTGCTAGGTTTGAAGTACGAGAATGGGCTGGGCTGGGCTCGGCTTTGGACCGCCGGCAAACGACAGTCAAGAACCCGGCCCGTTAGCAAATCTCCAAGGCGCCGGGAAACATCCATATTGGCGAGATCAGGGGCAGAACAGACAATTGGCAGTCCTCGCCGCACCAAGGTTAGCTTTACCCTCCGTCAGCTCAGCTCCGCTCCTTTTTATTACCAGAGGCAGTGGCGTGCGCTGCCGCTTCGCGATAAACCCTAACATTGTTTTTCCAATTTTCCTCCTCCTTTTTCACCCTTAAGTTCCTTATCTCGCTTATCGTCAGACGTCGATCAAAGCTTCCCTCTCATAGCTCCTCTCAATTCCAGCGCGTCTGCTCTTTGTTATTGAACTTCTCGAGTCTCCAACCGCCAAGTTGAGAGATGGGTTCCAGGTCGAGGAACGATAACGATGGCGCAAGCCCAGGGTGCGTACTTTCGTTACCCTAATTTTAGTTCGTTTGCTGGTGAAATTCGGTTGCGGAGCAGGCCAATGAACTGTCAAGTTTCCATCTTTCATAGCTTTCGTAGTTGTTCTGCTTTTGGGCTTTGCTCTTTGCTTGTGGTTGGACAACTATTGACATTGTGCTCTTTACCGTTGCAGGAAGATTTTCATAGGAGGATTGGCGAAAGATACCACTTACGGTGAGTTGGTTTTTTTGATGATTGCCTTTGGGGGGGTTTTGGGTTGTTTGAGAATGACGTTGGGGATGATTTTCCATCTTTGGATTGAGTCTCTTAGTAAACAGGAGTACAGGACATGGTCATTGTTAGTGCTTGTCTTCACAGTTTTGGGGATTTGAAGAATTCATGTGCTTATTGTGTGTTTTGATGGAATGAATTGCAGTTACTTTCAACAAGCACTTTGGACAGTATGGGGAGATAACTGACTCTGTCATCATGAAAGATCGTCACACGGGTCAACCTAGAGGTTTTGGATTCATAACCTATGCTGATCCTTCAGTTGTCGACAAGGTCATGGAGGACTCCCATGTCCTCAATGGAAAGCAGGTAGATTTCCAAAATGGAATTTCAATTTAGCCTCTTGAGCTGACCGGCCTCTTGGGATGCTCAATAAAGTTTACCGTGTGACGAGGTTTGTGAGGTTTAATTGTGTGCCTAACTTTTGGAAATTGTGCAGGTTGAGATAAAGAGAACTATCCCTAAAGGATCTGGGCAGTCGAAAGATTTTAAGACCAAGAAAATATTTGTCGGCGGCATTCCATCTTCTGTCACAGAAGGTATAACTGCTTATAATTATGGTTGACAATGCTTCTCAAGCAGAAGACATAAATGGATTATCTTCTATGATTGAGAGGGATTTTTGCCATTCAAGTCTAGTAACTGTGCTGTAAATTTTTTGCAGATGAGTTCCAGGAGTTCTTTTCCCAGCATGGAACAGTTGTAGAGCATCAAATTATACGTGATCATGAAACAAATCGTTCACGAGGATTTGGGTTTATAATTTTTGACAGTGAAGAAGTAGTAGATGAACTGTTATCAAAAGGAAATATGATTGATATGGCTGGTACCCAGGTGAGCTTAGTTAGAGGTTTTGAAAGAGATAAAAATGTACTGGGATCCCTTTCAAGTTGGGCCCTTCCTTTTTCTTACCTAATGGCCAAGATTTCTGCTTCTGCAATCTTCTCTTTTGTTTGTTTACATATTCTTCTATAATTGAGCTGTAGCTTCAGAAATGGTTACAGGTATAGATCTCAGGAGAGGGCTCTCTATAGTTTGCTTGCCGCAGAAATTAGGTTGACTTAGTTGCTTATGTTGTAGGTGGAGATCAAGAAAGCTGAACCCAAGAAACCCTCAAACCTACCACCACCTGGTCCTGCATATGGTAGCAACTCTAGGAGTCGTTCATTCAATGACGGCTTTGCTGCTGGTGGATACTCCAGCCCATATGGGGGTTTTGATGGAGAGTTTGGCCCTGGTCCTTATAGAACACCTGGGGGTATGGGTAGTAGGCTTGGCGGTGGTGGGTATGGCTATGGAAATGGGGGTCCAGAATATGGTGGTGGTGGTGGTTATGGTAACTTTGGAGGTAGTGGCCTTGGAGGTTACCGAGGTGAACCCTCACTTGGTTATTCAGGTCGTTTTGGACCTTATGGCGATGGCTTTAGTGGAGGCTATGGCGGCGGTAGTGGGTTAGGAGGGTATGGTCGAGGGGGTGATGGGTATGGCGGTTATGGAGGTGGTGGTGGTTACGGTGGTGGTGGTTATGAATCTGGTCCAGGTCCTAGTTATGGAGGAGGAGCAGGTGGTGGTGGTGGTGGTCTATATGGCCGGGGAGGCTATAGTGGCAGTAGTCGTTATCATCCTTATGCGAGATAGAAGGGCATTTCGATGCAGTTGCTTAAGCTTTTGCATAGACGCGTATGTTATCGACCAGGATCCTCTCTAGTTGAAAAAAAAAACCCTCAAGCAAGGGTAGGCAACAACTCCCTACATGCTCTAGAAGTCTCTCCGAAGCTTTCAGGACCAGAATCCAGCTTGATTACAACTCTTATTCTACTGTATTCTTTTTTCTAGAAAGACTTGATAGTTACTTGCTGCCCTTATGCTGAACTATTTCTAGCTGGTTTTCTATGAAGATGGTGCTGTAGACTGTAGCAAACCTTGGGTTTAAGCGTGTTGGTTCCTCTCTTAGTGCAGATTTCCTGGATAGTATTGTGTTCGTGTATGTAGTATCATAGTATGTAGTATGTGTTATTGCTCATCTGTTTTTCAGATATTACTTGTTTAGCTAGCTGTTGGGACCTTCTATGCTGATATTATTTCTTGGTGTTAGTTCTGTTTGTGTAATGGAGGTTTATAGGTATAGATGCCTCAGTAGAGGGTATTTACCCTTCGCAAACTGATAAAAACAATAATGGAGTCGATCACTTATACCAGTGATTTAGCTGATAGACAACCATAGTGTGCTCTCTTATGTCTTGATTTCCCTAGCAATTCCTTGAATAATTCTTTTGTTATTCTATTACCATTTAGAATGTACAATTTCGGGATCTATGTCTACACGATTTTGGAAGAGTGGTTTCCCTCTATAGTTTTTCCTGATTGTTATAGGTTAGGGCAAATTGCATATCGATAAAGTACAATGGAGATATATGATTTGTAAGGAACATCCTATCTTAATTGATAAGATGCATTTTGAGATGAAATGAATGAGTTCTTGTGCGAATTTTGAAGCTAAACGTGCTTGATGCGAATCTTTAAGCTAAATGTGCTTTGATGCGAATCCGTGTGAAGATGAATGACTTCTAGGGAAATAATTATGATGCACCCAAAAGTCCCAACCGCCCGCAAGGCTGTATGAAACAAACGATTTCTTGATAAGAAAAGATTGACATGTTCTATTTTATATTATAAAAAAAATACTTCCATTAGACAATAATTGGTTGCTTAGCAACCACATCTTGCGAAGACGAATCATCAGCATCATTTGGATTTTGGTAGAGTCGCAATGACTGCCCTCAAGAAGCGGTGCTAGAGCATCTTGGTTCGAGTCCGAGTAGCGGCATAAGATTTTTTTAATTTCCTAAAACATCCAACAAGTCATATACTATGATGAATTCAATTCTATAGCTCCCTCTTTTTTTAGAATTAAAATTTTTAAGGTATTTTCGACTTTAGAACATATATTAATTCATATATCCTTTTCAGTTTTTTCACTTGGAATTACAATTCATTTGATAACCATATTAATCGATGAATTCGTAGAACTATATGATTCGTCAAAAAAAGGAATGATAACTAGTTTTTTTTCCCTGTATAACAGGATTGTTAGTTACTCGTTGGATTTATTTGGGATAACGAAATCTACCCGAGTAACGACGTCATGAATAACTTTTTGACGAACTTTATGAGTTGGATACTCTTTCTAGTTTTGATGATCGGTTGAGTATGGAAACACATTAGTCATGTACAAAATGCATTGTAAACTTGGTAATCTTACAACGTTTCTAGGATAATATTTCGAGAAACTAAAAGAGCTGGGCAAAAAATAGAGCAGCTGGTTAAATATACTTATTTCCAGAGGAAGCCAAACTACGGCAGGTACTAATCCAGGTAGGGTTAACGTTAACACGGCAACCAATCACAGCAAATCACAGAAAAGTATTGAACAACCGCGGGGAAAAAAAAATAGAAAAAGGAAGAAAAAAAAAAAGACAATCGCCGTAAACGCCGCCAAGGCAGATCCACGTAGGAACGGAGTGAAATCCGAAGCAAGGGTGTCACGGTCCGAACCTCGTAGGTTCGGAGCTGAACACAGCTGGATACAGGCTGTCACCAACAAAGTCCCACTCAGCGATTCCCCTAACTGCGTTCGCTCTCTCTCTCTCTCTCCTTCTATTTTTCCTTCCCAATTCTCTCTCTCTTCTTTCCCCTCTCCTCTTGTCTCCGGTCTCTGTGTTTCTCTCCCCTTCTGTTGCCCCCTCGCCCTCTGCTCATTCTCTCTCTCGTTCTCCTTCCCCCTTTTGCGTTTCCGGCTAGGGTTTCGCCCATCACCTCCGGAGATTCGCCGATTTTACGTCGGCAGTCGGTGGATCAAGATTCCTTGCTTCGTAAGCTCTCTATTCATTATAATTTCTCCCGCTTTGTCCCCACTGTTAATGTTTCGCTACCCCTCCCCTTCCGGTGAGGACTTGGGCTTTGCATGTGTGGATTTTCTTCTTCTTCTTCTTCTCTCTTTTCTGCTGTTTCCCTTGAACATTTGCTGGGAATTTTCTTTTTTGTTGGCACTTATATGGGCTTTAGTTTGAGAAGGCGTCAATGTCAGTTTTTGGGTTTCCGGGGGGCTACCTGTTTTGACTGTTCTTTGTAATTGAACCTTACGTTCCTCGCCCAAATTCTTGAGTATGGTTATGTTAAAGTGTGGGTTTTTTTTTTTACTTCTGTTGCGAAGTTCTTTGCAGGGTTTACTTGGAGAGGTTAGATTTAAGTATGTTGGTTGAATGCGTGATGTTGTATCGCCTGCCTGTCGGGGGCTCTGGTTTTTAGATAAGTGGTGATCAATGGGATTGACATTTGTGGGTTTCTTTTGTTGCCCTTTGTCTACCGATTGGCTACTTTTCTTATTCCTGTGGGTAGTTCATGAATTGTGTTGCGAAGAACTATGAGATGCCTGGTGGAATTGGTGAGTGGATAGGGATTGTGTATGTTGTGAGCATCTGTGCTGGAGGTGTGCTCAACATTGAGCACTGTTGTAGGATTTTTGTCTAAAGGAATCAATGAGTTTCTGGTTAGTCAGATTGTTGCCGAATAGTCTTTTGCAATCTACATTAGTCTTGGATATAGATGAACTTCGGATGGTTGTAGATGTAGTTGGGGAGTAGTATAACTTCTAAGGGTCGTGGTTGGTTGGCTGTACCCATAGTTCATTCACTTTAATGATCTCGTTTATATTCGGCTGGTATTATTTATCATATCTCCTTTCATGCTTTGCATCAAATTGCTTCATGCTTTCAATTATTGCTTTTTCATTGAGTACTTGCATGTTTTCTTGCAGGTGTTTCACTGGATAATATACATCTTCAGATTGCGCCAAGTCTGAAAATTAAGCACTGAGAATTTACTGATTGCACCTTGGATTCGTAAAACAAGGTGTAGGACATCACAGTTGGATCTTTGTAGCCCAAGAAAGTGACGGTGGCATATGGTGATTTGGAATGGGGGTTTGACCACTTTCAAGTAAAGAATGTGTTGTGACAGCCAGGTACTATTATTACTAAAAAGAAGATAATCCTAGGAAGAAAGCAGTTTATGTGAATCACGTTGAGGACTCCTTGTATCCATGCTGGCTGAGAGCATGCGTGGAATCTGTGTTTCGGGTGATGCCCCTGACGAGATTTGCTGCCGATGTGCTCGGTGTGGTTACAATTTGTCTAGTAGGTCTCTTGATCATCTTCGGTCTCGTCTGCATTGTCTACTCGTTTTATTTCCGATCCCGCGTACGTAATCAGGACTTGCTTAGCTACTTCAGTGGTCCTTGGATCATCCGAATCATCTTCATTATATTTGTCATCTGGTGGGCTTGTGGTGAAATTGTACGGTTGAGTTTCTTGAAACGCAAGGGGAGGGTGTTGAATACTCTCGACTACAAATGGCAGGAAAATGTCTGCAAGGGCTATATCATCTCGAATCTCGGGTTTGCAGAGCCATGCTTATTCCTCACACTTGTGTTTCTGCTGAGGGCTCCCTTGCAGAAGATGGATTCAGGAATTTTCGATCACAAATGGAATGGGAAGACAGCAGGGTATGTTCTTCTTTTTTGCCTGCCGGTGTTTGTGCTTCAACTCTGTGTTATTCTAATTGGGCCTCAACTGCACAAGGATGATGTGGATACATTGATGAAATTGCCCCCTTATTTTACAAGCACAGCTACACCTACAACACAGAGCAGTGCTCCTATTGCCCTCTGTACTTACCCTTTACTGAACACAATCCTCCTTGGGATTTTTGCCACCGTGCTTACCCTCTACCTCTTCTGTCTTGGAAGGCGCATCTTGAAGTTGGTCATTAACAAGGGTTTGCAGAAGAGAGTATATACCCTAATATTCTCAGTTTCAAGTTTCCTCCCATTGCGGGTGATTTTACTGGGACTTTCTGTTTTATCTGAGCCAGAGCGACTTCTTTTTGAAGCTCTTGCTTTCACAGCGTTTCTCGCCCTTCTGTGTTGTGCCGGGGTCTCTATATGCATGCTTGTATACTTCCCTATTGCAGATTCTTTGGCCCTGGGTAATCTGACTGATTTGGAGGCTAGGCGAAGGGTCAGTGAGGAACACAGTGAGAACATCTCCCTTATTGCTAACCAGAGCTACCCCGAAGAAAGCAGTAGAATAAGCCCTGACAGAAACTCTGATACATCTACAAAGCGAGGATCTATTTCTTTTCGGGCTTATGAGAAGGATGGGGCTTCGGCTGCCACATTTGTAGAGCTGAGCCTGTTTTCTCCCAGTCGAGACGTCGCCCCACCAGGATCACCCCCACTTCTCGGCTGGCCAATGCGACCTCCTCCACCAGCCCAAGCTCAGCGACCACCTTGAGAAGAAGGTTTTGGCAAGATAAACATTCTCAGGGTTAGTTATCCTGGTGAATATCAATTTTGCGGCGAATATGAGGCAAAAGGGATTAAGTGACAAAAGGGGGAAAGAAGATGCTGATTGTAAAGGGGTTAGTTTCAATAAGGGTTTTTTTGATGATTCTTGGTTTGCTTTCTAATTTTAGATATGGTGATGGTTGTTCTTCAGGGTTAAATGAATGAATTAGTTTCGATCATGGTGCAGTTTTCCCTTTCCCTCTCTCCCTCATAGCTTTTTATTCTTTGTTCCTGGTCCCAAGGTCTTTCAGATTTGTTGAGTTTAGCTCAAGAGAACTGAGAGGATGGTGGGTTGCAGTCGGCCAGCTGCCTGCTGTATTCTAATCATCTAATGGGGGGGCTTTTGAACCATCATTTACAACTAGCTGGACAACCAATTGTGGGTTGTAGGCAAGCTGGGACAAGTAACAAATCTGATCTGTCACCTGCAACAAGTGAGTTGTATGGGGATTTCTTGTCTTTGAATTATTCCTGTATTCCAGCTGCTGCTGGGTGGTCTTTTCAAACTGGACATGGTGGGAATTAGTTTATTATTATTATTCCTTCTTTCCCCCTCTTTGGTTTGACCAACGCAAGTGCACTGTCCTCACCGCCGGCGACCGGCGTTGGGTGGGTGGCACTGTAGCAGGTAACTTGTTCTCAAATTAGCTTCAGGTGCATACAGAAAGGTAGATGATAACAGAAGTGATTAATGTCAAGCTGTGCTACCTGATTGGCTTAAATACCATCGTTTTTCTCCAGGCCTTTGGAAAGTTTGGAAAAAAGACGTGCGACTTGTTCGAAAGGTGGAATGTGGAAGAAGGGAACATTATAGGGTTTAATTCAGTGTCCAAATCCCTAATTCATTTTTTCTAGAAGTCGATATTCCTATTCCCTATTCCTAAGCCAATGTTCAAAGCTTGATTCCCACCAAAGTGAAAAATACATGCACGTATATGGTCCGTTTCTCCGGCGAGATTAATTGCGGTTGTAACAGAATTGTTGTACAATTTAGTTAAGTGATCGAGAACAAACATAACTTGAATGTACAAGTTTGCGGTATTACTCAATCGAACATTTCTAACTCAACGAAGAATGTTATTCTTCTTAATGAACAATATGTTCTCGGGTTTAGTGAGTTAGAGAGACTACAACCAATATGTATATTCATATATTGTTTAGCTAGAGGTCATGTGAATCTTTAAGCAGAACTGATACAAGATGCACGTAAGGTCACATATCAATGGAAAATAAAAAATAAATGTGACAAGTGAACCGAACCTAGACTCTCTATCAATGTTATATTCAAAAACTTCAACAAGTAAAAGTGTTAATACTTGTTGTTCGCTTCAGTTCGAGTTCTTAATCCGAACTTTATCATAAGAAGATGACATTGACAAATCGTTATAAAAAGAATCATCTGAGTGCGACCGGTTCAACCGACCGGTTGAACCGCTGGCTGCAACCATTGTCATTGGGCCAAGGCGGGCCGGAGTTGGGCCAATAATGGTGGTTTACGTTCTGAACTTCTGATATTTCGACGTCATCCTGGAAAGTGGAGGCGCGTGGAAAGTACTAGAACAGCCAATGCAGTTAAGGGAAAGGAAAGGGCAAAATTGGAATGAAAGAAAAAGTCGTATTAAGATGGCGTGTGTACCGCCACCACCTCACAAAAAGGCCCTTTCTTCTCGCAGCTTCCTCTGAATATTTTTAGCTTCAGATCTACGAACTCGGAAATCAGACCTCAAACCCTAGAGCTCTCCCTTCCCCAATCCAACCTTCTCTCCACCGGTCTCTCTCTCGTCCTCCCCACAGCGATGGCGTCGTTCAACGAAGCTCCCCCCGGCAATGTCGATAGCGGCGCCAAGATCTTCAAGATGAAGTGCGCTCAGTGCCACACCGTCGAGAAAGGCGCTGGCCACAAACAAGGTATGCTGTTATGACGATCGCCGGCTTTCGATCTGCTTCCCGATTATAGATGTTAATTTGTTTTTTTATTTCGATTTGTTTATGGTCTCCGTTTGTGCATCGTCTGTTTCCGAATTTGGATGGTCCAGGTTTCGGATTTAGGGTGATAGAAGGAGGAGGTGTCTTCATTAGTTGGTTTAAGATTTGTGGTTATTGGGCAATCTGGTTGTTTTTTTTACCCTCTCGTTTCATCTGGCTGTGAAGTGAATCGTCTTTTCGGGTGATTGATCATAATATTGTATGGGGCTTTCTTCTTGTGATTTGTTATTGAGTTGAGCTTGGAGGTTACATCGACTAGGCCTTGCGAGGCACGATGGTTCTTTGTTGTTGTGATGTTAAGGGGGTTTTGCTCGTCGATTTGGTGTTCAGAGATTGATAATTGGAGGTTATGCAATGTGCAGGGCCGAACTTGAATGGACTTTTCGGAAGGCAGTCTGGCACAACCCCAGGCTATTCCTACTCTGCTGCCAACAAGAGCATGGCTGTCAATTGGGGAGAAAATACATTGTACGACTACTTGCTTAACCCAAAGAAGGTAAGGCATCCATCTTTGTTAGATTCTGAATATAAAAGTTGGTAGATTTTGCAGATTGAAAGTGGTTCGTGGCCTCCTCGTGTCCCTTCCTCTGATTTGTTTTAGATATATTAGACAATTGAGATTGCCCTTTGTAGTGGTTTTAGCTGGGAAATGGACGTTTACTTTTTTTTATTATGGTTGAGGAATGAGCCAGTTTGAGGTGCGGCTTGGTAGTTTCTGATGGTTATTTGTAGCTATGAAGCAGTAATCATTTAGCTCTATCCATGGTGGAAATTGTGAGGAACTGTTTGATATTAGATCAACAATTAGTTTTCCATGTACAAGCTAGTCTCCGTGTCGTGAGTCTGGTACTTGTTCTGATCCAAATGCGGGGAGTTTTTTGTGCTTGTGTAGCCTTGGATAAGTTTTTGCAATAATTGATGCATCTAGCTGCTCCTTTGATGTGCAAGGAGCTTGTTTTTTCTCAACCACGGACCTGATGGTTGATTGTTGTTTTCTTTTGCAGTACATTCCTGGAACTAAGATGGTGTTCCCTGGATTGAAGAAGCCACAGGATCGCGCAGACCTTATTGCATACCTGAAGGCATCGACTGCTTGATTGATTCTTGGTGATTTTGACAGAGATTTGTGTTTCGACATTTGCCCTTGGTTAATAGTCCCGAATTGGACTTTGTTTTTCCTGGAAGAGAAACATTAGGCATTTCTTGAAAATAAAGACATCGGGTAGGGTGGGTAAGCCCTATGTTATTTTGAGTTAGGGGAAAAGAATATATTTGTTGAGACTATACCGTCGTGAGGCCCTCCGGTAGACCTCAGGATTGAATATTCACAAGCCTTATATAAGAGCTGGATTATCGCTCTTTTTTTCTTTCTTTCTGGTTTACTGCAGTAGTGCAAATGGATGGGATGATTTCTGCTTCTATTGTGCTTGGTAGTAGTCTTCTGTGAATCGCGGAAGGTATTTTTGCAGGTTCATAGTTCTGGGTTTATAGTTGTTGGCATGTGCAGATCTAGGTGGTATGGAGCCAAGCATGGCTGATATGGCCGAATTCACTTCTCGTCCTCTTTCATTACTCTGATAACGTTGATCTGGTTTGTCTGCATTCTGTCTTTGGTGTAGAGTGGTTACTCTAAAACTCGAATGTTGCAAGCGATGACACCGAGTTGTTCTCGTAGGTCTTTAGCGAAAAACGACTTGGCTTACGTCAGAGACAAACATGTTAGTATACACTATACATGCTCTCGCTGCAATTGTAGTGGTGCAAGTTTGTGAGGATGATGCGAGGGTTCATTGCTCGTAGAACTAGAGTAGAGTTTGCAAGATAAGGTCTCTAAATAGATAAGTACCGTCTTCCCCTCCGTTGCGACTAAAGATCATGAGCAAAACAGATATTTTTTCGCAATCATTCGAACTTCCTTAGCAGTCCTTCTAGTAATGACGAAGTCACACTTCGATAGTATGATCTCAAATAAGTCACATTCCAACTTATATAAAGAGATCCATCTTGATAAAGGATGCAGTTACAAAATGTGAATCTGTAGGTCAAGCAAAGCATTGAAAAGTGTTGTGATGATGGGTTTAGCCCCTTTCTTCGAGATCTAGATTTGTTCTTGGAGAGTGGCTATGGTTATTTTCTCTTGTTCCAACTCCTATGCATCTAAACTGAAAGCAGGCACTCCCAAGGCTCAGAATCATTGAATTGTTCATGAAAAAACCATACGGCTGCCAATTAGAAAAGTTTGTGGTCTATTTATCTAAATTCTAGATTAATAAACAGGTAATTATGTTCAAATCTTGTATTTGTTGTAGCCCAGTAACGAACGGTAAAAAAGGGATCATTGGGCCGGCCAGTGACTAATTCATGCTGTCACCATAACACATATGTTGTAAAATTAGAAGGCATCTAATCAACAAATGATTCCGAAAAAGTACGAGCCACTGAACTGAAGATCAAACAAAACCAGCGAAACGCAAAAGTACAAAAGCAGAGGTGGTCGAAGTCGTCGATGATGGGGACGGGCCGAGGCTGAAAAGTCTGTGATTCGTATTAAATATCGTAACTTGGGGCTGTTTGGATGATGAAACTCGCCTCTGTCAGAACCATTTACAGTCTCGCTCCAAATTTTTGCAGTTAGCTCTGTCTGCGTGCTCTTATCTGGTCAGTGACAGTGGCGCTTCTGATTCTAGTTCCAACTTTTTGAGTCTCTTTGGAAACTGGCTGTTGCCCTCTTCTCAATTTTGCATGAACAATTTCTGCGATCGAGTCGGGTTTATCATGGTTAACTAGTATTGAATTGGTTCTTGTTAGAGTCCAATGCAGGCTTGTTTTTGTGTGGCTTGTCGGGAAGTCGACTCTGGTATTTGGTTTTAGTGTGGTTGGTGAACTGATTGCGCAGTTTTCACAATATACCTTACTTTTACTAATCTGGGTAACTTTTCTTACTGGGATTCTGACTGTCTGCAAATTACTTGTGGGGTTTGTTTGCTTAAATTCAGTAGGGTCAAACTTTCGGAATCCAAGCAGTTAAGATACTTGATCTTCTGTAACCGTTTCCAAAAGAAACCAAAGCTGTGAATTTTCTTATTAGAGCATCTGAACATGGTTTCTGCTTTCATCAATTAAAATGGCAGTTTTCTATGTAGAGGTTGCTATGTAGTGATATTGCCAGAGTCTTTTTGGTAACCCCTTGATCATTTTTACTATTTCGTCAAACAGGTGAGGCAAAAGGCATTGTCTTTCAGTCTTTTCAATAGCTTTTCACTGATCTGTAATCTTTCTGTCAATTCATTCTGAAACAGGCAACATCGTTTTGAGAGAAGATGGTGGAGAATGGTTTTGATGATGATAACAACGGAACTTCTAAGAATTCTGAGAATAAGGTATTCACTGATTCTTTTCCATGCCTTGGAATGCTGTCTAGCGTGGTGTTGTCTCCCCAACTTTGATCGGTTGCCATACAGTTTGGAATATCTGATTTTCTTTTGTTTTCCTTGGTTGATTCTTCGGTTAAGCTTTACGAGAATGCAGAAGTAGAAAAACTGAAAACTGGAAGCGGGAAATTCTTCAGAACCTCCATTCTTTAGATCATTCAGGCTTGTGCTATTGAAACAAATGTTAACAGGACTGTAGTATGTATAGATGCAATTTTTTTGATGGTTGGCCCAAAGAACTAATTTAGGCTCTAAGATGGTTGCCTATTGTTGCTATCTGAAAAGCACGATGGAACACTCTTTTTTTTTTTTTTTTGTCTTTTTATTAATTTTGGTCAGTTCTTGTAACTTCATATTGTATGGAGGTGTTTGAGTATTACAAAAGGGGCTTTATCATAGGATCCAATTCTTAATTGGTATCCTTTATGTTCCAATCTAGAAAGACAGATCAATGTTGCTCATCCTTTCAATATGTAGAGCCTAGAAGATTCCCATCCTTCTGTTTTTCCACTCTTTTTGGTAATTTTATTGTCATTGGTTCCATTTTGTCTTCTTGTTTCTTTGTACCATATGTCTTTGTTGGTTCAGGCTCAATGATTTATCTAATGTCTTCTTTCTTGTCTGAATTAAGGTTGATCCTGGGAAACCTGCAACTCTTACGTGGCAGAGAAAACTGAACAGTGAGCTGGTGTCCCTCAAACAGTTTCGTCTGACACTTAACGAGATAGTTCAGCTGGTATGGAGAAACTGGGATGAGTTTGCTTCTAGCTTTTTTTCCAGCTTCAGTATGATTCCTTTATTGAATAATGGCTTTCCTTACTTCATGTCTTTATCCAAGTTCAGCAGTGTGAAGTTGTAACGTTCTCTGAAAATTGTGGCGTATAAGGACCAGTTATTAATTCCAGTGGTAACTTGCACTTGCGTAGTTCATGGACGTCTGATCAGTTTGTATAATTGTGTTTGGGGTTAGAGAGTATACTGTAAAGATCTTAGCATTATTTCAGGTTCGTGAGCTGGACAACTATTCACTTCCGTTTGCTATTTGTCGCTTCCTATTCTAGGCTCCGATAGGTGTTCGACTAATACGTTATGTCCGTGAAGAATCTGCAAAAGGACGGGTACTTTATTTTCTGCCTATAGTTGATGCATTTGTAGCAACATTTGTAGTGATTCATCCACTTACCTCATAATTTTTTTTGCAGGGGGGCTTTTTCATCCATCCATTTGCTAAACGCCATTTGACAACTAGTCATGGCGTTCCCCTAGGCGGTATAGGGTAGGTTTCCATCGTTATTGAGAAGCCATATTTCTGTTTTGGCATCATAGATCTTAAAGAAGAACTACTTTAAAATTTATTCCTTAATCTTTTGTTTGCCTTCCAACTGATTACCAAATAAATGCACTCTTAGCCAATTGCTGGCTAGCACCAAATTATTACTGACAGGAATATATGCCTTCGATAAATATGCGGATTTATAATGGAGCAAGAGCTTCAAGCTGATAAAAGTTACTTCCAGTTGGATTCCTATTTTTCCTTATGTGTTGGCCTGGTTGCGTCTCTTCACTTGGTCTCTAATTGAAGACGGCGTATTTCATTATTTTGCTTATAATACCAGTTTATGATCCCCTGGTAACCACAACGCGGCAGTTAAAGGAATAATATTTCGTTATTTACAGCTCGGGAAGCATTGGCAGAAGTTTCCGGGGTGAGTTCCAGCGCTGGCAACTATCTCCTGGAAGGTGTGAAGAAGCACCTGTTTTGGCAAATCAGTTTTCTGTAAGTTTAAATGGGTTTGTATATTCATGGTATGAAGATTACCTTGTTTGGTAGAAGAGCAATAAGGTTGTTGAAGCTTGCTTGTTCTAGAATGGGGATAGTGTTAACTGGGATGAAATTTTCCACTAAAAACTGTTTTATAATGTTGGAGCTTGCTTGTTGGATATGCGAATTCAACTTTTAGTGTTTTCAATGCAAGTTTTCAATACTTTTGATTTATGAATAGATAAGTAATGATTTTCACAGAAAATGCTTGTGGCATTTTGTAAACATTTGGTTTAAGGTCTACAAGTGACATTTGTCAAATTTGCACTGCATTTTGTGTGCATCCGAGATCCGGGGTGTACTGAAAATGTTCCCTTATTATTGGCTACTTTCTTTTATTACATAACTTTGGCAAAGTGATAAGCAATGTTTACTTCTGTATGCAGGCTTTTGTATCTCGTTCCAATGGCCATAAGTACTCCAGTGTATTGTGTCCAAGGACTCCTGATATGCTAATGTAAAAGAAATTGTTCCTTTTGCATCAGTATTTTCCATTTCTGCCTGTTATTTCCTATATGCGCGTGAGTTTTATTTAGGTGGTCATAGAAAAATTCCTGAAGAACCAAAAGCTGTTTAAACTTACAAAATGCCCTATCTATACTCAGAGATCCTGCAGCTTCAGGGATTGGGTCATGGGACTGGAATCTGAAGGGTGATAAGTCTACATATCATGCCTTGTACCCAAGAGCATGGACGACATATGAGGGTAAGTGACCCAAATAGGTCTGATGTCGATAATCCATGAGCCTGATACTTGGGTGCATTTGTTTTATCTCCACTCATCTTGCTTCTAAATGCAGGTGAACCTGATTCAGAACTTAAAATAGTTTGTCGTCAGTTTTCTCCCATCATTCCTCATAATTACAAGGAGAGTAGCTATCCGGTTGCGATTTTCACATTCACGGTAGGAATGAGTCTTTAAAATTTCAATCATATCTTATGTGTTTTCTATTCTTTGTTTGTTGAGGACAAGCTGGTTTTTTGCAGCTCGATAATTCGGGGCAAACCGCTGCTGATGTCTCTCTGCTTTTTACATGGGCGGTAAGTCATTCTTTATCATTTTCCAATATTTTCTCATCTGTTAAATAATGCTAAATCTTTTGGCACGCTATTTTTACTCAGAACTCTGCGGGAGGTGATTCTGGATCTTCTGGACAACACGTAAATTCCACTGTAACGTAAGCAAAGTTTTATATTAATAAGATTAATGTTTCCTATGTCTCCATTGTTCGCCACAATTATGTGTACTAACAATCATGATCATTATAACTCCCAGGAAGGAGGACGGTGTACATTGTGTACTTCTACACCACAGGCATGTTGTATACTTCCTTGTTTAAGGAAAATTTCAGTAGGTTTTTTGTTTTCTTTCATATATAAAATTAGAAACTCTTATTCTCATTATAGGACAGCAAGCAACTTATCTCCATTGACCTTTGCCATTGCTGCTCAAGAGAGCACGGATGTCCACATTTCAGAGTGCCCTTGCTTTGTAATAACCGGTGACTCCGAAGGTGTATCTGCAAAGGACATGTGGGATGAAATTAAAGAGGTTAGTTGATTCATCTCTCTTTTCCAAATATTCTAGGCCCAGAAATGTGCATTATGCAGCTAATGGTCATTTCCAAATGGCTTTTTTCTGAACAGCATGGATCATTCGACAACCTTAAGTCTGCTGGAGGCTCTAGGCCTTCAGAACTGGGATCATCTATTGGGGCAGCCATCGCAGCCACTGTAACAGTTCCACCTAATCAAGTTCGTACTGTTACTTTCACATTGGCGTGGGATTGCCCTGAAGCGAATTTCTTGGGGGGAAGGACGTATCACAGGTAGGTTGTTTGAATTCTTGTAGTTGAAGTAACAGAAAACCCATCTGATAATGTCGACTATGTTCCACAGACGTTACACAAAGTTTTTTGGTACTCATGGGAATGCTGCTGCTAATATTGCACATGATGCCATCCTAAGTAAGGATCTATGCATCGTTCTCTTCATTTTGGCTATTATCTTTTCCTTTATAAGTATATCTGGCTCAGGGTTCTCACTTTCTTTGTATCTGGTAAATAGAGCATAGTCATTGGGAGTCCCAAATAGAAGACTGGCAAAGACCAATTCTTGAAGATAAATCATACCCCGAATGGTAAAGATTTTACACACATAATTGTTTATATCCATTACTGTAGTAGATAACATAGATATTATTTTGCAGGTACCCTATTACTCTTTTTAATGAACTATATTATCTTAATGCTGGGAGCACAGTGTGGACAGGTATGTGGAAATTCAGTGCTGTTTCTTTTTCAGTTTTCTACATGCCTTCAGTCTAATTAGGACACATTTGATTTTGCAGATGGATCACCTCCAGTCCATACTTTAGAAGCCCTTGGGATTCGGAAGTTCTCACTTGATAGTACAGGAGACGGTTTGAAGAGCCTTGTCGAAAAAGAAACCAATGAAAAAAGTGTTACTGCTGCTTCTATTCTTGAGAGTGTGGCTTCAAAACTACACCAGATTCAGACTCCACTTGCATCTAACTCTGCCTTTGGAACCAATTTGCTGCAAGAGGGAGAAGAGAACATTGGTCAATTTCTATATCTCGAAGGGCTAGAATATCCCATGTGGAATACATACGATGTTCATTTCTACTCATCTTTCGCACTAATAATGTTGTTCCCCAAAATTCAACTGAGTGTCCAGAGGGACTTCGCTGCAGCAATTCTGATGCATGATCCCACCAAAATGCCGCTCCTTCATGATGGCCAGTGGGCTTCGAGAAAGGCTCTTGGTGCAGTACCTCATGATATTGGGCTCCATGATCCATGGTTTGAAGTAAACGCGTATTGCCTTTATGACACGGATACATGGAAAGACTTGAACCCCAAGTTCGTGCTCCAGGTTTACAGGGATGTGGTTGCCACGGGTGACAAGAAGTTTGCACAAGCTGTTTGGCCCTCGGTTTATATTGCCATGGCGTTCATGGACCAATATGATAAAGATCGAGATGGGATGATTGAGAATGACGGGTTCCCTGATCAGACATACGATACTTGGTCGGTGTCTGGTGTTAGTGCTTATAGTGGTGGGCTGTGGGTTGCAGCACTGCAGGCTGCATCAGCATTGGCGCGTGAAGTAGGTGACAAGGGTTCCGAAAAGTATTTCTGGTTTAAGTTCCAGAAGGCGAAGTCTGTGTATGAGAAGCTGTGGAATGGGTCTTACTTCGATTATGACAACAGTGGTGGTAGGAATAGTAAATCCATTCAAGCCGATCAACTAGCCGGGCACTGGTAAGTCAGTTCATGCAAATTTCTTGAAGTATGAAGCATCTCAGTGATAGACAATTTTCACCCACCATTTTCCCCCCAGGTATGCTCGAGCATGTGGCCTTGATCCAGTAGTTGACAAAGACAAGGCACAAAGTGCATTAGAAACAGTTTACAACTTCAATGTCATGAAGGTGAAGGACGGGAAACGTGGGGCTGTGAATGGAATGTTGCCTGATGGAAAAGTTGACATGTCGACGATGCAGTCGAGAGAGATATGGTCTGGTGTTACGTATGCGGTTGCTGCAACAATGATCCAAGAGGGGATGGTGGATATGGGATTCCAGACAGCCAGTGGAGTTTATGAGGCTTCATGGTCTGAGAGAGGACTCGGGTATGTAGATAAGACTGCCTTTGTTTGTTTGTTACTGCAACTTAACGTTACCTCCATAACCAACTTGAGCTTGTTCTGTAGAATTTAACTCCATTTGTTTGTTGCAATTTGGATCAGTTATGCGTTTCAAACTCCAGAAGCTTGGAACACCGACGATCAGTATCGATCACTATGCTACATGAGGCCATTGGCCATTTGGGCAATGCAGTGGGCACTTACGAGACCGAAACTTAACCCGGTGGAGACGAGAGCACCTGTTAATATGCAAGACTTCCCATTTGCAGAGGATGCTGGATTTGCCAAGGTGGCTCGTTTTCTCAAGTTGCCTGACTCGCATCAACCCAAAAGCCTTTTCCAGACTGTGTATGATTATGCTTCCAAGAAGATGGGATACTGATTTGGAAGCAGTACAGAAACTGTTTCTTTTTTTATGCGAGGCTTTTCATAGTGTTAACAGTAAGAACTTCTGCTTTCCTATTCCTGATGTCCCAGTTCATTAATTAAGCTTCAAGAAAGTAACATTCTTCTTCTTTGGAAAATTCTCAAACCAAGGTCAACGTTCGGTTCAGCCGTGGTCAACACGAAATTTCAGTTTGGTTGGGCCGCACGATTAACCTGAATCCATCCTATGAGCAGGCCCGGCCCAAAGAAAATTCTCAAGCCCATCTCTTCTCCGGCTTGTAGCCTTGTAGGGCGATCAAGCAGCAAACATGAGCGGATATCGCATCGTCGTAATTTCGGATTGCTTGTTCATCTTTTTGTGTTCCCAAATACGAGCAATCAAAATGCTATAGACGGAGAAGGCGTATTGAAACCGTAAAGCCGAAAGCTTTACAGAAATTCTGCTGTTTGTTAACGGATTTTCCCATGGAACTAGTGTTGAACCGAATTCACGTCTCTTCTCCCCGATCAAGAGCTTCCTTATCTTCCGTCAATGTGAAAGCCCTTTCTTCCATTCCCCTCCCAGCTGAAAAGAAGAACTCCAGCAACCAAAAATTCCTTTCAGGTATTCTATCGAGCACTTTTTTTGTCTGGGCAATAGATATACAGGGGTTGTGAAGAATTTGTGATGTTCTTGTGTGTTTCTGAGCTTTTGCAGAAGTTGGGTTTGCATCATTTAGCTTTAAACTCTCCATTATTGTGAGGTTTGTATGCATTTGCTGGGGAGCATGTATGAAAATGGGCTGAATTAGCTGGAAGTATGATATGATAAACTGTCGCCTCCTGGTTGCCTGAAGTGTGGTTTCAATCCTTCGTAGGGGGGACGTGGTTTCCGGTTTGCTTTTGCCTTTGACAAAGTTGGATACTTTGTCAAAAGTCTAGCTTGCATGTGGCTTATGCTTTGGGGATTAATGTGTATCCACTATGAACTGTGAGTTTCGCTGCAGTTTTTTCCTTGCCCTTGTTTTCATGCTCTGTAGTCTGCCTTTCAACAAGATGAGGGTACTTCATGAAAGGGCTGGTTAAGACCTCCAATTCGTCGTTGCTTACAACCTTTAGATTCTCGAGTTATGGATGAATATGATAGAAAAGGGTTATGCTGTTTTGCTTGAAAATGCATCTCCGAAGAACAAAGATTTTAAGTCCTTCCATGTCAATCGAAGGTCGTGGGCATGAAAATTGTTACTTCACCTGAGAGACTACAGCGAGGCTGATTGTCTGTTTATTGATTGCTGCCATTAATAGTTTACACTATACAGTCCGAATCAAGTGAACTGAGAACTGCTTTGCAAGCTGAGTTTCTCATGTGTAGTTTTTTCCTGCTCTTTTACATAGTTCCAGTGTGTTCTAACAGTTTAAGCAGTGTGTGGCTATTGCAGGAGGGGATTTCACCAAAACCGAGTCACTGCCAACAGTCTGATACTCTTTGCAATGACCAACAACTGCATTACTAGAGTAAACCATATCCACCACAAGAGGGTCACAAGACTCGCAACAACAATATCATCATCTGCCACAAATAGCTACACCAATCTATCGAGCTGCAGATTTTTCACCTGTTCACCACCGTTGATATCTCGAACACCTTCTTTCAAACCCCTAGTCTTATCCGCCTGTATCACCCAATCAGATGCACCTCAACGCTCAGAGGAATGGTTTGCCCTTAGGAAGGACAAGCTGACCACAAGCACCTTTAGTACCGCATTAGGGTTTTGGAAGGGGAAACGACGACCAGAGCTCTGGCGTGAAAAGGTTTTTGCAGCAGAAGTAGAGTTTGTCCAAGCTTCAAAGAATGCAATGGAATGGGGTGTGCTCAATGAGTCACTAGCCATCGAACGATATAGAAGCATCACGGGTCTTGAAGTTAGCTCACTAGGGTTTGCAGTCCATGCACAAGAGAAACTCGATTGGCTTGGCGCTTCACCAGATGGTCTACTTGGGTGCTTTCCTGAAGGTGGAATATTGGAAGTGAAGTGTCCTTATAACAAGGGGAAGCCCGAGCAGGGTCTCCCCTGGTCAACCATGCCTTTCTATTACATGCCTCAGGTTCAAGGTCAGTTGGAGATTATGGATAGAGAATGGGCAGATTTGTATTGCTGGATGCCTAATGGTAGCACGATATTCCGCGTCCCGAGGGACCGTGATTACTGGGAGCTCATGTGTGGGATGTTGAAGGAGTTTTGGTGGGAGAATGTGATTCCTGCTAGGGAAGCTCTTGAAGCGGGGAAAGAAAGAGAAGCCGATTCATATATGCCAGCATCTACACACAAACAGACGGGGCTTGCCATTTCTAAAAGTATTAAGTTAGCTGCTCAATGCAAGCTTCAGTGTAGGGAAATTGCAGGCCATGTTGAATTCTTTAGGTGAGAAATCTGGTCTTCGCATGTTGTCATACACTCATTTACTAATCCTATGTCTACTTTAGCATTGAAAAAAAGGCATATGTTTGTGCTTCCAACTTATGATTTACTTGATTTGACGACGATGTTGGTGATTGACAAAACGGGAAGGGGAGAGACAAGAGTCTTTCTGGGTTTGTTTTGCTTCTTATGCTGCATGGATTCAGTCCTGCAGTTTGCTTCTGCTATTTTATATCCATGAATGGAAAGTGTATGAAGATGCTTACTTGTGAGGCCGAAGTTGGCAGTTGGCACAAAAAGGTTTTCGTCTTGGCCATTTTTCATGATCAAGTGTGGATGGTTTTGGGATTGCCATGTTGTATCTTTCCATCTGATTCTGTTAGTGTAAATACTAATAGGGATGGCATTGTAGACTTGTAGTTGGTAGGCTTGACACAGGTTCTCACATGTAAAATCTTGGGGGGAACTTTCTAAATGAAGTCCAAGGAAGCTGCTAAAGATGCAAGCTTTCTGGGGGAAAATTCTCAAATATACACAAGTTTGGAATAGATTATTGCATTGTTCAACAATTATAAAAATGGATCGCTGAAGACTACAACGATCTACGTATATCGCACCTATATATAATATCAACCCATATACATATACACGAGCACATATACAAAAACTGCCACATCAGCAATTGAAATGCTGTGAGCAATTTCCGAAAGGGCAATTCTGCCAATTTGTCCAGCAGTTTCAATGAACGGAAAATTTAATTAGAACCCATAAAAGTGGGCCAGGATACTATGCTAACCCCTAAAGGGGTAGTGATTTTCGACACCCTCTATTTGATTGGTCAGTTTTATTCTTAATAATTAGATAAGTATTAATGGCTGTCCCTAATAAATATTGATTGGGAAAGGATTAACTGGCACATAATTAATATGCACGGGAATGGGGCAATTTTGCTGGATCCATAGATGGAAATTATGGCGTTTGCACTCCCTTTCCCTTTGTTTCTTTTTCCCCCCTCCTCTGCTATTTCCGATTGTTTGTTTCTTTCCATTGCTGTGGAGAACCATAGCTCTGGTTCATCAATAGACGGCTGGCGAGATCCATCAGTTCAACAAATGGATGATTACAGCGTCCAGTTGGATGGCGGAGGTCACTGTCATCAGAACGTAGAGTTAACCGGCAAACGTTCCCTCGGATTTGACCTCAACGTAGAGTATACCGGCAACGACGACGATCTGGACGAACCGGCCTCCGTGGAGCATGCGCCTGATATCCTCGTTGCGAATGTCGAGCCCGTTGCAGTCGTGGAGGAACAACAAAATTGGATAAGTAAAAATCTATACTTATGTGGTGACTCTCGACTTTTCAAATCGGAAAGTACCACTGTTGTGGTATTTTTCATTTGAAGTGATAGTGCAATAAGTACCACTGTAGTGGTATTTTTCATCATTGGTATTCTTTTACAATTTATTGTACAATTCCAAACAGCTTTTCTGATACAATTTTGTTATAAACTCAGATGTGGTTGGCACCGTGGTCCCAGAAGACGAGTCGACATGGGAGCATTTCCGTTTTGAGGACCAGGATGAATTTATTAGGTTCTACAAGAAATTTGCTCATGGAAGAGGCTTCTCAGTTAGAAAGACTGGTGCAATTTACAAGAAAAGATCATACTTCCCACATCCATTTATATTTTACTTTGGAGGGAGGTGCAGCAAAGGTGGCTACAAAGAAGGCAGCATATTGGATCCTAAAAATAAAGAAGATGTCGTGGATTATGATAGTGATAATGAAAGGGATAGGGGTGAGACTCGTTTTGGTTGCAAAGCAATTGCAAGGTGCAGGTATGAGCACAGCACCAGAAATTACAGAATTTATAAATGGACGGATGTCCACGACCATGAGTTACATGATGAGGCCTCACGACGATTCTTGCACTCGAATCGGGAAGTAACTGCTGAATATGCTTTGTTTGCAAAAATAAATGATGCTGCTGGGATTCCGGTTTCAAATACTTTTGATTCATTTGCTGCTGCGGCAGGAGGTAAGGAGAATTTGCCTTTTATTCAAACGGACTTGAAGAACTATATCCAAAAGACAAGGCGAAAGCCTTTCACCCGGGGCGAGGCTAACATGTTTCATCAGTATTTCAAGAGCAAGGCTAAATGTGACCCGTCCTATTTCAGCGAGATGCAAGTTGATGAGAAAGATGAGATTTCAACCATTTTTTTCGCTGACGGTAAAATGAGGTTTGATTACGAGTGTTTTGGGGATGCAATCAGTTTTGACACGACGTATCGTACCAACAATGGATGCAGACCATTAGGTACGTTAATCAGTGTTACCAACTATCAAAGTACTGATACATTTCATTGTTTTGGTAGTTGTCATCTGACATTTGTGATACATGTCCATTGTTACAGCTTTATTTGTCGGCTTTAATAATCACAGAGAGCTGTGCATTTTTGGTGTGGGCCTGATGTGCGAGGAAACAGCAGAAAACTTCTCATGGCTTTTCCAACAATTCCTTAAGTGTATGTCTGATAAGCAACCGGTTTCTATATTCACCGACCAGGCCAAAGCAATAGCGGTAGCAATAAAGAAACATTTCTGTGAATCATTCCATGGTCTTTGCACCTGGCATATTCATCAAAATGGGATGGTTCAACTTACCCCTGCACTTTACAACTCTGGAGTAAGGCAAGAAATTCAAATCTTGATGTATAACGTTGACACGGAGGATGAATTCGATCATGTATGGACCAGAATGATCGAAACTTTTTTTCAAGGGAAAGGTCCAGACGGACATCGCTGGTTAGTGAAGCTACGTAAACACAGGTTTGTTTGTCCTTATATCTCATTCCATTTTTCAATGGGCTATCATATACGTACCACTCCAGTGATACTTTTGTAGTGTTGTATCACATAAGTACCACTCCAGTGATACAATGGACATGTATCTCATTCCATCTGTTCATTGGGTTATCATTTAAGTACCACTCCAGTCATACTTTGTAGTTTCAACCACTAACCGTATACTTTGTACCATATTTCACCATTGCAGGCACAAATGGTCTAGGCTGGGATTGCGAGAGCATAGAACAAATGGAATGAGAAGCTCCCAACTCAGTGAATCATGCAACAGCAACCTACGGAAGTATCTAAAGTCAGACCACAACTACTCTCAATTTTTTGAGCAGTTCGACAGAATGCTTGAAAAGAAAAGAGAAAACGAAAAAGCAAGGGATTACCAGTTGGTCAATGAAGCACCTCCTGTGCGTTACTCAAGATGCCCATTTACCGACCAGGTAAAAAATTTGTACACATATAAAGTACTCAAAGAATTCCTGAATGAGTACGGGAAAAGTCTCGCATATTTGCTTTGTCCAAATGCTGCAAAAGACGAGGAGGGATGGATTGCATTTGACGTTTACACATTTGAAGGGGCTGCCTTCGATAAGACTGACGAGCGGACGGTGCACGTCAAAATTGAAGAGCGGAAATTTAGATGCAGTTGCCACCATTTTGAAACATGGGGCTGGTTGTGTAAGCACATATTAAAAATAATGGACCACTTACGATCGCGACCGGAGACACAAGAACTGAAGGAGATCAACAAGGATTATATATTGAAAAGATGGACTAGGCATGCAAGGGAAGACATAGCTTTTAACATACAACAACCTAGTCATACGCAGGAATCTTCTTTAGTAGCAAGGGTAAAAAAGTTGACAGGGATGATGAATGTCATGGCCATCCGTCTTTGTTCAAATGACGAGGTTTACGAGATGTTACTTGAAGGCTTGGAGAAATTGAAGGTGTCTGGTGAGGAAATCGTGAATACTGCTGCAAGTAAGTTGTTTTAGCATATACATGATCATTTTTGTACCAATACACTGGTAGTTCTTACCAGTTATCTTAAACATTTTTGCAGTTTACTAAAGAACAACTTTTGTGCAGGAAAACAACCTTGGTCGGCCACTGCTGACATCCCTGATGAAGGTGCGCCAAACATTGGTGAACCAGAGGCGAGAGGGAAAACAGTTAAAAAGAGGACAGAGGTAAAGCGGACTAAGAAGCGAATGAAATCTGCCTCCGAATACGCTTCAGAGAAAGCAAGAAAACAATTGAATGCTGAGATGAGACAAAAAAAAAAACTAAGACATAGTAGGATTGCAGCTTATTTTCCCCTATCACTGTGGTTTCGAGAGTTAAGATTCAATGTAACTTACATTGGTTATATCCCGTTTTTTTAATATACAAGTGGAGTGGTACATTTACAAATGGAGTGGTACATGTACCAGTATAGTGATAGATGTACCAGTATAGTGCTATCTTGTCAATTTCTACTGGTTATTTAATCAATGTGGTTGAGAGAGATAAAGAAGAAAACTTATATTGGTAGGTTTCTGGATTATTTTCATCACGGATGGTACATTTACAAATGGAGTGGTACATGTACCAGTATATTGATAGATGTACCAGTATATTGATATCCTTTCAATTTCTATTGTTTATATTCTTTTTTTTTTTCCATATTATGAACTGTGCTGATTTTATCTAATCAATGTGGTTGAGAGAGATAAAGAAGAAAACTTATATTGTATGTTTCTGGATTATTTTCATCACATAGAGTGGTACATGTTCAAATGGAGTGGTACATGTACCAGTGGAGTGGTACATGTACCAGTGCAATGGTACATGTACCAGTGGAGTGATAGATGTACCAGTGTATTGATATTCTTGTAACTTCAATTCTATTGAAGTACCAGTATAGTGATATCCTTTTCAATAACGGTGTTTCAGGTTGGGTTTCAAATATTTCCGAAATGTAAAGAAAGACCAAATGATCCTTCAATTTCAAATAAACAAATAGTCCCCTAGAATCATAAGCAAAAGAGAATCAAATATTTCCGAAATGTAAAGAAAGACCAAATGATCCTTCAATTTCAAATAAACAAATAGTCCCCTAGAATCATAAGCAAAAGAGAATCAGTGGGTGAAGGATGGCTGGGTCACTTGAGTAGATGCAGGGAACAATGTTTCGTGTGCCTCAGAAGCTTTAACTGTCAACTCTTCAAGCATGATGTTACTCTCGTCCTCGAGCATGTTTGTAACTATTTCCACAGTCCTGCCAATGAAATAGTTGCTTTTCTGCCATTCCTTCTTCCACTCACTCAGCAGACGACCTTGCCAAAGCTCACAATAGTTGAGACATCCAACACTCCCAAATCTGTCCTCACTATTTTGAATTAAAGAAACATTTCGCCATTTGTAGTTCTCGAAGTCGTACGTCCCTTCTAGCTGCTTCATAATGTACCGGGTTGCAAACTGGACAACCCTATTCCCAACCTCCACCAAGTACGGTGTGAATTTTCCCCCACAGGAATCCATAAACTCGTACTTATTGTCCTTCAAATTGACACAGAACAGAACATACTTTGTTTTTGTTTTGAATGGAAAGAACCACTGCACACATTTAAAGAAAACATGAGGCATAATATAATGCGTTAGCTCAACTGGTTCATTTGAAGGACTAAACGATGTAAGTATCACTGAACTACCACTACAGTGATAGAACTACCAATACATTGGTACTTGTATGAGTTAAGATATTACTAAATTGACATTTTTACTTACAAACTTGCAATCACGCAATGAACGCTGATCCATCCACGTGTTCTGCTCGAAAAGATTGCATGACTCGCCCCAATAATCTCCTTGTGTGTTCGCACCATCCCACTTCCCAAATGCACTCACGGCTGCATCCTCATATTTAATCTCCACCTTTACCATTCGCTGCAATGTAAACATGAAAATGAAAATTGGTCAAAATAATGCTTACTAGTTATACATTAATTACACTCACAATAATCTGCACGAACAAGTGATAAAACTTACCGCAAAGTAAGTTGGGAACACCCATCTAGTTATGGTACCACACCTAGAATTCATTCTATTTAGGTAATCACCATAACAATCCACAAAATTCCGATTCATGCGATTTCCTGGAAGTACAGATTGGGCATCCTTCCTTCTCAAAGTCAAGTCGTTGCCGATCCCTTTGCGCAACACTTCTTCTCCATCCCTAAAAAATAATTTTTACAATGGTAAAAGGTGTCAATGCAGTTGTATAAGTACTTATATGAAAGTATGAAAGTATAAATACAGTGGTATTTGTAGAAGTGCAACATACCATCCTTTGGCAATAGCATACTCAAATCGCAACTGGCTAACCAAATCAGGCTCCAAATGTGGAGAAACCGCAAGTGCAACAGTATCAGCCCTCGCCTTCTTGCGATTCATTTGGCAATACGGCGAAAGTAGAAACTTTCCCGGTGGTTTTTTATCTCGCAGGTTATACGTCCTATGTGGATGCTCCATAAAATCATCAACCCAATCACCAGCCTCCCCTGCTTCTCCCCCAATAATATCAGCTTTAATATGCTTCAGCGTCCTTGCAATACTTGCTGACGCGTCAAACACCATAGACACCGGTTTAACACACAATGGTGTTCTATGGACTGCTTTTCCATCTGATACTACCATTGTACCATCCGAGTTTTTCCCATCCTCCTTGACAGTCACACCTGCATTCAGAATTTGTGTGTCATTAGAAACTACGCTCGTTAGACGAATGGTACACGTACCACTACACTGGTACACGTACCACTACACTGGTACACGTACCACTACACTGGTACACGTACCACTACACTGGTACGTGTACCACTACACTGGTACGTATACCACTATACATTTATAAAAAAACCCAGAATATTACAAATAGAAGTTACCATGAATCTTACCTCTCTCAACAACAGGAGTGACCACAACGCCACCATCAGATACTACCACGGTACCATCCATGGTTTTCCCATCATCCCCCACAGAACCACCTGCATTTATAAGTTGTGAGCCATTAGAAATTACGTTCGATGGACGACTGGTACGTGTACCACTACACTGGTACGTGTACCACTACACTTACCTATCTGAACAACAGGACTGACCACAACGCCACCATCCGAAACTACAGCAGTACCATCCATGGTTTTCCCATCCTCCACCACAGAACCACCTGCATTCATAAGTTGTGAGCCATTAGAAATTACGTTCGATGGACGACTGGTACGTGTACCACTACACTGGTACGTGTACCACTACACTTACCTATCTGAACAACAGGACTGACCACAACGCCACCATCCGAAACTACAGCAGTACCATCCATGGTTTTCCCATCCTCCACCACAGAACCACCTGCATTCATAAGTTGTGAGCCATTAGAAATTACGTTCGATGGACGACTGGTACGTGTACCACTACACTTACCTATCTGAACAACAGGACTGACCACAACGCCACCATCCGAAACTACAGCAGTACCATCCATGGTTTTCCCATCCTCCACCACAGAACCACCTGCATTCATAAGTTGTGAGCCATTAGAAATTAAGTTCGATGGACGACTGGTACGTGTACCACTACACTGGTACGTGTACCACTACAAGGATATACACAGTAGAAGTTACCTTGATTATTATCTCTCTGACCCAACGGAGTGACCACGACGGTCGGACTGAAAACATTATCTTCATTTTCTACTCCATCTCCACCACTACCGACATCACCTAATCCATCGCCATTACCACCTTCACCAGTCCGATCACTTACGTGATCATCACGACCCTCTTCTTCACGATCCACCGGACTGAAAACATCAGCTTGCTTGTCTACTCCATCACCACCATCTTCATCATCCCGATCTCTAGCTTGATCATCAGGACCCTCTTCTTCATCCTCATCACCTTCGTCATACCTATCAAACTCTTCTTCATCCTCATCACCTTCATCACCCTCTGGCGCACTGCCGTCGTCATCACTACCATCCTCATCTTCTTCAGTTGACTCTCCAACTTTTTGATATTTAGCTTCATTATCTTTTTCTTGTATTGCGGCAATGCGACTGTCGCATTCTGCTATCCGACGAGATAGAATAGTCTGCTGGTATACAAAGCCCTTCCTGAGCCCGATAACCTGTACACACACAAAACACATCGTTCGTTAAATATAGAAATAAAAAATAAATAACATATGTATATGTACCAGTCCACTGGTACATGTACCAGTCTAGTGGTACATGTACCAGTATAGTGGTACATGTACCAGTCTAGTGGTACACGTACCAGTTTAGCGGTATCTTACCTCCGAAAGATTCATTGCCCCGATTCCTAGACTCTCAAGAATAGGGGACCCCTCGTTGGTCACGCTCTGTACAGCCTCTAATCTCCTTGTCATCATCTCCCTTATACGTGTGGAGGTGTCCTTCTTATTTCTCCCAGCAAGTGGCTGAATGTAAGGAGCAGAACCCAATGATGAGTAGGCAGCCATCAATTCGACCCGTCTGTTGAAGCATGCAGTATGTGTCCAATTCTTGCACGAAGGAACCACTGTAGTCATCTCCTGACTGTTAATGGTCCTATCTAGGTACCACACCATCAACAAATGTAAATCTCCATTTGTATATTTTGTAGTCTCATTCTGCCGAAATGATTGCTTCATAAAACTCCAGAGATAATGGCACTAGTTGTATTCAGCAAACTCATTAAACTCATCATCTTTTAGATACGCCAACACCGAAGATTCAGCAACATTCTTTGTACTTGGTTTGAACAGGTAACCAAAACAGAACATGACAAACAAACGTACCCACAGTTTGTCGTCCTTAATTGTTGGTAATATCTTTTTCAAAGTCCACAGCTTGTGCCAATCTGGGTCTTCTCCTTCCATTCCATGGAGTTCATCACGCAACTCCTTGCACCTGTCCCAATCAAAAGTCGTCACCGTCCTTTTACCCCTAGGCAGTCCATAAACTCGATGAACATCATCAACTGTAAACGGCAATGCAGTGCCATCGTCCATGATGATGGACATTTTATCCGCATTGAATTTGTTCACCAACCAGTTCAAAAGCGGCTTGTCAAACCTTCTCATTTGCAGCTCAAATACAACACCCAAACCTAGCTTCTTCAATATAGCCCTCCTCTCGTTTGACACTCCATCACTCACCACTTCAATTATAGAGTTAGGGCTGCACTTTTTACCGGATACATCATCAGTACGAGGCCTCTTGATCCGACCTTGTCCTTCTTTTTCCTTGATCTTACGGCGTCGTTTCTTGCTGGTATCCTCACTAGAGGAACTAGACTGATTCGCCCCAATTTCAACCTGCCTGGAAACATAGGTTGCAGGCTTCTTGCCAGCTGCCTTCTGGCCCCCAGGATTCTGCCTCACAACTTGATTGCCTGCTGGGATCTCAGGACCTGTTCTCTTTGTCCTTGCCATTCCTGGTTTCATTGGAAGATAAGTCAATACTACGAACTAACAAAAATACCATTGTAGTGGTACTTTAAAGAACAAATTCTTGTTGTAAATATCACTGCAGTGATAGACCCATACACATAACCTTTACAACTAACTACCACTTTAGTGATATTTAGACCATTTCAGGGATAAATCTACCGCTGCATGTGAAGGATTTTACCACTATGATGATAGATATACCACTATAGTTATCCATCTACCACTAGAGTGATATACCTACCACTACAGTGATAGAACTACCACTACAGTGATAGAACTACCAATACTTGAACTACCACTGCCCAAAACAATCAACAACTTTCGTGCAATGCAATACGCCGTAATGAAAGATACGACAAGAAGAAAAGTATTCGTGACGTGAATTGTGATCTCTCAAGTATACTTGCCTCAGTTTAGGATTAATTTAAGCGAAAAATCACGCCGGCGCCCCAATCTGTTTATATATCCTCAGTCGCTGCGAGGGAATCGATCACGCGGGTTCGAAGTCAATGGTTCGGGAGGAAAGACAGACGACTTCCGATGGGAGGGATTAGCCGACCGCTTTTTGTGAAGGGGATGACGGTTTACGGCGGTGGTACTGATTTGATGCGTCGGCGGCGAAGGGTTGCGGGCGGGTTCTGAAGTCGAAGGGTTGCGGTGGCGAATACTTCCGACGGGAGGATGAGCCCACCGCTGTTTGTGAAGGAGATTAGGGATGTTTACGGCGGTGTAGTGCTTGCTTTCAATGGTCGGCGGCGAAGGGTTTCGTGTTCTGATGCCAGAGGTATAGAAGGAGAAGGAAACTGAACGGGTGAAATTAAAAAAAGGTAAGGGGGGAATGAATAATTATGAGTGGGAGAAGGAACCCACTATTTACTTCTTTCTCATTACCGATGTAATTAATTACTTAATTAATTACCAATCACCAACTGAACACAATTACCATTAAGAATAAAACTGACCAATCAAATAGTGGGTGTCGAAAATCACTACCCCTTTAGGGGTAGTCAAGCTAACCGGTCAGAGAGGAGCCTTATTGAACATACATTTGGGCCATGCCCCGTTAAAAAATCCCACAAATCTTAAATTTGAAGTTGCATTCCACATAAAAAAAATCAATAAAAAAAAGCCTGTTTCACTTATTGGCCAATCAGTCTCTTTAATCTCGACCAAGGTTGTCAACCCGTGGGTTGACCCGAACCCGGTCGAGCTAGTGGGTCAATGATTAACGGGTCACCTGTTTTAGCCAGTTTTAGTTCGAAAATATGGAAAAAGTTATTATATTGTACTTATCCTGATAATTAATATCAAATCACATCTAACAAATGAGTAATAACATATAACATTATACCAAAGTAACATGTCATACTTATTCTAACTTCTAATGAGTGAAACTCATTTCATAATTTTCGAAGCTAAATCATAAATTTAATTTAATCTAAAAATAATAACAAAAATTCTAATTTATCAAAATATTTCAAAGTACATCTATATAATAGGTGTGAACGCATGCATATACATATGTTAGACGCATGCTAGCCTTTGCCATAAATATATATAAGTTACTAAATTTTCGATCAACGGTAGTATTTTAAATTATGAAACATCATTGCAAAATCATCGTGGTGTCTTAAACCTATGGCTGGTGTGGTTTATAATGGGGCATAATACATGAATTTGAATGTCTTTGTTGGATATATTTTATTCCAGGCTCTAAAACAAGATATTAAATTGTCCGAGGGAAGATAATAAGACCCAAGATAAGAGAATCAAATAAAGTTCGAGTGGTAAGTTAAATGAAGAGAATTTTGAATACAAGTCTATGCTTAACCTAAGAGTTGAGATTGCAATATTAGAGTTCACCACCATGAGGAGCATACACCTATTGACACTTACTTTCATGGTTGTCAAACAGTGATTCATTACTGAGAAAGAGAGGTGGAGAGGGCTTGAGAGAAAGAAGGGAGAAACCTATTGACACTTACTTTAAACAGTGATTCATTACTGAGAAATAGAGGTGGAGAGGGCTTGAGAGAAAGAAGGGAGAAAAATGGAGTGTAAATAAATTATATAAGATAGATAATTGGACATCTTTGGGTAACTAAACTTATTGAGACGAATTAGTTCAAAACATGGAGAAGAGGAAAAGAGATATAGAGAGGAAGAGGAAGAATTGACAGGTTGACAAGTGAGCAATAAATCTTCAATAAATTGGAGTATTTTAAACAATGATGCATTATTGTAAGAGTCGAGATTACAATATTAGAGTTCACCACCATGGGGCGCACAGGTGCATATTGGTGCTTACTTTCATAATTTCATGGTTGTCAAACAATGATTCATGACTAAGAAAGAGAGGTGGAGAGGGCTTAAGGGAAAGAAGGGAGAGGAATGATGTGTTATTAAATGATATAAGATCGATAGTGAAACATATTTAATAACTCAACTTATTGAAACTAATTTGTTCTAGATATGGAGAAGAGGAAAAGAGATATAGAGAGAGAGGAAAGAACCAGGAGGACGACAAAGAAAGCAATGGAAAGAGGTCAGGTGGTTGTGAACGTTAGGATGTATTTTTTTTAACTTTATTATATGTTGAATGAGAACATGCAAAATTATGTTTAGAAATCTAAATTAAACTCCAAATATTAAAATCTTAAATCCATATCTTACACACTTATATTTTTTGAAATATGTCTAAAACTGATAAATAGGTTGGAAATTGATCAGACTGTGAAACCTTAAAACCACTTACTTTATTAACTTAATAATTTAAATTGATTGACAACTTTGTTTATTTCACACATATTAATACGGTAACAAAACTCATCTGGCCAACTGGCCGGGCAAAATTGCTTATGTACGGAGCCATCTGGTGGGACATGTGAGATGTGGCAATGTAAACTTAGTCCAGGCCCGATAGGTATGTACTTAAGTTCCCAAAGCCCATTGAAGGAATCCAGCTTGCTTTTCTATACATACTGTGTATACAGTCTCTACCCGCCTTTACGGTCAGTTTCATTCTGCCAGAACGTGTCACATTCACAAGGCAAATCCATTATCCATGGCTGCCGTTGTTCTGCTGCTGGCGATGATACGGTCACGGTGAATTTCCCTACATCCTCTTTGTCCTTTCTTTGTTTCACGGCTGCTGTTGTATTGGTTTTCTGTAAAACTAAAAAGCTTTCACCTATTGGGGATTTTGCTTTGATGAGCTCTGCTGCTGCTAAACGCTGCAGGGTTCATATTATACCCTCCTGGCATTCGATTGTTTGCCGCATAATTCATCTGGGATTCTCTACTTTTCCTAGCGCGGGATGGGATGGAATTCAATTTGATAGGATTGTTGTTCTCTGTAATGGTCTTCAGATTTCCCCCTTATTGGCCAAATTAAAAAGATGGATCATGTCAGGTTCAGACGAAATTCCATATTTCTGGGTGTTTGCGAATGTTTGATAGCTGTTAATTGGTTATTAGACTGTTTTCTGAGAATGGTGTAGAGAAGAGAAGTTAACAACTGTTTTGTGATGAAAAGGAGTGTGCTTTTTCATGCTTTGAGCTTGCCCAATTCCACCTAGTTCTTACATGTGAATTTGAAGATGCGTTTTGCCGTAATGTTTGGATCGTTTATTGATTCTTTGGTTTATTTTTATCTTTGGCTATATTATATAATGTCAGGTCCATGATCAACAAGGGTTTTCGCATGTGAAACAGTAAGCTTCTTTGAGTGAGGAGGAAGGTGCCAGATGTGTAGGAAACTTCCTCTGAAAGAGAAGTCCTTGTTTGGTCATCTTTTGTATGGTTTCGATATATGTTCTTGGAGTGATAAGCACAGAGAAGGGCACAAACTGATCTGGAGATACTGCACAGAAAGCTAGCGGTAATAGAGATAGAGGGAAATGGGGTTAGAAATCGCAGAGCCAAACTCCTGCATTAGAGGTTGCTGCGGCAGCAGTTCAATCCCACTCCATCTCCCACCTTCTTCTTACACCATCCTGTCCCCAATCGCGAAAGGAGCAGAGAGTGTGGTCTATGAAGCCATCCTGAATGGCAGAAAAGTTGCCGTGAAGAAACCCATATTGTCCACATCTGAGCACATGGACAAGTTTCACAAGGAGCTCCAACTGTTATGCACAGTGGATCATCCAGCGATATCCATGTTGGTAGCAGCCCATGCAAAGCCTCCGAATTACATGTTTTTCTTTGAACTCTTTGAACATGGAAGTCTCGCCGACAAATTGCATGCTGAAGAGTGGAATCCAAGCATCCATCAGGTCCTTCTTATCACTCTCCACCTTGCCAAGGCTTTGCAGTATCTGCACAAGCTTGGCATTGTCCATAGAGATGTGAAACCAGCAAACGTGCTTCTCGACGATAACCTTCATCCTCACTTATCTGACTTTGGCCTGGCAGAATACTGCAGCAATCTCAAACAAGTCTCGGCACAAAACTGGAGATCTTCAGGCAAGCCGACTGGTGGGTTTCATAAAAAGAATATGGTTGGGACACTTATCTACATGGCCCCTGAAATATTGAGGAAGGAGGTTCACACTGAACAATCCGATGTCTACAGCTTTGGGATAACAGTAAACGAGATTCTCACTGGTGTCGTCCCTTATACTGATCTACGAGCAGAAGCTCAGGCCCATACCGTGTTGGAAATGAACTATACCGAGCAGCAACTCACAGCTGCTGTGGTTTCTGATAAACTGAGACCTGCTCTTGCTACTCTTCCTCTCTCAGGTGGATCTCCACTGCCAAGTAGTCTGCTTTCTTTGATACAGAGGTGTTGGGATGATAAACCTGATAGCAGACCTTCTTTCAATGACATAGTTTCAGAACTAGACTTGATGATGGAGCAGGAATTGGTTTCAGTGGTCCCTGTGGATAAATTTAAAAAATCTTCTGTGACTTACCAGGAGGCTACTAACTGGTTCGATAAGGGCGAACAACTGTCAAAGGGAGCACCTTTTGCAGGTTTAAGCAATTGGGTTGATTCCTTGTTACAAGAATATCATCCAGTGCTTTCTTGTGGATCCTTTGCTTCTCGTGGTAGAAGGGAGACAATGGAGGATACACACTTCCTGAAGCCCAACTTCTGTAACGAAAACTTCATCCATTTTTTTGGTATCTTTGATGGTCATAGAGGTGGAGCAGCTGCTGAATTCTCGGCGAAAGCTCTGCCAGGGTTCTTGCACCATCCAGCTCAAACAACAGCAATAAGCAACAGCCCTGGAGATGCACTGATAGAATCATTCATCAAAACAGACATCGCATTCAGGAAAGAACTGGATTCCCATCGCATCACCAGAAAAAACACTCAGAAAGACTGGCATCCCGGTTGCACTGCTATGGCTTCTTTAATAGTCGGAAACAGACTGTTCGTTGCCAATGCAGGTGATTGCAGGACGGTGCTATGTCGAGCTGGCAATGCGTTTCCTCTGACCAAGGATCACACTGCGAGCGATCCTGACGAGAGGGAACGAGTTGTGAATGCCGGTGGAGAAGTCGAGTGGCGTGTTGACACTTGGAGGGTGGGTCGAGCTGCGCTTCAGGTTACTCGCTCAATCGGTGACGATGATCTGAAGCCTGCTGTCACTGCTGAACCAGAGGTAACGGAGACTAATCTAACGGAAGAGGACGAGTTCCTGGTGATGGCGAGCGACGGGTTGTGGGATTGTGTGAAGAACGATGACGTGGTGAGCATCGTTAGGGACACCGTGAAAGAACCCACGATGTGCTCCAAGAGACTGGCAACGGAAGCTGCAGAGCGAGGTAGTAATGATAACATTACTGTGATCGTGGTATTCCTCCGGCCAGTATCAACAGCAGAGCGAGTTTACTAGCCCGACAGGGAAAAAAAATAGTCTGGTTCGTGTTTATGTCTGTATATTATTCGAGTATACAGATTGTTTTGCTTGCTGATCGGCAGAAACACAAACGTTTTGCATTGCCATCTGACAAATGAATGAATTTGCGGAACAGAACTGATTATTGAGGTCTTTACATCAAACAACATGTGGTTTTGTATTAATGTTAACCATTTACTAGCGTAAGAACCGCCCTATTGGTCGAGTTTCTCGTACTTAGTTCACAACAAACAGCTGCAATTTGCTTTACACAGACGCTCAGCTTCTCTCCTAATCAACTTGGCCGTAGGCAGCAGTGGTGTACTAACTACTAAGTACGAACCATATATCCTAGGTGACAATGGTGTAAAAGGCCGAGCTCGAGCAATTGGAGTCTTCTTCAGAATCGGGTACCATGAGAGCCGTCTGTAGCCACGAAAAGGAAAGAGAGTTTAGAGTTCATCTTCAACAAAGAATAAGATCATATATGCACTGAAAACTATTTCCTCCTAACTTTCTTGCCAAACCAAAGAAGTGGTCTAGTATTTTGCCAGCTACCACCATGAATTTGAAGCATGTGTAGTTAGGCACGATGTCCCCAGTTCAAATCAACACTTTGCAGGAAAGATATCTCATTACAAGCTTAAAGCCAAACCGAAGAATGGTAGTCATACCTTGTATTACCTATTTTGCATGCTCTCTCTTGAAGGGTCCTAGAACCACAACATTAGCAGACTCTTCAGTTAGCTCCATTCGCTGCATTACCTCCATGTCCCTGTGATACGAGAATACCGCACAATTAGGTTAAGAACTGATATGCTAATGCTTTGAAACTGGTGGAGGGTGTTTATAGTGCAGCACAGACCCTAATACAGCTAGAGGATAAGAAGTACCTGGTTAGATGGATCTCTACCATTAACCCGCCAAGGGCTGGAATTAAGGTCTATCAAATTGTTTCCCATTGCTCCATTCCTGCCAACCGAATTGTTGTTCTCTGCCACCGGAACAGGAGAAACCCTACGATCTTGCTGAGTTTCTGGCTTCATACCTTTAGGTGGCGGCATTTGATCCCTCGTAACATCATTTTGATCCTCCAAATGGCCTGGCTTGTCACCTGGAAACTAAAAACAACACGCAAATCAACAGGACCAAACCCCATGTTAATTTTCTCAGTAAGACCTCTCTTTCTTTCTTTCTTTCTTTCTTCCGCTGCAAGGTTTCAATACAGAGGGGAGAGACACAATCACACAAACCTCCACCCTCTGCCTCAGCATGAGATATCTCCCGTGCGTCCTTTTCCCACCAACATGCACAGCCATATCGCATTGCAGGCACAGCGAAGTACCATCAACCTCGCAATAAAAGAACGCTACAACGAACGTTGTTCGTATACACGGGTTAAGTTTGCGAGCGAATCAACCACCAGAGCAGCACCATCCCTAATCCCCCCTCACATACCAGGTTCATTTTCACAAATGTCACAGCGAGGAACAGCGCTCGGAACTGCCAGCCCAACCCGCACGTGCCGGCTAGCTAGCTTGTTGCACAAATGAACCTACAAGCAAACGAGCCACCGAAAGAGCGTCGCCATCACAAACTAACTACAGCTAGAAACTCTTTCAAGCAAAATAGCACATGAAACCTCCATTGCCGCTAGGCCACACAGAACATGCTATAATAATAAGCAAATTTCCGATCACCAAATCTTCGTTCGGCGACTACAATCACCGGTGATTTGACCGAGTATCGGAATCTGAACTACTTAATCGTACGAGTGAATTCTAACCTTATCGTCGCAGGCGCGGCAGAGAGCGGCCTCGTCGGCGGCGCAGAAGAGGATGGCGGCGGCGTTTTCGCACACGTCGCAGAGCGTCCGCATTTTGCTAAGCGTGCAGTATTTCGGCTTGCTCCTCCTCCTCTTCTTCTATCTCCCGGTCCTCGGAACCTCTTCTTCTACAAATCCTCTTCGGTTCTCCGCTTCGTCAACGCCATTGAAACCGCAGATTTTAACGAGCTCCAGATCCCCGCAGCGAAGATAGAGGAAATCGGCGGGGAATTTTGATTTATATGGCGGAGGGTTTAACGGCAGCTGGGAGACGGAACACAAATTTTGGTTTGAAACTGAAGCCGCTTTCTACTTTCCAGGCGAGAAAATTTTCTGGAAGAAGAGAAAGGAAAAAAAGAAAGTTGGGGGCCATAGCCGTAAGGGAGCATTTGACGCCGGCCACACGAATTTATGTTTTTCTCAATTTTGGGATTAACGACAGCCACACGATTTTGGTTTAGTGGAATCATTACGCCTCTGTTTTCTTTTGCAAATTTGAGATTATTAATCGAAAACATAGAAAACCAAAAATACTTGCCTACTTTGGCAAGCTATCCCCATCAAGATTCAAGCCACAGATCTTGGTCAGTAATCAGCCCAGTGATTTTATGTTCTCTCAGTAATAGCAAATCGAGTAAGATCGACAAAACTTTCAACGAACATCGTGTTGCAGCTAACGCAAATACCAACAGCCATTTGGCATCCTCATAATTTTGTGCTTGTCAAGCAGAGGCTACTTGATCGAATTGCTTCATTTTGAAATGAATTGGGTCAAATTGTCTCGTCCAATCCCATCATTCAATCACATTTTTTCTTATTGAAATGATAATAGTATATAGACATTAGACAAATCAATAGGCGTTGATTAAACATGAGGAATTTGCTTGCTACGATGACTTGGACAAAATGATAGATCGCTTTCGGAAAACGGCCGATCGAATGATATAACTGCAATGTTGCAAAGGAAAAAAAGTGGCCGACAGATTGATCATTACATTATAAGTGTTGGAGGAGGATCACGATTCCACCCCTAGATAGGTTTGAATACTAAACAATTACTTTGGTATCACTCAACCCGAGTTAATAGCAACAAATACCTCTATAAATAACAATATATGATATTAGTTTATTACTGTAACAACCGTGCACATAAATTACGTGGCTTTTCATGTTGGTGAAAAGAAATGATGACAAAACATTTTTTTTTTTTTTTACAAAAGATATCTTGTATTGATAGAAGCAAATCGATAATTACATCCTGGAATTCAGCCAGGCCTGAAAGTCAAAATAACGACACGTAGTTGGGGACAAAGACAGGGCCTGTCTAGCTACAACATGAGCTACCCTATTGCTACCCCGACCTACAAATCGTACAGTGAAGCCCGGATAAAGTGTAAACAGCTGAAGAATCTCTTCTAAAATAGCCCCAACCCGACTATCCCGCACGCACATCACCCTGGTCCAGCTTCTCAATGATCACTTTGGCGTCCCCTTCAAATCGCATAGACACAAAACCCTGCACTATACACCATCGGATTGCTTCGCGGAGGGTAAGTATTTCCGCCACCATAGGGTCCTCCAGCAGAGGGAACTGAACGCCAGCCGCCCAAATGGTCGCCCCTGCCTCATTAAGAAGCACAAAACCTCCTGCAGAGTGCGACCCTAACCGGACTGCTCCATCCCACCGACACACAGGCCCTCCTGCTGCACCTAAACCCGTTGCACTAGTGCTAGGAGGAGACCGCGAGGAAGGCCGGGGATCGCTAGGTAAGCTCAACCATTCCCCTACCTGTTGGTGATACTGCCTCATCAGAGCAAGGATACTAAACTGCTTTCCTTCAAAGACCACCCAATTCCGGGACCGCCAAATCCTCCATAGGATAGCAATTACTCCCATGAACTGCGAGGGGTGCTGCAAAATAGCCAGCAACTTCTTCAGGAATAGAGGGAAAGCATGCCTAGGCAATCCTTCGCCAAGATGATCTAGACCAGACTGAATCCACAAGGCCCTGGCCACCGGGCAATCCAGAAACAGATGCTCCATCGTTTCCGATGGAGCCCAACACACAGGACACCGAGGAAGGACTTCAATTTTCCGTTCGATTAGCGCCTCAATAAAAGTAACTGTTGGTGCAATGCGTGTAGATCAACCAGTCGTCGCCGCCACCGTCATTTGTCTAGTTGACCTTTTAGGTGCAATTGTCTTTATCTTGTCTTTATAGTATTACCAACAACATTTACTTTATATATGAAAATATCTTTAGTTCTAACCCCCTAACTGTCACGGATCGACCTCTCCTCGATGTGGTCGATGATTTACTAATAAACATCATTGGATCGACTACAACATGTATGTAATCGACTTTTCAATTGTAATGATGAATGTCATTGTTAATTTACCATTCGGTGAACCACATTGTTAATGTAACAAACTAATTTTTTTTCTTTTTCAAATCACAATAACTTGGAAGTGATGATAGCATACTCCAATCTCACTCACTATGAGCAATCTTATGAACCAACCAATATTGAATGATTGAAGGTGAGGCCATCACCACATAATTAACCAACTCGACAACCCCAGCAAGCGATAATTCAATCATCTCTTACTCAGATCGCGAGTGCACAAAGCCAGGCCATGTCTGCCAGCCAGCTACCTCAGCGCTCTTATTTATTATACGGTGATCCGTATTTCGATTCCAAATATCGCATGCTAATTACGAAAGCGATGAAATTTGGTTTCTTCCAATCTTTTCCCAGTGACCAAACAGCAGAACAGGAAAATAAACAGCAAATCCAGGGGAATCCCACCAATATAATCGACAGGGACTCGGATCTCTTCAATTGCATAACCTTCCAGCGTGCTTCTGCATGTCCAAAATCGAACCTTTAAGGGTTCCCAGATATAAAGATAACTGTTGCTGCCGCGCCGGAGCAAGAGGCGGCCGAGGGGAAGATAGCGGACTTCAGTACGGCGGCGGAGAGGCTCATCGGTGGGAAGAAAGGGAAGGGGAGACGAAAGAATCCAAACCCAGAAGAATACCATCATATCCTTCCTGCTTATTCCTTCTCCACCCTGGGAATGGTTCCAATCATTCGTTAATCGTCGGGACCCAAATCCTCGAGGATCCCTCAATCGCCAGGTGCCGCCTTTCCCGTTGCAATTGGATGAATTGAGTAGGAGAGAATCGAGCACTTCCAATTCTGCTGGAAGGGTTGAATTTCTCGGACTTTCTTTGGGTTTTCCCTTTGTTTGGAACGGAAAGCTGGAAAAGGTGCCATTGGTGCTTGTTGGTTTTCTTTTATCTTGTGTTTCGTTCTGGTCTGTGTGAATATCAGCTGTTAGAGCTAGTTGCCAATGGCGGATCTCAAAGAGCGCTTGCTTCCACCAAAACCAGCATCAGCTGTAAACCTTAGGGATGCTTCATACAGGCCATCTGCTTCCGGTCGTCAACCATTTCAAGGGGTGGATGTTATGGGTTTGAAGAAACGTGGGCAAGGCCTGAGATCTTGGATTCGGGTTGATTCATCTGGCAACTCCCAGATAATCGAGGTCGACAAGTTCACTATGATGAGGCGCTGCGATTTGCCTGCGCGTGATCTCCGGCTTCTCGATCCCCTGTTTGTCTACCCTTCAACGATTCTTGGACGAGAGAAAGCTATAGTTGTGAACTTAGAGCAGATTAGGTGCATAATTACAGCTGATGAGGTTCTGCTTCTGAATTCGCTTGACAACTATGTGTTGCAGTATGTGGTGGAGCTGCAGCGGCGTCTTACTACAGCTGCAGTAGGTGAGGTTTGGCAATCGGAAGGTCCTGAATTGAATAGAAGGAGGAGTAGTAGGAACTACGATAACGTGTTTGGAACTCCATCCCCTGATTACTTGCCCTTTGAGTTTCGGGCACTCGAGGTTGCTCTGGAGGCTGCCTGCACTTTCCTTGATTCTCAGGTGTGTGATGAAAAGAACTCCGACTTGGTTTGTTTCATCAATCTCATCTCTACTTGCCCAAACACACAAGCGTTTACATATGAAGTTAACAATATTTCATAGTGACTGATTTCTTGCACTCTCTTGCTACTTGGTTGATATATGTGGTGCAACTCTTGGAAATGGGTGAATCAAGTTGTTCATTGTATTAGATGTAGCATAACTGCTATTTCTTTGTAGCTTAAGTAAACAATTCCAGTTTATTGTTATGAACTTTGCATGGCCTTTACCTGGCATTTTGGTGGACAGTTAGGTAGATTGATTGTTATTCATGGTTCATGGGTAATTTGTAATTCTCCATGGGAGAATCTGAGCTAAAAATTGTGCTCTTTTGGACTCTATTATACTTATGGTTATGTGTTCATGTTGAATGACTGGATAGATCATTAACCTTGCCAGTCTATCTTGAGGTTAAATCCAATTGTAGCTTCAATTTAGTTAATACTGATGAAACTGTCAAGTTTATTATAGTTAATTGTTTGGTAGTGGGTAATTGCTACTTGCTAGTAGTTCTTCAATGATATGCTCAGGTGTTTAGGTTCTTTCACATATATCCTCATTGGATGTGAGAGGTATTCTAGCTGCTTGACCAGTTGTACAGATTATACGAACCTCGTTTACAAAGTTGGGTTCTTGGTTTGCTGCAATTTGTAGATGATATGTTAAGGCTTCATGCATATGCTTTATTTTACCTATGATTTGTTAGAAGAAATGCTTAAAGATTTTCGATGTCCCTGTAGGTCCCATCATATGCCAGAGTTTTTTTTTTTAATGAATTTTGCATTGTAATGCATAATGCTTCCTGCTAGGGGCTGTGCCTAAAGAACTTGTAATCTATTCTATCAAAACTCTCCCTTGAGGAAATTCAGGGTTGATTATCCTAGGAAGAGCTGGCGTGAAGAGATTCTCGGTATATAATGTCTCAGCAATTCCTTGTCTTCTTGGGCATTTTTAACTCCTTTTATCACAAAATAATGATCATATTAATACTGGACGTGGAACACCAGCTTGGCTTCCTCATTATTAACATATATTGTGTACATGTTGCTCCTGTCCATAGACATGTAAGAAAGTATCAGCCTAATTGGAGTAATGGGAGCCTTTGTGCCCAGTTAGGTTTTGCTTGTTTACATACATTTAAGAAAGGAGCATCTGCCTATCGAGTAATGGGAGCCTTGTGCTCAGTTAGTTTTTCTTGGTCATACATATGTAGAAAATTGAGTATCCCCCTAATTGTAGTAGTGACTAGTGAGAACCTTGTGCACAATTAGGTTTTGCTTGGTCTGTTATCTTCCATTGTTTAAAACTCTGCTGCAATTTAAGTTGGCAATTTCATTTCATCCAATCAAAGGCAGCAGAGTTGGAAATTGAAGCCTATCCATTGCTAGATGAACTGACATCCAAGATCAGCACACTCAATTTGGAAAGAGTGCGTAGATTAAAAAGCAGACTTGTAGCCTTAACCAGAAGAGTCCAGAAGGTAAAAGGCATTCCAGATATGTCCTCCGAAATTCTAAATATGAACATTTTGTTAAAATGTTACGTGTTCTTGCTTCTCTCTTGGGCCATATGATCCAGGTTAGGGATGAGATAGAGCAGCTAATGGATGACGATGGAGATATGGCTGAAATGTATCTCACCGAAAAGAAAAGTCGGATGGAGTCACCATTTCATGAACAGGGTTCCATGGGATTCAGGTCAAATGATGGAGGGGTATCGGCATCAGCTCCAGTTTCCCCTGTTTCTTCACCACCTGATTCCCGGCGGCTGGACAAGTGCTTGAGCATTGCACGGAGTCGACATGAGAGCATGAGGAGCTCAGAGAGCGGAACAGAGAGTATAGAGGAGCTGGAAATGTTGCTCGAAGCATATTTTGTGGTCATTGATAGCACCTTAAACAAGTTGACATCGGTAACAGCTCAATTTTTTGTTGCGTCTTATGTTTTTCTATTTGTATGTTGCCTCACTACAAAATTCTTGTTATTGGCTTATTAATTTTGAGTTTGTTCAGTTGAAGGAGTACATTGATGACACTGAAGATTTCATCAATATCCAGCTGGTACTGCTCTTTTCCCCTCATTCCAGCCTCTTTTTTTTTCTCAAATAGAAGCAAATAGAAGTGAAATGATTGTTGAATCAAACAGAGGGGCAACAGTCTCAGTGATCTGGAACTTGAACCCGGAACCTGAAGCAAGAACTACATTCTAAGTTGCCATTGCCCAATGGTGCTTTAATGTTGCTTTCACTTAGACAAACGTCGCAGCAGAAGTCAGAGTCTTGTGATTCTTACTACTAAGTTGAGATTCATGGTCTGCAGGATAACGTCAGGAATCAGCTGATCCAATTCGAGCTTATACTCACCACTGCTACGTTTGTCGTGGCGATTTTTGGGGTGGTAGCAGGTATTTTCGGCATGAACTTTGCGATACCCCTGTTTGACGACCCGGGTGCTTTCAAGTGGGTGTTGATGATAACAGCAGTATGTGGGATTACCATATTCTGTGCATTTGTATGGTTCTTCAAATACAGAAGACTCATGCCGCTATAGAAACACCATTTTAGATGTTGCTAATTTGTACTGAACAGAGTCTTAGGACTTTCCAAAATTATAGTTGCAACTTGCAATGTCTCTGCAATATGTATGCGAATGGACTGAGGGAAGTGGAAATGTGCCTCTTTCTCTCTTTTCTCTCTGAGCATTATCCAGTCCCTTTTTGAAAGGGATAACGATTTCTCAAGTCCCTGAATTTTATTACTTTCAACAAAAATGCCCCCATTTGAGTTTTTTCTTATAGATACGCCCCTGAATTGTTCACATTTTGGCAAATGCAACCTCTCGCTAAACCTTTTCTCCGAGCTGTGGTTATACATTGGTTTCATAAAGGTGACACAAATTGAAACAACGAAAGAACAACGGTGGTGATACTGCTAACGTTTGTGTTCTCGTTTTTATTTTAGCACAAACACGAGCGATCGTTGCGACGCTAGTCGATAACTAAGATACTTGGACTGGTAACGTTGAGGTTGTTGTTACAATGAGCAAACTAATTTGTTGAGTGATACTGGTCGAGACTCCGGCAAGTGAGTGACAAAAAAATTAATTGGAGGAGCTTTTCGTTAATATATATATAGCTCATGGAGTATTTTGTCCAATAATTCAAGTTGAGGGGCATATTTGTTACAGGTATAAAGTAGAGGCGTTACATTGATCCCACGCTCGCTCGCCGCCGTTCACTAATTAGCTGTTACTCGCGTTCGTCCCCGCTCCGCTCCGGTTTCTTGTCTCTCCCTTCAATCGCCATTGTTGGCACCAGTCTCCATCTAGCGATACGAAGCAATTTCATCTCGCGTACTTCTTTCATTGCCAAGAAGTCGGAGTTTCCTCTCCCTCCCGATCTGTTGTAATCGTTCACTTTCTTCCACTCCCGCAGAGGTACGTTTTCCCTCTTTCTCTCTGTATCTCCCGAATCCAAAAACTATGGCGGTATATCATGAGCAGTTGATTGATTCGGATAGATGATAGATCTTCCTGATTGTGTTGGAACTTCATTTCGTAGAATTCTGAGTTCATTCATTTTTCCTGGTTTGAAACTTTGAAGGGACATGGCGACCACTGCAAGTTTTATCATCGTGAGCCGGAATGACATCCCGATATATGAAGCTGAAGTCGGATCTGCTACTAAAGTAATTTTTTTTTTATCTCTGCTCTTGTAAATTGGCATGACAATTCATGTAGCCATTTTCGTTTCGAATTCATCATGAACATATGTGAAAAATGAAATCTTTAGATTGAGCAATGCCTTTCAGATTGAACCCTAAGAAGAAAAGTTGTTGAAAAGTTATCTTCTACTGTATATTGCATTCACGTTCATGTTTCCCTTTTGGATCATGACTACAGAGAGAAGATGCTGCTCAGTTGCATCAATTTGTACTACATGCGGCGTTGGATATTGTTCAGGACCTTGCTTGGACCACTAGTGCTATGTAATTTCCGATCCTTTTAACCCTGTTTTCATCATTCATTGATACATTTTCATTTCCGTTTTAGTATCCTCATCTCATCGAAATGATATTTGACGGTTTGGTTTATTTCCTTGCTTGTGTAACAGGTTCTTGAAAAACATTGATAGGTTCAATGACCTGGTGGTATCAGTGTATGTTACAGCTGGTCATATCCTTTCATAGTTCGATTTCCTTTGGCATTCGATTGCCAGCATCTTAATGAGTAGCTGTTCGCAAAAATGAATAATGAAAACTTGTGGAAACATTATCTGAACTTAGTATAACCCTCTCTTACTAGTTGCCCGATTGATTATAGTTTCAAGTTACCATGTATATGGTATACCTCTTTGATTTCTCATTCCACACTTGTTGTGGCGATTACCATTGTGTCTGCATCAGCATCACAATGTCAGGGTCTCTAAACATACATACCACTCGATTTGCAGTCTGAGGCACTATCTTAATGTGCCCTACTCTTGGATAGATAAGTCAGTAAGTTGCATCAGATTAAGGTACTCAGAATCAGGTATTTCCTTGACATTTCCAAACATACACGATTGATGCTACTTCACGACTCTCGTAATGATGATGGGATCAAGAGCTTTTTCCAGGAGGTGCATGAACTTTATATAAAGGTAAACTTCCTTCAACTTGGATGCTCCGTTCGTGTGTTGGTTTTTCATCTGTCAACAGTTGAAAAAACTAGCTGTGTCTGTTAGTTCATATGAGCTGAAATGCATGAATTATGAATATGAGTGAGGGTAAAATGTGTCATAGGTTCCCACAACCTATGATCAGAAATGTGTCATAGATTTCAAGAACCAATTTTGGCTACTGTTAGTTCTTCACCTAGGTTCGTCGGAGAACCTAAACTATGACCCTGGAAGTAAGATATCTTGATATCAAATTTTGAAGCTATATCTATGATAAGATGCCGTTGTTACCTTTCACATGACTTTTGGCAACTCTCTGGTGCATTTATCTTCTGCATAGCTCAAGCACTAGGAATCCGTACACCCTTAATTTTAGAGTTTTAGCGTTATAATTCTAACAGAGAGTTTCAGCTCTTCAAGTACTGAGCAAATAGCAATCTCATGCAGAAGTTCATATTAGCACTTTGCCAAGTCACTTAAAATCTTAAAATTCTATGCTTCAGGTTCTTTTGTAGAACCTTGGTGTTCCTGTACAGAGCAATTTTCCATCCGTTCCTTTTTTAACGTATGATGATCAATGCAGGTACTGCTGAACCCCCTCTACTTGCCTGGTGCCCGCATCGCGTCTTCACATTTCGACACAAAAGTCCGCGCTCTAGCTAGAAAGTACCTGTAATTGTGCAAACGAGCTCTTGCCAGCTCTTCAAAGTAACATGATCTACAGGTTTTGCACAAATGGCTCTTGCAATTCAGCAGGGAGATTCTTCTTACTTCTCTACTTGGGCTCCCCTTGATTTGGATGTCATTTGGTGAGATTGGTGATGTCAAGAAGACTTTATGTTTATAAACCCCGTTTGACCAAAATTGTATCTTTAATGTTTCTCCACATGATCAGCAATGTTGATTATTGAATGTTCAGCATGTGATTAAACATTGAAACAAATGTAGCCATGCCTGAATAATTTTGCTTAAATAAGTACAGTGATATCAGGTTGGATGTCTTAAGTCCCTTTCCTTATGTCATTCATCCACAACAAACCCTAGCTCCTATAAAGTTTATGTTGGTCCTTTGGAAGTTGCTCTCCTCCAATGGTTGACCTATACTCGATTTTTTATTTTTAATGTAGTTCAACCAAATCGTTATCGTTGCCATGTCGAATGTGCTTCACCAAACCCATTGAATTTTTGTTATTTGAAGAATACACCAACCTCTGGAGTTAGAGTTCTCTATAAATTAAACTATGTAATGGTCAAGTTCTCTATAAATTAAACTATATTGCGGAGATGTTTAAACGGAGTGTTTTTAACGTGATGAATATTCCTTTTAGGCTGGTTGTTTAGTTTAAATGAAAAGAAGGAATTAAAATATGCCAAATATGATAAATAAAATCGACAACGAGACAAATCGGAAAACAACGAGTTAAGAACTGGTTAGAACATGACGCTAGTAGTACCCATACCTACCCCGCCCCCCTTCCCCCTCCTAGTACGAGTTGGATACTACCCACTCCAATACAGATCAAATCGGATAATAAAACATCTACGAATTCAAATTGACATCACTAAATCCCCCACGCTTCCATTCTATCTCATTTTCTCTAGACATGTACCCTCTCAGATGGGCAAAATTCTTCTCTTTTTTCAGAGAGAGTTAAAGTTGAGAAGGTGGGTATGATTGGTTGGTTGATGGACCGGTAACCACCAAGAACGGTGATGGAGTAGGGTTACATTAGATCGGACCTTCCCCTCCTGTGACTGTTTTGATTGCATTTGTTTTTAATTTTTGGTTGCCTCTGTTTCTGAGTTTCTGCATAGAGATGCTCTGTTTCTGTTGTGCTCTGTTCTTCTTGACTGGGTTTAATTTTCCCACCGAAATGGGCTGCCCGCTCTCCACGCCGAGCTATCTTATCTATTTCTCAACCAACAAACGCGCACATTATGATTACTATAAAACCATGATGGTGTCCGGCGGTGCAACATGGAAACCACTACTACTTTCCCCAATTTATTATTATTATTGCTGTTGGTCCATTTCCATGGCGGAAGAAGCAAGCAAAAGACTAATCAGTAAGAACCAAACAAAATGACCAATGCATCAAATTGGATCTTGGTTCGTTCCAGCATGGATCAATTGCCAATCAAATGACCTTTGAACCAATGAGTTGCCTTATCAGGAAAAAAGTAGAGAGATTCCTTGTGTTGAGATTCATGATACTGTGTTATGATTATCATAACGATGGGATCGGAAAGAAAATCGAAAATTGTTGTTTTGTAGAACGAGATGAAACTAGATTTTCAATAATTCGTTCATCTTAATGATGTGATGTGAGTTGTCGGGAGAAATTCGATTTGAATTGATATATAATTTTTTTCATATATTTTGTGAACACAAGTATAACTCATTTTATCGAAACTCGTAGAGATCTACTGTGTTGTGTGTTTGGAGTTTAAATCATCTGTTAATACGAAGAGTGATTCCACGAGAATGATGTAATTTGACTTAATTGTCTCATCTCACATTAATACTTATCCCCGTTCTTGTTAATTCAAATGGATGCAAATTGAGACAATTTGAGTTTTCATCGATTTGATTTACGCCTCCTCATTTTGTATGGCTAAACGATACAATTTAATCTAGTGGTATTGTTTGAGCCAAATTGTCATCCAGTTTCATCCCACTCATATAATTCTTCCATAACCTTAATTTTAGTATTATTTTGATTAGTTATTTAGTTTAATTAAATGTTAATTCTAGTCCTATAGTTTAGACTTTAGAGGTAGCCTTTATTCGATCGCACGTGACTCAACCCTTCTTCACTTTATCTTTAGAAAAAGAGAGGAACTTGCGCTTAAAAAAAAAAGAAAAAGAAAAAAGGAACTGAGCAACATAAGAAAGCTGGGCAAAAGAAGAAATCATTTGCTTTCAATAATTAATTCTCTCAAAGCTCCAACTACATATGCAGACTTTTGGGGAATTCTTGGAAACCTCTTAATTGCTTTCATAACTTAAGAATAGTGATGTTTACACGAGAAATAACTCATAATTTAGCGTTCTAAACTGATGAAAAATATATAAAAATTCATTTCATCGTATTGGATGGATCTGTCCGAAGTCTAAAATTCTTCCTTTTTATTTGTTACTTGCTAATTTTATAACAAGATAGACATTAACTAAATAAATTTTCAAACATTCATTTTTTACGTTTAGAATCCAACTAAACATATTTTCTTATCAACCACTATTAATCTTGCAAACCGTTTAAGTTAAAATTAATATAAGATATCGTTATAACTACTCGTACTTAAAGAGATTTTTAGGACAACAACTGAAATTCAAATTAGAAAACAAATAACAAATGAGATTAGAAAAAATAAAATAAACAAATGCATAAAACTAAAAAATGTTTATTTTTTCGTATAAATAAACAAAAAAAATGTTTCTGAAATTAAAATATATTAAAAAAAGAAGGAAGAAAACGAAACTTCAACGGCGCGGCATGAGTAGCAGCTTCCCACTCCAACGCTCCTTCCCCTTCCCTCCTCCGCTGTTTCCTTCTCCTTCCTCCACAGACAGAGAAAGCGAAGAGAGAGCGAGAGTCAAGAAACCGACGCCAAGGCTTTCTTCCTCCTGTAATGTTCTGCCCTCCCTCTCATTCTCTTTTTTGTTTCTCCCAACATTCCCATTCTCAATCTCAAGTTCGTCCTTGGTTTTTTTTTTTTTGGTGTGCGCGCATGTTTCTATTTTTGGCCATTGAAAAGGAAATTTCTGCTTCACTGTTCCATAGCTCCTTTCTGCTCACAGTTTCCCGCTTTGCGTCACTTTATTCCTAATTTTCGGCGGGGAGCTTCGTTCCTTGATTTCGACTTCATTCCTTGAGTAAATAATGGGTTCCTCACGATTTTGCGGCTGAACCCTTTTCCTTTCTCCGAATCAGTTGATCGCAAGGAAGAAAACCCAGTTGCAGGTTTGCTTGTTTTTGTTTTCACCGATTCGAGATTTTCTGAAGGAGGAAATTGATGGAAGATGAAAAGATGGGTTGGGCTTTGGATTCCACTGCTTTGTTTTCTTCTAAACCTCTCTCTCCCCGAATTTTCTGAGCCAGTAGACAAGGGTTTTTTGCTTTTTGTTTACTGAGAGCTACAAAAATGGTAGTTTTTAAATGTTTGCATAACGGGATCCCTTTTAATGGCAACGGTTATCAGATTTATATGAAACTCGGGGATGGAAACATAACTCAGTCTCACCACTTGCATTAATCAAATCCCAAAAGCCAGGGATTTCATTTTCGTCCTAGATTTGCAGAAAGGAGTTCATTTGTTTCTGTTCCAATTTTTTTTCCAGATCAGGGCAGCAAAGCAAGTGAGGAGGTGGAAAGTGGCGTCGTAATTTAAATCACTGGTTCAATCTACTTCCCTTCCCCCCCATTACCTTATCTGAAGCTGCCGGCACTGCACAACTGTGAACCGTGTTCACTCAACTTTACTCGTCTAGCATTGAAAACGACTCGGAGTTTGTAGCTACACTTACCATTTCTCTGTCGCTACCTTACTCTTTTGATGCTTCTCTGCTAGAGAGAAGAGCTGGGGAAGGGGACCATGTGCATGCAGCAAAAGATCCAAAAGCTTCGCTTTTAAAGTCTCCCAGTTGGGGGTGAGTAGCTTCAACAATTCTCTGGCTTGGTGTTGAAGCAATTCGTCTGGTTTTTGTCAGGCAGCTAATTGAAAATCCATTCCGCTTGTGGGTTATGATTGGATTGACAATGGCAATTGATGAATGTTGAAGGAATGACGCTTTTTGAGGTTTCTTCACTTTAATTATTGTTTTTCCCTTCTTTGTTCACTTATTCTTTATAATGGATTTGGTTTTCCATATATAAATGATCAATCTTGGGACTTAAGGTTACGCAAGAGTTTTCAATCTTATCTACCCTTCCACGATTATCTTCCTTTTCTCAGTTGTTATTTGCCTTAATTTTCTTTTCGAGCTTCCTATTTGGTGCTCTCGCTCGAATATATATTTTGCTATCTTCTTCGCACTTTCACGCTTGGCAGTTGTCATTGCCCCATTGGCCTTCTCTTTTCTCTTTTCTTGGTCTCCTAAAGTTGGGTGTAAATTTATTAGGTGGTTAGTTAGAGCCAACAATTTTAGCTTATTTTGATGGAAACCTTCGATTAATACTCTGCTTCTTTTACGTCTTCTAATGTGAGTACTTACTCCTTGGGTTAGTTGGATAATGATGGTGATTAACTTCTTGAGTACAGTCAGTTTGGGTGGTGAAGGAAGGGAAAGAATGGAGTGCAATGGCTTTAGCGACAATGCAGCAACTTTACCTATAACAACTTAAAACCGTCTTGCTTTGTGGGGAAGAAGTAGCTAAGTGTGAGTGCTTTTGACTCAAGAGAGTTAAGGTCTGCTATTTTTACAAGTTTTTGAGACTGATGGGGTTGATTTGATTCAGTGTCGTGAAAACAATGGGGTCAATTGGAGCTGAAAGCTCACCGAAGATGGAGAAGATGCAAATGGCGGCGAGTACACGAGAAGAGAAGATTCTTGTATTGGTGAGGCTCAGACCTTTGAGTGACAAGGAGATCATGGGAGATGAAGTTGCAGATTGGGAATGTATTAATGATACTACTGTCTTGTACCGGAATACCCTCCGCGAAGGCTCCACATTTCCCTCTGCCTACACTTTTGGTAAGTCGAGTGCTCTTGGCCAAATTGGTAATTGTTCATCTCGATATGCTGCTGTTCCACAAGATTCTTTAGCATTGGTATTCATCTGGTCTTGTTTTTGAATCCTCTAGATGCCACCACCATAAGTATTCTGTCTTTATGATCCGAAATAGCTGTAGTTAAATTGAGGCTATTAAGGGGTTCTTCACTTCCCCATTCTATTTCGAGCTGATATAAGGTCTTATGGTAAACTCTAGTCCTTGTTGAATGCTTGTATAGGATTCAGTCTAAATCCTTGACGTTGTAGCTTCCTGGCTACTTGATCCATTCTTAACGCATTGCTATTAGGCTCCAATGTTCAAGTTGCAGAAACAGAAGCATCTGAGGAACTCACATAATACTGTAATGTGCTTGTCAGTGTTCTTGGTTTGGCTCCAAGTGTCAGCTGTGTTTTTTTCACTCCGGGCTGCAGACTGCAGTTGCAGGCAGGAAGCTTTGTAGCAGACTGCATGATACACTGTTTTTCAGCCCATTAAGGGATTTTATTGAATATGTTTATTATCAAGGCAATACTTGATTGCCAGAAAGCCTCTGATTCTGATGAATGTACTTTCTGCCCTGCTCTTCTGGAGGATAGATAGAGTGTTTCGGGGTGATTGTACGACGAGGAAAGTGTATGAGGATGGACCCAGAGAAGTGGCTCTTTCAGTTGTTAGTGGCATTAATGGTAAGCACGGTATTGCTGTCTTGATTTGAAATTTATCTTTCAATTTTGTAATCCTAACTTGCAATCTATTTGACTTTTTCTCCAGCAAGCATATTTGCTTATGGTCAAACAAGCAGTGGAAAGACTTACACAATGAATGGTATAACTGAGTATACAGTAGCTGACATATTCGACTATATAAACAGGGTATATTCAGAATTCTAACTCGCACTTCGATCGATTTGTTAGCTTAGAGGGTATTTTACTTATGAGGAATGTATGTGTTGCAGCATGAAGAAAGAGCCTTTGTTCTGAAGTTTTCAGCAATTGAGATATACAATGAGGCTATCAGAGATCTCCTAAGCGCAGATAACACTTCACTTAGACTTCTAGATGATCCAGAGGTGAATTGTGTTACTTTATCACTTGTTGGCTTGGGCAAAGGAGTTATTAATTGAGAAAGTTTCTTACTTGCTCTATATTTTGTTTCTTTCCCATTTTTCTCTCAGAAAGGGACTGTGGTGGAGAAAGCCACTGAAGAGACGCTAAGGGACTGGAACCATCTAAAGGAGCTCCTATCAGTTTGTGAAAGTAAGCATTTGTAAACACCTTTCCTTCTGAGAAATGATTATTACTGAATCTTCTCTATTGGTATACAGCTCAAAGACGGATAGGGGAGACCTTTTTGAATGAGAAAAGCTCTAGATCACATCAGATCCTTAGATTGGTACTTCCAGACCTCTTTGATTCTTATGGTTTAACATTATCTTATGATTGTATCCATATTCTTCATTCTCTAACACATGCTTCTTGTTTGATTATCAGACGATTGAAAGCTCTTCTCGTGAGTTCTTAGGCAAAGAAAACTCGACCACTCTTTCTGCCACTGTGGTATGTATTGCTTCTGGTTGATGGTTTGTCGGACTAAATTGATAAAATATTGTCCAAGCTGTAGAAGAATTGCTGTAACTTTTAGCTTTTTTGGCAGAACTTTGTCGACTTGGCAGGGAGTGAACGTGCATCTCAGGCACTGTCGTCTGGGACAAGATTAAAGGAAGGATGTCACATTAACCGCAGTTTGTTGACTTTGGGTACCGTTATTCGTAAGCTGAGGTAAATGAAAATTCTATGTATTTCTTTGATTCGCTGCACTTTTATCCTTCAGTTAGAGAACAGTGTAAAGACCTTTTTGCTAAGAATCCTCATTTCATCTTCTAATAACAGTAAGGGGAGAACTGGACACATCAACTACAGAGATTCAAAACTTACTAGGTTGCTGCAGCCAGCTTTAGGTGGCAATGCTAGAACTGCCATCATCTGCACATTGAGCCCTTCACGCAGTCATGTTGAGCAAACTAGAAACACACTATTATTTGCATGTTGTGCTAAAGAAGTCACTACGAAAGCACAAGTTAATGTTGTCATGTCCGATAAGGCTTTGGTCAAGCATCTGCAAAAAGAGTTGGCTAGATTGGAGAGCGAACTGAGAAGTCCTGCCCCAGCTTCATCAACTAACGATTATACAACGCTATTGAGAAAGAAAGACCTTCAGATTCAAAAGGTTTATCTTCTCTTTCTCTTCCTCTCTATATGTAATTACATCCCTTCCCCAACAGCCAATAGTGTTTGCTTAATTTTACTCTGAATTTTTCCAGATGGAGAAAGAAATCAGGGAGCTGACTAAGCAACGCGATCTTGCTGAATCTCGTATTGAAGATTTGCTTCAAATGATTGGACAAGATCAAAATTCAAGAAGAACGGTATCGTGCCTGGCCCTCGAAACACTGTCCATTGTCAATGATGTGTTAATGGTCATGCTGGACAGACTAATTTACATCTTATTTGAATCTTCATTTTTACAGAGTGAGATTAGTCAGAATCCCAACCGACAAGGAAGGGGTAGATGGGATGACGACGAATGTTCAGTTTCAGAATCCTACCCCCCTACTTATGGTGGTTCTGTAAGAACACCATATGGAACCCATTTTAATGGAGATAGTGGGACCTTTGTACAGGACAGTGGTCTTGATGATTATCATTCTGATGCCACTTCTTCACTTATGCCTTTTGGAAAGAAGATTGCTGGATCACATCCTCGTCAGAGCCTTGGGATTAATGATGACGAAGAGGACTGCAAGGAAGTTCAGTGTATTGAAATGGAAGAGACAAGGCAAAACAATCCTGATCACCATTCATCAATCTCAAATGGTGAAAGTGAAGTACTTGCTTCAGTCAGGGTAGAGCAGGATGTAACAACAGCTCAAGGAAATGGTGATAGAGAAGCACATCCCTTGCAGAATAATGGATTTACAAATGATGCGATGGAACAAAGGCTACATCTTGTTGATGGATCAAGTTCTACATGCATGAAATTAGCCAGGAGCTGGAGTTTGAAAGAGAGTCCCACAATTGGTGACAGCACGCCACCCAATGGGTTGGAGAGGAAGTATGCTGGGCGACCAGAGAGCGTCAGGAGGAGGTATCCATCGATGATGTACGACAACGATGCTGCAAGACTGACAAGAAGTGATTCTCTGTCATCTATTGAGAGTGCTGCAACCGTTGAAACTCGGGGTGTAGTAACTGCAGATGAGGATATTCCAACAGTTGAAAATTTTGTTGCTGGACTGAAGGAAATGGCCAAGCAGGAGTATGAAAAGCAGCTTGGCGATAACCAGGTGAGAAAATACTCCCTCTTTTTCCTGAGTAAGTGGCCAAGCATGTTTGATTGTCATGGAGTCCCCTCATGAGATTGTTCTTTTTTGTTTGTTTGTTTCTTCATGATAGATTTTGGAGGCTCAAAAGAAGAAGAGTAATGTCAAGGACATTGGATTGGATGCTATGCTCGATGAACTAACAACTCCTGATTCACCGCTGAAGTTTGAGAGACAGCAGAGAACTATTATCGAACTGTGGCATGCTTGCAATGTCTCATTGGTTCACAGGACCTATTTCTTCCTCCTCTTTAAAGGTGATCCGTTGGATTCAATATATCTCGAAGTGGAGCTCAGAAGGCTCTCTTTCCTAAGGGAAACATTTTCTGATGCAAACCATGGCATCTCCGGTGGCCAAACTCTCACTCTCACCTCCAGGTACTAACTATTCAGCTTAGCAAATTCAGCCTTGTTCCACTAGCTCTTACGTCTGAACTAAACGTGCCTACTTTTTCTGTATGGATGGACAGCGTAAAGACGCTTCATAGAGAGAGAGTGATGCTTAGCAAGCTGATGCAGAGGAGGTTGTCTGGAGACGAGAGGAACAGGCTTTATCAGAGATGGGGTATTGGGTTGAACTCCAAGAAAAGGAAGCTTCAGTTGGTGAACCGTTTGTGGGGCAACACGAAGGACGTGGACCACATCACAGAGAGTGCGGCCATTGTTGCCAAGCTGGTGAGGTTTGCAGAACAAGGACAAGCACTTAAGGAGATGTTTGGGCTTAGTTTCACACCTCCAAGCACAACAAGAATGAAATCCCTGGGCTGGACTTACAGCAAGTCGTCTCTTTTGTAGTAGTGGATGACGAGTAGAGTATTATAGGAAGACTGGGTTTTTCCCACCATTTTCTCCTTTTTTTTATTGTGTGATTGGTGATGTTTGAAACAATATTCGAGAGTGTAGATTGTAAGGTGTAGTATTTTGATTGGCTATAGGGTAGTTTTTCTGGTGAGCTACTACTACTGGATGGATGGGTATGCTAATGGATGTATTCGTTTCTGATTTACGATCCAAGAATCCAGATAATCTGAGACTGAGATTACGAGAGCAAATTGCTTCAGAGGTCACTGGTTTCTTATAATTAGCAGCTAAGTGTTCACATTGTAGCTCAGTTGTTGCTGTCATTTGCTTCTGGCTTGTTAGTCTTGCAGCTACATTGTTACCAGTTACCACATTGTCGGTTTAGAATCGATTTTAGTCAGCAATGAAATGCATCCAAAATAAAGGAAAGATAGGATCAAAACGTATCTATTTATGATAAGAGTAAACAATGATCATGGGACTGAAGCAAATTTAGAAGGTTTAGCTACTAAAGTGAAACCACTATCGAATGCTGTTTACTTCTGTAGCAATCTACCCAAGAATACAAGAATAGTTCGATTATCCATGTGTGACAGGAGAAAGAACTATATGAGTCTAGAGGCCACAAAGTACCAAGGCACTTTGAAATACAAAAACCAGATGAGTCAGGCTGATCGAGACGCTAAGCTTAGAAGACAACTGTGTCAAGCATGGTGCCCAAAGTCTGGATGATGTTGGACGACATCAAATTAGACACGTGTTCTTCGAGGTGCTTCTTGGCATCTTGCCGTCCCACATTTGCAATAGCAAGCTTCTCAGGTGGAAGCTCGTCTTCTTCTTGCACTGCCTTGTTATACTTGACTGCTAAGTTCAACATCTCCTGCAATATCAAACCATCACCAAACAACGAGCAGACAGATGACTTCAACAGCCTTAGCAATGCCTAGCTACACATGCAAAAAAGCAAGATTATCTAATTACAAATCAACAATGAATGATGCCAATTTGCCAATCGTAGCTAATACTAGTCTGATCCTATTAGGAGCCTACAAGAGTTGGAGTTGGGCTCATGTGTTGAAGAAATGGACAGTAGATGCTAGGTCTCACCGACGCTTCGACTAGGAATAGAATAAATTAAATTCTCTAGTTTGTTCAATATCACATACTTACACTCCAGGCTAGCTAAATTAAATGAGCTTCAGCACAAAGTTGGTCTAATAGTTAAATTCTTGGTCGAAGACAATCAGCACCCTTACCCCCTCTAGACATTGTAAGCACTAAGCAGGAAAAGGGAAAAGCTGACTTAACATTCAATGTAGGAGAAAGTAAATCTTTACCCACCTGAACAGTCTGCTCATTGGTTTTGGAATGACCATCAAACCGCCTGAGAGTCAATCCATCAGTCCATTTCTTCTTGTGCAAGTTGAGAAGCATTTTCTCCTCGAGCTCATTTTTTCGGTAATTAATGGCAATTGAATAGTAATGCCTATTCAGTCCATGGATCAATGCCTGAAGGTTATAAAGTAATCATATCAGTTATTAGTTGGGAAGAGAAAGAAAAGAAGTTGTCACTCAGTACATAAGATATCTAGGGCAGCATTATTATTATTCACCTGAATGGATGGTTTGTTGAGATTCCCAAGATTGGAAGTTGTTTGCCTAGGTTCTTGGCCAAGCATCATCGTCTGAGGGTTGATGAGGCGGAAAGCATCAATCACGACCTTCCCTCGCACACTTTGAATAGGATCAACCACAACAGCAACTGCCCGTTGATTTAAAGCTTCAAAACTCTGCCGACAGAGATTAAAGTCAATACTAATACTCGACTTTGTGCATTTTTAAGAGAGTCTTTCAAGAATCTCAAAATGATCAATCACTAACTTAAGCAATCATCACTAGTTAACTATCAACAAAACTACGTTATAAGACAATTAGCAAAACAGAGAAACATAGAGAAATTAGACGAACCTGCTGCGTGTTAATATCAACACCAGAAAGCCAGCATCCAAATCCCGGATGAGAATGGTACCAACCAACAACCATCTCTGGCCTGGAACACCAGATCAATCAATCAATTTAAGTTACTGGAAAGAGGATAAAGAAGATGAATTAGCAAAAGTTAGGCTGTCAGCCAGCAAATAGGAGGAAGATTCGATTTTAGTATCCCTTTTCAGTAATTCAACTAAAATCAACATGATGTGCTTCTGTACCAGCCCAAGAGCAGGATAACTAGCAAACTAAACTTAGTAAGAGAGCAAATGACAGATCTCTTGAGCTAATTTCAGAAACTATGTCCATTTAGAAGTTCCTTGGCAATTTCATAAAAATAAAAGAGATCTCTTTCCCGTTTAAGAAGACTCAGCAGTCAGAATCAAGACAAAATTTTAGCTCCAGAACCGCGCCCAATGTTATTCTATACCAAGAATGTAATCAGTAGAAGCTTACCTCCCAGTCTGTTTGAGCATATCGAGCATGTTAGTCTGGAAAACATGGTCGACAGCTTCAACACTGACGCCAGTACCACTTTGCGGCATAGCAAAGACGTCCACGACACGAACAGTATACTCGTCCACAAACTCTCCGAGCATCAGACCCATGACCTCCATGGGAACTCCAGCTCTTCCTGTGGTAAAAAAAGCAACAAAGCAAACTTACGATCGATCTCGATTCACGATTCACAAATTATACAGAACCACAGAACGGCAGCACCGAGCAATGGCCATGCGACCAAAATATGAAGAGCATTTCATCAGCGGCAAGCACCGAAATCACCCACACCCCAAACAGATCCCAAAACCCTAGCCCTGGCATCAGCTTGAAGGGAAGAATCGTACCGTGTTTAAGCATCTTGAGAAGGGCGAGCGAGGAGATATAGACCTGCTCCGACGTGTCAACGGCGGGGCCATCGGTAGGTGGATGCCCGAACCCGCCGCCGGCGCCGCCAAGCATTCGCTGGAGTCTCTCGATTCCGGCCATCTTCAAGTTTCCGATGGAGTGGGGGAAAAGCAAAGACTAGAGGGAGGAAATATAGTACGGGAGAGAAAATTCGACGAACAGGAAGGAAAAATGACGTTGTTATAAAGTAACAGGCCCATGGGCCTAAAAAGAACATCCACTCGAGCCTTAATTTCAGAAAAACAAGACACTGAGTTTGGGGCTCCGTGAGCCCATGAAAAACACAAGCATTCAGGCCCAAAGTTTGTTGGCCTTTGAAATGATTCCCTTGTTTGGTTTCAGCTCCAACTCTCGGAGGAAGGTGCGAGACGGTTCGATCGATCGACGGGGAGAGAGAGAGGGGGAGAGAAGAGAGAGAGAGAGAGAGAGAGAGAGAGAGACTGAGAGATGAGTCTGGCGTCAACGGCGGCGTACGCTGCTCGGCGGGCAGCGCAGCGGGAGCGGGTTCGGATCTTATACCGGCGAGCTCTGAAGGATACTCTGAACTGGGCAGTCCACCGTCACCTCTTCTACGAAGATGTACGGTCATCTCTTTCTACGATCATTTCCCTTCGCGATTGGATCTCTCATTGGCATTACATTTGCTCTTATTGGCCGTATTACGATTTGTTTGATAACTATGCTTGACTCATTGGTCGTAGGCTGACAACCTTCGGGCGAGGTTTGAGGTGAACAGGGGAGTGGTACGTTTTCTAATTCCCTTTCTGTGTCGCAATTTTGTTCTCAGGGTTTAGGGTTCTTGTGATCTTCTTTTGTTAGTGAACATAAAGGGTGTGTTGATGAAATGATCTGCTGCTATACGGAGAATTTGGTATCTGAGACCTTTTCTTAATTCTGTAGTTTTGTACTTGGGGTGTGTTTTACCGGCACCCCTAGCGAGTTTTTGTGCTTTATTTTGATGCATTTTCCTGTTCAAACACGTACCTGCATTTTTTGGTTGCTTGATCAGGTGGGTGCTCTTCGTATAATCATATCTGTAGCAATTGTTATGGAAATTGTTAAACTTGACCAGGAAGAGCCATGTCTGCTTTCTGGACTCTTTACTTTTTTCGTCTTAGATATTCAACTTATGATGTTCTGGTTGATGTTATGTCGAAGTCTCGAGAGAAAGGGGGTTTATGTTTCTGTGTTAAATTTACTATGGGGTGGATGAAAATTGCTACGAAGCTTCGATTTCTGAAGCCTTTTTTTTTTTTTTGCTTCAGTCAAGGTTCCCCCATTACTATAGAACAAATGCTATGCTGTTTTTTTAATCTGAAGCTGTCATGGTCGTTTTCTGATATGTAGGGCTTGTAAATGTTGATATACTGATTAGTCATGTTACGATTTGTTGTTGATGTCTGTGTTTTCTCTTGCAAAAGTATTTTGGTGCTCTTTACGAGAATTTGCTAGTCTTTATCTTCAGCTAGTGATGTATTATTTCACTTTGTGGCTTTATTTTGATGCTTTGGTTGCTTTGTTGTTGGTTTCCGTTTTGCGGATTGCAGGAAGATCCTGACACAATTGATAGGCTCATTGTTGATGGTGAGGCACAATACAATAAGTGGAGGCATCCTGATCCTTACATTGGTAAATAATCATAACGAAACCTTATTGGTCCGGTTCTTGTCATGGTTGAGCTCTCAGCAGCATCTCAACCATAGATGTTTTCCTGCTCAGATGTTTTGCTTAGATTTTCGGTTTCAGTATTCAAGTTTACTGTTGCTTGAAATATTCAGTTCTAAAGCTACCCATTCATACCTGAAGTTTACTTTTGCTGCTTGTATACAGTTCCATGGGCTCCTGGTGGTTCTAAGTTCACTCGAAACCCAACTCCGCCTGAAGGGGTAATTTCTTACATGACCTTTGCTTCTCCCGGTTTATGATTTCATAAAGCCTTTTGTCCTCTGCTGGCAGGCTATGTCCAGAAGTTGAGTTAATGATCTCTTGCATACACTAATTCAGAATTGGTGTGCCTAAGTTACACAATTATCTATTGAGTTTGTGATGAAAGGGAGAAAATGGATATAGAGAGAGTTACATTAACTTTAGTTAGGAATAACATTCCTCCAGAAGTATGTGTTAAATTTTAGTTTATCTTTTGGTTAAACGAGAACCAGTGACTTCACCTCTATGCACAGTATCACAGAGCACAGAAAGCATGCTGGTAAGTAATGAATGGGGTATTGACCCTATGTGAACCATGTGATGCCAACTTACGTAGCCCTTTTTTATATCTTATTCGTGTTCGGTTTGGATGGTCGTAAGGAACTTATAAATCTCCTTTTCACTTCGTTTTGGTCCTTATGGCTCATTCAATACCCTTCTTATTGATGGCTGGCTCTACTGTTTTGGATCAAATGTGCAAAGGTTATATCATCAATTGTACAAAACCAGCCAGATACTTCCTCCACCTGATCTTCTGGTTTATTTTGTAGATTGAGATCATCTACAATTATGGCCGAGAAGATAATGACTGAAACCTGCTTCACTGTCACTAATAAAGGTTAGCTACAACTTATAACAACTTATGCCCCAACGTACATTTCATTTGAGGTTCACTGATGCTCATTTCCCCATAGCGGTCACTGTTAGTAACTGTTGACAACCGTATGACTTGGGATTTATGTTGTGACAAGGTTTGTTAAGTTTTGTATTATAAAATCTGCCTTACAGCTTTGTTGTCAAATATGCAGATAGGGTTGATCAATGAACATTGGGGAGGACTGCAACCCTGTCTCCTGTTTGCATGATTCATTTTGAGGGAGAATGGCAGGAATCCCTGTTCAGTCTTTTCTTGCAGCTGTGTATTTGTGCTTGTTTTTTCCTGATAAAATGTGTTTCGAGAAACTTGGACAGAGTGTTTGGAATGAAATGATCAAGCCTTAATGTAAAAGGACTTGACTGATTTAATTTTATCCCTATTACAGTCGCCAACTAAAGCACAGTTGACATATCTTTTGCCCTGCAAGATTGCATCCATGTGTCACCCTTGTTGACAATGCCAGAGCTAGAATATGTTAAGAGGGAATAACTACTGTATGAGCAGTGGTAGTATTAGTTTCTTGAAGCAGAAGTCTCCTTAGCTACTATTTATTATTATTATATCATTATAGGTTGTTGGCTTGCTTCCATTTCCGATGGTCTTTCGTGGATTTGATGGATTGCATTGCCGCATTAAGGTCAGGAATCAGCCCGAGAAGCAACGACATTCTCTTGACGTTCTTCACCAAAATCGGAACCACTTGGCTCAAGGCTCTTTGTTACAACATCCTCGACGACAAACAAAAAGAGCTCCTGGTGACGAATAACCCCCACGAAGTGGTCCCCATGATCGAAAATACCTTGAAAACAATCCCAAGATATTCATCGCTAACCTCCCCGATTGTTTCATACTCATCTACCTCATAGTTGCTTGTCGGAGACAGTGAGGAACTTTGGATGCAAGATGGTGTACGATTGTACGTGGCTTGGAAGCCTACGATCGTATCAGGTGGAACTTCGTCAAGGATACGCTCCAAGCAATCGGTGCCCCTATTGATTTCGTTGAGCTGGTTATGGCATGTATTTCTTTAGCGTTGAGCTGGTTATGGCATGTGGGGCTGATTGAGCAATTTCACCCATCTCGTGGTCTTCGTCAGGCCTATCCTATATCTCCCTACATCTTCACTTTATGCATGGAAAGACTGGGACACATTATTTCGGAATCCGTGAGGCAGGCACAATGGAAGCCCATTAAGCTAACAAGTAACGCTCCTGCGCTTTCTCATATATTTTTTGAAAACGATCTCATCTTATTCAGGGAAGCATCACTACATCAGGTTGAGACCATCAACCAATGCTTCGAAGCTTTCAGGGGCAACAAGTGAGCAAGTCTAAGTCAAGAGTCTTCTATTCTAGTAACTTGATTACTCAGTTGCGGTATCAAACCTCGACAACATTGAATTTGTATTAGGTTCTATTTCTAATCTATAGCAGCAAATATATTATTTGTCTCGATATTTTGTATTATTTGTTCGTAAAGAAAAGCCATTGAAGAGATGATTTAGACACTTGTAACCATCATATTTTTCTTATTTAAATTTTCTAGTCTGACTTTACTGGGTCTTATATATTATTATCGTATCTATACTGCTTCTATTCGAGGATAACTATGATAAAAGAAAAAGATTCGTGCTAAAACAAAGAATTGCAGCGATGAAAGTTCATAAGGGAAGACAAATTAATTACTACATGGATGTTTGGGTAGCCAAACATAAGTTTTAACGCAAAACTAAAAGATTTGGCAGAATTTGGCACCTCCATATTTATTCCTAACGAACAGTAATTTGTGGTCGTAAATTCATATATTGAATTTCAGACTCAGTTTCAAAAGGTGATATAGTGCTTGAGCAACCAAACATAAGGATTCACACAAAAGAAAAAAAAAAATGGGAGGGAGACAAGTTTATAGGAGAAGATGCATTAATTAGTGTGTAGATGTTTGGGCAGCCAAACATAAGTTTTAACTCAAAACAAAAAATTTTAATAGAATTTGGCAGCCCGTCTTTATTCGTAACTAGACAACTGGCCCGCGCTCTAAGGCGGGTTTCAGAGTATGCATCACTCTATTATTTTCTGAAGAAGAATTCCGTGTTAAATGGAGGTGGATGTCTCTAGAGAGTGAAATACAATTGTGAGTTTATTAGCTTTTGCGATACAATATTACTTTTTTTTTTGTAGAGTAATTGAGTATTTATATAGAACACAACATGGTGCTAAGGTGAAAATATTTGATTTGGGGTGCTTCTTTTGATACATGGACAATTTTCACTAAAGGAATACTATGAAATAAGGAAATAAATAGTTCAATGAAATAGAACTAAATAGTTCAATGAAATCAAACAACGGTGGCAATTCAAATAAAATGAAGCTAGTGATCCTCAATACATGTAAATAGTTGTTAATTCATTGTAAAAATATGACAACAATGGTCCTCAGTTTGCAATTCCTAATTAGATAACAAGATGGGAGAAATGAGCAAATATGTGTAGGTGGGAATTTTTAATCCAATTTATCAATCCATTCAAATCCATACAATTAAATATTCAATTAATTCAATTCATCTGATCTAAATCTAATTGGATTGTTGAATTTATGAATTGGATTCATGGATCGTTGACAAATTACAGTCTTAAATTTTATAATATGATACCAAAAATGTATTTTTATATGAAAAATGTCATTTGAAAATTACGTTTTGGTACCTATATAAATTTTATTATTATGATATTTTAGTACCTGAACTTTTTAAATTTTCATATTGATCCAATGATTGGATGCCATTCGGATCCATGGATCAATCTATGAATCCATCAATCCATTTGATACATGGATTTACCAATTCAATCCACCAATCCATTTGCTACCTCCACTCATATATGATATGAGATCAGTTAATCACATGTATCTTATATGCCATATAAATATTAGGGAATTTAATTCATAAATTATCTTAGAATTGAGTTTGGGTTGAACTACTGATCTTAATGATGATTCAACGTTTTAATAAATGAGTCGGCTCGAACTCTGCTCGACTCATCTCGTTGATAAATGTGGCAACCTCGAACTCGATTAGATCTCTCCCGTGCTTTGTCGTTGGACATCTGCTAAGGTGCTATAATACAACCCCTTTGAAGCTCAATGTCCTCGTTGAGATTCACCCCACAACAAATCACTATTTAACCTAGAGAGAGTGTGATACCACTTGTAACATTCAAGCCCTTTTATGACCAATATTTTGTCAGCTTTGGTTCTGCATGCTTTTGCTTTAAAGTGCGTATCTTCCCAAGAGGTCACTTAACTCTGTTTTCTCTACGTTAAAAAACTTTAGTAAGAAAAATTCATTTACTCAAAATGCGTATTGTTGAATCAGACTGCAAGGTTCTCATCGACATGCTAAAAAACAAGGAGAAGGATTTGACCGAACTGGGTCTCTGACTCTCTGGTGCGATGAGATTTGGAAGGCTGCTTCGGGGAACGAGGGACTCTCTAGAATTCCGGTCAGGTGGTCTTTTACGGCAAGGGAAAATAATGGCTCTGCTCACTGGTTGACCCATTCTGTTTCGGGCTGGGAGAATCAATTTGTTTGGGTTGATAACCCGCCACTCTCTTTGTTATCTCTTCTTGTTGGCGATTTGGGCCGAGGTCCTATGGGCCAGACTTGACCTTTCTCTAAGTTAATGGAATCCAGGTTTCTATAAAAATTTTTTTTTTACGCTTATGACGATTAAATCTCTCTTGTATCTTATCGACGTGCTCTCCAAAATTCCAAAACCACTTCTCCAAACAAAGATCCGTAAACAAGTTAACTTTGCTCACAGGATAAAATCTGAAGTTCCTTTAGGGGTCGTTTGGAAGTTGTGATTGTCATTATGCATGTATTGTTTATAATGCATCATTTTTTTGTTTTTTTTAGGAGAAACAATACATGGATTGTTTCTGTGGTGTGACAGAAACTATCACTCATTTTGAGTGATTGTTATATCTCAACTTTTAGTTGTGATTGTTGAGATAGTTGAGTTGAGATTGTTTTGTCTCAGCTTTTAGCTGAGGCGACATACACAATCACACATACCAAACGTTGTATTCTACAATGCATCAAATTCGACAATACATGTATAATATTATACATGCATTCTCAACAATACATCTATTTAACAATGGCAACTTCCAAACGACCCCTTAGTCTCTATATATAGCGCACAAGAGTAGCGCAAGTAGACCTATTGAATTGTCTCTTCAAATCGAACGCGCTACTCTCTCCAATTGATTATTAGCTTAGTTTGGCGCTGCTGTAGTTTTGCATAAGCAGTTTCTGGCTGGAGCTTTTAGATAAGTACTTTTCAAAAAAAGCAGTTTAGTGTTTGGCTGTAAAACTATTAGAAGTATTTTTTAATATGAACGGTTGTGTAAAATGACTATAAAGGACTTATAATATAAAATATGAATAAAAATTCTAAACAATAAAAAGTAGTAAAAATGGATCTTGTTAGATTTCTTTTATATTAAATAATATAATTTTATAATTTATTTTATTTTTAAAATGATATAAATGAAGAAAAATTATATTTTTCTCAAATAAAATTAAAATATGGTAAAGATAATCTTGTATTTTCAAAATAGCTTTTCGCAGAAGCTCCAAATCGGAGCTTATGCTTTTATGTTATACAAAAGCGCTTTTCGGCTTTTCAAAAGCCGAGCTTTTAGAGGTGTTTGTCCCTGCTTCAGCTTTTGAAGCCTAAAAGCACTTCTAAGCCGGGCCAAACATAGGCATTATTCGACGGAGAACAAGTGATTATTATGCTACCTGGCGCGGCATAAGGAATCCATAGCCGCCTTTAGGTCCGAATTGGAGCCGAGGAAGGACGACATTCTCTTGACATCTTTCATCAATACAGGAACAACCTGGCTCAAAGCTCTCTGCTACAACATCCTCCGGGTAGAAGCAGATTGCTCCATACACAACTCCCTTTAGGGGTGGCTATACGGTCCGGTCCGGTTAAATTGTTATTCGTTCCTTTGGCTTGTGAAATCCACATATTTTTCAGTTTTTCTTTTCGCCTAACCCAATCTTTGGAATTCTAAGTTGAACATTGATGTTATATAAGTGTGTGAATTTCACTACATGTTAGATCCATGTTATATGTTATTACTCATATTTTAGATGAGATTTTATATAATTTATAAATGTATGAATAATATAATGACTTTTACCATATATTTGGGCTAAACTTGTTGGCCCATTAACCCTCAAACCACTTGCTCAATCGGGCCAACGAGTTAAACCAGATTGACAAACCTTGATCCACGTTGCAAAAATATCATAGTTGATGGATCGGATATGATAGTGGAGGTCACGCGAATGTACTCATTGATAAGATTAATGCCAAGCATGCGCAAAACAGCAGTGTTGGGGCTATTACCTAGGAGATTCTGCGTATGAATGATGGCTATGAATAGTGGTTTCCATGTTCGATTTGTGGGTCAGATTAGCAATAGGGTAGCGCCCCATTGGCATTCACTGGCCAAGAAGGCCCCTTTTTTTTGCCTCCGACTTCGTGTCGATTGTATGATTTTTTTATCTGGATTGGGTCCAAATTTTGTAGGGGAAGACAAATTAACTCCTACATGGATGTTTGGGCAGCCAAACATAAGGTTTAATGCAAAACTAAAATATTTGGCCGAATTTGGCAGCCCCTATATTTATTCATAATGAACAGTAACTTGCGTTAACCACTTAATATGTTGAAATTCTAGACTAATTTCCACTGTGAAATGGTACTTGTGCAACCAAACACAAGGATTCACGTAACCCGAAAAAATGCCAGGAAGAAATATGGATGTTTGGGCAGCCAAACATAAGTTTTAATGTACAACAAACAACTAGCGTCTGCCCCGGCCAGTTGGCCGAAGGAAGGTGATGTATGAAATTTGATAATGTAATAGTGTATATAGCTTATTGTTGTATAGTTTTTTTTGGGAAACACGTGATAAAAATAGTGAATTTTAGCAGGAAAGAGACATGAATGATGCAACGAATCAAAAATCGGCCTTATGAACCAAAATCAAGTACCTGTTACCTTGTGAAACAATATTGTTTATGGTAATATGATGAGGTGGAGTAAGTTTTATAGAAACCGAATTCCAGAAAATCGAATAAAAAATTGCCTATCCCGTCGGTTTTCGGGAAATGAGCATCTCACAATCGTTGCTAGCTTTTACTCGGCCCGTTGGCCGATTAATTTGCTTTACAAACCTTTCATCTTGTCGTAATTGTGCTTTTCGTTTTTTTTCAGGCTATGATAAAATCTAAGGAAATCAAGAACGAACAACACGATTTGGGATAGGAACTGTCGTTGTCGTATCCCTAGAAAATTGTGGTAAACACGGACTCACCTGCCAAACTGGTTTGGATTGAGATTTTTATCGGGTATCAGGGAACCATGTGATTATAAATTAGACTTGATCAAAACGGGCCAAAACTTAAAATTCAGCCTGTTTGACCGACCCATGCCAAATTCTAATTATTCTTTACTTTTAAACTTTCTATTTGAAAAGAAAAAATAGTGAAAGAAAAGAGATGACTGCAATTCGCCATTGCACATCACTTATTCGGGAATAATACCATAGAAATTCAAAAGGAACTGAAAATGTTTAGGATCGTTTTAATGTTTAAAATAACCAAATAGATCTTTCTGTTTAGTTTTTTATTAACAAATACCAAACGACTCCCTATAAAATACACTATAATTTGATCATTATGATATCAAATAATTATATAATATATATTTGAAATGATAAAAATTGGACTAATTGGGTTGGTCGAGGTTGAACCATTGAATAACTTTAAAATACATTATATTTTAGCCACTAAGATATAAAATAATAGCATGATATATATTATGCCAGATAAAATAGCTTGTTTTAGAATGACAAACCAATGATTTTTTTATGAGGATGATGAACTTTTATTAAATAAGAGAAAGGGAAAGGGTACAAAGATGGGATCATCAGTTCACAAGCAGTGAAAGTGATCGATAATAAGAGAATGGCAAACCAATGATGTTCATTTGTTTTACTTGATGGCTAAATCCCGTGTAGGTCAGGCCCATTCAACTTTTTTATTTTATGGTTAGCGATTAGCCCATTAGATACCATGCATTAGTTTATTGTTAAATTTTTTATTTTTAGCAATAAAAAGGAGTATTGTTTTTGCCTTTTCATATATATTTTATCACCACGGAGTAATAAAAGAGCTTAAAGAAAAAAATTGACACTCCTAGACCCGTTTAAATCCGCATGTGTACGGTAAGTTGGCCCGTTCCACAGGGGAAAGAGAGAAAAATTGACACTCCCTATTCTACCCTTCCTACAAACGCTCATGGAGTAGAGAATTTGAAATGGGGGAAGGTATTTTCCTCCATGCTATTGTATGTTTTTAATTTAAAAAAATACAACAAATATATTTAGTATGATTAGTTATCATCCTTGCTTTCCTTTAAAATGGTCATGGTTCAAATCCCAATATGTGTCGTTGCAGGAAATTTGAAATGAGTTTCCCGTTTTTCCCTTCGACGTATTATATTATGTGTAGATCTGACAAATTTGGCAGCCCCTCTTTATTTGTAACACGACAATTGGCCCACGATCTGCGGCGAGTTTCAGAGTTCTCGAAGAAAGAATTTCATTGTAACTACTACTAACTTTGCTTACAAGATAAAATCAGAAAGTTTCAATTTTACCACAAACACGTAAGCATTAATAAGAGTTGTGCAGGGAGAGTAACTATATATAGACCTATTTATTTAATTGTCTCCAAATCGAACGCTACACTCTGCCATTTGATTATCCGATGGAGAACAAGCAGCAACTTCCGACAGAGTCGTTTTGGGGCAGTCGTGACGAGATTTGCCAGATAGAAGGATTCTGGTACCCGGCGCAACATATGGAAAGCATAGCCGCCTTCAGATCAGAATTCGAGCCGAGGAAAGACGACATTCTCTTGACATCTTTCATCAAAACAGGAACAACCTGGCTCAAGGCTCTCTGCTACAACATCCTCGACGAGGAAGAAAACGATGTTCTGGCGAAGAAGAACCCCCACGACGTGGTTCCGACACTCGAGGCTAGTTTCCGCCAAAACCAAGTCCAAGATCTGCTGCTGAATTCCCCTCCGGGGCGCAGCCGATTGCTCCACACTCATCTCCCCTGCAGTTACCTGCCGGGGATGCAAGCTCGTGTATGTTGCGCGGAACCCCAAGGACACGCTGGTGTCGATGTGGCATTACCTCAACAAGACCTCTAAAGCCGACCCAGCTAGCCCGTTCCCGCTGGAGAGAGCGGTGGAGGCCTTCTGCGGCGGGGTTATGCCTTGGGGGCCTTTCTACGAGCACGTGGTGGGATACTGGGAAGAGAGCAAGGAGCGCCCCGATGAGGTGTTGTTCATCAAGTACGAGGACCTGTGCAGAAAACCGGAGGAGCAAGTGAGGAAGCTGGCTTCGTTTTTGGGTAGGAGAACGAGTGTAGATGTGGAGAAGGTACTGTGGCGGAGCAGTTTGAACAGGCTCAAGGAGTTGGAGGTTAACAAGAATGATGTCTGTGCTGTTGCCCCGCACATTCCAAATTCCATCTTTTTCAGGACGGGAACTGTCGGGGATTGGAAGAACTGCTTGACTCCAGACATGGTTCAGCGTATTGATAGCCTCGCACGAGTTAAGCTGCAGGGGACTGGACTTTGTTTTGATGACGAGTAGTTGTTTTGTTTGTATGTGCTACGAAAGGGAAATACCTTTTGTGCGACCATTTTCATTATTTCGTTATGTATAAGAAGCTTTCACCATTTGGACGTTTGTTCGTGTGTGAGTAAGCGACACCTTGGATGTGTATGAAGGATATCTAATGGGAATGGGTGAATTGCAAGTTTGGTCACTCATATTATTTATTTGTAACACGTTAGCCACTTGAATTACTTTCCCTTCAATTTAGCCACTGATATTACACGTTTATATCATTTTTATCACTCACCGTCCAAGTCCGTTAAATCTGTCCTAGGTGGCAGTCAACTCCAACGTTTGACCGTTAAAAAGCTTATGTGTCATTTACAAATAATAAAAATAAATTTTTTAATTTCCACATCATATTAAAATAAATAAATATTTATTTTCATAAAAAGCTCATATATATTAATAAAGGGAGCCCACCGACTCCACCACACATAGTATGACCCTCTCCGATCATCGGCTTCGTCGTTGTTTCCCCTCCATCAGCGTCCACCGCCGCCGCCGCATCCGCCTCAACGGCCTTGTCCCCGCCGTCAAATCATGCAAAAGCGGTTTGTCAATAGCGCCCTGCACCCACTCAATGTCGGCTTCAGTGGTGGCGATTCTCAATCCGTTTACCAAATTCTCGACCGGTAAGGCGAGCGGCGAGACGAGGAGCGTGACTTCGAAGTTCGAACCCTAGGAAGAGTCTACGGATCGGATTGCGGGTGAAATCGTAGGCCAGCTGGAGGAAAGAGACTACCACGGCGACAATATTGAAAGCGGAGAATTACTTTCCCTCTTCCTTCCCCTCCGCCAAAGTAGTGGCAGGCGGGATCTCGCGCAGGAAGAAGATGGCGGCGAGGCAGACCACGAAGGGGACTAAAGCCAGCATGAGGAGGAAATTCGCCGGGTCTTCGGAGAAGAAGGCGGAGCAGAGATCTGTGAAGGTTGCGGTTGACAATCCGACGAATCCTTTCAAGATCTCGCAGACTGGTTGCGGGAGGCAGAGGAATTGAGGCGAGGTAGAGGAAGGCTTTCGATTGAGCCACTGGACGCCGCACCCGATCAAGCCTTCGATTGAGCCGATGAGGAGGAGGATTGGAGTAGAGAATCGGTCGGAGGCGAGGTCGACGAGGAGGCCGAATGCCTTGCCACCGTCTTTAGTGACGGAGAGGTTGTTGAGCTGGAGCTGAGTGAGGTTCATTAGGATTTGAGGGCGTGGGTGCAGTTGTCGCCGGAGAAGCAGCAATCGTAGGAAGCGGGGCCGGGAGATCATTGCTTCCACTTCCCTGTTGATGGAATGCCTCGTCGGAATAGAAAGAAAAACAGGGAGAGGAAGAAATAGAGGAGATTGGCGGCGAAGTGCGGGACGGAGAGGGGAGGACGACGCCGGCCTCTCTTTATTAATATATTTATATTAATTTAATTTTAATAAAATAAATATCTATTATATTCTAGTATGACATGGAAATAAAAAGTAAAATTTTTATATATATTTTAATTGACACATCAGCATTTTAACGGTCAAACGTTAGAGTTGACTGCCACCTAAGACATATTTAACGGAGATAGACGGCAAGTGACCAAAAATGACATAAATGTGTAGTGTTGATCACCAAATTGAAGAGAAAATGATTAGGGTGGCTAAAGTGTTACAAATAGATAATATGAGTGACCAAACTTGCAATTCACTCTAATGGGAATAAAATCATAAGTTTCTTTGTGGTCCTTGATGGCAATATTATGATGACTAGTCTGTTGTCCCGCACTTCGCTACGGTAATAAACTCTCCCTCCATGGCTGTTTTATAATGTATGATGTATCTCTAATTTACGTGATTGTTATACAATGGTGTGATGTAAAGCTTTTGTAATGTGTGGTCTATAATAAAATCAAGTTATGACAGTTAACTAATTACATTGCAATTACAAAATCTTTGTGTAATACAAATTGATGATATGGACAATACTATATATACATAGTTATAACCTGGCTTAACGTTTTATTAATGACAACTTTAAAGTATAAACGATGGTTCTAAAATAAAATAATAAAACCTTTAATTAAGCCAACATATATGTTACCCAATCTTTTAATGGGGTACGTAGTCCAAGACTCCAAGCACCGAAGAAGCACCTAAAACCTAGCAGGACTTATTACTAAACACCATTATTCTATCCAATCCGCGCTCCAGGGAAGTTAAGATCGTGAATTTTTGCCGACTTGCTGGCAACTCGCGCTTTCACGTGTCGGAGCGGGAGCGTCAGGCTCACTACCACGAATTAGGTAAGCTAAGTATCAACCTTCTAAACACCCCAGGCAAACCTATTGAGGAAACGGTAAATGGTAATAGGTAAAGGAGATTAGAGTTGTGTGCCTTAGGATTTATAATGTAGGAGCTGCCATAGGGGATCTGCCCAGACCCGTGAACAGTACCCCGATACTTATTAATTGGAAATGACTACAATTTCGTGAGAAACAGTAAACATAATTAAGAGCTAACTTGCACTATTAATTATATAATAATAATAATTGTTGTTGATAATTAGCTTTCATTTCAACCCTTTCTTCAATCTGTGCCACTGCTCCAAATCTCCAATTGTTTCATCCACGTCAAGGTTGTCAATTCGCGGGTTAACCCGTCGGTTGGCCCCTTTGACCCTGACCGGGTGAAAAAGGACCGTACACATCCGTCGGGTCGATCCGCTGCAAGGTATCAGATTAGAGGTTAAAAGACATCGTTTTTCGATCCTTTAGCTTGTGAAATCCACCTATTTTTCAGTTTTTCTTTTCGCCTAACCCAATATTTGAAATTCTAAGTTGAACATTCATGTATATAAGTGTGTGAATTTCACTACATGTTGGATCCAAGTACGACATGTTGGATCCATGTTATATGTTATTATTCATATGGATCCATGTTATATGTTATTATTCATATGTTAGATGAGATTTTATATCATTTATAAATGTATGAAAAATATAATGACTTTTACCATATATTTGGGCTAAAATATCATAGTTGATGGATCGGATATGACAATGAAGGTGACACGAAGGTGCTCATTGATAAGATTAATGCCAAGTATGCGCAAAACAACCGTGTTGGGACTACTATCCAGAAGATTCTGCGTATGATGACTATGAATAGTGATTTTCAGGTTTGATTTGTGGGTCGGATCACCTCCAACATGGAGGGCATCATAGCGCCCCTATTTATTCATAATGAACAGTAACTTACGCTTCCCAAAATGCGATATGGTATTTGAGCAACCAAACATAAGGATTCACGCGAAAGAAGGGAAAAAAAAAAAAAAAAATAGCAAGGGGAAAATTTTATAGGGAATACAAATTAATTCCTACATGGATGTTTGGGCAGCCAAACATATGGTTTAATGCAAAAGTAAAATATTTGGCCGAATTTGGCAGCCCTATTTATTCATAATGAACAGTAACTTTCGCTAACCACTTAATACGTTGAAATTCTAGCCTAAGTTCCAAAATGTGATATGATACTTATGCAACCAAACACAAGGATTCACGTAAAAGAAAAAATGTTAGGAAGAAAAATTTATAGGAGAAGATCCATTGATTAGTACTAGTTTTTGGCCCGAGCTTTACAGCGGGAAGAGTAATTATACTTGAAATTTCCTCCACTTATTTAATGATGTAGTAATTCATAAAGTTCGAGTAAGACATCACTATATGCACTAACGTAGTATCTAAATCATTATGAATGAATTATGCCATTAATTTGTTCAAGTGATACATAAGAAATATCTATTACTCCATAAGTTTAAGGTAATATATTTGTAATTTACGTAACTGTTAATGAATGATGTTATGTAAATATTCCATAATGTGTGGTCTAATAATAAAATTAATTAATTTATTATTTTTATATAGAATTTATTAATTAATGAAGACGGACATTCCGATATAATTTTTTTTAGTTGGACATATATTTTTTTCGTCACTAATTAAATTTGACATTATCAATGACAAAAAATATAGCTGTTAGAAATATGATCGTTGGAAGATTTTTCGTTGGTCAATATAACGGTTAAAAAATATGATAATCGACCAATAACATATAATAATCTCAAATTAAAACTCTTAAACCAATCAGAAGTTTCATTTTTACCATAAACACGTAGGCATTAACAATCAATACCACAAACTTTAAATGCCCTCTGGTAGTCTCTATATATAGCACAACAAGAGTTGTGCAGGATGAGTAACTATAGACCTATTTAACTGTCTCCAAATCGAACGCTACCCTCTGCAATTGATTATTCGATGGAGAACAAGCAGCAACTTCCGACAGAGCTGTTTTGGGGCAGTCATCACGAGATTTGCCAGATAGAAGGATTCTGGTACCTGACACGACTTATGGAAAGCATAGCCACCTTCAGATCAGGATTCGAGCCGAGGAAGGATGACATTCTCTTGACATCTTTCATCAAAACAGGAACGACCTGGCTCAAAGCTCTCTGCTACAACATCCTCGACGAAGAAGAGAATGACGTCCTGGCGGCGAAGAACCCCCACGATGTGGTTCCGACACTCGAGGCTAGTTTCCGCCAAAACCAAGTCCAAGATCTGCTGCTGAATTCCCCTCCAGGGCGCAGCCGATTGCTCCACACCCACCTCCCCTGCAGTTACTTGCCAGAGAAGGTGAGGAGCTCAGGTTGCAAGCTCGTGTATGTGTCCAGGAACCCCAAGGACACGCTGGTGTCGATGTGGCATTTCTTCAACAAGAACGTGAAAGCCTACCCAGGCGGCCCGTTCCCGCTGGAGAGAGCGGTGGAGACCTTCTGCAGCGGGGTTATGCCTTGGGGGCCTTTCTACGAGCACGTGGTGGGATACTGGGAAGAGAGCAAGAAGCGGCCTGAGGAGGTGTTGTTTCTTAAGTACGAGGACCTATGTAGAAACCCAGAAGAGCAACTGAGGAAGCTGGCTTCATTTCTTGGCCGAAAAACGAATGTAGATGTGGAGAAGGTACTGTGGCGGAGCAGTTTGAATAGGCTTAAGGAGTTGGAGGTAAACAAGAATGGTGCCCGTAAGGACGCCCCGTATATTCCCAATTCCATCCTTTTTAGGACGGGAACGGTTGGAGATTGGAAGAACTACTTGACTTCCGACATGGCTCAACGTATCGATAGCCTCACACGAGTCAACCTGCAGGGGACTGGGCTTTCTTTTGATGACGAGTAGTTCTGTGTGTGCTACGAAAGGGAATACCTTGTGTGACCATTTTCGTTATTTTGTTCTGTATAAGAAGCTTTCTCCATCTGGACGTTTGTTCGTGTGTGAGTATAAGGGGCACCTTCCATGTCTATGAAGGATATCTAATGGGAATAAAATCATAAGTTGTTCGTAACTTGGTTTTGTAACTATAGACCTATAAAAACGAAGGAGATACCATATGGTATGAAGGTGATAACGAGTGGTATGAAATTTTTGTCTCTTGAAATATATTGAAAGTGAACCTCATTTTGTAGAGCACAACAAACTCGTTTCATCTGTGAAAAAAAAATTTGAATTCTAAGTTAAAACGAAAAAAATAAGAGTCGATTAATAAAACTAGAGAGAATAAAAAAAACCCTTTAATTCTCACCTTTTAGATATGAGATCCACTTGATATGAAAGTACTAGATTTAGTTATGCAAAATTAGGCACCATAGGTTATACGACCTATCTGTAGCCGCTCAACTCAACCACCAATTGCAATCCTTCAATTATTACCAAAAAAAATTCATTACGCCTTTTAATTAACTTTTATGATTGTCAACCATTTTTTGTTATTTACAAACATGTCCATTGTTTAGAAACTTCCGACCTGCTTTGAATAATTTGTAGCATGCTTTGACATGATTTGAGAAGTTTGTGACATGTTTTGAAGAGGTTGTGACATGGTTCGTTGTCCCCCTTCCTTCCTTCCTCCCCTTTCCAAAATTTTCATAATATTAAGAGTGTCCCTCCTTCTCATTCCCCTCATTAATTGTGGTCAACTCATTTAAATTGAAAATCCATCCAAACGAAATGCATATATTGACTGAAGCTAGTATTAACACCATACTAAAAAAAATATTAGCATTCTAACCTTTCCCCGTATAGGATTAGGGTGGTTAATAAGGTGTGTTGGGAGAATACGAAAATTTAGAAAAAATAAAAAATAATTTTCCTCATCGTTTTCACCTTCCTTTTGTATAAATTGTTTACAAGTTTTGGAAAAAATCCCAAAGTACACTAGTTCTTAAAAAAAAATTCTCAAAATACATAAGTTATAATTTTTTTTTCCAAAACTACACATGTTTGGTATTCACTGTTTTTGACAAACGCAGTGAATATAATCACCGCGTTTGTAAAAAACGGTGAACATTTCACCGTTTTAAAATAAAACAATGACGTGTCCACCGTCTTTGTATAAAGCGGTGAAGTGTTCACCGCGTTAAACGAAAACGGTGAAGACATCACCGTTTAAGTTAAAAGCGGTGATTATTTCCCACGTTTCCCAACCCTGGTAGGTGAAAATTAGGTCACAACTACCTAATTTTCACAGTTTGAGACAAATGCGGTGATGATGTTTACCGTGTTTGACCAAAGCGGTGAATATTAGCCGATTTTTCTATAAGCCTTCGCAGTCAAGAGGTTGTTCAATAGGCCACGACATCCCTCCTTTGCTCTCGAGTACAACTCAAGAGGTTGTTCATAAGCCTTCGCAGCCAAGAAGTTTTGCGCTCATCCATGGTTGGAGCACCATCGAGGGTGTGTTTGACGTATTCCAAACCATCAACCTAAGCAATCCACATAATAAAACAAAATTAATTAAACCTTAAAATAAAATAATTAGACTCACGAGGGAGATTAGCATGACTTACCAACGAACCCATCACAACACCTTGCTTTGACACCCATCTATTGGTGAACTTCTGATACCACTGCATGTACCCATCGTGGTAGCCCATCGGCCTCGTCTTCGGCATCCCTTGGACCACCCATGTCCCTCTATTCTCCCAGATGTTGATGGCATGGAGCTTTAGGAACCAATTCTTTGAAGCGTGTCGGAGGTCGATGGCATGGAGCTCCCTGAAACTTTGAGGCGGGGTTTGTGGAATTGGTTGCTCCATTCGATATTGCCTCAAGGATCGATCGGGTAGGTGCCACTCCATGACGTGCCAACAGATCAATGGCACCTAGCACAACCACGTCTCGTGATCCAGAGGGTTTCTAAGATGATGCAGTTCGACCACTTCACGTGGATATGGATCCCAAGTAACCTATATTCATTCAAATAATGCAATTAGCGACCATTTACATTGAAAAACCTTAACTTGTTAAATTATGATAAAGCATGATTACCTGATTCCACCAAGGCTTATCTAACTCAGAACGATAAAACAATAACGAATGCTCAGGTTGATGGTCATTCGTATTTGCTCCTATCCACCTTGTAAGTAAAAGCATGGAATAAATTTAAATTAGGCTAAGTACGGATTAAATTCAATTTAAATCTAGCTAAGCATGGAATAATTGTAATAGGCTAAGTACGGATTAAATTCAATTTAAATCTAGCTAAGCATGGAATAATTGTAAATTCGGCTAAGTACAGAATAAATTCAATTTAAATCTAGCTAAGCATAGAATAATTTTAAATTAGGCTAAGTAGGGAATAAATTCAATTGAAATATAGCTAAGCATGGAATAATTTTAAATTAGGCTAAGTACGGAATAAACTTACTTGATACCGTAGGGGGGATTTTGCAGAAAGTTTAGCTCATCATCGGCTCTCCGGTATGGACGTGGGTCTAGAGGTGCGAATATTGGAAGATGTTCCCATACCCACAGCTGTAGGATAAACATCGCAGCACCAGCTTGTTTTGCTCCCACCTTCGAGCAAGTGCACAGCTCCCGATAGGCCAGCTAACATGGTCGATCCCCAACTCTTTTCCCCGATTGCGTCCCAGTCACCAGTGAGCAATGGCAACCATATGCCCTGAATCCACCGGTTTGACTTGTCGGGGAACATAAATCCACCCACCAAACCAATGAGGTAGATGCGTGCATATAGCGCTCCACTTGATCTTCCGGAGTCTCGTCATTGATTTCCACCTCATTTTGGATGTGAGTTACCAGCCACGGGACCGACACTTGTCCCGCATTCAACTGTGGATGCCCCTGTCCTTGAATTGGTGTGGTGGTCGGCATGTCAAAGCCCAAACGATCACGAATGAGCGGCCCCCAACCTCCTTCAGGTTTGTTAGTGGAACCAATGATGGCATCTCCAGAAATCGACAGCCCGGTGAGGATCGCCACGTCTTTGAGGGTGATCGTCATTTCCCCCTCCAGAAGGTTGAACGTATGGGTTTCGGGACGCCATCGCTCCGCCATTTCCGTAAGCATATCGTTGTCGATTTCGATCCGCATGAAATGGCGCAACATACCCAACCCGATCCTCTCTATAGGGCGCCAACCGTGGATGCCATGCGGGCAAGTTTGTGGTCCCTTTATGAACGACGGGAATAAGTGATTCCTTCAAAAAAAAATAGGAAAAAAATCAATTTGTTAGTTTAAATAAAGCAAAATAAAACCTTAGATAATAATAAAATAAAGCGAATAAATCATCAAATTACCGGATTGTTATCCCAAATAAATCATCAAATAAATCATAAAATAAAGCAAAACATCAATTTGATAGTCTTCACTGCGTTTGTAAAAAACGGTGAATGCCAAACATGTGTACTTTGGAATTTTTTTTATAAATTATGTATTTTGGGAAATTTTTTTAAAAACATGTGTACAGTGAGATTTTTTCCACAAGTTCTCCTTGTCGTTATCCCCTACCAATAACTGTGGCATCAAATTTTTAAATAATTAGTCTACTAGTATTATTGGGTATATTAGTTGAAGTGGTTGGAGATTTAATAATAAAATTGGTCAGCTAGTATTGTTGGTGGTGTTTTAGAATAATGTGTGGGTTTCCGAGACTTTATGCTGTTTTGGAAATTAGTGGCAAATGAGCAGCAACTTCTGCTAGTCTCTATATACACACTATCACGAGCGACGAAACACAAGTCTCCCAAATAATAATCCGATCGATAATGGAGAAAGAGCAGCAGCAACTTCCGACGGAGTTGTTTTGGGGTAGTCATAACCAGATTTGCCAGATAGAAGGATTCTGGTTCATGGCGCGGCACATGGAAAGCATAGCCGCTTTCAGGTCCGAATTCCAGCCGCGGAACGATGACATTCTCTTGGCATCTTTCATGAAAACAGGAACAACCTGGCTCAAGGCTCTCTGCTACAACATCCTCGACAAACAAGAAAACGACGTTCTGGCGAAGGAGAACCCCCACGACGTGGTCCCCACGCTCGAGGCTACTTTCCTCCAAGACCGAGTCCAACACATGTTGCTCAATTCCCCTCCGGGTCGCAGCAGATTGCTCCACACCCATCTCCACTGCAGTTATCTGCCAGAGAAGGTGAGGAGCTCGTCGCGGGGATGCAAGCTCGTGTACGTGGCCCGGAACCCCAAGGACACGCTGGTGTCGATGTGGCATTTCCTCAACGGGAACTTGAAAGCGGAGGACCAGTTCCCGCTGGAGAGAGCGGTGGAGACCTTCTGCAGCGGGGTTATGCCTTTCGGGCCTTTCTACGAGCACGTGGTGGGATACTGGGAGGAGAGCAAGAGGCGGCCGAAGGAGGTGTTGTTTCTCAAGTACGAGGACCTGTGCAGGAACCCCGAAGAGCAAGTGAGGAAGCTGGCTTTGTTTCTTGGCAGGGAAAAAGGGATCGATGTGGAGAAGGTACTGTGGCGGAGCAGTTTGAACAGGCTCAAGGAGCTGGAGGTTAACAAGAATGATGTCTGTGCTGTTGCCCCGCACATTCCAAATTCCATCTTTTTCAGGACGGGAACTGTCGGAGATTGGAAGAACTGTTTGACTCCAGACATGGTTCAGCGTATTGATAGTCTCACACGAGTTAAGCTACAGGGGACTGGACTTTCTTTTGATGACGAGTAGTTGTTTTGTATGTGCTACGAAAGGGTGTAGCTTTCGCGACCATTTTCATTATTTCGTTATGTAGCAGAAGGTTTCACCATTTGGACGTTTGTTCGTGTGTGAGAAAGCGGCACCTTCGATGTGTATGAAGGATATCTAATGGGTATAAAATCATAAGTTTCTTGTCTTAATCACCATTTGTTTAAGTACTTTAGCTCATAGTATTTGTCGAACTCTTAGTAGTGAGCCCGAAGGTTTATCATATGTTCGACCGTAGGGAAAAGGGCGAAGGTTTAGAATATATGAGCCCGTAGGGCGAAGGAACGAAGTTGCTCGACTGAAAGGAGAGGGAGGGAATATGTGAGCCCGAAGGTTTAGAATATGTTCGACCGAAGGAACGAAGTAGTGAGCCCAAAGGTTAAGACGGCTTGTTTTGAAAGTTACTTTACTCGGAATCTAAGGATCAGAGAATGATTGGCAATCTTACCCGTGGGCATCCATGAGAGGACCTATCTTGGTAGATTGGGAAAAAGTAGACAGACAACTCTTTCCAAAAATTTCCATTCCCCTAGGCTTTTGCCATATCGAGCTTTGCAGAAGAAAAAAAACCCATCTTTTCTTTGTTTCTGTTCTTCATAAACTTAAAGCATTCGAAGACAATAATAATATTATCCTTAATATACCTTCCATATACAAAACCACTAAATTATAGGCGGGGTGGGATGGGATGCTAACCCCATACCCCGTTGGCACCTGCTAACCCCAAAACTCTACACACGTATTCATACAAACACTACACACGTATTATTAAAAACCACTACTACCAATATATTGCACCTCAATATTGACGAAACTACATAGTCCCAAGACAACTATGACCAGAAACACTACCATGACTGCACATCAAACTACTACAGACCCTAAATATTAACAACACAGGTGATCAATAAAAAAAAACTACCATGCAAAAACACTACCACGACTATTAAGACGGTGCTAACCCCTATAAGATTAGCACCGTAGCTTGTCCCGAAATAATCTCATCAAGAAAAATCTTTAGCCTGTTGGTTGCCCGCTGTGTACTGTCTGAGCCCGAAGGTTTTGGCGGTCCTATTTGATTCAGCGCTTGGAAAACTTCTACCGCTCGAAATGGCTCAAGCAGGGTGGCATTCGTTTCTTCCGAAAATGATTTAACCTTAGTAAAAAAATAATTATTATATGAATGAAATTAAAAAATCACACATCATACGTTACCATGATGCGACTGTTACACTTGCAGAGAAGAGAGCGAGAAAAATGTGAAACTAAACGACATGGCTCTTTGTCACACTATCCTCCACCTCCACAAACCATAAACGTACACCAACATGTTCTCTATATTTACCACAAGAGTTGCGCAGCCAATAAGTAGAACACCTCTTTAATTGTCTCTTCAAATAAAGCCAACAATGGAGAACCAGCAGCAACTTCCGACGGAGTTGTATTGGGGTACTCCTCACGAGGTTTGCCAGATAGAAGGATTCTGGTACATGGCCGGTTTTATGGAAGCCACGACCGCCTTCAGGTCAAAATTCGAGCCGAGGAAGGACGACATTCTCTTGACATCTTTCACGAAAACAGGAACAACCTGGCTCAAGGCTCTCTGCTACAACATCCTCGACGAGGAAGAGAATGACATTCTGGCGAAGGAGAACCCCCACGATGTGGTCCCCACGCTCGACAGCACTTTCCTCCAAGACCAAGTGCAGCATCTGCTGCTGAATTCCCCTCCGGGGCGCAGCAGATTGCTCCACACCCATCTCCCCTGCAGTTACCTGCCGGAGAAGGTGAGGAGCACGCCGGGGTCCAAGCTCGTGTATGTGGCCCGGAACCCCAAGGACACGTTGGTGTCGCTGTGGCATTTCCTCAACAAGAACCTGAAAGCCGACCCGTTCCCGCTGGAGAGAGCGGTGGAGACCTTCTGCCGGGGGGTTATGCCTTTTGGGCCTTTTTACGAGCACGTGGTGGGATACTGGGAAGAGAGCAAGAAGCGGCCCAATGAGGTGTTGTTTCTCAAGTACGAGGACATGTGCAGAAACCCGAGAGAGCAAGTGAGGAATCTGGCCTCGTTTCTCGGTCGGGAAGCGAATATAGATGTGGAGAAGGTACTGTGGCGGAGCAGTCTGAACAGACTTAAGGAGTTGAAGGTCAACAAGGATGACGATATTAAGGAAGGACAACATGTTCACCCCTCCGCCTTTTTCAGGACGGGAACGGTTGGGGATTGGAAGAACTACTTGACTCCCGACATGGTTCAACGTATTGATCAGCTCACACAGGTTAAGCTGCAGGGGACTGGGCTTTCTTTTGATGACCAGTAGTTCTGTATAAAGTTTTATTTAGTTTGATGTCATAAACCAACTGGTCCTAAATAACTCTAGTCATTGGGAGAGGTCCATGTATGAATTTGTATAAGTTGTTTGAGTTCAAGCATGTAACGGGTGAATTTCCTCTACACTAGTAATAGCTAGAATGGTAGAAGTACTATTCATAACTATATGGATTGTATATTAACCACACAAGAGCTTTATCATATTATATATGTAATTTATGATTGCATTTACCATCGTAGGTAGTGCTTGAAAGTTGTAACCACTATAAAATACGGTGGCTAATTCCAAACCAGGTCTGTCCTAAGACCACTCACTGTGTGGGTTGGTAAAATGAGAAAAATGGGAAATGTTCCTGCAGTGTAGCTGGGAAAGGGGAAAAATAGAAAAAGTGGGAAAAATGGGTGGGAATACCCATCACTAGCGGACAAATGATGGGAAAGGGAGGAGGGAGGGTCACACTGTCGTGCCCGCATATAATTTTCTCATTAGTTTTTTTTTATTTTTTTGTTCTAAGTTATTTGTTTTAATGATTTTCTTTTATTGTGAGGTGTTTTGATTGGTTTTATCAGCAACGGACAAAATCAATGACGTTATATTTAATTAGTGATGAAAAACAATTATGTCCAAATTAAAAAAAAATATATCGAAATTTTCGTATTAATTCATTATCACTAACTAAGTAAAAATAATGATCATTATATAAAAATAAAGTGACGAAATCAACTATAGATTGATTTTAACAAAAATGTACTAAACCAATTATCTACTTTTCTCACCCCCACATTGCGACCAAAACCTCTTTCTCCCTCTCTTTTTCCTATTTTCTCACATTTCCTTTCCACCCACATTGTGGATGGTCTAACAAGTTCTGGTCGGTCTAAACAATTATTGCCCACGAATGCAACCGGTGGTTAATAGTACTAAACAACTAAGGTAGACTTTACGAATTGAATGATTTAAAAATCGCCATTACTTTAAACCACCGTATTCAAAAATCGTAGTTAATATACCACCGTTTTGACTTTTAGCCATGCCCAAGTGATCCACGGTTTATTCATCGTGGGTAATAACACCCTTTTTACTATTAAGCACCGTTTTTTCAACCTTGATTAAAGTGAGAGCAGAGAGAGGGAGGGCTGTAAATCCCTAGAGAAAGTGGAGTGGATCCCTTTGCCACTCAACCCAACAATGGAAAAAAGGAAAAGGAAAGGAAGAACGCTAAAGTAGACGGGTGCGGTGGTCGGTGGCCTAATAGAGATGGGTAAACGGTTGCTGTTTTCTGGTTAAATCGAAATCACACCGAATAAGTGCAGTTAGTGGCTAGCTGCAAACCGTTTAAAGGGGAATAGGTTAGGGTGGTTACTCAATTTTGAGTAATCACGGTGGCTACCAACATCTATACCATTCATTATCTTTATTTTATTATAATTTTAAATTAATGATTAAGATTAGCTAAGGGTAATTTAGAAAATGAAAACATACCACACCTGATTACTGTATATATTTTACTCAAATCCTAATACCTAGCCGTCGTCTCCTCCCTCCTCTCCCTGTCGCTCCCGCTCTCCATCAACCTCCGCCTCGCCGGCTCTACCTTCCCGGCCGACTCCGATGTCATCCTCTCTTCCTTCTTCTCCTCCACCCATACCTCCGACCACTTCCACGTCATAACCCCCGATCCCGTCCCACCTCACAGCGGCTCCCACCGCCTCGCCGTCCGCCATACCCCTCACCTCGACGTCTCGCACTCCCCGCCTTCTCTCGCTTCCCGACTCTCCGACGCCATCAAATCCGCCATCGCCTCCACCCCTTCCCCTCTCCGATCAACCCTACTCTCCATCCCTTACGACTCCGTCGACCAAACCGGAGTTGGGAAATCACTGCTCGCTAGAGCATTAGTAATGGAGTTCCTTGGGTCGACAGATTCGCTGGAAAAGGTGGGATGAATAAAAACCCTAGATCTGATTTTTTCCGCATTGGTAGTGATTTTTTTGTAGTGGTAATGTTTTTTTTTCTTTGGTATTGTTTTTGTCGCATTGGTATTGATTATCATGTAATGGTATTAATTTGCATGTATTGGTATGGATTCAATCTGCAATGGTATTGATTTTTTGTGAAATGATATAGATTTATATTGGTAGATTGTTTATATTGGTAGTTTTCGTGTAATGGTATAGATTTATTTCTGCAATGGTATTGATATTTTTCAAAGTGGTAGTGATTATCTAATGGATTGGTAGCGATATCGTGTTTTTTTTTTCTTTTGTAGAAAGATTGAGAAAAATAAGGAAAATGGATCTGGCTGAAGATTATGGAAGTGAGAGAAAGAGAGAGAATTGTAATTAATAGATTCTTGTAACTACCTAAAATATAATTTATTTAAAAAATTAATTAATGCAATTTATTTTTCATACTGAATTTACCCTTAGTAACCACAGTGATTACTACTTATGTAGTAATCACCGTAACCTGTCCCTAGGGGATATTATTTGGTCGCAATTAGCAGAATTGATCATTTTGCGATTTGTTGGACTAACCGCAAACAACGCCGAATAACAAACTAACCGTATAACTAACGTCATATTACATCAACTATAGAATATTTGGCCTGACAAAAAAAAAAACGTACGATAATAGTTTTGTGAGCTTTTTAAATCATTCAATTCATAATATAATTTTTTATTTAAAAAAACTTGGTAAATTAAATATATGTAGAAATTATCAAGAATATCCCTCTATATGTATCAAAAAATTATTCATGATTTAGCTAGACATTGACTTTTGAATGGTGTTCTTTGTCAAGACCGTTTAGTATCAATAACTCGAGCTGTTGTGAAAGATTTAATAACGAACCTTATACTATTTAGTATTTACTAACACTTTCCCACTAACGAAAACCAATTTTGACGTGCTTAAAGTTTTCGCAAATTTGAATTTCATGTGCTTAATAAATGGAGTCACCAAAATTCGAACACATGTACTATTATACTAATTTACTCATTTTTGTCACTAGTAACCACCCATCACACTCCTTGATTGAAATATAACTACTTTTACAAATTAGCTTTGATTTGGTGGAAATTTGTTGTAGATATTGAATAAGTACCTCTTTAATTTTAGGCAGATCATATGCACCATTGTCGGCTGTACATAATTTGTTATAAGTGCATTGAATATACCATTACCCAACTTACAAAGCATGCATCAAATATTTAAAAAAGGTAAACTGAATTAAATATATGTATTTTTCATATCCGATTCACTAATATACATAATTTATCATTTTTCCCTTCCGAACCGCGGTAAAATATGTAACCTTTTCCCCTCCGCCCGTGTTACGATGGGTCCAACCACCACAAACCCTCTTTCAGCATGAATCCAATCCTCTCTGCTTTCCCATCTTGGAGTCGAGTCGACAACATATCCACCAAATCCATTTTTTCAAGTGGGTCTAGTCTACATTTAAAGTGTGCCTCCGCCCATGTGATTATCGTCAGAGACTCAGAGCGCAGTGACCGCAGACCTGCTACGCCTGCCCAAAGTTTGAATGCGATCGATCCTCCAACCCTCAACCCATAATAATGCATTTGATTCTCCACGAGAGAAATGTGGAAACTAGTACAATCAACTTTAAATACCCTCTTCTATATATACCGCAACAGTTTACGTACTCAGGCAGTAAGCAGACCAATTTAACTAACTGTGTCTTCAAATTACTTCCAATTCATAATCCGATGATGGAGAACCAGCAGCTACTTCCGGCGTCGGAATTGTTTTGGGGCAGTCATCACGAGATCTGCCGGATAGAAGGATTCTGGTACCACGCACGGCATGTGGAAAGCATAGCCGCCTTCAGGTCCGAATTCGAGCCGAGGAACGACGACATTCTCTTGACGTCTTTCGTCAAAACAGGAACAACCTGGCTCAAAGCTCTCTGCTGCAACATCCTCGACGAACAAGAGAAGGACATTCTCGCGACGAGGAACCCCCACGAGGTGGTTCCCACGATCGAGATTGCTTTCCTCCAGGACCGAGTCCAACACATGCTGCTCAATTCCTCTCTGGAGCGCAGCCGACTGCTCCACGCTCACCTCCCCTACAGTCACCTGCCGGAGAAGGTGAGGAGCTCCTCGTCGTTGGGGTGCAAGCTCGTGCACGTGGCCCGGAACCCCAAGGACACGCTGGTGTCGATGTGGCATTTCTACAACAAGAACGAGAAGCTCTACACAAATGGCCCGTTCCCGCTGGAGAGGGCGGTGGAGATCTTCTGCGGCGGGGTCGTGCCCTGGGGCCCGTTTTACGACAACGTGCTGGGGTACTGGGAGGAGAGCAGGAAGCGGCCCGAGGAGGTGTTGTTTCTCAAGTACGAGGACCTGTGCAGAAACCCAGAAGAGCAAGTGAGAAAGCTGGCTTCATTTCTTGGCCGGGAAACGAGCAGCATGGATGTGGAGAAAGTACTGTGGCGGAGCAGTCTGAATAGGCTCAAGGAGCTGGAGGTTAACAAGAATGGTGCCCGTAAGGATGCCCCGGATATTCCCAATTCCATTCTTTTCAGGACGGGAACCGTGGGGGACTGGAAGAACTACCTGACTCCCGACATGGCTCAACGTATTGATAGCCTCACACGAGTTAAGTTGCAGGGAACTGGACTCTCTTTTGATGATGAGTAGTAGTTACTAGTTAACCTAATCTTTGCGTTGCGGCGTGGCCGGCCGTTGTTCAAGTCCACCTAGCTAGTTGCTAGCTAGCTAGGGTTTCTTTTGCTTGCCTTTTGTTTCTTCCTCTGTAATTTCTTTTCTCTGCTGTGTGCGTGCTTTAATAAAATCACATTCATTTTCTTCAGCCCGGAGGTTTGGACGGTCCTATTTGATTCAGTGCTTGGGAAACTTCTTTCAGCTCGTAGTGGCTCAAGCAGGGGGATACATATAGGGTCAATAACCCTATGATTTATAACTTTGCATAACTAAATATGAGCCCTTCAGTTTAAGGCTTAATTGCAAGTTTGGTCACTCGAATTGCTACAAAATTTCACGTTTGGTCACTAAAATTGGTTTATTCCATTAGTAGTCACTTAAATTAGTTATGCAAACCATACTCGCATTCATATCCGAATTCCAGCCGCGGAAGGACGGCATTCTCTTGACGTCTTTCACGAAAACAGGAACAACCTGGCTCAAAGCTCTTTGCTACAACATCCACGACGAGGAAGAGAATGACGTTCTGGCGAAGGAGAACCCCCACGATGTGGTTCCCACTCTCGACATCACTTTCCTCCAAGACCAAGTCCAACAGGCAACATCTGCTGCTTAATTCCCCTCCGGGGCGCAGCAGATTGCTCCACACCCATCTCCCCTGCAGTTACCTGCCGGAGAAGGTGAGGAGCTCACCGGGATGCAAGCTCGTGTACGTGGCGCGGAATCCCAAGGACACGCTGGTGTCGCTGTGGCATTTCCTCAACAAGAACCTGAAAGCCGACCCATTCCCTCTGGAGAGAGCGGTGGAGACCTTCTGCAGGGGGGTTATGCCTTTCGGGCCCTTTTACGAGCACGTGGTGGGATACTGGGAAGAGAGCGAGAAGCGGCCGGATGAGGTGTTGTTTCTCAAGTACGAGGACCTGTGCAGAAACCCAAGAGAGCAAGTGAGGATGCTGGCCATGTTTCTCGGTCGGGAAACGAATATAGATGTTGAGAAGGTACTGTGGCGGAGCAGTATGAACAGACTCAAGGAGTTGAAGGTCAACAAGGATGATGCTGTGAAGGAAGGGCAACATGTTGGCAACTCCGCCTTTTTTAGGACGGGAACTGTGGGAGATTGGAAGAACTATTTGACTTCCGACATGGCTCAACGTATTGATCAGCTCACACGACTTAAACTGCAGGGTACTGGTCTTTCTTTTGATGATGAGTAGTTACGTTGGTTCCCTGTGTCAAAAGTTGCCACCGGTTGAATGTTTTTTTCGTGTGACCTATCTTTGCGTTGCACCAGGGGTGGTTCAAGTCCACCTAGTTGTTGGGTTTTTTTCTGCCTGTCTATTTATCCTTTGAGGTGGGCATGGCCTTTGTTCAAGTCCACCTAGCTGCTAGGGTTTCTTTTGCTTGCCTTTGTTTTTTCCTGTCATTTCTTTTCTCTGCTCTAATAAAATCACTTCAACTTCGTAGAAGAAAATTCGTTCGTTTGAGGTTCTTACTGAAGGAATTTATTTTTACCGACTCACATTCATACTTACTTAGATTTTACTTCAGCCGTTGAGCTTCCTTGCAGTTTGCTCTTCCAAAAATCAACTATCATCGACAAAAAATTTAAATAAGTGTGGGAATTGGGGGATGGGGGTGGGGAAGCTTTCTTATATACCTGAATTCCATGGAAATTCCCTCTATCAAGAGCTTGTTTGAAAAGAGGACCTTCAGCATATAACATAAATATGTTATGATCTCAAAATTGGGGTGTAAACTGACAAATCTTATTCAATGAAAGAGAAACAAATATATACAAGATTTCAGCCTACAAACTTGACCGTTTCCAAGCTATGTTTATTTGATTGGATGATTGTATGAGTACTCCTACTTGATAATCTTGAGTTCATATTCAATCTATGCATGTTTCATGATTCAATTCTGCTTTAGTCGAGATTATTAATTCTGCTTTGATCCTATGAGAGCGAATACCTGATTAGGTCAATAGAGCACCATAGATTGATAGTATTGGATCAATTGCTTTAGTCGAGGGTTGATTCACTACTTTGTATCGATTGAGAACCTCTTTCGATAGAGGGAGTCTAGTTCAGAACGCCTTGATCGGTTGTTCTAGAGAAGGATACGTCCCTCTAGGCAATTGACTCAAGAGGGCCTTGTTCCATCTTAATCTGGTTTGCTAGATAATGAAATGAAGCTGAGTAATAGTAACTCTAGAGACCCGTGGATTCGATATTTATTATTTGAGTCACTATACTGCAGTCCCTTTCATTGGTTACACTTGGCGATTGTTAGGAGTTGTGTCATAGCGAGTCAGCCCACAAAATTACGAAAATGTCATCCAAAAATAAATTTGCCCAAATCGGTGCTTAATTTACTTATCATCCGTGGAGAATAGGATCAATATAATTCATTATCGATGTATAATAGCCTCTGCTTGATTCCGTGATTTGTAGCCTCCCGAATCGAAAGAAAACGACATTTCAGAAAAATCGCCCAAAATCTGTGAGGGTACCCCTTTGCAATCTGCCAAAAATTGACCCGGAATAAATCCGTCCAAATCGGTGCTTAATGGATTATTCATCGTTGAAGAATAGCCTCTGACCGAATCCATGACATGTAGCCTTCAAAATCCAAAGAAAATGGCCTTCCGACGCCCACAAAATTACGAAAATGCTTTCCGAAAATAAGTTGGCCCAAATTGGTGCTTAATGGACTTATCATCCGTGGAGAATAGGATCAATAGAATTCATTATCGATGGAGAATAGCCTCGACCAGATTCCGTGATCTGTAGCGTCCAAAATCGAAAGAAAATGACATTTCGGAAAAATCGCCCAAAATCTGTGATGGTACACCTTTGCAATCTTCCAAAAATCGACACGGAATAAATCCGCCCAAATTGGTGCTTAACGGACACAATCATCGTTGAAGAATAGCCTCAGGTCGAATCCGTAAGCTGTAGCCTTCAAAATCCCAAGAAAATGGCATTTCGACACCCACAAAATTACGAAAATGCCATCCAAAAATAAATTTGCCCAAATCAGTGCTTAATGGACTTATCATACGTGGAGAATAGGATCAATAGAATTAATTATCAGTGTAGAATAGCCTCGGCATGATTTCGTGATCTGTAGCCTCCAGAATCGAAAGAAAATGGCATTTCAGAAAAATCGCACAAAATCTGTTATGGTACCCCTTTGCAAACTGCCAAAAATTGACCTGGAATAAATCCGCCAAATCAGTTCTTAATGGACTTAATCATCGTTGAAGAATAGCCTCAAGCCGAATCCGTGACCTCCAGCATTCAAATTCCAAAGATAATGGCCTTTCGACGCCCACAAAATTACGAAAATACCATCCAAAAATAAATTGGCCCAAATCGAAGCTTAATGGACTTATCATCTATGGAGAATAGGATAAATAGACTTCATTATCGGTGGAGAATAGCCTTGGTCTGGTTTCGTGATCTGTAGCCTCCAGTATGGAAAGAAAGTGGCATTCCAGGAAAATCGCCCAAAATCTGTGACGGTACCCCTTTGCAATATGCAAAAATTGACGCGGAATAAATCTGCCCAAATTGGTGCTTAATGGACTAATCATCTTTGAAGAATAGCCTCAGGCCGAATCCGTGACCTGTAGCCTTCAAAATCCAAAGAAAATTACCTTCTGACGGCCACAAAATTACGAAAATGTCATCCGAATATAAATTGGCCCAAATTGGTGCTTAATGGACTTATCATCCGTGGAGAATAGGATCAATAGACTTCATTATCGGTGGAGAATAGCCTCAGCTTGATTCTGTGATGTGTAGCCTCCAGAATCGAAAGAAAATGGCATTTCGGAAAGATCGTCCAAAATCCGTGATGGTACCCCTTTGCAATCTGCCGAAAATTGACCTGGAATAAATCCGCCCAAATCGGTGCTTAATGGACACAATCATCGTTGAAGAATAGCCTCAGGTCGAATCCGTAACTTGTAGCCTTCAAAATCCCAAGAAAATGGCCTTTCGACGCCCACAAAATTACGAAAATGCCATCAAAAAATAAATTTGCCCAAATCAGTGCTTAATTTACTTATCATCCGTGGAGAGTAGGATTAATAGAATTCATTATCGATGTGGAATAGCCTCTGCCTGATAACGTGATCTGTAATCTCCTGAATGGAAAGAAAACGGCATTTCAGAAAAATCGTCCAAAATCTGTGCGAGTAACCCTTTGCAATCTGCCAAAAATTGACCCGGAATAAATCCGCCCAAATCGGTGCTTAATGGATTATTCATCGTTGAAGAATAGCCTCTGACCGAATCCATGACATGTAGCCTTCAAAATCCAAAGAAAACGCCCTTCCGACGCCCACAAAATTACGAAAATGCCTTCCGAAAATAAATTGGCCCAAATCGGTGCTTAATGGACTTATCATCCGTGGAGAATAGGATCAATAGACTCATTATCGGTGGAGAATAGACTCGGCCTAATTCCGTGATCTGTAGCCTCGAGAATCGAAAGAAAATGGCATTTCGGAAAAATCGCCAAAATCTGTGATGGTAACCCTTTGTAATCTGCCAAAAATTGACCCAGAATAAATCCGCCGAAAGCGATGCTTAATGGACTTAATCATCGTTGAAGAATAGCCTCAGGTCGAATCCGTAACCTATAGCCTTCAAAATCCCAAGAAAATGGCCTTTCGACGCCCACAAAATTACAAAAATGTCATCCGAAAATAAATTGGCCCAAATCGGTGCTTAATAGACTTATCATCAGTGGAGAATAGGATTAATAGACTTCATTATCGGTGTAGAATAGCCTCGGCATGATTCCGTGATCTGTAGCCTCCAAGAATCGAAAGAAAATGGCATTTCGGAAAAAAATCGCACAAACTGCCAAAAATTGACCCGAAATAAATCTGCCCAAATCAGTTCTTAATGGACTTAATCATTGTTGAAGAATAGCCTCGGGCCGAATCCGTGACCTGTACCCTTCAAAATCAAAAGAAAATTGCATTCCGAGGCCACAAAATTACGAAAATGCCATCCGAAAATAAATTGGCCGAAATCGGTGCTTAATGGATTTATCATCCGTAGAGAATAGGATCAATAGACTTCATTATCGGTGGAGAATAGCCTCGGCTTGATTATGTGATCTGCAGCCTATAGAATTGAAAGAAAATGGCATTTCGGAAAAAATCTGCCAAAAATAGGATCAATAGACTTCATTATCGGTGGAGAATAGCCTCGGCTTGATTCATTGATGGTACCCCTTTGCAATCTGTCAAAAATTGACTCGGAATAAATCCTCCCTAATCGGTGCTTAATGGACACAATCATCGTTGAAGAATAGCCTCAAGTCGAATCCGTAACCTGTAGCCTTCAAAATCCAAAGAAAATGGCCTTCTGACGCCAACAAAATTACAAAATTGTCATCTAAATATTAATTGGCTCAAATCGGTGCTTAATGGACTTATCATCCGTGGAGAATATGATCAATAGCTTAACTATTGGTGGAGAATAGGATCAATAGATTTCATTATCGGTGGAGAATAGCCTCGACCTGATTCTGTGGTCTGTAGCCTTCAGAATCGAAAGAAAATGACATTTTGGAAAAATCTCTCAAAATCCGTGATGGTACCCTTTTGCAATCTGCCAAAAATTGACTGGAATAAATCTGCCCAAATCGGTGCTTAATGGACACAATCATCGTTGAAGAATAGCCTCAGGTCGAATCCATAACCTGTAGCCTTCAAAATCCCAAGAAAATGGCCTTTCGACACCCACAAAGTTACGAAATTGGCATCCAAAAATAAATTTGCCCAAATCGGTGCTTAATGGACTTACCATCCGAGCAGAATAAGATCAATAGAATTCATTATCGGTGTAGAATAGCCTCGGCCTGATTCCGTGATCTGTAGCCTCAAGAATCGAAAGAAAATGGCATTTCGGAAAAATCGCCCAAAATCTGTGATGTTACCCCTTGGCAATCTGCCAAAAATTGACCCGGAATAAATCCGCCCAAATCTGTGCTTAATGGACACAATCATCGTTGAAGAATAGCCTCAGGTCGAATCCGTAAACTGTAGCCTTCAAAATCCAAAGAAAATGACCTTTCGACGCGCACAAAATGACAAAAATGCCATCCAAAAATAAATTTGCCCAAATCGGTGCTTAATTTACTTATCATCTGTGGAGAATGGGATCAATAGAATTCATTATCGATGTAGAATAGCCTCTGCCTAATTCCGTGATCTGTAGCCTACTGAATAGAAAGAAAACGGCTTTTTCAGAAAAATCGCCCAAAATCTGTGAGGGTACCCCTTTGCAATATGCCAAAAATTTACCCGGAATAAATTCTCCCAAATTGATGCTTAATAGACTTAATTATCGTTGAATAATAGACTTACGCCGAATCTGTGACCTGCCGCTTTCAAAATCCGAAGAAAATGGCCTTTTGTTGCCCACAAAATTGTGAAAATGTCATGCGAAGATAAATTGGCCCAATTCGGTGCCAAATGGACTTATCATTCATGGAGAATAGGATCAATAGACTTTATTATCGGTGGAGAATATCCTCGGCCTGATTCTGTGATCTGTACCCTCCAGAATCGAAAGCAAAATGGCATTTCGGAAAAATCGCACAAAATCTGTGATGGTAGCACTTTGCAAACTGCCAAAAATAGACCTGGAATAAATCCGCCCAAATTAGTTCTTAATGGAATTAATCATAGTTGAATAATAGCCTCAGGCCGAATCCATGATGTATAGTTTTCAAAATCCAAAGAATATGGCCTTTCGACGGTCACAAAATTACGAAAATGCAATCTGAAAATAAATTTGCCTAAATCGGTGCTTAATGGACTTATCATCCGTGGAGAATAGGATCAATAGAATTCATTATCGGTGTAGAATAGCCTCGGCCTGATTCCGTGATCTGTAGCATCCAAAATCGAAAGAAAATGGCATTTCTGAAAAATCGCCCAAAATCTGTGAGGGTACCCCTTTGCAATCTGCCAAAAATTGACCCGGAATAAATCCGCCCAAATCGGTGCTTAATGGACTTAATCATCGTTGAAGAATAGCCTCATGCCGAATCCGTGACCTATAGCTTTGTAAATCCCTAGAAAATGGCCTTTCGATGCCCCCAAAATTACGAAAATGTCATCCGGAAATAAATTGGACCAAATCGGTGTTAATGGACTTATCATCCGTGGAGAATAGGATTAATAGACTTCATTATCGGTGGAGAATAGCCATGACATGATTCCGTGAACTGTAGCCTCCAGAATCGAAAGAAAACGGCATTTCGGAAAATCGCACAAAATCTGTTATGGTACCCCTGTGCAAACTGCCAAAAATTGACCCGGAATAAATCCGCACAAATAAGTTCTTAATGGACTTAATCATCATTGAAGAATAGCCTTAGGCCGAATCCGTGACCTGTAGCCTTCAAAATAAAATAAAAATGACCTTCCGACGCCCACAAAATTACCGTAATGGCATCCGAAAATAAATTGGCCCAAATCGGTGCTTAATGGACTTATCATCCGTAGAGAATAAGATCAATAGACTTCATTATCGGTGGAGAATAGCCTCGGCTTGATTCTGTGATCTGTAGCCTCTAGAATCGAAAGAAAATGACATTTCGGAAAAATCGCCCAAAATCCGTGATGATACCCCTTTGCAATCTGCCAAAAATTGACCCAGAATAAATCCGCACAAATCGGTGCTTAATGGACACAATCATCGATGAAGAGTAGCCTCAGGTCGAATCCGTAACCAGTAGCCTTCAAAATCCCAAGAAAATGGCCTTTCGACGCCCACAAAATTACGAAAATGCCATCCAAAAATAAATTTGCCCAAATCGGTGCTTAATTTACTTATCATCCTTGGAGAATAGGATCAATAGAATTCATTATCGATGTAGAATAGCCTCTGCCTAATTCTGTGATCTGTAGCCTTCTGAATCGATAGAAAACGACTTTTTCAGAAAAAACGCACAAAATCTGTGAGGGTACCCCTTCGCAATCTGCCAAAAATTTACCCGGAATAAATTCGCCCAAATCGGTGCTTAATAGACTTAATCATCGTTGAAGAATAGATTCATGCCGAATCTGTGACCTGTCGCTTTCAAAATCCCAAGAAAATGGACTTTCGTTGCTCACAAAATTATGAATATGTCATGCGAAAATAAATTGGCCCAAATCGGTGCCAAATGGACTTATCCTCCATGGAGAATAGGATCAATAGACTTCATTATCGGTGGAGAATATCCTCGACCAGATTCCGTGATCTGTAGCCTCCAGAATCGAAAGCAAAATGACATTTCGGAAAAATCGCACAAAATCATTGATGGTACCCCTTTGCAAACTGCCAAAAATAGACTTGGAATAAATCCGCCCAAATTAGCTCTTAATGGACTTAATCATAGTTGAAGAATAGCCTCAGGCCGAATCCATGATCTGTAGTTTTCAAAATCCAAAGAAAATGGCCTTTCGAAGCTCACAAAATTACGAAAATGCAATCCGAAAATAAATTTTCCCAAATTGGTGCTTAATGGATTTATCATCCGTGGAGAATAGGATCAATTGACTTCATTATCGGTGGAGAATAGCCTCGACCTAATTCTGTGATTTGTAGCCTCCAGAATCGACAGAAAAAGGCATTTCGGAAAAATCGCCCAAAATCCGTGATGTTAACCCTTTGCAATCTGCCAAAAATTGACCCAGAATAAATCCGCCGAAAGAGATGCTTAATGGACTTAATCATCGTTGAAAAATAGCCTCAGGCCGAATCCATGATCTGTAGTTTTTAAAATCCAAAGAAAATGGCCTTTCGAAGCTCACAAAATTACGAAAATGCAATCCGAAAATAAATTTGCCCAAATCGGTGCTTAATGGATTTATCATCCGTGGAGAATAGGATCAATAGACTTCATTATCGGTGTAGAATATCCTCGGCATGATTCTGTGATCTGTAGCCACCAGAATCGAAAGTAAATGGCATTTTAGAAAAATCGCCCAAAATCATTGATGGTACCACTTTGCAATCTGCCAAAAATTGACCAGGAATAAATCTGCCCAAATCGGTGCTTAATGGACTTAATCATCGTTGAAGAAAAGCCTCTAGCCGAATCTTTGACATGTAGCCTTCAAAATCCAAAGAAAATGGCCTTCTGAAACCAACAAAATTACGAAATTGCCATCTGAAAATAAATTGGCTAAAATTGGTGCTTGATGGGCTTATCATCCGTGGAAAATATGATTAATAAACTTCATTATCGGTGGAGAGTAGCCTCGGCATGATTCCGTGATCTGTAGCCTCCAAAATCGAAAGAAAATGGCATTTCGAAAAAATCGCACAAAATCTGCGATGGTACTCCTTTGCAAACTGCCAAAAATTGACCCTGAAAAAATCCGCTCAAATCAGTTCTTAATGAACTTAATCATCGTTGAAGAATAGCTTCAGGCCGAATCCGTGATCTGTAGTTTTCAAAATCCAAAGAAAATGGCCTTTCGACTAGGGATGGCAATGGGTCGGGTTGGGTCGGGTTTTGCCAAACCCAAACCCATGAGTTTATCCATGAAAAAATTCGTGGTAAAACCCACTGGGTTTGAAAAACTCAAACCCAACCCAACCCGCTGGGTAACCGCGGGTTCATGGGTACCCACGGGTTTTTGTCTTAAAAAATTTACAATAACAAGTTCCTATCAAAATTAAAGTCAATTATCAATCTTTCAATACAAATTATCCATATATAAAACATCATTATAGAAAATTCAAGCAAATAACAAATTAACTATACAAATTGTTCAACACCAATCTAGTAAACTCAAGAAAATTGAAGCCAATCACAAATTATCCATAAATAACATGATTAATTGAAAGCTTCTTCCTTTCAATTAAGTTTCTTCACTCTCCGCTCGATAACATCAACTTCATTCTACACAATTAGAAAGAAAAAATTAGACATGTCTAATCAAACATAAATAAAATTAGTTGTTTAGAATATTAAATATACCGAGAAATTAATTATATGGGTGTGGGCGGGTACCCATGGGTTGGGTTTACCTAAACCCAAACCGGTGAATAGTGAACAGGTTTAAAGCCAACCCGACCCAAAACCTGTCAACATAGATTTTACCCGCGTTGACCGGGTTGGGTTGGGTGGGTACCCGTGTGTTCGGGTTTTGTTTCCATACATACTTTCGACGCCCACAAAATTATGAAAATGCAATCCGAAAATAAATTTGCCCAAATCAGTGCTTAATGGATTTATTATCCGTGGAGAATAGGATCAATAGACTTCATTATCAGTGGTGAATAGCCTCGGCCTGATTTCGTATTTCTAGCATCCAGAATGGAAAGAAAATGGAATTTCGGAAAAATCGCCAAAATCTGTGATGGTACCCCTTTCTAATCTGGAAAAATTGACCCGGAATAAATCCCCCAAATCTGTGCGTAATGGACTTAATCATCGTTGAAGCATAGCATCAACCGAATCTGTGATATCTAGTCTTCAAAATCCAAAGAAAATGGCATTTCGACGCCCACAAAATTACGAAAATGCCATCTGAAAATAAATTGGCCCAAATTGGTGCTTAATGGAATTATCATCCGTGGAGAATAGGATCAATTGCCTTCATTATCGGTGGAGAATAGCCTCGATCTGGTTCCGTGATCTGTAGCCTCCAGTATCGAAAGAAAGTGGCATTCCGAAAAATCGCCCAAAATCTGAGATGGTACCCCTTTGCAATATGGAAAAAACTGACCCGGAATAAATCTACCCAAATCGGTGCTTAATGGACTAATCATTGCTGAAGAATAGCCTCAAGCCAAATCCGTGACCTATAGACTTCAAAATCCAAAGAAAATTGCATTCCGACGCCCCCAATATTACGAAAATGCCATCCAAAAATAAATTGGCCCAAATTGGTGCTTAATGGACTTATCATACATGGACAATAGGATCAGAAGACTTCATTAACGGTGGAGAATAGTCTCGGCCTGATTCTGTGATCTGTACCCTACAGAATTTAAAGAAATTGGCATTACGGAAAAATTGCCCAAAATCCGTGATGGTGTATTGGTGTACCCATTTGCAATCTGCCAAAAATTGACCCGGAATAAATCCGGCCAAATCGGTGCTTAATGGACTAATCATTGTTAAAGAATAGACTCAGGCCAAATCCGTGACCTGTAGCCTTCAAAATCCAAAGAAAATTGCCTTCCGACGCCCCCAAAATTACGAAAATGCCAACCGAAAATAAACTGGCCCAAATCGGTGTTTAATGGACTTATCATCCGTGGACAATAGGATCAATAGACTTCATTATCGGTGGAGAATAGCCTCGGCCTTATTCTGTGATCTGTAGCCTCCAGAATTGAAAGAAATTGGCATTTCGGAAAAATTGCCCAAAATCCGTGATGGTACCCATTTGCAATCTGCCAAAAATTGACCCGGAATAAATCCGCCCAAATCAGTTTTTAATGGACACAATCATCGTTGAAGAATAGCCTCTCGTCGAATCCGTAACCTGTAGCCTTCAAAATCCCAAGAAAATGGCATTTCGACACCCACAAGATTATGAAAATGCCATCCAAAAATAAATTTGCCCAAATCGGTGCTTAATGGACTTATCATCCGTGGAGAATAGGATCAATAGACTTCATTATCGGTGGAGAATAGCCTCGACCTTATTCCGTGATCGGTACCCTCCAGAATCGAAAGAAATTGGCATTTCGGAAAAATCACATAAAATCTGTTATGGTACCCCTTTGCAATCTGCCAAAAATTGACCAGGAATAAATCTGCCCAAATCGATGCTTAATGGACTTAATCATCGTTGAAGAATAGCCTTAGGCCGAATCCGTGATCTGTAGCCTTCAAAATCCAAAGAAAATGGCCTTTCGATGTGCACAAAATTACGAAAATGACATCCTAAAATAAATTGGCCCAAATTGGTGCTTAATGTACTTATCATCCGTGGAGAATAGGATCAATAGACTTCATTATCGGTGGAGAATAGCCTCAGCCTGATTTCGTGATCTGTTGCCTCTAGAATCGAAAGAAAATGGCACTTCAGAAATATCGCACAAAATCTGTGATGGTACCCTTTTGCAATCTGCCAAAAATTGTCCCAGAATAAATCCGCCCAAATATGTGCTTAATCGACTTAATCATCGTTGAATTATATCCTCAGGCCGAATCCGTGATCTGTAGCTTTCAAAATTCAAAGAAAATGTCCTTTCGACGCCCACAAAATTACGAAAATACTATCCGAAAATAAATTGGCCCAAATCAGTATTTAATGGACTTATCATCCCTGGACAATAGGATCAATAGACTTCATTATCGGCGGAGAATAGCTTTGGCCTGATTCCATGATCTGTAACCTCCAAAATCGAATGAAAATGACATTTCGAAAAAATCGCCTAAAATCAGTCATGGTACATACCACTAGAGTTACGCAGCCAGCAATCAGACCTCTTTAATTGTCTCTACAAATCCAACAAGGGAGAACCAGCAGCCAGTTCCCATGGAGTCGTTTTGGGGTACTCATGAATTAAAAAAAAATTTTAATTATTTTCATGAATTTAAAAATTAACAAAACATCTATACGTAATATAATACGCCGAAGGAAAAAAAGGGAGTCCCATTTCAAATTTCCTGCAACGAGAGTGAGAATAGAAAGGGCATTCTGGTCTTCACAAGTACTTTTTTTTATTCATTAAAAAGACACGTACTAAGATTCGAACCATGACCATTTGAAAGAAAAATAAGGATCACAACCAATCACACTAAGTACATTTGTTGTATCTTTTTAAATTAAAAACATATAATAGCAGAGAGGAAAAAACTCTTCCCTCATTTCAAATTCCCTACAACAGGAGCGTTCCCATTTCAAATTCCCTGCTCCAGGAGCGTTTGTAGGAAGGGTAGAATAGGGAGTGTCAATTATTTTCTCTTTCCTTTGTGGAACGGGCCAACTTACCGTACACATGCGGATTTGAACGGGTCCAGGAGTGTCAATTTTTTTTCTTTAAGCTCTTTTATTTCTCCGTGGTGATAAAATATATATGAAAAGACAAAAATAATACTTTTTATTGCTAAACATAAAAAATTTAACAATAAACTAGTGCATGGTTTCTAATGGGCTAACCGCTAACCATAAAATAAAAGAGTTGAATGGGCCTGACCTACACGGGATTTGGCCATCAAGTAAAACAAATGAACATCATTGGTTTGACATTCTAAAACAAGCTATTTTCTCTAGCATAATATATATTATGCGATTATTTTATATCTTAATGGCTAAAATATAATGTATTTTAAAGTTATTCAATGGTTCAACCTCAACCAACCCAATTAGTCCAATTTTTATCATTTCAAATATATATTATATAATTATTTGATATCATAATGATCAAATTATAGTGTATTTTTATAGGGAATCGTTTGATATTTGTTAGTAAAAAACTAAACAGAAAGATCTATTTGGTTATTTTAAACATTAAAATGATCCTAAATATTTTTCAGTTCCTTTTGAATTTCTATGGTTTTATTCCCGAATAAGTGATGTGCAAATGGCGAATTGCAGTCATCTCTTTTCTTTCACTACTTTTTATTTTCAAATAGAAAGTTTAAAAGTAAAGAATAATTAGAATTTGGCATGGGTCGGTCAAACAGGCTGAGTTTCAAGTTTTGGCCCGTTTTGATCAAGTCTAATTTATAATCACATGGTTCCCTGATACCCGATAAAAATCTCAATCCAAACCAGTTTGGCAGGTGAGTCCGTGTTTACCACCATTTTCTAGGGATAAGACAATGGCGGTTCCTATCCCAAATCTTGTTGTTCGTTTTTTATTTCCTTAGATTTTATCATGGCCTGACAAAAACCAGAAAGCACAATGACGACAAGATGAAAGTTTTATAAAGCAAATTAATCGGCCAAGGGGCCGAGTAAAAGCTAGCAACGATTGTGAGATGCTCATTTCCCGAAAACCGACGGGATAGACGATTTTTTAATCGATTTTCTGGAATTCGGTTTCTATAAAACTTACTCCACCTCATCATATTATCAGAAACAATATATTGTTTCACAAGGTAACATGTACTTGATTTTGGTTCATAAGGCCGATTTTTGATTCGTTGCATCATTCATGTCTCTTTCCTGCTAAAATTCACTATTTTTATCACGTGTTTGGCAAAAAAAACTATACAACAATAAGCTATACAATCCATTACATCATCAAATTTCATACCTCACCTTCCTCCGGCCAGTTGGCCGGGGCCCACACTAGTACGTTACAATGATGCGACAGTTACTTGTGGAGAAGAGAGCGCGAAAAATGTGAAACAAGAACGACATAACTCAAGGCTCGTTGCCACACTATCCTCCAGTCCACAACTTTAGAAACATAACGTAACGTACCACGCCATATTCTTTATATATACACCACAAGAGTTGCGCAGCCAGTATATAAGTAGACCTCTTTAATTGTCTCTTCAAATAAAGCCAACAATGGAGAAGCAGCAGCCACTTCCGACGGAGTCGTTTTGGGGAACTCATCACGAGGTTTGCCAGGTAGAAGGATTCTGGTACATGGCCGGGTTTATGGAAGCCATGGCCGCCTTCAGGTCCGAATTCGAGCCGCGGAAGGACGACATTCTCTTGACATCTTTCACGAAAATAGGATCAACCTGGCTCAAGGCTCTCTGCTACAACATCCTCGACCAAGAAGAGAACGACATTCTGCTGAAGGAGAACCCACACTGTGTGGTTCCCACGCTCGACATCACTTTCCTCCAAGACCGAGTCCAACACATGTTGCTCAATTCCCCTCCGGGTCGCGGCAGATTGCTCCACACTCATCTCCCCTGCAGTTACCTGCCGGAGAAGGCGAGGAGCTCCGGATGCAAGCTCGTCTATGTGGCTCGAAACCCTAAGGACACGCTGGTGTCGCTGTGGCACTTCCACAACAAGAACGTGGAAGTCGACCAGTTCCCGCTGGAGAGCGCGGTGGAGACCTTCTGCAGCGGGGTTATGCCTTTCGGGCCTTTCTACGAGCACGTGGTGGGATACTGGGAAGAGAGCAAGAAGCGGCCGGACGAGGTGTTGTTTCTCAAGTACGAGGATCTGTGCAGAAACCCCGAAGAGCAAGTGAGGAAGTTGGCTTCATTTCTTAGCAGGGAAAAATGGATAGATGTGGAGAAGGTACTGTGGCGGAGCAGTTTGAACAGGCTTAAGGAGTTGGAGGTCAACACGGGCGAAGTTGTGAATGAAGGACAACATTTTCGCAACTCCACGTATTTCAGGAAGGGAACTGTTGGGGATTGGAAGAACTACTTGACTTCCGACATGGCTCGACGTATCGATCAACTCACCCGTGTTAAGTTGCAGGGGACCGGGCTTTCTTTCGACGATGAGTAGTTATGTGTGCTACGAAAAGGAAATACTATTTGCAGTCATTTTCATTTATTTCGTTCTGTATCAGAAGCTTTATCCGTTTGGACTTTGTTCGTGTGTGAATAAGGGCACCTTCGTACTGTATGAAGAATGTCTAATGGGAATAAAATCAAAAGCTGCTTTCTCTTAATCCTCTAATCATTCCTTTAACTTTAGCTCATAGTATGGGCTGACAAACTTCTCCAACTTTCGTCTTAATTGGGTTTCACTCACTTATTTGATTATTCTTTTCTTTAATTTATTTGTTGATTCTTGGGTAGTAAATTCTGGGACGGGATACAATAGCAACATCCTTAATGTTGTTATAGTAACGACAAGGACAAAAACGTAAACTAACAAAATTAACCCAAATAGCAACGAATGAACCCCTGCTCGGGAATTCGTTAGGGTGATAACTAAAATTTTAGTAGCCACCGTGGCTACATCATTATCTGTCGTCTATTTTTATTTTTTCATTTTTTTAATCTCATGGTTAAGATTACGTCAGGGTAATTTTGGAAACGATAAAGTGTCCACACCGGATTATTCTATATATTCTACCCAAACCCTACTTTTACACTCCACTCTCTCCAACCAAACCCTACTTGAGACGGTTGTCGATTGCTGGCTGCCCACCCTCCATCCCTCTCCCCTCCGACCACCTCCCTTCGCCGGCCATCCCTCCCCCTCCCTCCCGATCCCCTCTCTCTCTCTCTTCCCATATGTTCTTCCTCTGCAGTAGAATCTCTCCACTAATATATAAATGTCTCTTATAATTATGTCATATGGAAACAAATCTAATAATCTTTATAATTATGTCATAGGAGAGTCATGCTTTGGGGTCCTTTTTACGAGCATGTGGTGGGATACTGAAAAGAGAGCAAGAAGAGGCCCGACGAAGTGTTGTTTCTCAAGTACGAGGACCTGTGTAGAAACGCGGAAGAGCAACTGAGGAAGATGGCCTTGTTTCATGGCCGAAAAACGATCATAGATGTGGAGAAGGTACTGTGGTCTGTGGCGGAGCAGTTTGAACATGCTGAAAGAGTTGAAGGTCAACAAGGATGATGATTGTGCTCATTTTGGAAAGGAAGAAATACGTATTCCCAACTCAACCTACTTCAGATTGGCCCTAGCTTGCTATCATATTGGCAATGCAATTTTGAATCGAATCCGCTAATCAAATCCAATTAATCCATTTAAATATCTAACTAGTTCAATCCATTTAAATCCAATCCATTTTATCCAAATCCAATTGAATTGATAGACTCATGAGTTGTTGACAAATTAAAGTTTAGTACCTATATTTTTTATATATTATAATTTGGTACATAAAATTTATTATTATGATATTTTAGTACCTAAAATTTTTGGATTTACATATTGATCCAATGTCTAAAGCCACTTGAGTTCATGATCGAATCCACCAATCCATGAGTCCAATCCAATCCACCAGTTCATCAATCCAATCCAAACGAAGCTGGCTGCTATGCTCGGTGGCCGGTCATATAGCATGGTGTGCCTAGAGGCGCTGGAGAGATGAGAGAGGACGTGGCGTAGCCATGATTTTATTTAATGGGGTGTCGTAAATTTTTTTTTGACAGATGCAGTTCATGTTTCATATCGTGAAATTATTCTAAAATTCTACGAATCGGCCAAACTATCAAAGGATTTCACTGCAAAAAAATTTGTTAGCGACTTGTGCATTGGAAACTGGTAGTAGTAAACAAAATCAATTCTCACAAGCAAGTACACTGACGATACCTAATTTTTTCTTCCGACTATAGTTTGTTGTGGTTTAACGTAGAACATTTGACGATTGCCTCCTCCGCGCATGTGATCATGGGTCTACCGAGCTGCAGCTAATCGACAATCTAGCAGCTGGCCGGCCAAGCGCTCTGTAGCGACTGTTACTTACAGTAGCGGTGATGTTATGTCACAGTCCACAATCAATTCTAGTCGAGCCCACACGGTCACGGCGCACCAGGAATGCGTGCACAAAAGTTGAATGAGATAGCTCCTCCAACGCCGTGGTGATATGTCAGCCTCACGTTAGAAAACAATTTATGTCAGTTGGATTCAAACCCAACCGACAGTGTAACAGTTCAAGGCCAGAAACGGCGACGTATTTTGATGGTGTCGTTCTCTGGAACAAGAACGCAAGGCTCTAATTGCCAAGCTATATCTTTCACAACTGCTAGTGTCAAGAGCCAAACGAATCAAGCGAAGAAGTCGCGACAAGTTTTCAAAATGTACCGCATACCACTTATAACATTCAACCACCTTTTTCTTACGAGAGGATATTGTTTGTTTTGGGTTCCGGCACAATTTAAGGTGTGTTATGGTAACTTCCACCAATAAATTACGCATGTATTATCTACAATCTGAGCACGTTAAACCTCAAATTTGTTATAAAAACTCATTCTATCTCACCTAAAACAAGGAGAATAAATAAAGTATCCTTTTACCTAGGGATTTCTTTACGGTACGGTCCAGTTAAAATTGGCCCGAATTGATTCGGTTCTGGTCCGGTCTTTTCGAGAACATAAGGACCAAAGATTTGATTGTATACAGTCTGGTCTTGATCCCGTCCGGTCCCAATTCGGTCTTGATTTTAAATTGAGCTTGTGGGGATTTGAGTGGTCTGTGGAGGACGGATTTGAGTGGCTGAGGCATGAAAGGGGTAAAGTCTCTATATAATATATATACCACAAGAGCTAAGTAGGCATATTTCATTGTGTCTCCAATTGATTATCCGATGGAGAACCAGCAACCACTTCCGACGGAGTTGTTTTGGGATAGTCGTCATTACGAGGTCTGCAAGATACAAGGATTCTGGTACCTGGCCCGGCATATGAAAAGCATAGCCGCCTTCAGATCAGAATTCGAGCCGAGGAAGGACGACATTCTCTTGACATCTTTCATCAAAACAGGGACAACCTGGCTCAAAGCTCTCTGCTCCAACATCCTCGACGAAGAAGAAAACGACGTCCTGGCGAAGGAGCACCCGCACGACGTGGTTCCCACGCTCGACACCACTTTCCTCCTAGACAAAGTCCAGCATCTGCTGCTCCATTCCCCTCCGGGTCGCAGCCGATTGCTCCACACCCATCTCCCCAGCAGTTACCTGCCGGAGAAGTTGAGGAGCTCGCCGGGATGCAAGCTCGTGTACGTGGCGCGAAACCCCAAGGACACGCTGGTGTCGATGTGGCATTTCCTCAACAAGACCTCTAAAGCCGACCCGGCTAGCCCGTTCCCGCTGGAGAGAGCGGTGGAGGCCTTCTGCGGCGGGGTTATGCCTTGGGGGCCTTTCTTCGAGCACGTGGTGGGATACTGGGAAGAGAGCAAGAAGCGACCAGACGAGGTGTTGTTCGTCAAGTACGAGGACCTGTGTCGAAAACCGGAGGAGCAAGTGAGGAAGCTGGCTTCGTTTTTGGGCAGGAGAACGAGTGTAGATGTGGAGAAGGTACTGTGGCAGAGCAGTTTGAACAGGCTTAAAGAGTTGGAGGTTAACAAGAACGGTGTCCGTAGTGATGTTCCGCATATGCCCAATTCCATCTTTTTCAGGGTAGGAACGGTTGGGGATTGGAAGAACTACTTGACTTCCGACATGGCTCAGCGTATCGATAGCCTCACACAGGTTAAATTGCAGGGGATTGGTCTTTCTTTAGATGACGAGTAGTTCTGTGTGTTGCCGGTTTCTTTTTGTTCTTTTATTTCTGTTTTCATTCTACTTCCCTTTAATAATAGATTCTACTATCGCGAATCATAGAGTGACTAACCTGTGAACAAATATGCTTTTGAATGATATTAGATGCCAACCTTTTTTAACGAGTTATCACCATATTAACTACTACTAAGGGTGGGAGAGGGCCTGGATCGGTTTAACCGAAATGGTTTTATTTGGGGTTTTCACGAGAGAATTATGCCAAATCTACAACTGGAAATTCGATTGGATTGAAATCAGTTTCAACCGTAATGATCATATTGGATTGAAAATGGTCCGATCTTATTTTAACCGGTAAACCAAATTAACACAATTCGTCATTCGCTTACTAAAACATCAACATAACTCTATTGGCGACGGAACGGTTCGTCGCAAGAAGGCTTAGGTGACATGTCAACGTTTGTCACGGGAATTTTTGCATTGGAAATGTTCGTCGGTGAAGATATATTTTTAGCGACGACTAGGTTATCGCGTAAGTGTTCGCAATTTTGCGACGGAGTATCAGTTTCATCGCCGAAATCTTTGGTGACGGGGTATACGTGTCGCAATGTAAAGCACTTTCGTCGCAGTAAGTATTAGCGACGGATTTTCACAGCTTTCAGCGATCGTCACTAAAATGCAGATTGTTGTAGTTAAAAGAAGCAGGTAAAACGAGGAAGTAGAAGTCGTTGTCACGTTTAGAAAAACTTGCACCCGCTTGAAAACAATAAACAGACGTACGTGAGATCGACCTGAAGGATTTTCCCAAGATTTGGTTTGGTCCCATATTGCCATTTAACATTTAATTCACTAACATTTAATCTTGATTCGTTTAACGTTAACTCATCAAAATCATTATCTAATTAATTAAGATCATGATGTTGTTGGTCATTGTATTTTAGTTATGTTATTTTATGTATTTCATTGAATTTGACGGTCCCTTTTACGTATTTTTTTCCCTTCTTGGTATCTGTTAAATAAATCAAAAAGTGTTGACAATCATAAAAGTTATTTTTGTGTGTAATAATTAAAATTTAATTAAATAAAAGGCGTAATGATATTATTTTGTGTAATAATTGAGGGGTTGCAATTAGGGGTGGCTATATGATCCGGTCCAGTTAAATTGGTCCGAATTGATCCGGTCTCAGTCCGGTCTTTTAGGGAATATAAGGACCAAAGATTGGATTGGATACAGTCCGATCTTAACCCGGTCCAGTCCCAATTTGGTCTTAATTTTAGATTGAACTTGTGGGGATTTGAGTGGCCTGAGACCTCAAAGGGTGAGGAGTTGGTTAAGTTTTGCGTGTTGGGGTCTCTTATCCGATCTTTATCCGATTTTCGATCAGGTCGCAAACGGTTTTTACCTCAAATCTAAGCCTGGATATGAGATTGGATAGTTTGCTATTCGGTTTCAGTCCGGGTTATACGGTCCAGTTTTACGTAAAACCAAACAGTCCAGACTAAATAGCCAGCCCTAGTTGCAACTGTTTGAGGCAGATTTATTAATCTAGAGGTCTCTTTCCGAAACGTAAAATATTAGAAATAATTTATCAGCATCGAATGGTGAGGATACAAATCATGGATTGACTGGAATTTGAAGTATAGAGGTAATGCAAATTTGAAGCATGAATAGCAGTAGCATGTAGTAGTGATGCAATTAACATGCATGGGTAATTTTACCCAACCCAAGTAGACCAATTGAAGTATGGTGAAGCACATATGGGTTTGGAGGTTTGTAGATATATTTGGTTAGAGTGTAGATATTGCTTTTGTAATCTAATTCATTGGTACTCAAATCCTATCCATCATAAATTTAAAGGAAATTCATTGTTTGCTTGTTTTTTTTTTTTTTTTGAATCAAATCTGTGAACTCGATAAACTTATAAATCACACATGTTAGATGTGAGATTTCAAACAAATCATAATTCCATGGTTGGATTTTACCAGTATGCCTCATGATCTTTTAGTATGTCAAGGTTTCCACTCACATTTACCAATTGTACATTATAATTACTCAAGTAATTAACAACAAAATAATATAAATATTTAACTAATGTGCACACATAAGTTAGATTTTCTATGTCCTTTCTTGTGTTTTAGTTTCTTTTGACCTTTTCATGGAACGTGGAATTTTTTGTTCCGATTCTAATATATGTTATTCTATGTTACTTTTGAAAAGGAGGACAAATAATTGATACCAAATATATGCTACGTTAAAAGTTAAACAGAATTTCCTTGTTTATTATTGTCCTTGTGGCAACGTTATGCTTATTAGAAGTATTGTCATTGTTTTGTGAACATATCATAAACATGACGAACAAATAGAAAAGGATAATAAGGTCATTTGGACTTTTAGTTCTAAATTTCAAATCCTTAAATTCATTATAAAACATCTCAACAAATAAAGGATTGTAACAAATCCATAAGACTTAATTCACCTGCATAACCATAACTTTCACGATTTTGACAATTATAGCCACTTTTAGAAAAAATACACAGATATAGCCAATTCCGTCCAATTCTTTAACGGTTCACTTAACCCGCTGACTAGACTAACAGCAGCAGTTGATGTGGCGTGTTTTATTTTGCGCCCTTGCCAGGTGTTTGATTTTGGCCGGGAGAGTTTGATTTTCATGTGTATGTGTAGTAAACAATGATATGTAGTGCTTAAGAGGGAAGATGAGAACTTACATTGTTTATTAATATGCATCTTAGTTTCATAAATTTTACATCATTAAAAATTTATGTGTTGAATAGAAACCCATCCAAGTTTGGAGCCATTGTAAAATGTAAGTTATGAGGCAAACAAAAAGTCTCAAGACAAGGTTGTCAACCCGCGGGTTGACCCGGACCCGGTGAAGCTAGTGGGTCAAGGGTTGATGGGTCATCCGGTTTAGCCCGAAAATATGGAAAGAGTCATTATATTATACTTATCCTGATAAATATTATCAAATCTCATCTAACATATGAGCTATAACATATAATATTACACTAAAATAACATGTCTTACTTAGATCCAACATATAGTGAAAATTCACACACAATTATATAACAACAATATTCAAATGTTCAACTTAGGATTCCAAAGATTGAGTTAGGCGAAAAGAAAATTGAAAAATAGGCGCATTTCGCAAACCAAAGAAAAAATGACACAATTTGACCTCTAACCCGATACCTTGTAGCGGTCGACTCGGCGGGTGTGTGCAGTCCGTTTTTCTCACCGGGTCAGGGTCAAAGTGGGTCGACCTGCGGGTTGACAACCTACTCTCAAGCATCCACATGCTTGAAAAATAAATCTATATTATCAAACATAAAATCATATCTTGCATCAGAAAAAAGAACAAAAAAGTAGTAATTCGATTATCAATATAGGAATCAATATGGACACAATATCTAACCAAGAGAAGAGGAAGCGAAAAAACACAAATTGTTGTGTATAGATTCCGCTAACGATATTTCAAAGTGAAAAATATCATGAAAATTATCAACCAATAAAAGGGAACGGTTAAGGGGAAAATGCATCAATTTGAACCTAAAATGAGAGGAATTAATATCATACACCATCATATATAATGATATATTATATCCCAGAACATCATAAACAAATCTATCTAAATGAGAAAGTATACTAAATTGAATCCAATGTAAAAGTAACAATGAAGATAGATATTATATCCACCTAAGGAATAATAAAGTAAACCATATTTCTTAGAGACCTCTCTCGATAGAATCTCTCTATTATAAAACTCATTTCGTCAAACAATTGCATCATATAGAGTTTTAACTTAAATTTGAAGTGCTTATAATTAGCTATTTCACTCGATTTTGGAGGAAAGTTTTTGATGGATGGGTAAGAGAGGGTTGACCCAACGATGCTCCCAACCCGACCCTAACCCGCTCGAAAGAGCCTGAATCACTCGATTTTGGGTCCCTCGAATTTCGTGTGATAAAAAGGTTAATCCAATTCTAGTTTTTTTCAATTTTCAAGTCGGACCCTAATTTGCCAAATCTATCAAGATACCATGGATAGTTAAACGGATCATTTCTTATCAAAAAAAAGTTAAACGGATCATGATTAATCAAGACATGCAATGCAAGCTTAATTATGATTATATTCCGATTATTAATTTGTTCACATAGAAGGCCAATAAGAGAGACTAATGATTATATTCCGACATCCCATTATTCTCACACAGACAAACTTGCAAACGGAGAAAACTTTGGATACGTACCGAACGAACTAATTAGAATGGTCGCAGAAACGTATTGTAGCACATACAGAACTACTCGTCATCGAAAGAAAGCCCAGTACCCTGCAGCTTAACCTGTGTGAGGCTATCGATACGTCGAGCCATGTCGGGAGTCAAGTAGTTCTTCCAATCTCCAACAGTTCCCGTCCTGAAGAAGGTGGAGTTGCGAGCATATTTTCCTTTTTCCACAACATCATCCTTGTTGACCTCCAACTCCTTAAGTCTGTTCAAACTGCTCAGCCACAGTACCTTCTCCACATCTATGCTCGTTTCCCGTCCGAGAAACGAAGCCAGCTTCCTCACCTGCTCTTCGGGGTTTCTACACAGATCCTCGTACTTGAGAAACAACACCTCGTCGGGCCGCTTCTTGCTCTCTTCCCAGTATCCCACCACGTGCTCGTAAAAGGGACCCCAGACCATAACCCCGCTGCAGAATGTCTCCACCGCTCTCTCCAGCGGGAACGGTCTATCTGCGTCGTCGGCTCTAAAGTTCCTATTGAGGAAATGCCACAGCGACACCAGCGTGTCCTTGGGGTTCCGGGCCACGTACACGAGCTTGCATCCCCACGGCGAGCTCCTCACCTTCTCCGGCAAGTAACTGCAGGGGAGATGAGTGTGGAGCAAACGGCTACGCCCAGGAGGGGAGTTGAGGAGCAGATGTTGGACATGGTCTCGGAGGAAAGCAACGTCGAGCGTGGGGACCACATCGTGTGGGTTCTCCTTCGCCAGAATGTCGTTCTCTTCTTCGTCGAGGATGTTGTAGCAGAGAGCTTTGAGCCAGGTTGTTCCTGTTTTGATGAAAGATGCCAGGAGAATGTCGTCCTTCCTCGGCTCGAATTCGGACCTGAAGGCGGCTATGCTTTCCATGTGCAGCGCCAGGTACCAGAATCCTTCTATCTGGAAAATCTCTTGATTAGTATCCGAAAAGGATTTCGTCGGAAGTAGCTGCTGGTTCTCCATCGGATTATGAATTGGAGAGAGTAGCGTGTATTTTGAAGACACACAATTAAATTGGTCTACTTCTTGTGGTAACATAGAGAGACTAGCGTGGGTGTTTTTAAATATGAGAGGGATCTATGAGCATAAGAAATAATTCCATGCTAGCAGAAAAGACGTGTTTTGGGGTAATAAGAATTATGAAATCAAACACGCTCACGATTAAAGCGGTGTAGGGATAAACTGATCTTCTGGAAAGTCAAAATGATGCATCCAAAACGAAACTGTGCAAAGCTAAATTCAAAGAGAGCGATATTCCGGTAAAAATGACCTGGATGTTACACACCGAGGAGCACCTTTATGTCGCTTTATTTTGTTGACATGTTATGGATACTAAACATGCTCAGGAACCCCTAAACGAGTCATTTTGACATAACGCATGAATTTGTCTAAATATAAATTTAGGCGCTTTTCTCGAGAACACATTAAATCCGATACCCAAACTAGATTAGAAGGAGAGAGAGAGATAGTCGAATGGAGAGGAAATGTACCTTTTCCTAGTTTAGTTTCCAAATTTTAAAAGTAAGAAATTAAATTTTTATTACTTGCAGCAAAAAAACCATCCAGCTCATAGTCACTTTGTTACATCAGAGTCAACTAATAGTTGGCCGGAGAGAAAGTTAACGATTTCACTATTAAATTGATTTCGATAAGCTTTAAATGTTATTTTGTTTGAATGAAAATTTTGACTATTATATTGTATTTGCCATAGAAAAATTACTAGATTCAAACGTTTTTCGGGTGACTTCGGCGCTAACACTACCACTTTGATTTCTTTTATGGATGCTAATTAAGAATTAAGATAATAATGTTGTCACTGTATTTTAATTTTTATGTTATTTTACTTATTTCATTGAGTTTGACTTTCCTGTAGCGTTTTGGTTGTATGGTATCCGTTAAATAACAAAAAATGGGTTGCCAATCATAAATAAAAGTTAATTAAAAGGCGTAATGATATTATTTTGTGTAATAATTGAGGGGTTGCAATCGGTGGTTGAGGCAGATTTTATTAATCTAGGGGTCTCTTTCCCAAACATGAATATTACAAATTATTTAGGGAGTGACCCATGGTAATCGACCCATTGAATTGTGAACCGGCCGGATATTAGGTGACCAAACCCACTGAGCAATTTTAATTTTAATGCTCTTCTATGACTTTCACTGAGTTTGTGGTATCTGTTAAATAACAACAACAAAAAAGTGTTGACATTAATCATAAAAGTTCATTAAACATGCTTAATGATTTTTTATTTTTTGGTAATAGTTGAGGCGTTGCAATCGGTAGTTGAGCAAGATTTATTAATGTAGGGGTCTCTTTCCCTTCCCAAAACAATGATGCGTGTGCTCAACTCAACAAAGTTTTGTTCAGAAGAAGCAACACAAGTTGTTTGATGAACAGTTCAGTAATGTGTGGCATATTCCTTGGATTTTTTCTAAAGGCTATTTTACTTAGATTTTCAAGACTACACATTAGTACATTACGAATTTTATCCAAAATTATTCTTTAGCGATGATTAAGTCTATTGAACACCGTTTTGTGCGTAATTTTTCAGGAGTCATTTTTTTTTTGTAGATTGCAAAGAGTAACCATCATAGATTTCAGACAATTTTCTAATGACCATTTTGCTAGGACTTTGAAGACTACAAATCACGTATTCGGTCTTAGTCTACTCCCCACCAAAGATTAAGTCTATTAATCGCCGAATTGGGTGAAATTTTTTTTGTACAACATTATCGTAATTTTTGTGTGCTTTTATTCTAAAAACCATTTTCCTTAGATTTTGAAGGCTACATATCACGGATTCAGCCTGAGGCTATTCTTTAGCGATGAATAAATCCATTAAACACCGATTTGGGCAAAAAAAAATCCAGAGCCATTTTTGGCAGATTCCAAAAGGGTATCATCACAGATTTCAGGTGATTTTTTTGAAAGGTCATTTTAATTGGATTTCGAAAGTTACAGATCCTTGATTCGACCTTAGCCTACTCTCCACCAATGATGAAGTTTATTAATCGCCGATTTGGTCTGATTTTTTCGGAGGACATTATCATAATTTTCGTGCAATTTTTTTTTTAATTTCATTTTTCTTAGATTTTTAAAACTACAAATCACATATTCGGCCTCAGATTACTCTCCACCAATGATAAGTCTATTAATCTTAGATTTAGGCAAATTTTTTCCAGATGACATTTGCGTAATTTATGGACAATTTTTTTGAAAGACTATTTTCTTTAGATTTTGAAAGCTACCAATCCCAAATTTGTACCGATGATTATATTCCCATAATATTTTTGTTCACACAGAGGGCCAAGAAGAGAGACTAACAAGAGATTAGTCCCACATGCCCTTATTCACACAAGGACAAACTTTCAAACTGAGAAAATTTTTGATACAGAAGGAACCAATCTCCCTTTCGTACCACACACAAAGCTACTCGTCGTCAAAAGAAAGTCCAGTCCCCTGCAGCTTAATTCGCGTGAGGCTATCAATACGTCGAGCCATATCGGAAGTCAAGTAGTTCTTCCAGTCTCCGACGGTTCCTGTCCTGAAAAGGATGGAATTGGGAATGTACGGGGCATCTTTACGGGCACCGTTCTTGTTAACCTCCAACTCCTTAAGCCTGTTCAAACTGCTCCGCCACAGTACCTTCTCCACATCGAAATCCGATTCCCGACCAAGAAACGAGGCCAACTTCCTCAGTTGCTCCTCCGGGTTTCTGCACAGGTCCTCGTACTTGAGAAACAACACCTTCTCCGGTCGCCTCTGGCTCTCTTCCCAGTATTCCACCACGTGCTCGTAAAACGGGCCCCAGGGCACGACCCCGTTGCAGAAGATCTCCACCGCTCTCTCCAGTGGGAACGGGCCATCTGGGTAGACCTTCACGTTCTTGTTGTAGAAATGCCACATCGACACCAGCGTGTCCTTGGGGTTTCGCGCCACGTGCACGAGCTTGCATCCCGGCGGCGAGCTCCTCACCTTCTCCGGCAGGTAACTGTAGGGGAGATGAGCGTGGAGCAGCCGGCTGCGACCCGGAGGGGAATTGAGCAACATGTGTTGGACTTGGTCCTGGAGGAAAGCAATCTCGATCGTGGGAACGACGTCGTGGGGGTTCTTTTTCGCCAGAACGTCGTCGTTTTCTTCTTCGTCGAGGATGTTGTAGCAGAGAGCTTTGAGCCAGGTTGTTCCTGTTTTGATGAAAGATGTCAAGAGAATGTCGTCGTTTTGCGGCTCGAATTCGGACCTGAAGGCGGCTATGGATTCCTTATGCCGGGCATGGTACCAGAATCCTTCTATTTGGAAAATCTCGTGATGACTACCCCAGAACAACTCCGTGGGAAGTTGCTGCTGCTGCTTGTTCTCCATTGTTGGAGCGAGGCTAGCTGCAGATAGAAGCTAAGTGTATAATTTGAAGAGACAATTAAGATTTGATCTTGTTGAGGAATATTTATTTGGAGAAGTGGTTATGGAATTTTGGAGAGAGGTGGTGTCATGTTTTAGAAAAATTCCAAATCGATGAATTACATAGAGAGATTTATCGACTATTGGAAAAAAAAATGAATAATCTTAACTAAAAAAACATGTTATTGGATGAAATCATGAGTTTTTGTAAACAAAAATCTAAACTTAAACGTGCTCGGGGTGGAGTAATGTATAGATAATGTAAGTGACATTTTGGGAACTTTTGAAAGAATATTTTTTACAACGAAGTACGTGAAAAACACACTTCAATGTTGATGAGTAATTTAACTAAGAATGAATGTTCTTTGGATATATTACAATCCCACTCCTTACAATTTTTTGGATGATGAATACATTTAAAATATTTAAACAAGCCATATTATATGGAAATAATAAAAAATTGGATTCACTTTAAACAAAGTCATAACTACGTCACTGACAGTAAGACTATCACTTTTGATTTCTTTTATGAATTTTGCTAATTAAGTTTTTTCCTGTTGTTGCCTTGTTGGTCATTGTACTTTAATTTTTATGTTCTTTTATGTTTTTCATTGAGTTTGACCTTTCCCTTTTCCGTTTTTGTGGTATTTGTTATTTAACAAAAGAGTGTTGCCAATCATAAAAGTTAATTAAAAAGGTGTGATGATATTATTTTGTGTAATAATTGAGGGGTTGCGATCGGAGTAGTTGATGCAGCCTGTAGGGGTCTATTTCCGAAACATAAATAAATCAAATCATTTAGGGGTTGACCAGTATTATTGACAAATGGTAGGGATGGCAAACCAGTATAGCGATCGGATTGATATTTCAATACTCATATTTATCTCGCATTATGTACGGATCAGGTCAAGTAATATTCATATGACCACGGGCGGGCAAGTTTACACATTGTTTGCAGAAAATAAACACACTCAAAAATAAGAATTCTTTATAAACACACTAAAAAGGAAATAGTATACCTTTTGCGACCAGTAAAAAAAGGGTTCTTTGGCGACCATTTTAATAAGTTCATCATGTATCTGCATATAGTGACGGGCCCAAACTGGACTTAGATGAAATGAAGCACGTGAAAAACGAGCCCCAGAAGTCGTGATCACCTTTTGAAAAACTTGCACCCCGGCCGCTTGAAAACATACAAACAGACGGTACGTGATATCGACCTGAAAGATTTCCTCAAGATTTTGTTTGGTCCCAAATTAATTGCCATCTCTAACAATTAATAATTCACTAACTTAACTTTATATAATATGATCAATAATCGTCTCTTCAAACCACAAATTAGCTAGCTAGCTCCAATTAATGGCGATGGAGAACCAGAAGCCACTTCCAACGTCGGAGTTGTTTTGGAATTGTTGCGAGATTTGCCAGATAGATGGCTTCTGGTACATGGCCAAGGGCATGGATCGCATGGCTGAATTCAGGTCAGGATTCGAGCCGAAGAAGGACGACATTCTCTTGACTTCTTTCACCAAAACTGGAACAACGTGGCTCATGGCTCTCTGCTACAACATCCTCGACGTCGAAGAAGGAGGAGACCTCCTCGCGACGAAGAACCCCCACGAAGTGGTTCCCACACTCGAAAACGACTTCCTCGTGGATCGAGTCCAGGAGATGCTGCTCAACTGTTCACCTCCTCGGCTGCTCCACACTCACTTGCCCTGCAGTTACCTGCCAGAGAAGGTGAGGGAGTCGGGATGCAAGCTCGTGTACGTGGCTCGAAACCCTAAAGACACGCTGGTGTCGATGTGGCATTTTTACAACAAAAACTTCGTCAAAGTCGACCCCACTGCAGCTGCTAGCCCGTTCCCGTTGGAGGGAGCGGTGGAGAGCTTCTGCAGCGGGGCTGTGCCCTGGGGGCCGTTTTACGAGCACGTGGTGGGATACTGGGAGGAGAGCAAGAAGCGCCCCGATGAGGTGTTTTTTGTCAAGTACGAGGACCTGTGCAGGGACCTGGAGGAGCAAGTGAGGAAGCTGGCTACGTTTCTGGGCCAGAAAATAATGGATCCAGATGTGGAGGAGGTGTTGTGGCGGAGCAGTCTGAACAGGCTTAAGGAGCTGGAGGTCAACAAGAATGGCGTACGGAAGGAGCTGCCGTATATTCCCAATTTCACCTATTTCCGGACGGGAACTGTTGGGGATTGGAAGAACTACTTGACTTCCGACATGGCTCAACGTATTGATCAGCTCACACGAGTAAAGTTGGAGGGCACTGGGCTTTCTTTTGATGACGAGTAGTTTCGTTACCAAAAAGGAATCCCTTTGGCGACCATTTTAATCAGTTTGTTCTGTATCAGTTGCGTGTTTTCTTGTTTGAAAGTTTGTTCGAGTGTGCATTAGGGCATGTGGGACTAATCCTCTTTAGTCCTCTTCTTTGCCTTCTTTATCAATAATGGAATATATATAAACGTGTGGGTTTGTTTGTTTAAGCTTTGTCTTGACTTAATCCTCATTTGTTTGTCTTTAACTCATCATTAAAAATAAAATAAATATAAATTTTTGTTCATAATATATACAATTTTATTGTTTTCACGGGAATATGTGACGGGTTTTGAATGTTTGTAAAATACTTTCATCCTTTATTTTTCTATTCAAACTCTTTGCGCTGAATACTATCAAACATTATTCATAATCAGCCACTCATCTGATTTCAAAGATCATTCTTGATAAATTTTATAGCTGAAAAGTCCTAAAAGCATCATTTTGGATAAACATATATTCTAGTTAAAATAAATAAATGATCATACTTAGAGAATTTAATTAGATAGAAAAATTACTAGATTTAATCATTTTCGGGTGACTTTAGCGCTAACATGTTGGGACAGGTTACGGTGATTACTATAAATTTATTAATTACCTTTTTCAACAAATTACTAAGGGAAACTGGGTATGACAAAAAATTTATCAATTACCTTTTTCAACAAATTACATTTTAGGTAATTTCAAAAATATATTAATTACAATTTTCTCTCTCTTTCACAATCTCCATCTAGATCTCTTTTTTTCTCAATCTTTTTCTTGTCTCATTTCAATCGAAATAATAATACTGAAAAAATAAAACAAGAATACAAATGAATCAATACCAATCCGTTAGACAGCCACTACCATATCGGAAAACACCAATACAAATAAATCAATACCAATCCGTTAAACAATCACTACCATTTCGAAAAACACCAATACCATTGCAAAAATAAATCAATACCATTATGAAAAAAATATCATTACACTAAAATAACCAATATAAACAATCTATACCATTATAAGAGTCAAACCAATACCAAAATCAAACAATACCACTACTACTATGAAGTCAAAACAATATCATTACATAAATAAATCAATACCATTATGAAAACAAAACTATACTATTTCATAAAACAAAACAAATAAATTAATACCAAAACAATCAACCCAGATCCAAAACCTTTCCTAGAGAGAGTGAGAGAGAGGAGATCGTGGGAGGGAGGGGAGGGGAGGGGTAACTGGTGACTTCGCACAATGATCAATAGAGAGAAGGGGTGGGGAGGCCGTGTGTGCTAGGGTGGGAGGGGAGGTGGCCTAGGGATGGAGAACGGATTGGTAGGAGGGCGACGGGGTTGTGTGGAGGAAGGAGAGACGGCGGCAGGTGGTGGGGGAGGGAGGGTAGCGGTAGGCGGCAGGTTGGGTGGGGTGAGGCGGAGGGAGGAACGACGGTGAGGGAGAAGAGTTGAAAGAAGAGTTGAAGTAGCATTAGGGTTTGAGTATAATATATAGAGTAATCACGTGTGGTATTTTTTATTTTTAAAATTATCCTCAATCTAATCTTCATCGTTAATTTAAAAATAGGATAAAATAGAGATAATGAATGGTGTAGATTAAGATAGTCACCGTAATTACTAAAAATTAATTAACCACGCTAACTCATCCCCTACTATATTATTAAGTTTTGTCGTTCGTCTTTGGTTATCAAAATTAGAGGTAGGCATCGGTTGATCCTATCAGAAACTGTACAAAACCATTCTAGGATAGTACTAAAATGTGTTATTATTTTTCAAGAAAAATTATTGTTGAAGGAAAAGAAACACAAAAAACACTTACTTAAAAAATGTCTCAAATGTTCTGAAACTATTGTACAAAATAATAACACATTGAGATTTGAGACGAACCAGTGGAATCTTTTTTTTTTCTTACAGATAAGTTATGACACATTAGGCAAATCTCACATTGACAAAGTACAGGAGAGATCCATGGTTCATAAGTAAGAAACCAACCTTAACTGACAAGACGCATTTTGGGGTGAAATGAAAGAGTTCTTGTGAGAACTTCTAAGTTAAACGTGCTCAGTGCGGAGCACAACAAGGATGGGTGACCTTATGGAGTGTCACCCTAAATTGCACCCCAAGTCGAAAACTGTGCGGGTATAGAGGCTCAAAGCGGACAGTATCTTGTCGGGAAAAGGTTCGGGATGTTACAAGTGGTATCAGAGCCTCTCCGCGTCCCTCTTGAACGATGGTGTGGCAAACCTCAACGAGTGCGTTGAGTCCCAAGAGGGGGGGGGGGTGCATCATGTATGTAACACCTCAGACAAATCACACATCGACAAAGCACGGGAGAGATCCATGGTTCATAAGTAGGAAACCGGTCTTAACTGACAAGACGCGTTTTGGGGTGAAACGGAGGAGTTCTTGTGAAAACTTCGAAGTTAAACGTGCTCAGTGTGAAGTACAACAAGGATGTGTGACCTTATGAGAAGTCACGCTAAATTGCACTCAAGCAAAAACTGTGAGGGTCGAGACCCAAAGAATACAATATCTTGTTCGGGAAAAGGTTCAGAATGTTACATAAGTTGAATTACTGAAAATGTGAACAAAGTGGTACAAGTCAAATTAAAAGTCAGCAGATTAGACTAGGGAAAGAGAAACCCGCCCCAACCAGCCCAAACAAGTGCAACTAAACAAAAGCCCATTCCATTGGACGTAATTTGTGAAGGAAGTCCTAGGCTCAAGCGACCAAAGTTTAGGTTACATTTAGCATATTATAATAAAGGGCACAAAGTGTTAGGCCATTTCTATGGTACCGGCACCGCATTAGTGACGCCATTGTTTTAGCCGTTGAATTTGTGGAGTTTAATGAGGATCATTGATTAATAATCAGCACTTAGCCGAATATGGTTGAACCTACTTTATATGGTTAAACCTAGAAATTAAAAATTATTTGTTAATTACCGAAAAATTGATTTGTTTCTAAAACATCCCGCTTCCTTGTCGGATACGAAAAAATAATTAATCCTGGTATTCTATTGATAGTCGGCAGGAAGTGAAAGTCAACACCGGCGACATAATTAATCATTTCACATCAAATCCATCTTCTTCGTCTCATTTTGATCACAATTCTTATAATCTGGTGTTGCAACGGCGGATCCCTAGACCATTGCTGAAAAGAATTCTACTCTGGCAAACTTTTTAACCGGCATCCCATTGTACAGTTACGTAGTTACGCTTTGGTGGTGGCAAGAGCGTTAATGCCATGGTGATTCCGAATGACTAGGTATAGGAATCTTACTGCGCAATGACTGTGCGCTTGACATCGGCGGTAGAGACTATGATTGTTATGCCCGGTGGCAGCAAAAAAATGTTTGTATATCTAAAAAACAACCGGGTTGGCCTTGGGAGGGAGCCCCTCTATATAGGGATGGAGTCTCCAAAGTCAACCCGTTTGTTTTTTCTTTTTGTATGGTTTGTATTGTTTGTCGGTGTAGTTTGTATTATTTATACAGTTCATATGTTTGTAATGTTTGTAAATCTTTTTGTATGTTTTGCCGTTCTAGTTTGTACTGTTTGTATGTTTGTATTGTTTGTACTGTTTGTAAGTCCAGTTTGTATACTTTGTAATTTTTCATAATACCCAAATTACCCCTCCCACTAATTAAAAATCCCTTCCCACTTTTTAACCGTTGGATTGAAGTGTCCAGATCTAATGGCTAAGAGGGATTTAGTCAAGTGACTAAGGACCCCAATCATGGGATCCGCTCTCCGAATTCATTTCAAGTGGTGAAAGTTACTTGTTAACCACTTTTGTTTTTTTTTTCCTTCAAAATAAAGTAGGAAAACAAGATATAAATTTTGTGGGTGATGAAGAAAAGAATCTCAAATGTCAAATGGCGAGCTAGCCAGATCATGAAAGCTACAGTTATATTTTCTTAAAAGGGTTAGACTTCTGATTTTGGAAAGACTAATACAACTAGACTACAATTTCATATCAATATTGCTCCTACCGTTGCATTTTCTTAATACAACTAGATTGTTCTCTTTTCTTTGAAGAAAAATATTTTGGTGTAGACATTGTCAAGCCTCTTTGTGTCGCGAATCTCTTCGTAGATGTTCGAGTCATCTTGATGGAGCTTTTTTGGTCTTTTTTTACGGGAGTATCTTTGTGCAATCTTGTGTTTGTTAGACTGTGATGAAAGAATAATACAACATTCACGAGGACAAAAATATTTTGGTGTACACATTGTTAGACTTTGAAGTGGTGTGCTAGGGTTTCAGGTGTGATTGAGAAAAGGAACATGTGTAGTGTGAGGTTGTACGTCGGTATATTACGATTTAAGATAGAAGCTGAAAGATGCAAATACGTGAAAAATGATCAAATGAGACGAATAAAGTGTCAAGAACCAGTTGCTCCCAATAACTCGAGTTGTTGGGAGAGGTTCAATCGTGGATCATATACCACACACTAACATAAAGTACTAAAGAAATTTATAGATGATAGATAGAAAATATGTACATTCATACCATAGTATATAAGCTTGAAAACAGAAGGGGGAAAATGTTGGTGATTCGATCCTAGTGTATTACCAAGGTAACCCAATCATGCATGACAGCGAAACAGTTTCTCCAATGTATCGAAAAATTGAATCTCACGTGTATTTTCGTACATGTAAGGGGAAGACCCTAGAGCAATTGGGGTCGTCTCTAGAATTTGGGAAATTTTTATCAACCTCCATATCATAATTTTTATAAGGGAGACATGAATTCATTTTTATTGTTAGGTGTTTCTTAAAGAAATTTGAGCTTAAAACCTCCAAATTCAATGTTGTACTACTCTCTTTTTCATGATTTTACCTTTTCTTTTAATTTCTGGTTAATAAAATGAGGTCGCCGTTTTCTTAAAAAAAACCTCCAAATTCAAGATCACAATCAAGACTTTTGATTTTGGAAAGAATAGTGCAACTGCACTAGGGATTATTACATTCTTTTTTTTTTTTTTTTGTCAAACTAGGGAGCAAATTCGGTGAGAACATATGGTTACTTTACTCATTGTACTCACTTGGAAGTGACACGTGGCATGTAACATCCAAAATTTTAATATTTTAACTAAAAAAATAGTTATAAAAATATTAACAATATCAAACAAATGATTAATAATTTGTATTTTGAAATATTTGACTAATAATTTGAAAATATTGAAAGATTTAACTAATAATTATATTTACCCATTTCTTTATTTTTATAAATAAGTTATATTACTGAAAAACGGACCAAATTGGTACAAGCAATGGCGGATCCAGGGGGTGGCCACCTCCTCTGGATCTATAGTTAGTATATGCCTTATGAATTTTTCGATTTTAGATATTCAGGTCATTGTTATTTTAAAATAAGATTGGGTATAATTAGAAAAATAATTCAGATGAACATATTCAAAATCACTACTCTAAATTTAGCTTATAAATTCTAACCCCAAAGGTTATTTGTCTAAAAAAAACAATGAAACCTAAAAATTCAAAAAGTTTAAAACGTAAAAGACTAAAACATATATGAGGTTTGTTACCTTGGAAAATTTACTAAAGCAGCTGGTGGATATAGGGATGGAAACACAATGCAAATTGATTAGTAGATTGATTTGTCTAGTGTTGATGTTGCTCGATTCAACAGCTAATACGAATAGAACCTTTTCAACAACGAAACATGTGAAAATTGATTTGCGCAACAAAATGAGCGATGGATTTCTAGTCGATTGCTCAAGTATTTTATTTGAAAGAGTGTATACTATTGGTATGGATGTGGACTCCATTATTAATGCATTCGCTAAATTAAAATACCATAGTGTACAATTTACATTGTAAAAAAATTATAATCATTATATTTTTTACTATTCTAATTTTCTAATAAAATGCAGCCCAGTGCACTTCTGTGTTCTAGATTCGCCGGTGGGTACAAGCCCAATGAAAGAACAGCAGATTACACAGGGCAAAGAGAAACGTCCAAACAAGTGCAACTGAACAAAAGCCCATTCCATTGGACGTTATTTGTGAAGGAAAGTCCAAATATTAAGTGATCAAAGTTTAGGGTCCGTTTAGTATAGTTTTGTTGTTGTTGTAGTATGGTTGTGTAACACAAGAGAAACCACAACAACATAAAAATAGAAAACAAAAACATGTTTAGTTGGTAATTATGACATATCATAGAAATCGACAATAAAAAACAGAAACACTTTTGGTTCTTTGTAACGAAATATCATAAGAACATTTCTCAATATACAGCAAAGGAAGCATGGATTGAGCTGCTGGGATCAAAAGACCATTTCTCAAAATGATATGCTTCAATCTTTTTTTTTTTTTTTGACCAAGATATGCTTCAATCGAAAGAACTATTCTGAAGAATTGGAAGATGGTTTTCCTTGAGCAACAAATGGATCAACAAGAAATAATTTGCCGGCTTTAATCTCTGGTGAGCGGCGACTCCTCCTCCTCCGGCATCCGCGGCCAACACAACTCCACCTGAGAAGGTAAATTCGTGTATTCGATCGATGGAGCAAAGAGGGCGATGGAGAGGACGGAGGGGGCGGGCCAGGGCGAGGGTGAGGAACGAGTGACCGGCTATGTTGTCGCGTGGAAGAGTGAGCGTCAGCTCTGTGCCCGTCGAAGAGAGGAGAGCTCGCGAGGGAAAGATGAAGCCAGCGACAAGGGAGTGGTGGCGGCTGGGCAGGTGGGGCTCGCGGCGGTGGCTGTTGAGCAGGGGCCTGGTACAACGCGGCGCGGAGGCGGAGCGTTGGGGGCGGCTGAAAGTAAGTAGGGTTTGGGGGTAGTATGTGTTAAAAAAAATTGCTTCTGTGGGGATTCGAAAACTGGTCTATTTTAATGAAATCAAGCGCCCAACCAGCAGGAATCTCGTGTGCAACATGTTTAAGAATCAGATCCAAAGCTATAAATTGTTGTTTCTCATATTTGGGCCTTGTTGTGCAACTCTGATTCACAACAAAAAATAAAAACCCAACTAAACACGATTTTTTTTTCTTGGTTTTCCAAATTTCTTAAAACACAACAGGAAATAAAAACAAGCAACAATACTAAACGGGCCTGTACAAAAGTTACATTTCATAATTGAGGGATACATTAGTAAAAGTAGCATAATACGGGCCACAAAGTGTTTTTTTAATGAATATACCTGGCACAAAGTGTTATTAAACCTTACTTATTCACCCAAAACACATATAAAACATAACACAAGATATCCAACAAAGAGGTAGTATAGCGCTGAAATCACCCAAAACCAAGTCTAGACCCCAGTATTCTTCTGTCCAGACTCCCTAAGAATCATACTTTAAAAATCATCAAGAGAAAGTCCTGTTCCCTGCAATTTGAGTTGCGTGAGTTGGTCGACCCGTCCAGCCATCTGGGGAGTTAAGTAGTTCTTCCAGTCCCCAACAGTTCCTTTTCTAAAATAGGAGCTATTGGATATCTGGGTCAGGTCCGAAACAACATTCTTGTTCACCTCTAACTCCCTGAGCCTGCCCAAGCTGCTACGCCACAACACCTTTTCCACCTCCTCATCATCACCTCCATCCATCGATACCGAGGAAAATGGCTTCCCCAGAAATGAAGCCAGCTTCCTCACTTCCCTTTTGGGGTCTCTGCACAGGTCCTCGTACGTGAGAAACAACACCTCGTCCGGCCGCTTCCTGCTCTCCTCCCAATAACCCACCACGTGTTCGTGAAAAGGCCCCCAGGGAAGAACCCCACTGCAGAAGCTCTCCACCGCCCCCTCCAACGGGAAAGGGTCGGTATCCGGGTCCCGTTTGACAATTTTGTTGAAGAAATGCCACATGGACACCAGAGTGTCCTTCGGGTTCCGGGTCACGTGGACAATCTTGCACCCAGAGTTCCTCACGGCCTCCGGAAGGCAAGTATAAGGCAAGTGAGTCTGGAGCAATCGGTTGGATCGGTCCGAATTGAGCACGAGATCTTGGACTTGGTCCGTGAGGAAGAACACGTCGAGCGTCGGAACGAGCTCGTGCGGGTTCATCCTCGTCAGAACGTCGTCTTCGACTCTATCATCGCGATGAAGGATGTTGTGACAGAGAGCCACGAGCCATGTCGTCCCCGTTTTGGGGAAGGACGTGACGAGAATGTCGTCGCTTTTCGGCTGGAAGTCCGATCTGAAGGCTGCTACGGATTCCATGAGGTAAGCATAGAACCAGAACCCTTCAATCTGGCGAATCTCGTGAGCATTCCAAAACATGACCTCCTTTTTTGGTGCAAGTTCGTTCATCTCCTCAATACTCATATTTATTGTGTATCGTCACGAGCGAGTGTTTTTATCGCTCTTCACTTCTTCTTTTGCGTGGTGCAGTTCATAAGGGATATTTATGCTATATATGTAGCAGACTGAGTTAATTTCAAGTAGTGATAATTACTTGTTAACCACTTTTTTTTTTTTTTTTCAAAATCGTGAATGCAACAGTTACATTTTCTTAAAAGGGTTAGACTTTTGATTTCGTGTGATGAATAAAAGAATCTCATCAAATTGCGAGCTAGCGGCCAGATCATGAATGCTACAGTTTATATTTTTCTTAAAACGGTTAGACTTTTGATTTTGGAAATTATTGGTCTTGAATACTCGTACAGAGTAGGTGGGGCTAGCGGTGGAAACCGGTACGGTATCGGTATTCCAATACCAAAATCCCGAATACCAAATTACACCCTAAAGTCAATCTCAATTCCTAAATAATTTCGGTATCCCAATCCCTAAATATTTCGGTATCCCAATCGGTACTTTGGTATCCCAATCGGTATTATCGAATACACAATTAATTACCTTTGTAATTAATAATTAAATATATAAATTAGATTTTATTGTTTAATTTACGGGAAGAAGACTAAGCAAAGAGTTTTGAATCTCTTGTGACAGAGATTTCTAGCACCATAACCGTGCATTTCTGGTTGATCATTGCAGGTGCGCGTATGGTATGAAAGTGATTGAAGGAAGTGACATAAGTTTCATTGACCTATCAGGTGATAGTTCGATTTTATTCGCCTTTACAAATTTCTGAGAGTAATTAAGAATGCTCTCTGGAAGATTGCTAATGTCGCTTTCTTTTCTTTGTTATGGCTTTTTATGGCAACTCTATGGACATCCGGTATACTCTGTCGAAGGAAACTACACTCGCTGGCGGGACTATCTTGGTGTTGTTGGATTTTTGTTTCTGTTTTTTCCGTCAGTGTCGTGTCTTTGCTCCTCAGAGCTTCTTCAGAGCTGCCCAAGTAGTGGCTTTACATGCTCTTTCGTCGTAGTCTGGTTGCATACAGACTATCGTACATTGTTTGAGTCAGTCTTGTAATCGTGTCGAGTCTTTATCCCATGCCCTCTGGGCTTGCCTTGGACAAAAAAAAAAGAGTTTTGAATTAGGATATTATTAAGGAGAGTGGAGGAGAGGAGACATCTCAAGTTCTTGTTATTGATAATCTTTAATTTGATGAATTGGAGGTTGAGAGACGACTATTAATAGTGATGGAATGATATGTTTATAATTAAATGACACTCTTGGTGGTTGAGGGTCATGTAGTAGTAAATAATAGAGTCTAGTTGAGAGGATAAAATACAAACTAGCTTATATTTCGGTATTAATCGGTATTTCGGTATATCCCGATCCCAATCCCGTAATCCCTAATACCGAATAACAATTGAAACTCAATCCCAATCCCAATCCCAATAAATAATACGTGTATTCGGTAACCTTTCTCTATGCTCGATCTTCTCCCAATTCGATGTGAGATGGGCGATGCTTAAAGTATCCTCCTCTAAGCTAGATGTTCATCCTTTGATCACAACATGGGTGAACTCGATGCTTAAATTAGTATCGTTCTCTAAGCTAGATGTTCATCCTTTGATGCTCATTTTTACTTGTCTTCTAGTAGCTAGACACTAGACTTATAAACAAAAACCTACAAAATACTTAAATCTTATGAAAATAAAAGAGACATAAGGTGGTTAGTTATTTTTAAATACTAGCGAGTCAGCTCAACTAACAACTTATTACTGAATTGATTAATAACTTATCATTCGCTTATTGATAATATAATTCATATGCTTGTTAATTAGATTATATATCTCACCATATATGATATTTAGTTTGAGCAAATAATCACATATGTAATAATGTAAATACTATTTGTCGCCATTTATTGTTCTTCACTTCTTCTCGCATGGTGAGTTCACAGGGATACTTGTACCATAACAGATTGAAAAACCGTAACGTATCAGCCGTTCAAGTCATTAATGCAACGTAACTATATATCAAAAGAAGTTTATACTATTTTATAAATTCGATCCCACAATCTTGTTCTTCTTTTCCAAATCTTGCGCATTTTTCTACTATTCCTTTGTCCTTTTGATTCCCATTCTTGGAAGTTGCTATGGTCTCCCTCGGTTCCTCCTATGTAGAAATTTTTTCCCGGTGGAGACTTCTTAAGGGTTATTTTCTTGTACGCGATGTTTGAAGAGATAAAAGAATTGGTCGATGATGGATGAGGACTTCGAATTGAAGCTTTTTCTTTGTCTTGTATGCGGTGGCGAAGCTAAGACTTATTAAGTTAATTGTTTCTTGATTGTCAGATTGCAGTTTAACTTTGGGATCTTTTGGGTTACAACTGTCCTTGGATGGTGCAACCAAATCCTTGGTGGGAGGTGGTGTTTGTTTCGTGGGTCACTTGTCTATTTGACTACACACTTGGTTGTTGTAAATTTTTCAGAAATGTAATTATAAACGTGTAGTCCTTATTTCCAATTTTTCCAAAGCGTAAAAATTAAATATCCATGGCTCTATTTGCTCCTCGAACTCGTATTGATTTTACCGGTTGCAACTTCAAGTGTTGAGACAGATTTTTCAGTTTTGAGTTGCATCAAGAACAAGTTTCGGAATCAAATAGGTGATCAGTTCGTGAATGATTGCCTAATAGGATATATTGAAAGAGATTTGTTGAGCATTGTAGACGGATATGTGTATTTCATAATTTTTTTCAAAATACGGTAATACGTCGAAACGTTTTGTTGTAACTTGTACTAGCCGGATATTTTTTTAATAAAAAATTTAATTGTGATTCTAATTTAATTTTTGAAAGGGACAAACCTATATAAGATTTCTAGGTTCGTCACTGTTTGTGGTCACTCTAACAAAAATTTAATCGTGAGATTTTTCTTAATAATTTTTTTATCTCCTTTTTAGAGTATTAATTTTTACAACCTTGTGAGTGGAAGTAGTATAGTCTGATGTAGTGTCACTACAACAAAAATCAAATATTTGTGGTTACTTAAAAGATGAGTAGAATAGTGGTGAGAGTACTTCTGTGACCAAACTTCGTGGTTTTAAAATATTGGTTTTGTGACTTGAATCATTTGGTGAGTGAACATAAAATTAGTTAGTTGACATTTACATAATTTATGACCAATTACAATAGTGGAAATTACAGCCAAATTCTAGGCTGCAAATAGTATGGAAGGCCAAGACTTTAAGAGCCTAAAACTTCGTTGGATCACACTATAAACGACGAGAGAGAAATGCCATTCTCATTTCTCAATCACAAACTTCGTATAAATGCGCGATAATGAGATCTCAGATGGTCGCTATTGATGGAAATGGAAGGCAGAGCATTATTAAACAACCATTAACGATAGCCACAGAGATGATGAAAACATGGAACAGCCAACGGAAATGAGCCCTGATCACCCGCCAAACACAATCCATCCAACCATGTTTCTTCTGTTCTTCTGACACAGAATCTCATCCGAGGCCATCTCTCTACCCACCTCGAAGAAGAGATCATCAAGCGAAACAATGGCGGATGACGATGAGGCAGCCAAAGGAAGGCCGCGAAACAATGCCTTCGTGCTCTCGACATTGTTCCGAATAACGGGATCTCTCGTAACCATGGCGGTCCTCCTGTTTGCAATTCGAACCGGTTTCGAACTGGCAAGAGGTTCGAGCAGGAGGTATGCCACCTACGCCGACTGGGCTTTCCATATCGGAGTTCTGACCATGGTTCTTGGCATCTTGTTCCTGGTGGTCGGCCTGCCGATACTGGCAGACTTGTTCATGAACCTCTCGGAACAGATGCAGAAAGAAGCTGGGATTCAAAAAGGTAGAAATGAACCTAAATTCCAAACTCTTACCTTCTATCGAGTTCGCTCATGTTAATGTACCTTAAGCTGTTGTTTGCAGTCCCAAATGTAGAAGATTGGTTGTTCTGAACATTAGGAAAATCACATGCAGGTTTTGAGAACCCATAAGCACGCTAGCCAGTAGGCAGACATTAACAAAGAGTGAACTTGAACAGATTCTTCGGCATTCTCTTATGTGCCTAGGGTTTGCTAGTTTAAGTAGGAAAATAGGGTTCTGTTTCTGGAAATTCCAGAAATCTACAGAAACCGATAGGGGGTTTAATGGATGCCTCTCCAACAAGGGAGCAGGACCTTGCCTCCGAATCCACTCAAAGAAAACAAACAAAGGAGATCCAATAGCTCCATTCCATCTGCTGAATTCTGTTAAAAAAACCTCCTTCTAAGAGTTACAAACTGAGAATGCAAGAGACCATAATCCTATCCTACTAATCCTACTATGTCTGGCATATCTAAACTGGCAGGGACAGAGACGCAGGCAATCTCAAGGGCAAGCGCTCAGATCATCAGTATCATTACTATCCTGTCTATGCTTTGGTGGGTCATTTACACGGGGTTTAAGCTAGCATCTGAACATAGAAGAGACAACAAATACTACTGGCTAACAATCTCCATTGGGGTGACCACAGTAACATTCGGTTTCGTGTATTTCATCATTGGACTAGGGATACTAGTGGATCAAGTGATAGACTTATCAGCTCAAGTGCAGCAGCGGAAGAAGAAGAGAATGAAACACCATTATCAAGGTTAAACCAAGGGATCCAACCCCTTTCCGGGATCATAAGGGCACCAATGATACAACTATTCCATTGTGATTCATTATTGAACGAGGCTCTAATTTTACTTGGGAGGGTTAAGCTCCACCGTTGTCAGATACATATAAATATGCCTTCCCGTGCTTACCACTGAAAATTCAATTTCAATACTGCATAGCTTGAGATTCAATTCATTCTGCCCAGGGTATTATCTACATTCTAGAGCTATAACTTCAAGTGACAGAACGCCACATTCTTAACGCATTATGAAGGGCGCAACCTGAAAACCAGGCAGATCAACTATTCATGCCATGTGTTCTTGCCTTGCCTGCATAATTCCCATAACTAAATGGCAATCAAGGTTCCTTACTCAGAAGTCCTAGTTAAGATACCTCACCCCTCTGGTTAAGTCCTTCCATGGCGATGAGAAACTTGATCACTACTAGTACTAGCAGAAAGAATCCATTCACAGCCTATGACGCAAACAGAGGAACTGAGATGTTCACTCATCTAAATCAAAAATAGACCAATTTTCACGGCCGCAAGAAAAAGCACACAGCTTTATTTTGAGCAAAATAGCAAAAAGTGCACATTCCACATTCAACGATCAAAACCCTAACAGGGTTCATACTTTACGAACAGAGCAAAATCTGAAAACCTAATTGCGTATAAAATCCAAAACAGGAAAGCATCGATTTTTTTTTTCAGATGAGCTTGAAGGGGAGGGGCCAAGGAGTGGACCTGGGAAGCTCATTTTTGTCCTTGATCCGTTCAATCTTCTTCTCCTTCTTCGGCCTCGAGTTCCCGTACGAGCCGATGAATATCTTCCCTTTCTTCGTTTTCTTGTCCCCTCGGCCGCACTGAATCGGGAACCCTAACACTGAATAGGGGATAGACGATGATGAAGAAGAAGACGGTGACAGTGAAGAAAATGAAGATGAATGCTGTTGCTGAGTCGTCGCCGCCGCCAGAATTCGCCTCGCTGCCCCGCCGCACCGCTGCATCGCCATCGCCATGAATTGTTCTTCTTTGGTTTCAAAGCAGAGCTAAGGCCGGGTTCCAGGAGTGTGGCTTATGTTTATGAAGTTGGGTCGAGAGAGCGAGACTGTAGTTGGGTCGATCACTGGGCTGATTGAGGCCTGGACTGAAAAAATTGGGCCGACTTGAGCCCACAGAATCAATGAAGAAAACACGACCAAAAGAAAACCGGATGAAGCAACGGCCGACCGCCGATGGGATTGTCCGATGGTGATGATGTGGTGGTTAACCGGACGGATAAGGTGACAACCCCTTCATATTCACAACTCACTTCATAGTTCTCGGATACTCTCTCTTGTCTCTTTTTTTTTAACGATTAAGATTAAAGGAAGGTTATTTTTGAAAGGGTAAAAATTTACCACACCCAATCATTCACCCTACCATATAAAAAGAAAAAAAAAACCCTAACTCCTCCATCCTCCCTCTCTCTCTCCTCCCTCTCTCCCGTAGCCATCACCGTCTCTCCTCCCTCTCTCTCGCAGAGCCCTCTGCCGTCACAGCCCTCCACCGCTGGCGTCGGCGCCCCTGTCTCCTGCAGCCGCCTGTCGAGCCTTCAACCGCCGTCGTCTCCGCCATCCTCAGCCTCCCTCCACACCCTGTTGTTGCAAATCTCTCCCGCCGGCCCGTCGCAACGTCCGCCTCCCACCACCGCGACACAATCATCATCTCCCCGTCGGAGCCCTCTCGCCGCCCTTTCGTCCCCCACCACTGCCGCCGTCGCGAGGTCACCATCTTCCCCTACCTCTCTCCCATCACCGACTCCCCTTTTCTAGATCTGGTTTTTTAGTGGTACCATTTTTCTTCTAGTAGCGTACCAGTGATAGCGGTACCTACCACTACCATAAGGTAGCTAATAGTAGTAGCGTACCACTATCATCTGGTACCACTATCATCTGTTTTTTTGTGTTATTCTCTACTAGTACCGCTACCAATGCTAGTGGTAGCGCTACCAGTGCTAGTGGTACGATACAATATGGTAGTGGTAGCGTTGTACTGGTAGCGCACCACTAGCACTGGTATATTAATTACCAGTAGACTAATGGATTGGTGCACTTTTTAACGCAACTGTACATTTTTTCACGTTGCCGGAGGGAGTCTGTAGGAGAGAATTCGCCGGAGAAATAGTCTGTCCGTCGATGCGAAGTGGTCGCTGGAGAAAGAAAGAGAGAGATAGATAGAGATATTAATGTATATGATTTAAATTTTAAAAAAATGTATTTAATATGAGTTTTTAATTACCAATATAATTAATACAAAAAAAGATAATTAATATATTCATTTTTCATACCCAAAATACTCTTGGTTGTAAATCTGACAACCCCTTAGGGTTAAGGGTTGTCACCGTATGGTGAATTGGTGATGGTCACTGATGGATATGCTCTCGGTTGACACTTCGAACCAGAGGGTCAAACGCACTGCCAGTTCCCCGACATTTGTAGAGGTTGTGAGCTAAGTACCCGTTTGGGGGAAAAAAAGGAAAATGGATACTTGTGGCAGAGTAGCTATTTCAGTGTTCTCGTTTGTTCGGTGATCTCTTTTGTTTGGGTTCGATGTGCTTCTTTCTTCCCATATCTGATGAACCTTGATCTAATTCTGGGTTTGTAGTAGATACCAACCGATCTGCTATCAAAGTGTTTTTTTTTTTTTTTTTTTCTCACTAAGTAGATAGCTCTATCACTTCTACAAAACAGAGTGACAAAAAACACTACGAAATCCATAAAAAAAGATACGAACTTCAACTAACCGGGCTTCAAAAATCACACTAGGAAGACAGACACTATCTAGAGATGAATATGGTCATTTGTAATTGAGAATTACAGCGACGCCAGCACTACTTTTTGATCGTAACCTCTGTCGAACAATCTAACAAGACTCTCTAAACAATACGCAGCATCAAATCCACCTTCCCCAACAACAATACCACCCATATCAACCGCTTCAACCCTGTCAAGCGACGGATAATACCAGAACCAAACCCGACCATCCACCATGAACAACATCCTCCGCCCGCCTCCATCAATGGCCGAACAACCCAACAAGAACGCAGGGCCACAGCGAACGACGATCGGATCCCGAATCGACCAAACCTTGCACCACGATCCCACCTTCCCGTACTCCTTCATCACCCACAGATCCAATCTCCCCTGACCGTCCCCCACGTAGTGTCCGCCGCACAGGCACAAGCGAGAGTCCAGCTCGCCGAGACTCTTCACCTCAGGCCTGCCTCTCATGTACTTGGGCTGCGGCAGCAAGCTGAACCCGCCGTCGGAGCCGAGATCGAGAGCGAGCAGCACGTCGTTGTGGGCAACCCAATTCAGGGCGCCGCAGGCGAACACTCCATTCCTATGATTAGGGTACGGAAGGCCGGTCGGTTCCATAATCCTGCACGATTTGGCTCGCACGCTGTAGATCTCGGCCCGGAAGTGGTGGGATTCGGCGCCGCCGACGAGCCCACGAATCCTAACCACTTTGTAATCGTCCGACGATTCGTCGTACCCGAACCCGTACCCGCCCAGTACAAGGGTCGCGAGCCCGCCACCGTCTGCCTCTAGATCTACATCTTTCCCCCGACGGCTATCCGTCGAGTACTCAACAAACATCCTTGCATCGAGCTTCGATATGTGCGGATTCACGGCGGGGCAAGGGTGTTGGGGGAAATCGGGAGGGGAGTAATTGCAGATCTGGCGCCGCTCCCCTGTTCTAGGGTTTAGGATGACGAGGTCTCGCTGATTGTCGACGGAGAAGCAGACCAGGCCGCGGCAGGAGCCCAGCAAGAGGGCGCCGTCGGGATGGGTCGGGAGTTTCGGGTCGGGGCGGGGGGAATCGGAGGCGGAATCGGGGGCGTAGAAGAGAGCGCCGTCGGCGTTTCGGAGGAAGAGCCCGGCGTTGGAGAGTGCGGCTGTGGAGCGCTGCAGGTGGCGTTCGATGAAGTCGGGGCTGTCGAGTACGGAGAGCCATTGCTTCGAGACGCGCCTGCACCGGACCAGATCGGCGGCGTCGGTGAGCCGGTCGAGAATGTCGGCGATGATTTCCGGCGGGACTGAGTCCGACATTGGGTTTTGGGGGAAGTGAATCGACGGCAGGGCGGAGATAGAGGGAGCAGTGAAGGGTTTGTCTGTGGAATTCTATTGAGGAATGGGGATTTTCAAAGTGCTGCGAGTGTGGAATGAGGAAGGAAGCAAAGGTGGAAACCGCGAGAATCGGCGATTCATTTATGGCTTTCTAGTAGGAAATGAAAGAATCGCATTGTGGTTATACGCCGGAGATTCTCGATTTGATTGGGGCTAACATTAAGCGCTGCAGAAGCTCCGATGAATTTGAAGATTTAGCAACGAATTTTGTAGTGATGGTTTTCTGGCGCTAAAATAGATGGTCCGAACCCGGAGGTCGAATGATCCTGGTTGGGCTGGCTCCGGCGGTCGGATGAGCCATTCTGCTCTGAAAATCGGTTTCAGAACGTCGCTGGTTGTCGTAATTTGACTTTTTAGCCAGAATTTTTTTTTTTCCGAAAATGAAAATTTATTCTTTCCGCTAAATATTTTTTCCATTGAAAAAGGAAAAAGGAGCCAGCATAGTCGCAGGAGACTAGGAGAGTGATTAAGCTATTGAGACTCCACATAATGTAACAAATACGCAAGAATTCGCTAAAAATTGTTTGTGGGACTCCTAAACAATGGAAAATCAAGTATAACCTTTTTATGCTATGAAATTTCACCATTCGGAATTTGAATTATAGAGTTGGGGTTGTACTTCTTGTCTCTAACATTATCCGTACATTTCCTCTTCCCTCTATCTTATTGTCCCTTATCTTTGCTTTCACGGTGCCGTTTCTTGCTCTTACCCACACTCTTAGAAGGAGCCTCACCTACCACAACTTCTACTTGCCTAGAAACATAGCTTGCATGTCCATTCCTCTTTGCATAGTAGGATGCAAGCTACCTTTTTACAATGGTATTTAAATCGAGTTGAACTGATCAGTCACACCGGTAAAACCAGGTTCCAACTACTAGTGTGGCTTGATACAGTAGAAAAAAAAAACGAATATGTTGAATCGGTCGGGTGGTTAGGAATTATAATTAACCCCTCAAATCGACCAACCGATTCTTAGCATTCCAATCGGCAAATTAAAAGAGACAAACCTGATGGGACTTGGAGGGTTTCCCAAAGGACCTACTGAGTGGCCTGTAGACTAGGGATGTCAATCCAACCAGTAACCATGGGTACCCTACCCGACCGTAACCGGTCAACGAGGGTAATTACCAGCTTTGATGGGTTAAGGGGCGGGTACGGGTAATACCGGTTTCAAAATAATGGGTAGGGTACGGATATGGTAATCGATAATACCCGCCCCGTTATACTCGCCCCGCTAATTAAAGGGTCAATTTTCTTAGCCCTAACCCTACCTAGCAGTCAATTTTTCTTGCCCACACAGAAGTGAGGTGCTTGCTCAGGCTCTTCTTGACACTTTACTTGCTTGGGATATTGACACAAAGGTATCTACGATTACCTTGGATAATTGTTCTACTAATGATGCCTTGATGGATGTCATGAAACATAAGTTAAGCAGTGAGCATTTGATGTGGCCTGGTTCTGATATTGTCTTTGCTGTTTTTGTTTATGTGTGGATTGTTGGAGCTAGAATAAATATGATGTATTGTGTTTTTGTTTGTGTGGATTGTAGAAGCAAAAACAATTATTATGTGTTTGCTGTTTTTATTTGTGTGGATTGTTGAAACTAGAACAGTTACAAGTATTGGGAATTTTTAATGGAGAATAGCATGTATGTGCATATATGTGTATAAGTTCATATTTTAGGATTTGTATCCATGGTTACCCGAGTACCCGTGGTTACCCGGTGGATAAGGTATAGTTATATCATTTTCATACCCGATGGTTATTTGATCGGGTATTTTAGAAGGTTCTACCCGGCGAATTATGAGTTGGTATAGAGTAAACCCACACCCGACCCTATTCCTACTGTAGACTGAGAGGAATTATTATCCTACTACACCTAACTCTCTCTTGGAATTTCTAATGGGAACCCTGGTCCTGCTGGGGCAGGATGCGTATTGAGGGATGAGCTTGGAAGGTGGATTGGCGGTTTTGTTGCCATGATAGGAGAAGCTTCTGCAGCCTTGGCAGAGCTTTGGGCTTTCTATCATGGTTTGGATATAGCTTGGAAATCTGGCTACCGCCAGATCGTGGTTGAATCTGACTCGCAATTGGCCATTCAGCTTATTGAGGATAGACATGACCCTATTCACCCTTATGCCACCTTACTTGCTGCCATTCGCAGGAGGCTTAGCCGAGACTGGCTGGTGCGCGTAGGTCATGTATACCGGGAAGGGAATAGAGTCGCGGACTGGCTCTCGAAGCGCAGTCTCGTCTATCCCTACGGTGTACATGAGCTCACACACCCACCGGAAGGAATAGCGACTTGTCTTCAGGATGATATTTAGGGAGTTTCTTTTGAGAGGCGGATTGTGTCCCGCCAATGTAACTCCTCTTCCCCTCAAACCCCATGTAACATCTCTCTTCTTGGCTTTTGCCTCCTCTTATGCAAAAAAAAAATATAAAAAATAATAGGGTTTTATTTTTTTTTTGGTTTTCTATTTTTATTAATTAGTAACCTACATCTTTTTTTTGGGTAGAAATTAGTAACCTACATCTAACTCTCTCACCCAATTTCAAATTTCTAGAGCTCCACCACTCTCCCTCCACTTCCGCTTCCCCCTCCTCCCAATCCGCCGGCCGATGGAAGCGCCGTCGCTGACTCTGGTAGTTCTGCAGGGCCCTCGGAGGGGCGAGACCTTCGATTTCCGCCCCGGATCCACCGTCCGGATCGGCCGAGTCGTCCGGGGAAACACTCTGGCCATCAAGGACGCCGGCATCTCATCCAAACACCTCGAAATCGATTCGAATTCCGGGAAATGGACGGTCGAGGACCTCGACTCCTCCAACGGCACGACTCTCAACTCCTCCCAACTCCCTCCTCTCCTGCCGTCCGACCTCCGCGACGGCGACGAGATCAAGCTCGGCGAGCTCACTTCCGTCATGGTCCGGCTCCGAATCGAGAACCCAAATCCATTGCCGCCGCTGCAGCGGGGGCGGAGGAAGCAGGTTGCTGCTTCGGTTTCGGCGGAGGAGAGTCAGTTGGAGAAGGCAGAGGCTTCAAATTTGCCGCCGAGCGGTCCGAGAAGAGGGAGGCCGAGGAAAGCTAGGGTTCCGGCTTCTCAAAAATCGGAGCCACCTCCGCCGGTCGTTGGCAGGGTTACGCGGAGCAGGAAGAGTGAAATAGATTGCTCGACTTCTGATTGCGTCGAGTTAGGGATTCCAGAGAAAAAGAAGAATGCGCCGTCGACGAGAAGGGGAAGGAAAAAGGAGCCAGCGCCTCAGCCGGAGAATGATGATGCTGTTGAGACGGAAATCAAAGATGGCCCGGAATTCGGAGCGAGTTTGGCCGAAAAAGCTCGAGAAGGAGGTGGTGATCGGATTAGCGTGGTGGAAATCAACTCGGATTCAGACTGTGAAGCTCAAGGTGGTGATGCTAACAGGGTTAATGTAGTGGAAATCAAGGGGAATGAGGGTTTAGAGCCGAAGTTAGCTGAGGAAGCTCAACAAGGAGTTGGTTGTGAAGCTGCAGCAGACGAAAAACAATGCGAAGCTCCTGCGAAAGATGGACCCAATTCAGGTGAGCACGGAGGGGGAAAGAGTGAGGAGCCTGACCTGGAGAAGATGACTCTTAGGGAATGGTTCAAGTACATGGAAATGCGACTGACCAAGCAAACTGTGGAGGCTTCTGAGAAGATGATCGACGAAATGAGGAAGAAAGCTGCCCGGGTGCAAGAGTACATCGACGAGCAGAAGAAGCTGAAAAGCGCAGCTTGACTTGTGAGCTAGTAGATTCAGAGGCTGCAGAGCAAGGTAACTTGGCCTCTTCATTTCTATTGTTCTATAGGGTAGCTTGATCGAGTAATGCCTAGCTATAATCTGTGGATTCTGTTCATTTTGGTGGAAAGAGCCGTTCCCTACTTGGACCTCTGTTTGGTCCCTTTTGTGGCTCCACTCCATATGTGTAGCATAGCAATGGAGAATGGTTATCTGTAATTTTTGTCACCATTCTCTCTAGTGAATTGAATCCTAACTTTCAGAGTTTGTGAAACTGTACTGGTGATCTAATTGATGAGCTTAATGGGTACGTAAAACTAAATGATCAAAACCTACAGAGAACGACGAGAAAGAGTCGAGTGACTTCTCTGGTAAACTGTTGTTGCGAATCAGACTGCCGAAGATTTCATATTGTAGGCAGAAGATTGATGCTAACACTGCAGAAGTGTATAATGTCACGATCAGTTCCCAGTTCCCACAATGTTGGCATAGATGTTCTGCATTGTGCCTTTTGGTCTCTGATTCTTCTTCGGTTAGAGCTGGAATAGCCGATTCGATGAGTTCGTGGACCTGATTCGGGTAACTTCTAATCCTATTAGTTATGGTACAGTTGACAACTAAAAAATGTAGCGGTTGCTGAGAAATTTGAAGAGAAAACAACGGGGGAACACAAATTAATCGATAACAGAGGAACGAGGAATCCCTAAAATTAGACCTAAACTAAACAAGAGAACAAGAAGAAAGAAAGAATTCCTTTAACTCACTATTTCTCTCCTTCAATATGACATTAGGATTGCCGTTGCCAAGGTTCATAGTGCTGCAATCATCAAGGAACCCTAACAACAACAACAATTACTTGAGGTACGCAGCAGAGCAAGGTGAGTTGAACGATGCCATCGCCTGCAATGGAGACAACGCCACGAACCCGAATGCCAAGTTCGAGGTCGAACAAGCCGCCCACGACGTCGACAGACCAATTGTACACATCCGAAGTTGTTACAACAACAAGTACCTGAGGCTATCATCTGACAACGACGAACAATGTCGTCGTGGTTACATCGTTGCAGTGGCCGAAAAGCCAGAGGAAGATCGGTCCCGATGGTCATGCACATTGTTCGAGCCCGACTTCTCCACAGACGATCCCAACACGATCCGGCTGCTCCACGTCCAATCCGGCCTTTACCTACGTCGGTCCGACGATATCTGCACATTGGCAGCCTCCCCGATCCAAAACAACAACACCCCTGATGAAGACATGTTCGTGTTCAAGGTCATCTGCTGGGAGTCGCTAGTGATACTGCCCAAATACGTCGCCTTCAGAGGCGACAACGGTCTGTACCTCGGAGTACGCTGGGTCGTCGACGACATCGATTCCCCCTGCCTGCAATTCGCAATCTCGGACGAATTCGACGATAGAACTGTCAAGAACCAGTTCGTCCCAACTCCAGACGGACAAACCGTCCGGATCAAGAACGTCCAGTCCGGGTCGTTATGGAAGCGAGATGACCACAATTGGATACGCCCATTTGGTGATTACAAAGAATCATCATCGTCGTCGTCATCGGAAGACGAAATCACAATGCTGTTTCAGGTGATCAAGATTAAGGACAACGTGATCGCCCTGCTCAACTTGGCGAACAAGCAATTCTGCAAGCGGTACACTGTCAAAGCAGCAACGAGCTGCCTGTGCGCCATCGATTCGACGGTGACCGAGTTCGCCCAATTGGAAGTGGTCGAGCTCGTTTCCTCGAGAACCATTTACAACATCGACTTCCGCCTCGATCACGCGAGAATCATCCACTCCGAGGATCGAATCGTGGCCTCCTGCGTCGCGATGAACAACACGGGCGAGCCCAGGACCAAGAATTTGAGGCTGACATTCGACCATTCGATGTCCATGACATGGAAGAACAGCTCCTCACTGAGACTGGGGAAGAAGGTGGTGAGGATCCAGTCCGATGTGGCTCGAATTGGTGCCGGATCGGAGATCGTCGTTACAAGTGGCGATTTCGGTGATTCGACGACTTACGAGTGGGGCGAGACGACCGTGAGGAGGTGGAGGATGACGAGGATTCATAGGGTGGTGGTGCCGCCGATGAGTAAGGTGACGGTGAGGCTGTGGGGGACGGTGGGGACGTGTGAGGTTCCGTTCTCGTTTGTTCAGCGTGACGTTTTTGGTGACGGGGAGGTGGAAAGTTATGTGAGGGATGACGGGTTCTACTGTGGTACAAATTGTTACGATTTCGTGTATGAAACACTAGAAGAGTCGTTAGGCTAGGTGACGAGTCCGTTTAGTTTTATTCTATGGTTAAATGTAAGAAAATAATCAAACCTTTTGAGTCGTGGCAAGAAATAGCGATACGAAATGCAATAAACTAATCAAGTATACATCGTTAATTGGATTTTGCGCTGTCAAATCGACATCATTCGATTATAGAAACCCCTCGTTGTCGATGACGGTGAATCTCGATTGGAGCTCATGCCGCGAGTTGGGAGCGGTGGATTTCCACATGGTCGATTTGGGAGGAGAACTCGACAGTTGAGATGGAATTGATTGTGTGGGAATTTCATCCCGTTCAACAGAATGAACAATGTGCAAATCAATTTTGTTACTATTCTCATATACTGTTTATGATAACATGCTCACAGTGCCTCTTGTTTGAAACGAAAGCCGAAAAGAGACGCTCAAAGAGACTCGCTGACATTATATTTACAAAAACACCACCACATTCATCCGACCCTCACCAACATGAAACGTTTGGTATAGGTCCACCATAGGGTATGGTTATGAGTTCAGTGTAGAACTTGGCCAACATACAAGCCAATGGGTTTTGTTTTGATCAATGAAAACGGAAGGGAGTCTTTGCTTTGCTCCAACTTCATGCCGTAATAAAAGTTGGTATCTACGTTCACAACAACAAAATTTTGTTAGCAATGTGCACGTAAATCACGAGAAGGAACTAACGAGTCCGACTTCTCATAACTACCAACCTTTGTTTGCGCACGTCTTTAGCAGAATCTGTCTTTCATGTTAATCCAAAGCATACCGCAACCATTTTGACGGAGCTAAGTTGAATTCACGAAGGACTTTGAAATATAGGTAAAATTTCATGCAACAATTCGTAACAAATTTAGAAAATAGATTAGTCGGTAAAGTCTTAGCCCCCCTTATTGAAATTACCACAGTTCAAATCAATCTTGGGCTCCCTCATTCGGATTTTTGGTTCCGCCACTGTCTAGAAGGTCATCATGCATGCGAAAGAGCAAGGCAGCGAAGCACGATATATTACTGGGTAGGCAGGATCGCGTGAAATGTGGGTTGTGGGATGGAACCGACCTGACGGGGGCGAACCACAGTGAATTTTGACACGTAGCCATTTGCGACTGTCAGGGTATTGTCGATGCAGGAGAGGTGCTTAGCGACGGAGATGATCGCTTATTGGAAGCCTACTTGGTGAAGCTGGAAAAATACAAAGTCATTCGCACATAGTTATAAGTCGCACTTAGAGGTCTCCATTTGGCTTGAAATTCAAGAGACATGAAAGTCGAACTACAACTTGATTCGACTACAGTCTCACTCGGCTAACAGTCTGTCTTCTACACTTTGCAACAGTGCTGATTGATCATCGACGTATCAGTTTAGTCCTAACTTTTCCAGAGTTGCTGAATAGATACCGGGGGGGGAAACATTAGAGTTTGGATTTAACTCATATCAAACACCTCGGAACCTTCCTACATTAGGGTACATTAGGAATACGATGAAACAAAAACAGTTTCACTAAACTCCAAAGCCCTACACTTTTTGTCCTAGTTACACTTCAGAAAGTCATAACTAAGCCACTAACTAGTTCTATGATTCTAATTCATTCCAGAGACTAATTAACCCAGCCCATAAACCTAAACCAAACCGAATCAAACCCCGGTTCACTTCCTTCCTAATCTGTATTACCCCCGAACCTTTTTTTTTTCTACAGCAAAACCCTTCAAAAACCCGGCCCGACTCGGGTCAAGTCCGACTCGGGTGCTGTCGCCGTCGCCGTCGCCGTCACCGACTCTTCCACCTGCTCCTTCTTCTTCCGCATCTCCAATACTTTCCGGTGGCTATTGGAATGCACGTCGCGGGAAAACGTGGGGCTCCCCGCTGGCCTGTACTCCGGGAGCAGCCGGCCGGATTTGAACCGGACCCCACAAGCGTTGCAAAGCGTCTTCGCCCCGTTCGGCCCGCTCCGCCACTGCGGCGTCTTCTGAATCCCGCAGTGGCTGCACCGCCGCTGCTGCTGGGTCGGGTTCGGGTCCGGGTACCGACCCGTCTCCCCCGCCGCCGTTGCGGGCAGCTTTTTCCTCTGTTTCTTCCTTAGCGGCTCGTCGGTAGGAAAGAGCGTGGAAATTGAGGGCTGGAATTGGAGCGAGTTTGCGAGGCACGGCACCGAGGAGGCGGCGGATGACGCCGGCGAGGAGGTGGGTGAGGAAGAATGGGGAAAAATCACCGACGACCGGTTGAACCAGCTCGCGCCGGCGGTTCTGGCGCGTTTGGTCCTCGTTCTCGCCGGGACTCGGGAAGTGAGGAAAGGCGGAGGCGGGAGAGTCGTGAAAACTGGCGTCTTCGCCGGCGTGGGTTTGAATTCAAAGAGCTTCTCCGCGGAAACGGCGGCGAATAAGGCGGCTGCCTCCGATGAAGAAGAGGAATCGTCGACGAATTGGGAAACCCACTCCAGTTCCGCTAAATCCTCTGCCTGCGGAAAACCCCCATCAATTTCCCCAACCAATTAGACATGAAATTGTGAAGGAATTCCCATAAAGATTTCATCTTTTTTGAAATTTGAAAAAAGCAAAAACAGAGGAAAAGGGGGAAGAGGAAAAGTTACATGAACCGGAAGGTCGCCGGGGAGAAGGGAATTGGAGAAACTTGCCGACGAGGAGTTAGAAACGGAAACAGAGTCTTGTTCTTCCTCCTCTTCCTCTCCTTCTTTCTCTTCCTCGTCCTTAAACCCGCCATTGGAGAAATCCAAGAAACAGTCGACGGAGAAATCCTCTGCAGAACTAGGGTTCAAGCAGAGGAAATCCTCCAAACCCAGATCCTGCTGCAGCTGGCTTTGTTGAGGATGATACTTCACAGAAGCCATAACTTCCCTCCTCAAGCTTGATTTCAAGGCTCTGTCTTCCATACAATAGAATTCCATTTTTCTGAACTTCACCCACACAAAAAAAAATTCAACCCCCACTCGAACAACCAAAAGAAACAGAGGGAAAACGGAGTAAATTGTAGAGGAGAGAACAAGAAGTGAGGTTAGAGAGATGGGTGGGTACCTGAAAAAGACGGAGGAAGGTGGAGAAGTTCGTGAAAAAGGAAGAAACTTTAATGATAAAATAAAGCTTCTTAATCAGAATTTTAATGGCGTTGGGGTCCTGCGTTGTTACAGTTGGGCTGGCTTCTTTCCTTTTTTTTTTTTTATCCATGTCCTTGTTTTCTTGCTTCTGTTGCTTTGAGTCTATCACTTCTATGATTCTATCCTTCCTATCAGATTTCGCGTTATGTATTTTTGATTACATTGTAATTATTCTGGGTTTTTGAATTGATTAGGTGAAATTTGGAGGGTAATCAAATCTAATGACTGACTGACTGACTGTTGGAAGGTCGTTGGTTGGCTTCTTCCGGCGTTTTACTTTTTCCCCCGCGGTTTAATTTGGTGACATTTGGACGGATTTGGTTCAAATTCTGGGATTTTGTTGGCTTTAAATATTAAGAGAAGCAAGGGTGGTGGAAAACTGGAAATAAATTAAGGGATCCTTCTCTTCTCGGGGCTGAGATTTGATATTATCTGGCGGGAAAATGCAAAATCTTTCCAGCCCATCTGATTTACCTGCCTTGATTGATGTCGGGATCACACATGTACTTCTCTTCTTTATCATACAAAATCACAGTTGCGACAACTACAAAAATTACAACTTATTTCTCTTGGAAATTTATGATTTAAAGTGTTATGGGACAATCCAAGTACCATATCGGTAATACAAGGGAAGGAACCCTTGTATATTAGTGTCCACCAAGCTCATTAGTACGATGCCTTTTGAGGAAGATACTCAAAAGTAAAACGTGCGGGCTTGGCCCAAAACGGACAATATCGTATTAATGAGCTTGGTGGTGAGACGAGTCAATAAGCAGGGGTGTGGAGGCCTGCTCTTATTGCGCCACCTATCTTCTCACCTTTCGCCCCATCCCATCCATGATTCTTCCTTTCAAACGACCTTTCCAAAACCCACTCGCAATCGACCTCCCTACTCATCGCGTGAGTACAACGCGACGACGATTTCCTCCGGTCGAACCAAACGGCGGCGAGAGCTCAGCTGTGGAAGTCAAACTAAAAAAAATCACGCTTAGAACCCAATCGTAACGGTTCATGATTTGGCGGCCAGAAAAAAAAAAATCGAATCTGGGCAACTCAGCAATTTTGTTAACCTGAATGCTAATGGTTTATAGCTCTTGGTTGGTATCTCTATTGTTGATATTATTGGATTGTATAGAGCGGCGTATCCAAGACATAGTAGAGCATTGTGCCGCATTTTATTAGAATATCAATTGTACAAGTCGATTTTTTAATATAGTGAATTCATCAATAATGAAGTATACTTCCATACCAATAGCATACTACTCTTTTTCAAATAAAATAGTTAATCAATCAGTGAGAAATTCATCGGATCATTTTGTTGTGCAAATTATATTTCACCTGTTCCATTGTTGAAAAGGTTTTCTCCATAGTAGTTGTTGGAACGGGCAATGTCAACACTAGACAAGTCAATCGACTAATCAATTTGTATAGTGTGTTTATCCCTATTTCCACCAACTGCTCAAGTAAACTTTCAAGGGACAAACCTCATAGTTCTTTTAGTCTTTTACGTTTTTTAATTTTAGAATTTTATGTCACATTGTTTGTTTTTCTTTAGAAGAAAATCTTTGAAGCGAGAAATTTTAGGCTATATTTAGAGTTGTGATTTGAATATTTTCAGCTAACCCATTTTCTCAATTACACACAACCTTATTATAAAATAACAATGAGCCGAATGGCTAAAATCGATAAACTCATTAGAGCTATACTAGCTCCGGATCCAGAGAAGGGCTGGGCCGTGGCCAGGAGTGGCCACCTCCTCGATCGGCCAATGGTTGATGAAAGAACTATTTACAAAATTATCACCGTAGAAACTTACAATTTTACGTTTCTAGATCAATAAAACGTTTCTATGTAGAAACTCGCTTTTGACTACATTGGGAACCGCTTGCGATACCGATCCAATACCGTGCGAAAAGACACGATAGGGAGAGGCTGGCCACGAGAGAATGATATAAGTTTTGGTGTTTTGAGGGTGTAGTAGCTAGTAAAGTTTTATGTTTTGTGACAACTTCCACACATGGGATTGCATGTGTTGGTGCATCCTATATGCCCACTAAAAAGCTTCCTTGTAATAGCTAGCTAGGATTTGGGTGGTTGCTTGTCACTTAGCATTATGAACGGTCCGATCGATCACCATTTTGCCTTTACAACAAAACATACGTAACTGGCGACGACACCCCTCGCGCCGCCCACTAGGGTTTGGTTGGGTCGCACAATTAGACAAAGGAAAAAGGAAAGGAGGGAAAACACGAGAGAAAAAAACTAGCTAATCGGCGGCAGTCACTGAGGGACAAAAAGAGTGTGGTATTATGGTGGTAATGGTTTGGTTGGAACATGTTCCTCGTGAGTTAGTGAGTGATGTGTGTGTACAGTTGGATCGGACTTGCTTGCAAGCTAGCTTCTCTTCACCACTGAACATGTTTTTTTTTTTTCTTTTTTCTTTCTTGTATTGGCAAGTCCTTGCACACAGAAAATGGCAATTGTGAAGAACTTGGTAGTAGTGGTAGTAAACTATAGGCAGACAGATATGACAGATGAGTTGATTCGTTAGGTGAGTTGCATGACTGATATGGGTTTTGGGTCTGATATCTGAGTGTACTGATCATATGCATTTTAAATAGTTTTGGGTTTCAATTGGGTCACAACAACTAATACGTATATTTGGATTCAGATGATATTGTATACACAGTAAGACAAATATTGATCATCTCATTAACTGTTCTACCAAGTTACAACTTTGTACGTGTTGATATTTCCACATTTCTCTTTATTAACTTCGTACACAAAATAATGTAGAAACTTCACATTAGAATCGAGCGTTCATTTTTCTTTTGGGTACCCCAATACTATGAATTAGAGGTGGCAATTGGATTGGTGGATTGGATTGGTGGATCCATGGATCAAATGGATTGATAGATCCATGGATTGGATAAAGTGGATTGGTGGATTATCCATGAATCCAAATGACATCCTCAACCAAGGACCAATATGTAAAAATGCAAAAAATTTAGGTACTGAAAAGTCATAATGAAAATTTTTAGGTACCAAAACGTAATTTCCCAATGATATTTTTCGTATAAAAATTAAATTTTAGGTACCAAAATGTAAAGAATAAAAATTATAGATACTAAACTGTAATTTGCCAAAGATCCATGGATCCAATCCATGAATCCACCAATCCAATTGAATTTGGATCAAATAGATTGGATTAGTTGAATATTTTTAATGAATTGATCAATTGAATTGATGGATTGGATTGAGAATTGTCACCTCTACTATGAATCCAATTTAGACCCATAATAAAGAAGTCAATAAGTGTGTCCCAAAGTAAAACTACCCAAATATAATTCAACCAATAATAAGTTGAGTTTGGATAATACCGAAATATTGGATCTTTTTTGTCATCCCTCTAAACGTATCAACTTGTGTTTCATTCCCGTAGGCTAATGCTTTTGTCAATCCGCTGGATGTTTCACAGAACCTGTCACTAAAAATGGGTTTAGTTATGTTAGGAGGACCGGACTGTTAAACGGGAGTCAAGCTGGATTGTGAAGTTCAGATCGGAGGTCTATACTAAGCAATGTAAAAGATTAACATGGAAATGTTAGTGTCGTTTTGCTAATTCAGCAGCCGTATTTCTTTGCTTCAAAGACACCCTAATTATATAAAATACCAATTGCGAACAATATATTGATGCATCTACAAGTCTGTCTGTTTCTCTTTTGGTGGGTCTCTGCACGATTAAAGTAGAAGGGACGATGATGATTGTGATCATGAATGCGATTGCAGAGTGCCTGTGCCTGCTACTAACTGCTGGCATGGGTATGAATATTGCTTCCGATCGACTTATCCCATCATCATTTCATCCTGTTCTCTACCTGTTCTATCATGATTTGCATCAAAATCTACATATATTTCTCCGGGATAATGCCACATTTAGTCGCTGAGATTGCTAAATCATGTCAAGTTTAGTCACTAGAAAAAATTAATATCAATTTTGGTCACTCAAATTACTTGAACATGTCACATTTAGTCACTCTCCCGTTAGTTTCCGTCCAACTCCGTTAATGGAGTTGGATGGAGGCTAACGGAGAGTGACTAAACATGACATGTTTCAGTAATTCGTGTGACATTTATAAATAAATAAATAAATAAGTAATTCGAGTGACCAGAGTTGGACGGAGGCTAACGGGAGAGTGACTAAATGTGACCTGTTTTAGTAATTCGAGTGACCAAAATTGATATTAATTTTTTATAGTGACTAAACATAACACGATTTAGCAATCCCAATGACCAAATGTGGCATTTACCCTATTTCTCCTCTATTGACCTTTCTAATATCATATTTTAATTCCAAAGAAATTAAAAGACTATATTTTAAAACTATTTAGACTATAAACTGCTCCTTATACAATATTTCTCATTCATTTAGGAAGTGCTTTTTTCTATGTATGCTTGTAAAAGAATTAAAATATCAACGTATTTTTTCCAAATAACATATAAAATGGATCGGTGATATCATAAGCTGTTGTAGGCATAACTGCTTCGGTAGTATACTAAGCTCCCCACCCTGTACCCACCCGAGTATCACCCGACTTGACCCATATTTAATGTGGCACCAAAACGTGAATATTGAAGTATCTGCCGCATCTCGCCTCATTTCTCATCCCTATCCCAACCAGTTGAATGTGAAAAATATTTTGTTTGATTGATTTGTAACTATTTGGACCCCTATAGATGGTAGTTGGGAAGCCGGCTGGAATTTGTTATGGTTGTTTAACCAGCCGGTAATTAACCAACCGCACTGCAATGTAATCACTAATCTCATCATCAGTTCAAATCCGACTCTTTTTTTAACTATTGAGGAGTCATCCATCTTAATCACCAAAATTTAAACAAACCCGCTTTGCTCATTTGAATTTAAATAAAAGCAAATAGTCTCTTAATAGCTTTATCCTTTCTCTAATAAGACCAAAAGCATAGTCTTTTTTTTTCAGAAAAAAATCTATTTTAAATGGTTGCTTGCCAAATAAGACATGTTAGATCATCATTCATCATGAGTATACAGAATTAATTCAAACTATAAGGCAGCTGATCTCCAAATCATCGGTGGTCATTGACTACTAACGATCAAAGTTAACGGAAACAAAACTTTGGAACACGATTATCAGCCTGAAAATATAGAGATACAATTGACGTAAAACGTAAAGTAGGGACGCTTTATATTGTTATATTAGGCCAAGAATTAATTCGAATTGGTGAGTAGTAAAGATGGGTTGGTCACCTAACTACGCCAAGTGTTTTCTCCTCGTCTCTGTAAACTATTATGCATCATTGACAGTGTCCATTAGCTGTAACATGAAACAAATCTGAAATTTGAACGAATCCACCTTTTAGGTACTGAAATTTGAACTACCCACTTTGAATTGATACCAATCTGAACAGCCATTCAACTTTTCCCTTCAAATTAACATGCTACATCAAAACGAATTTCACATAGATTCTTTATAGTTTATGCGGGAGATCAATTTGAATTCGAATTCGTTTACTTGTTCCTATTCCAAACCAAATATTATGTGAAGTCAAACTAATCATTTCCTCCACGACTCGAAGACTTTAAGGGGTGCAAACTACCTGTTTTGTCATTAATCTTGATAAAGTAATATGTGAAAATGCACGACTGAGACGAAAAAACTAGCAGAACAATTTTAAGTGTCAATCATGAGTGTATTGAACATCTTAACTTCGTAATCGATTTATTATTGAGCTCAAAGTTAGTGACGACTTATGTAAAAGTGATGCATACCTCTCCAAGAAAGCCCAAAGAGCAAACCAGAAAAGTCAAGATAGCTCTGAGTAGAGAGATATGGAAAGTCGGGCAAACAGAAATGAATCACCAGTTTCAATGGTTGTTACAGATATCAAGTTTGGCTTCTTCTGGTGTGGTAACAGAATATAAGGGTTGAATGGAATGAAATGGGACATAGAGAAGAGATGGGATTCTTTTGGTCAAAAGGTGAAGACAGAGTAGTACACTGTTCTATCTTGTCTGTGTAGGGAGCAATGTTGGTCATTGATGGAATGCATGTAGCTGCTATGGCAATGGCATTAATGGATTATGATTCCATCTCGTTCCAAATTCATTATCTTCAATATGCTTCTCTCTGTTGCTTTCTAGTTACCTGTGAGATATGTACCATAAAGATGAAAGTACTGTATAAAAATTTAGAGGGGTTTGGGTTAGGTTCTCAAGCAACGAACATAAAGAGTAGAGGACCAGATATCCCGGTTCTCAGATCGAACTTCTGAAAGATACTCCGAAGATCGACTCACATAAGCTTACATAGGAATCGGGGTAAAGATCTCGAGAAAGGAACGAACAAGAGAGTCGTGCACCGGGCATCTAGTTTTCTCAGATCGGAGTTCAGAAGGATGCTCCGACGATCGAGTCATATCACATATGAAAAATTATAAGAGGTAACATAGAAGAGAGAATTAACAGTTACCATATTACCACCACAACTCTAAACCCAGGAAGAAAGGCACCAAGGGCAGGCAGCAAAATCAGGGACTAGCATTTCTTTCCATGCATTTATCAGGTTTAAAAAGAAGTTGGTCCAATAAGGAGCATTCCCACAATAGTAGTAGAGAACCCAAAAAAAAAAGTGTTACTATAATGATCCAAGGATGGACACCCATAATAGATTATTGCCAGATTTTCTGCAAGGTGAAGTGTTGAGAAGCGCCAAAAAAATTCCACAAAAACTATGAATAATATGCATATGAAGGGGCCGGAAGGAAAGGGAAAGGTGCAACAGAAGCATAAGCTACTGGTGCGCGGACTCGTGAGCCAAAATCTGAACCATCCAGTTGTTCCTTCTTCTTTGCCTGGTTTCTGCTTCTCAAGCCTTCCCTATCTTCAATTTCCGCAGTCATGGAAGATGGAAGCTCGTCAGTTGACATCTCTGTTTGTCGGTGAAGGAGAATCCCGGCCATGAATATGGGAAGGTATAGAAGGCTGGCATGAAACATCTTCCTTGCCTTCTCTGTTGTTGGTTCCCGGTAGAATGAAAATGCCGATGCAGCAATTGCTAGGGTCAGAACCGATGATTCCAGACAAAACCACCCAGAAGCCATACCCCCTGCATTCACCATACCCCGAGATTGTATAGTGAGACTGAAATACAGCTCAAGTGAAACACTAAAATTTTATATGAACACTATAAGATCACGGAGGAGAATATCAAAATCGAGCCAGACGCCAGAAATCTTGAAGTTGGCACAGTACTACCGTTTCAAATTCAAGACTGAACTTGATTTGGATGAATCAACATGGATCATATGTAACGTAAAATATGATATACGCATGAAGCATGCACAGCCATGGAGTAAGAATGAGACACATTCAAGACAGATGTAAGGTTACGATTTTCAGATAGCCACAACTCACATTCATACGCCATAAACCCCAAAGGAACCAGATAAATGCAATTCCTCAACGCCACCAGGGCAGTTCTTCGGCCAGTGGTGTCGGCAAGGGAGAGCATCTTGTACCTAAAAAAGCAAAATTGAGGGGAACTGGTATTACCCAAAAAAGCAAGAACATTGAATGCTATGAGATCATGTACAAGCACAAAGACCCTGAACATATGATAATACAACTCAATCCACACAAGACATAGCTCATCTCCTCAATGTAGTAAGTCAACTTTTTGAATGATAGATGGCAGTGGATCAACAAAATCAGGGAATCTGGCCACCTTGCTTCTTGGAAATGCAACTACCATGGATATTTGCTTGATCTTATTCAATTCAAATTTCTTAACCTAGAAAATGAAATCCATCCATATTAGTTATCAGCTGTGTACCTACCCTCCAGCAGCATAGTCATGCCGACACATATATGCAAGTGCCATGAAATGGGGGATTTGCCAAAAGTAGAGTGCAGCAGGGAGAATAATTGAGTTGAGGGAAATCTGACCACCAGAAGCAGCAGCCCACCTGAAATGCAGAGGGAAAATATGACTTTAAATGATGTCTGCTTGAAGATTCTAGTCACCATACTAAAACGCCAAATCAAAAAACATAATAAGAGAGAGATGCGTTTCCTTGCTAAAGGACAGTGGTATGGCATAAAAAGCACAAGTATTGCATCTGTTACTTCCCATGACGAGCTTGCATCACTCGGGAAGTCTATCCTGTGTTTATCGCTAGAGTTTAACTCATGGAAGGTTCAGCTTATTTTGAGATTGGAAGGAAGGAGGTTTTATATTCATCCAACAACTATTACCAAATAAAGAGTAGTCAATAACTGCCAAGTAACCATATGGACGAAGGCTTGAATACTGAGAACAAAGTTTTCTAAATTACCAAGGATGGAATTGACAGGTCAAAGAAATTCTAATTCTGACACCCATTAATAAATCAACACAAAAGGCTCAATAACAAAAACCCAATCAAAATGTATAAGAAACAGAACGAGAAACTACCCCAGAAGTGGTGGAATGGCACCAACAACTGCTCCAACCCACGTGTTGACTGGGTGGATCTGTTTCAATGGGGTGTATACAAATGCATATAAGACCAGGTTGGATGCTGCTAACCCTGCCGCCATCATATTAGCCTGCAACAACCTTGTCATGCAAGTACAACATTAGTCACTCAGGTCCAAAGCAAGTTAAACACTTCCTAGTATCAGAGGAAGGACTGGTATCATAAACTAAGCCTGGACAAAGTTGGTGAAATTATTCGGCCACCTTGCATGCCAACAAAGCAGTTCCAGCCAAGCCAACTGAAGATGCAAAAGCCACTGCCTGGGGAACTGTCATCCGCCCAGAAGGAAGCGGCCTATTTCTTGTCCTTTTCATTAAGGCATCGTTCTTGACCTCAAAGACCTACAGCAATACAATATAGCTGAATAAAAATCCAAACTTTATAGCTGAATTGTTTCCATTAGGCACATTTTGAGGCATTTAGAAGCTCCATCATCAAATGGATCCTAAAAAACGCACCAAGCAAGTAACTTTCAAATTCATCTCCTACTTCAGGCGTTCCATACAAGTTCAGATGGGATAGGAGTATGTTCACCTAGGCTAATTATGTGATTTCCCACTAAAAGAGGGAGCCACCGAAACATCTAGTTAGGACAGACCTGATTCAATGAGTTGGCAGAAGCTGCAACCATCATTGTACCAGCACAAGTCCAACAAAGTCCCGTGAAATCCACTGCACTCCCGCTCCCTAGAACATACCCCGTTCCTGAAGTTGCAACGACCAGCATACTGCAAAAGCCACAAATTTTCCATAACGATCACAACCAATCCCCTCTTGGGCCCAAAATCCAGGAAATTTGGAGACACACGGGGAAAAAGAAAAACGAAAATGAAGTAAAAAAAAGGGAAACCTGAGGCGAGCTTTGGAGAGCTCCCAGAAGCAGCGGCCGTACTGACGAGCCAATTGAACTCCATATGTCAACGAAGGGACATCAACAGCGGCAGGGGAGGGAACTGAGGATAGAGCTCGGATCCCATCTGATCTCCCCGGCAGAAACCCTAGTTTTGAAGGATCCGAAGGCGAATGAGGCGGGGCAGCGGCGGGAATGGACGACAATGGGAAAACGGAATTCGAAACAGAACGGGAGCTCCTGAGAGTGGAAAGTGAAGAAGGCGATAATACAGAGCCGTTCCAGAGGAACTTGGAGGGGCAACTTGCAGAGCTTCTCCACATGACGATTTCCCGGCAGGTTTATTCAGGCCGCGCGAAACTATGGGACTAAACCAGACGGAAGTTTCTCATTACCGCCAACTCCGATCAAGTCAATCGAACCGGCGATCGTTGAAAGAGCGAGAAGCGAGCGGAAAGGGGGAGAATTGAGCTGGACGAAGACGACGGCAATCGATTGGGAGATCTGAAAGAGGAAAGGGCTCGAAATGATGAGACGATAACTTTTCACTTTTTCCGCTGACCGCTGTTGAGCTTGTTTTCTGCTACTACCCGTACTTTGGGTTATGGTATTTCTAGTCCTTATATTATGGTTCTTTAATAAGCACATTTGAGAATGATACACTGTATACTTGGTTTTAGTTTTCTTATTTATAAATTGATCGAACGATTAGTAAGCTGATCTGAATTTCCCACGTTCACATTAAAACGAGGGCAAACCTCTTACTTTTGTCGATTGGGTTGATAGAAGAATGTGATAAACGAATATTTGACTTGAAATATATTGATTTAGGTTGATGGGGATAAATAACAAAGAGAAGTTCAAGAACAATTGCAGAAGCTCAACGAAAGAAAACTATCCATATGAATGACTACAACATATACACTATCAATAAGTCCGAGTGATATTAAGACAGGACAAAAGTTATACAAACAAAACAAATAATGAATGAGTGATATCAAGAAAGGACAAGAGGGACATCAATAAGTCATGATCACATAACAAAACATGAATTTATATGTGATTTAGAAAGATAATATTAAACATCCGATAGATTACGGAGATAACTGAAAAACATTATTACAATCAGCATAGCATAATCAATGAGTTCCAGAGGTGATAGCACACCATGTAAAAAAGGACAATATAAGCAATGCCCTTAGTCGCATCGGCCTACATATTAAAAAAGTTTGTTGACAAAGAAAACTGTATTAACATGGTGTTGTTTAAGTACTTAAGTCAATCAACAATTTATTGTTGGAATTTCGTGTTAATTCGAGACCAGTCGCTTCAAATTAGAGGATGAGTGATATTGAGAGCTGGTGTACAAGGTTATTTAGGAAGGCTCAAGCAGAAATGTGTAATAGTTGAGGGACCAAAAGCTGAGACATTCATTCTTTAGGAGAAATACCGAAATAGTTTAGGAGAGGGACAGGCGAGGCTGTAGGCAAAGCCAGCAAAACGATTCTTCCAAAGCCAAAAAAGAAACAACCATCAAACCCCTGCACTCCCTTTTCAAAAATCCTCTCTCTCTCTCTCCGCCTCTCCCTCGGTCCGTCAAAGAACACCGTGTTTGGGGGCGTCTTCCGAAAATCAAAATACCGATATCTCTGCAGCTGCCTGCTGAATGGAAGCCATTAGAAAGCAGGCCACAAGGCTTCGAGAGCAGGTTGCAAAGCAACAACAGGTCTCACATCTCTACAACCCTAACTCTCTCAGATCCAAACTCCCTTCTCTTCTCCTCCTCATAAACTCCTGTGATTGCTTCCTGGTCCGATCCCCTCTTCTGGGTTCCCTTCGATTTGGGAATGAAGTTATGTGCGGGGCAATTGAAATTTGATTGATTCGGTAACATTATGCGGGTCAACATTGCCTGGAGCTTTCAATGAATTGGAATCGCGAAATTTGTGAAAAATGATCTATTGGGTACCAATAATTGTTGCGGTATTCCATGCATGTGATCCGGGACCTTCACATTGATTGAGGAGGAGTTTGATTAGGAGAAAGTTGAGAGCTTTATTGGTTGTGAAACAATCTGGGAGCTTTATTCGTTTGAAATTTGAAGTAATGAAGGGAATTCGGGTTGGTTGTTGTCTTCGTCTCTTAATTAAACAGAATCTGAATTAAAGTTGATTCATTTACATGGTTCAGTAGCAATAGCCATTCAGACATCCTAATTTTCTGTTTCCCAGTTCTGATCCTGCAGTGATTTTCTGTAAGACAGTTGTTTGTGGCCTTTTTATTATGTAGGTCTTTAGTTAGGATCCATGGTTTATCTCTACTGTAGCAAGCATTATAACAGGCACTTGATGTGGCCACAGGCTGTTCTGAAGCAGTTTGGTGCGAGTGGATATGGAGGTTCAGACGGTGTTGTTACCGATGAGGCTGAATTTCATCAGCATCAGAGGCTGGAGAAGCTTTACATATCGACCCGTGCTGCCAAGGTTGGTCCACTCTGTTTCGTACCGGCTTTCTTGCATTAGGTTTCTGTGCTTCATTTATGTTTATATGTAATTGGTAACTAATGAGGCTTCCAATGCTATATCTTACAGCACTTCCAAAGGGATGTTGTTCGTGGCGTAGAAGGGTATATTGTTACTGGTTCCAAACAAGTGGAAATAGGTTAATTGGTGAAAGTTTCAATTTTGTTTGTACAATTTTTGTCCATTCTAAATATAATGTAGCATCTCTCCAAGAAGTTTGACATTTGTGTTGTATAGGAACAAAGTTATCAGAAGATAGTCGGAAGTATGGCTCTGAAAATACTTGTACTAGTGGGAACACATTATCAAAGGCTGCACTCAATTATGGGCGTGCTCGTGCTCATATGGAGAAGGAGCGGGGGAATTTGTTGAAAGCTCTCGGTACACAGGTTTTAAGAACAACTTTTCCTTAGTCATATATACTTCTCTAGATTTAGATTTGCCTACAACTATTGGTCCGGCTAATTTTTGTTAGGACTGGAGTGTTCCACTCTTGAGTTACTTTGTTGATCTGTAAATTTACCTTCTTTGCGGATTGGTCCTTTCTCTATTGTGAGCCAGTGCAGATAAGAATATCGACTTATTTGAGTTTGATTCAGATAGTCTTTAGGTTAAGATTTATGTTTTCTTCACTATTTCTTTGCTTTATGGTTCAGATCCATCTCTTATTATGATCTCTACAAAGAGTACGTATAATCATACCACTCATGCAAGATGCAAATAGCTTTGCCCTTTATAAACACTACAACCGTGCTACTGGTTCTTTCTAGTAGTGTCTTGTTATGGTTGCTGTCACTCGAAAATTAATGATGTCTGCTGCATAAGCTGTCGTTCTAATACTGACCTTGAGTCACATCTGTTCTGTTTTGATGTTTCAGTACAATATATATTCTAAGTTTTTTTGTATGAATAGGTTGCAGAGCCGCTTAGGGCGATGGTGATGGGAGCTCCGCTGGAAGATGCCCGACATCTTGCTCAACGTTATGATAGAATGAGACAAGAAACAGAAGCTCAGGTATTGCCAACTGTGGACTCCTTATGAAGTTGAAAGTTTTAGGAGTGGACATCATTATCCTCAAGCATGACACTTTTGCTGAATGCTAGACAGGCCATTGAAGTTTCTAAACGCCAGGCAAGAGCAAGGGAAATGCCTGGTCAACCCGAGGTTACAATGAAATGGGAAGCTGCAGAGTCGAAGCTTCAAGATCTGAAGGCTAACATGGATATCCTGGGGAAAGAAGCAACTTCAGCAATGGCAGCTGTTGAAGCTCAACAACAGAGGTTGACTCTCCAACGACTTATATCTATGGTATGGTAGATTTGTACCACTCTTTAAGGGTATGATTTGTTATAAATTGTAGCTGAAGCGTCATCTTCTGCTCTTCGTGTTACTTTGTGAAGGTTGAATCAGAAAGAACTTACCACCAAAGAGTTCTTCAAATACTCGATCAGCTTGAAACTGAGGTATGTCATACATTTTAAGTACTTAAGCTGGCCTCTGGAAGGGACATTCACTTATCACCTTTCGTTTGTTGGTGATAGATGATATCTGAACGACAACGGATTGAAGCACCTCCACCACCTGTCGAAAACCACATGCCCCCTCCACCTTCATATGAAGAAGTGAATGGCGTTTATGCCTCTCAAACACAAAATGGCTCTACAGATAGTATGGGATATTTCTTAGGAGAGGTTCGTATCTAGTTCTCTCTTGCTATATTCGACCTGATGATATTTATACTTGCCAAGAAACGTTAACAATATCTGCCATTGTGCCACAGGTTATGAATCCTTACAATGCCGAAACTGACGTCGAGCTGGCTCTTTCAGTCGGTGACTATGTTGTGGTCAGAAAGGTTCGTCACTTACTGGAATCCAAGTTTTAGCATTAAGCGCATATATTTGGTTGTGAGTAAACAATTGATCCTATATTCTTGGGCTTATGTAGGTGACGAATAATGGATGGGCGGAAGGGGAATGCAAAGGGAGAGCAGGTTGGTTCCCATTTGCATATATTGAAAGAAGGGAGCGTGTACTGGCGAGCAAAATAGCTGAAGTGTTTTAAAGACTCTTGAATTTTTTGTTGAGAATGCTTCTCTCTGGGGGCTGTTCGTTTCTCTCCCAGCAGTGTATGAATGTGTGTATTGCTTTTTAGCTCTCATAACTCCAATGAGCCCCCTTTTCTAATTTCCTGTATTTTTGTGCAGTAGGTTTCATCTCATATGCCCTTTTCCCCTTGTGATATAGGTACCAATGACATTCATGATCTCTTGCTGGTATATGGTAGTTTGCCCTGTGTATTATTTTTCGCATAAATTGCGTACAATGAAAGGTGAAATCGATGTTATTTTTTTGAAGTGCCAGTCTAATTTAGCTATGAAGTACATGTGAGCATATACATTGGAACGAATTTGCTGTATTGTAATAAATATTCTTGTTTTTTTACCTATGAAGTATTCAATTCGAGGATGAATTTTGAAAGATCGAGATAGTTTTCTTGTAGCAAAGGTCTTATTTTGCTGCAAAGATGAGCTAACTGGACAGTTTCTAAGTTATCTACATAACAGCAGTAATAGTATAGATCGAAGGAACTTGTAAATAAGATTGTTAATTCATTCTCCACAACAATCAACACAACAAAGCAATTTGTACATTCATTCATACATTTAATGGTCAAGCATTGCCATCTGATATGGCTTACAAACACACAAGATAAGCCAGTAAAGCTTCCATGACCAAGGAAATATTGCAGCTAGCCATTCGCAGACCTGATCCATCTGCAGAACAGCAGAAGAGAGAAGCACAATAACTTTTCAGTCAAGCGAAAGATCATCCCACTTCGTCACTGATTTACAAACATTTACATAGCACAAACTTACCCTAGTTGGTTGAATTGGTCGCAGTCAGACGAGCGAAGATAATGGCTAGGACCACGATAAGTAAAACAGTCTGTATTTGCAGAAAGAAAGAAAATCAGTTGCCATTCCATTGAAGTCATGATGGTAGCCAAAATAGTGATGCAAATGATGGTGATTTCGTTAGGAGAGTTGGTATTGGATGAAGCTCTCATAAAATCTCTGAATAATATATCAGGAACTCACCAGGAAAAGATTGTGCTGCTTCTTGCTCTCCAGAATGTAAGATTTCCTGACAAAACAAAACAAAAAAGTAAGCCAAATAACTTAACATGGAAAGGGAGAAATATAAGTAGAATTTTAAGGCGATGTCTAAACCTTTTGGTGAGAGATCCAGATTCTCGGCAAGTCTTTTGAATAGCTTCCAATCTGCTTAATGTTTTAGATGCGTTTGGATCACTCTTGTCAACCTGCAGACATTGATACAAACAACGCATAATAGTTACGCATGTCTGCTTTGCAAGATATCATTGCATTTGGTACACAAGTTAATTGCATGATAATAAGTCGTGTGAAGTAAACCACAAACTGTACCTTGGACTTCAGCATACAAGAAAGGTCGTAGAAAGCCCCATAAACATCAGCCATGGTTTTTGTGCCATTAATAATTTTAGCAGTAAGACCTAGGGACAAACGAAGTGTAGGCCATCATTTAACTATGTTTGCTACACTCTTTAATTCACATGAAAGAAAAGCACATGAGGTGTAGATAATTCTTACCACGCCTCATCTTCACAACGCCTCTGAAAACTTCAACATTGTTATAGCATAGAGCAAGAGTTCCAATTGCCATTATCTAACAAGTTATGGAAGTCAAATGAGAACCAAGCTCACTAGTGACTGATAAAAACAGAAGTTGAAAATACAAGATTTGACAAACTAAAATGACTCCAAGGAATTTTTTTCCTCACACTAAAATAGGTCAACAGAGGAAAATGATCTTGGTACAAGTGGCGGAAGAAAGAAAAAAACACAACTGAAGTAACAGCACCAGTGAAAAAGAACACCAGAAGTCTGCTTGTTGAAAGAAAACCACAAGAAATGGAACGAGACCAAGTGGAACATTTGATTTACAAATTTGTTTGAGCCATTAGCACAGACAGTCTCATAAAGAAAATAAGATGAAGAGGCAACTGTCACAGGCATGAAAATGCATTCATATTCCTAGAAAACAAATTGTGAATGCGTCATCTCTAGAATGTAAGAAGGTTCTTAATTGTCTGCAGCAGATTCTACTACCTGAGGAATGGCACAGAACCGGAATATAGCAGGATCTCTCAGATCAGACATGTACTTCACACAGTCATCCATATGCAACAATGCATTAGTGACCATATCATTCAAACATTGCACTGCCTTCACTGAATTTTCTTCGTACTTCAAGTCCTGAGGTTTGCAATATGAAGAAATGCCAGTCAGACAAGAAGTATTACCACCCAGAACAGTGAGTTGTGCGCATGCTTCGCGACAAATTTTCTACTTACCTCAAGTTTGTCAACATACTTGCTCCAGATTTCACGAGGCCAAAACATGCGCGACTTCGGTATCTCATTTATATCTTCCAAATAATCTCGAATGATGTTTGTTTTCTGTTTTTCCACCATTATCATATAAGAACGAGTAGAAGTACAAGACAATCGAAGCTCGGATGAACGTTAACCTTTCAAGTAAAAAAACACTTTTAGAAATACACAATAGTAAAACCTGAAGAAATAATCCCATCGAATTAGAGAGGCTGTCTGGTTGTAAATCTTCCTTTCCAGAAGCATGGAAAAGCTTTGACAGGCCTAGTCCCACAAGTCCTGCTACATAGTGGCAATACTCATCGTAGTCATCAACTGTTTCCACCTGAAATATTTGAATGTTGAAGTTCAATAATAGAACGCAGAATCTGAAGCTTTCACTCCCAGTTACCCGTATAGTAATGCATTCTCATATCCAATGAGTATGTTGTATCACTATTAGAAGCACATTATTATATCAGCCTTTCCAATCATCTACCAACTAGGTTAGTATGTTCCTGTCTATAAATTGCCTACTGGCGGCTTCATATAACGAAACCAGTATAACTAACCTCTTTGCAGATAAATTTTGCCATTCCAGCACCCATTCTTTGGGTGATATCCTCGATCGCCTCCTGATAGCTGCAAACCAAATTATTTTAATGAGACATTCTCGAGCATTGGGTCATAGACACAAATAGATATAAACTGGTAAATGCTAGTAAAACTGTAAGTGTTGCACAGGTTATCACGATAATTGACTGTGAAGCATTACATTAGAGCAATACATGCAAGAACTTCTGCAAGCCACATCTCACAAACTAGCAAATGCTATGCTAGAACATACCGGCCTGACCTCTAAGGCTACAAAATACATTCATCACTAAGTTGCTCCACAGCTCTAGCCGCATAATGGAAAGGTTATTGTCGAGTTGTGCTCAAATCTGATAATAAATGTAAATATTGCGGGCCCACATGTAAACTACGATCCTAGAATCAGGTGATGTAAATGGTCAATAATATCAACGAGAGATTCACAGGCATGGGGGTGAATCTGAAGATTAAGAATTAATGTTACTACGAAAACTAAAGATGTAATGTATGTTCATAGCCGCATCCCGCATGGAAAAAATATGGCACGAGAAGAACTTCAGAAAAAGGCCTGGCCCCATTATTTTCACAGGAAGATACATACCCTTTTCCCAGCTCTAGGAAAGCAGTTGAAACATGGTGGAACTCATCCATCAGAACTTTATAGTCCTTCGTACCACCTTAAGAAAATGAAAGAATCAGCCAGAGTGAGCCAAAGGATTCCAATTTAAGGACACTCAAGTTGCACTAGTCTCTAACATCCAGAAAACTTAAATTTGGAGATCAGAAACTCACATGAGAAGTGCCACTCCTTGTCATATATGTGACGGTGAAAAGCATTCAGAATAGGCACCTTTATTTCTGTAGCTATGCTTGTATCATCCTCTGCAAAATAAATAACAGAACCATACATAAAAATCCAGTGACTCGCAGCACCAAGGAGAAAACATTTCTCTTCCTCGATTTTCACAAAGTCCAAATACAGCAGCTCCAACACAGACTGAGGTCTCCTGTGAACAATGAGGCTTTGCGAAGGTGGTGCTTAAACAGAAAGATCAACCCAACATCAAGTTGTCTGAAATTTGGCTTGATTTCATAACAAAGTTTAAACTAACTGATGAAGTCTGAAGCATAAGTCAAGCTAGCAGGCATTACTAGACACAGTATTGTAAGAGATTAACACGAAGACAATATATCAGAGTCTTAAGGTTCATATGATAGAGACAAACCAACTGTGTCAAGAGCTCGAAGAACCAAGTAGAAGATGCATACCTGCAAAACTCGAGACAAAGAGTGAATCAGCACCTTACTATTTATGCAAGTGTTACCCTCAGCATGGCTGGCAGAAGTGTGTTTATCCAGTTTTGACACACAAGTACAGAAGCATTAGGTATAAAAGCAATCAGATCGTTATGTTATTGCTGTACAGAGTTAAAGTCTAGAGAGACCAAAGTTCCATAGCACCATAAGCATTCACTGAAAGAGAGAGAACAGTAGTTTACAACCAGTCCAAATTTCTAATTTCATTAATAACTTCACTTTTCTTTAAGACTCAACAACAGTCAAAGGTACAACATTTCTCAACCACAACCATCCAAATCAAGCAAATGTTTCTACTTTAAGAAAGGAAAAAAGACATTGAATTTGCAGAGGAAACACAAATTTCAAGCCTTTTCGTTCGAATGATCAAAACCCAGAAAAACAAGGAAGGAAGCAAAAGTCTGAAGACTCGAGCTGCTTTTAGTGCAAGTCTCTATCGTGAATGAAAAACAAAAAAGACAGAAGATTTCTTGCTTTCAGAAAATAGATTCAATTGTAAGCTAATTTGTGGCTATTAAATCCTTCACACTTTTCACCTCAAGAATCAGGATTAGATTACGAAAACTGCACATAAATCTTTTCCCCTTTACCTAGGGATGGCATATCAGACCGCGCGGGCGGGTACCCGCCCGAAAACCGGCTGGGCGGACCAGTTTTTACTCGGAGTTGACGGTGATTTAACGGATTCGGGGAAACCCGTTATCCGTGGATAACGGACATCGGGCGGTGACGGAGTCCAGGCTATCCACCCCGAGCCCGCCCCGAGCCATAAAAACGACGTCGTATTATGAGCATATATATATATCCATCAGTCGAGCAGAGAAACCCTAATCCCTAATTGGAAAAGCGCCGCTCTCACTCTCTCTTCTCCTCTCAGTTCTCTGCTCTCAATCGCCGCTCAAATCCATCGATTCGATTCCCCCTCGCGAAATTCTCTCCACCCAGGCTGTCAATCATTCATTATCCACCAATCAAAGCCTAATATCCTCATCGATTTAGGCAAAGAACAACATGCAAAAGGAGAAGAATCAGAAGATGACTGTTCCAATCTCCGATTCGAGGTTATTGGGAGGATTTGTCGTCGATTATTGTTACGATAATCCAGAACTTGAGATAAGTACCTTCCAATTCAATTCTTCTTTCTTGTTTCAGTTTCTTGCTTTAGTTTTAGATTCGTTTAAATTAACTCGAGTCGATTGGTTCTTTCTAGGGCTCTTCTGTTTCATCTTCATCTACACCTGGGACTGCATGCATGCTCTGATACTTGAGGTAATCCCTAATCAAATTTCCTTAGTCAGTTACTCAGTTAGTGTTTAGTAATTAGTAGTTTGTTGTATTGACTTTTACTCATTGGATTGTAATGTTTGTACTTTTGTTTGAGTTTTTGCAGTTTTGTATCAGGCATCAGTTCACCATCCACAACTCTGGACAATAGACCCCCTCTGTCCAGATTCGAGGTTAGTTAAAGAATTAAGGACATTTTACTTAATTTGGTTTGCATGTATTAGGAATTAGGGACTCGAGTTTCTGTTGATTGCTTGGGTGTTGGGTCTGCTCATGAATCATGTCTTGTTTAGTATAAGTGTCTCATCTGCATGTTACAATTGAATCTAAAAGACTATAAATTTGAACCTAGAAATCTTATAGCTAAAGCCTAAAAAGTAACCAAGCAATCCTTTGATGTTTATACTCGTTTATCTCAATGTCAGATGGAAGGTGCACCTAAAAATGTTGTCAATGCTCCTGTTCCTCCACAACCTGCCCCTGTTGATCAAAACAACCAACCTGAACAAGTTGGTAATGGTAACGGTAACTTGGCTAATGAAAATTCTGAAGTGCTTGTTGAAGAATGCAAATTGACTTCTGATGTATGGCCTCATTACATTAGGGTTAAGGTTAATGGGGTTATTAAAGCTAAGTGCAAGTACTGTCGAAAAAACCTTGGTGGTGATACTCGTAATGGAACCTCGCACCTTAGGACTCATGTGAAAACCTGTATCCAAAAAAGGATACATGATGGTGCTCAAAAAATTCTTTGCCCTAATTACAAAGCAACTGGAAAACCCCAATTATCTGCTACACAATTCAACTCTGATGTGTCTAGGAAGGAGCTGAGCTATATGATTTTGGTCCATGAGTACCCTCTTAGCATTGTTGAACACTTGGGTTTCAAGCGTTTCTGTTGTTCTTTGCAACCACAGTTTACTGTGCCTTGTAGAAATACTGTGAAGAAAGATATATTGTCTTTGTATGGGGTTGAAAGGAGTAACTACCAAAAGGTTATTGATGGTAATTTGGGTAGAATTGCTGTGACCACTGATTTATGGACTGCCCCAAACCAGAAGAGGGGTTATATGGCAGTCACAGCTCACTTTATTGATAATACTTGGAAGCTAAGAAACTCAATGCTAAAGTTTTTGTATGTCCCTACCCCTCATACGAGTGAGAGGCTTGCAAGAAAACTGTTTCAATGTCTTCTGAATTGGAACATTGATGGAAAGTTGTCTGCAATCACCTTGGACAACTGCTCCACTAATGATTCCATGATTGCTCACCTTAAAAATAAACTTGTTTTGAATAACTTGTTGATGGATGGTAGACTGCTTCATATGAGGTGTTCTGCTCATATACTGAACCTTATTGTGAAAGATGGTTTGGATGTGATAAAGGATGGAATCCATTTGATTAGGGAGAGTGTGGTGTATTGGACATCCACACCTAAGAGGGTCCAGACTTTCAATGAAGCTGTTAAACAGGTTAAGTTGGCTATTGGGAAAAAACTTGTGCTTGATTGTCCAACAAGGTGGAATTCTACCTATGATATGCTCTCTATTGCTCTTCTGTACAGAGATGTCTTTTTTCGTTTAAGACAGATGGATAGTCAATACACATCAGCTCCTACTAATGAGCACTGGGATTTAGCTGCTATTGTGATTGATAAACAGCTCATTTTCAGTGAGATGACTGCATTATTTTCTGGCACCAAGTACCCCACTGCCAATCTGTTTTTCTCTAAGGTCTGTGATCTGAGATTGAAATTGAGTGACTGGTGTGCTGATCTTAATCCTGTTGTTTCTGCCATGGCTGGAAATATGTGGTTGAAATTCACAAAGTACTGGGATGATATACATCTTGTTCTGGCAGTTTCAGTGGTTCTGGATCCTAGGTACAAAATGCATGTCATTGAGTATTATGCTGCTAAGTTTGGCAGCTCTGATACTTGGTGGCTAAGGATCTAAAACAGCTGATTTGTGATTTGATTAATGATTATCAAACCAAGGCTGAAAAGAAATCTAGTTCTTCTGCCAATGAACCGATTGGAAATGCAAATGCCTCTGTTTCAGCAACTGATCTTGATTTCGAGTTGTTTGTTAGTCAGAGGAAAAAGAGCAAAACAACTCTGATTACTACTGAGTTGGACCATTATCTTGATGAGGAACTTATTCCTCGTGATCCATCTGTTGAATTTGATCTCTTGATGTGGTGGAAGTTGAATGGCCTTAAGTATCCTACTTTGCAAGCAATTGCAAGGGACTTTTTGGCTATACCAATAACATCAGTTGCTTCCGAGAGTGCTTTCAGCTCTGGTGGGAGGTTGTTAGACCCCCACAGGAGCAGGCTCGACTATTCTACTGTGGAGGCTATGTTGTGCAGTCGTAGCTGGGTTAGGGAAGCCTGGCTAAGAGGTAACATGCAATACCTTCGAGTTTAGTCTTAGTAGTAGCTTTTGGTTCATTTAAACAAGTGACTGAGTGAGTTTGTTCTATTTCTGCAGAATCAGAGGCTTCTGCTGCTGTGGAGGCAATGGATGGACTGTTTACTGGGCTGTCAGTTCACGATTCAAGTGTAGAAGATCAGGAAAATGGGGGTAAGTTAGTTGGTTTTTAGTTTTTAGTTGGTAACTTATGATTTATGAACTGCATAAGTGAACAAAGTTTTTTTTTATATTGATTGCAGTCCATGAACTTCTGAATCTGGATTCACCATTCTCCTTTGATGACTGATTATTGGAACCTCAGAAGAGAAGGTATATAATATAATACATTCAAACAGACTTTTCTCCTTTATTGTAAGCTTGTATATATTCCTTCATATTTTTGTTTTCTTGCAGGGAATGAATGTCAATTTGTCATGTGCTGCTTGACTGCTTCTGTTCTTCAAATCTGGTTGCTGACTTGCTGCCTTGCTGGTGCCTTTGAGAGTTTGGCTTACTGCCTTTGAGAGTTTGAGTGTGCTTTATTTGTTCCAAATTTGAACAATGGATTGGTGTGTGGCTTACTGCCTTTGAGAGTTTGAGTTTGAGAGTGCTTTACTTGTTTTTTTTTTTTTTGCTACTTATGACTATTAGACAGTTGATGAACTCATGAATAATTGAGGAACTCTTGAAAATTCAGAGTTCTGGGTGGTGGGTGGGTTGCAGCCTTATAGGCTTTATGTTAAGCTGCTTTTGAGCACTGCTCAACTTTGAATTTGAACTGAATTATGTTTTTCCAGTTATTTTATTGTTTCAATATGTCAATTATTTAGGGTTTGTAGCGGGTAACGGGGACCCGTGGATTCCCCGAATCCGTTGCTTCACGGTGACGGTATCAAATTTGGCCCCGTTGAATGGCCGAGGACGGGGTCGGGGAAACCCGACACTGTTCACGGACGGGGAACGGATGGTACGAATCCGTCCCCGATCCGCCCCGTTGCCAACCCTACCTTTACCCAAACTATGCATGAAACGGGAAAGGAAAGAAAGTAAAGCAGCAGTATATAACACTTGTCAATCCAAAATTGATTCATAACAGATCAAAGCAAGTAGCAAACGTTAAATCCGATGAAGAAAAGAATCACAGTAGCTCAAAGAAATCATAAATCAAATTCCCAAGGCAAAAAAAAAAAGAACTTTTACAAACAGAAAGAGCAGAAGACGCTTACAGCGTCACGGAGCTCGGTTCCCAGCTGCTGAATCACAAGAGCAAAGCTACGGGACACCTTGTGCAGCATTGTGTAACAGAATCCCCAGTGAGGCTGCGGTGGGATCTGCTTCTCGATGCTCCTCGCCGCCAATTTAAGCTTCAAAAGCGGGTAAAGATCATCTGGGTGCTTCAGAATCGCTCTCAAAGTCCCCATTCTAGCTCTCCCCCCTCCTTCCGGAAAACACCCAGATCGCCCCTCCTTCCAGAAAACAATCCGAACCTAAGATAGCTCAGATGGGTGACAGAAAGTCGGAAAGAAGTAAGGCACGAGGACGAAAGAGAGAAGCAAAAGGGAATTTCGACTTTTGTAGGCAATGAGTGAGAGAGAGAGAGATCGAACGGGGGGGGCTTTGGTTCAGGGTTGGAGAGGGTCCCCAACGTGCCTGCGGTTGTTAATGGAAATACCCACGAGCCCACACGAATGATTCGCACAAACGTTTAGTTCGATTATAAAAAGGGCAATCAAAAAGCTGATCTCAAACTGACTTTGAATTGAATAAGAATTTGTGGCCTCGTTCCGTTCTGGAGGGGAAAAAAACAGAGGCGTGCAGAAAGAAAGGAGTAATAGTTTTCTTACTCTCTTTCTCATTGGCGGAATTCCAGTTCGACGATTTAGGGATTTTTCTATCTTTCTTCTATCTTGTGGCAACAAATTGAGAACAGAAAATGGCGAAACGTGAAGTGGGGGATAGATCCATTGGCGGGGTAGTAAGAAGCTCGGAAGAAGTAAGAAGTAGCGAAAGGTAGTGGTCCCTGGCCAGCCAAATCAATGAATTGTCTTTTCCTAATTCTGTTCGTTCGCAGGGCCGCCGCAGTATGAAACTGAATGGCAGGTCGGCCACCGGAGTTGGGAGATGCAAGGGAAATGAAAAAGATCACGAAAAGCCCAAACTTGAGGACCTTTGTGCTTTTATTCTCTCTTTTTTGGTAGAAAGCTTTTATTTTTTCTAATGACAATTTTAATCCGCTCCGCGGGTATTATTCGATTTGACTTGTGATAGGCCGGGTATTACCCGACCTGCAGTAGACTCGGGACATAGGTATCTACTTCCGACCCGACCCGCCATGCTCTGTCCCGACCCGTTCTTGGCTCATTCTATCTCAATTTCTTACAATATCTATACATATTTCTCATATTTTGATTTTTTTTCAACTAGTTAGAGTCGTTCTTTCAACTTATCAGACTCAATTAACCATTCTATTATCACTAATTTTCATTCGTAAAGTATTTCTCATTCATTTTATGGTAACAAGTAAATTTTGCTTGTATTTTTTCTAAATAACATGGAAGAGTGGGTCGACCCTCCACGCCCCATACCCACGCGGGTTTTACCCACCCCGACCCTTACTAGCGTGTGGCGGGGGCATGGTTATTAAGGTACCCGCCCACCCCATTGCCATCACTAATTCTCTCCAGCCTCTAGTTCCTCCTCTTAGTCTATTGGGAGCCGTTTGAATTTTTCTTGAAGATTAACTCTGTGTTCATGATTCTGATTGTTCGTTTGTCCTAATTGTCCGTGCAACAGACGAGCTTGTTGTGTTCATGATTCTAGGAAGGCTTGTGCTTCGAGATTGTCTTCAGCTCATTGTCTCTGTGTCTGTTTGTATATAATTTGAGGTGGTTCCTCAAACCGTAAATGAGACTGCAAGTTGTCTCCTATTGAGTTAATTTCCTTCGACTTTGTAGTGTGGCTCCACTGACGTGTTGCTTTGGGAGGGTTTATGGGTATTTTCTTTTTTTTTTTTCTCTCCTTTTTATCTTGTGAGTACTTGGGAAAAAAACCTAGCCCAAGATCAAATCCTTGCAAGCTTTTCATTAGAGTCTAGAGAGCAACCTCGCCGGTCGTTGCTAATGCCCACGGCCTTTTGTGAATCCAAGCTCAAGTTAGAGTGCATTATTATCGACAATAAATGTCTTGCTAATATCTTTGTTAAACCTTACTAAAAAAAATCTTTGTTAAACAACAAAGTCCGGCTAATACAGGAAAAAATATTAATAATTTAATAGCGCACGTTGATGTATTTTCGAATTGTTAACGCGTGTGGATGAAACGTGAAGAATGAAGGAATTCATCAATAAATAAAAAAGATAAACTATAAAATCAACGACTTTTTCTATTCAATCATGTTTGCTCGCTATGTAAATGTAATTTCCTCGTGCATCTATCGTTGGTGCATTACACAACCCAGTATATAATTCCGAGGTGATATCCTTAGTATCTAAACTAGCACAACCAAAACCAACATTGGTCAGAGAATATACTTATCGCAACTTACATTGCATGTCGAGGAGGCCATGCTTCAATGTTTTTTTCTTTTCTTCCGTTGCATGCCTATACTATTACTCCGAATCTTTCTTTTCCTTATCGCCCCTCCCAGATTTCTTCCTGTTCACAACAAGATTAATTCATTCGAGCGTTTTACTACATTTTAATACCGTATACATCGTTCTTGTAGATGTCATATCTAGAAAACTCCCCACAATCTCATCTTTAGATATCGTTCTTTTTCACGCACTCCCAATGATTGTCTTCATCAATCCGTAGAACAATTTAATCCTCTTAATAGTCCACGACACTTCATATGCAAAATAAGTTTATTGATCGTAAATTCGTAACGAATCTCGCTTTAAAATTCACTATGATGAGTCGTTCGTCTATGCATACACGATTGTCATTTAACAAGAAATTGCAATTTGCACATACAAATTACAATGGTAGGTATTTTCTATTCTCCCGCGGCCGCAGCTCGCAATTAGTGGTTGGTGGAGACTTGGACTACAAGTTTTACTATTGACCGACTTTTCATTTTTTTTAGTTTTTACCAGTAACAAAAACGAGAAAAAAAAACGGTACGGACAAATTGGATTGGAAGAGAAACACCCGCCATTCAATTCGTCCACTCGTTCTTGATCTTCTCCATTTGCTTCAGTTCCCCCCTCTCCTCCTTTCAGGATGCAGCTCACTACTCTACCCCGCCCGCCCGCCATTCCTCTTCCAAACCCTAAATTCCGGCGCTTTTACAGTCCCCAATCATCGGGTTTCTTTCCCAGGCCGCCGCCCACTGTTTGTTGTTTGCTCACGCCCCGCCGCATTTACGCCGCCGCTCCTTTCTCTTCCGGAAGAAGGAACTTTGGGGATCGGTTTCCGGCCAATTGCATTGGGGCGAGCCAGGAGAGCGTGAGTGGTGGAGAGGATGGAGAGTTGTCGGTGGAAATGGCGGCGGGAAGCGTGGAAGGGCTGGAGAATCAGAGTTTTTGGAATCAAATCAAGGAGATTGCCATGTTCACGGGGCCTGCTACTGGGCTTTGGTTGTGTGGGCCGTTGATGAGTCTCATTGACACTGTGGTCATTGGTCAGGGGAGCTCCATTGAGCTTGCAGCTTTAGGTAATTACGTAGTTGGGTTCCTTTTGTTTCTTGATGAATGAGCGAAATGGTGCCATTAATGGGCAAAAAAAACTAATGATAAAGTTTGTTTTTGTGTTGGATCACAGGACCTGGGACGGTGTTCTGTGATTATATATGTTACGTGTTCATGTTTCTCTCGGTTGCTACTTCAAATTTGGTTGCGACTTCCCTCGCCAGACAGGTTGGTTTGATGGGAGCATTGAAAAGTTGCTTGATTTGAATTGCAGTGCTTTGTATGTATGATTAGTAACGTTGAAATTCAATGCTTCTGAATAGGGTGGGTTGGACTACCAAGTTGTCCGCTGGGTGGTTCTGAGATGACTTTTGTTTGCACCTCTCATCTCTCTGCCAATGATTGATTTGTGTTACTTGACAAAATTATGCAGGATAAATCGGAAGTGCAGCATCAAATATCGATACTTTTGTTTGTTGGATTGATATGTGGGGTGTTTATGCTTTTCTTCACGAGGTTCTGTGGTTCGTGGGCACTTACTGGTAATGGAGACTGGTAAAGCTTTGAGTCCTACATTAGTCATGACTTTTTTCTTCAGTCTTGGTGTACTTCACATTTTCAATTTCTGGGTGGAATAATGTGCCCAAACCATTGATGCGCTTGCCTTGTTTCCTTTCTCTCCATATCCTTCAGCTTTTGCAGGACAGAAGAACCTTGATATAATACCCGCAGCAAATACTTATGTGCAGGTACTGTACACAAAGAATTTGACATTTTTATTGAGGATCGACAGGTTGGGTTGACTTCTTAATGGTGCTAGAGTATTGTTGACTGCGTTGTTCAGTAGTCAACACCCTCTCCAAGAATGTAACTCTGTCCTGAAGAATCATATGAGCTTTAATTGTATGCTACCATATGTTGTATCCAAGTAATTCTATGTTTTAGTTTGTAATATGGACCTTAATTTTAATGATTCTAAAATAGGAGGAGTGAGCTACATCTTTTTTACCTTTCTTCAAAGAACAATGAGCTACATTTGGTCTGGGAGTAATGTCCAGTTTCATTTCCTATCCGTAGTTACTTGCACGGATAAGGTTTTCTATAAATGTTGGACCTTAAACACTTGAGCTAAGCAGATATGGGACCTTGTGCTTCAGCTGATATTTTCATTCTTGTAAAATGAAGAACTTTGCTGAAATAATTTAGATGATGTTGTTTGTTTTTATTCTCAAAGGCTAAACATGTTCTACTTTCTTTTTCAGATTCGAGGCTTAGCGTGGCCCGCAGTTCTTGTTGGATGGGTTGCTCAAAGTGCTAGGTAACGTGGCTATGCTTTTAAGTTTTTGTTCTAATATAATTATGCTTTTAGTTACTGCTGCTCTTGTACTGTGCTCTAAACCATTGCCTCTTAAACTTGGTCCTCTTGCAACCTAATTGTTTCTTATTTTACTTAGTGAGCCTTGTGCTCATACTCTTTTTCTATATGTCTCCTTGATGGTTGACCTGGTGTACTTCGACATATGATACCAACTTCTGAGAATTAAGTTGTTGAACACTGAAATATTGGTTGATTACTCATGCTTAAATGCCCTTGTCCTGTTTTGCAGTCTTGGAATGAAAGATTCGTGGGGTCCTTTGAAAGCTTTAGCAGTTTCTACTCTTGTTAATGGTGTTGGTGATATAGTCCTCTGCAGATATTTAGGCTATGGTATAGCTGGGGCAGCATGGGCAACAATGGTGTCCCAAGTATGTGAATGAGTCCTAGTAGCTTGATTTCTTTTTTGTTCTTGGTATCTTTCCTCTTGAGTACAATCTTATAGAAACTATTCTTAGGTCGTTGCAGCCTTTATGATGATTGACACTCTGAACAAGAAAGGCTACAATGCATTAGCAATATCTGTTCCGACGTTTGATGATCTTCTGCGCATACTTGGGCTTGCTGCTCCAGTGTTTATTACAATGACATCAAAGGTTCATTTTCTATTTTTCTTCGCTTACGTTCATTTCATGTTTTATCTCTATGAATCAAACATTCACTTTTTCTGTTGTAGGTCGCATTTTATTCCTTCATCATTTACTTCGCCACATCTATGGGCACACATGTGGTGGCAGCTAATCAGGTTGTTGCCTGCTCTTGTTGCAATTTTGCTTTATTTTCTCTTGGTTGGTCTCTCTTCCTTATATTGACATCTTATGTTTCACCTTAGGTCATGAGCCAAGTATTTGGCATGTGTGGTGTGTGGGGTGAGCCTATCTCCCAAACTGCTCAATCTTTTATGCCCGAGCTAATATACGGATCCAATAGGAATTTGTCAAAGGTTGGTGATAATGCAGACTTATGTTTGCTTGTGGCATCGCACCAGTCGTTATATATATTTTCCCCCTTTGTTCTATGCTTCTGTCTACTTTTGTTCTAATAGTTTCTGACATAAAAACAGGCACGATCGCTGCTGAGATCCCTAGTCATAATTGGAGCAGCTCTTGGATTCACATCAGCAGTCATTGGTGCATCTATTCCTTGGTTTTTCCCAAATCTCTTCACTCCTGATCAAAAAGTAGTAAACCAGGTTTGATTTTGTTGTACTTCATGTTCTTAAATTATCCTTTTCCTCAAACCTAATATTGGTCTCACAACACTGTGCAATCATAAGATGATAAAGTGCACGTGAACCTTCAGTGAGCTATAATGCTGTTGTTGTTCTCTTGTTGTTTTCCTTATTGTTAGGTGTCCCTATTGCTATTAGGCCCTTGGGTCTAATGATAGTATCGCAGTTTAGTTTTCAATGTTTTTATTTTATTTGGGTAGAACAAGAGTTTACCATATCTCTCTCTGTGGAGTGTCAACCAATATTCTCTTTTGATGTAAATATCAAACCAGGTTCCTTGACATTTGAGTTTTGTTGGTCCATGCAGATGCATGGAGTGTTGCTTCCATTCTTTATAGCGTTGGCTGTGACTCCAAGCAATCACAGTCTAGAAGGGACATTGATGGTATGTTCTTTCATCGAACTTCAGTTTCTGGATGTTGAGTGAACAATTGCACAAGTCAAGACTGCTGCTGCACATTTCTTTTGGTTAATCGTGTGTGCGCTTTTGTTGTAGGCTGGACGAGATCTCAAGTTCCTTAGCCTGTCAATGAGTGGATGCTTCACTGTGGGTGCTCTATTAGTAATGGTACATCACATACTTCTCAATCAGTTCCCACTCTAACCTTTCTTGTACTCGTCCATCACTGATCACTGACTAATATAAGCTAGTGACTCTTACCAGGCTGCAAGCAGCAAAGGATTCGGCTTACCGGGATGCTGGTTTGCCCTCGTAGTGTTCCAATGGGTAAATATTATATGATCAAACCCTATATGCATAGAATCCAATCATTTCATGTTTAACTTTTTGACTTCTTCTCTAACACATGAACTCTGTTTCCAGTCTAGATTTGGTCTTGCACTCCAGCGACTAGTATCTCCCACTGGCATATTGTTCTCAGACGACATGAGTCGATATAAGTTCGAGAGATTGAAAGCTGCTACTTAGCTTTTTACAGCACGGTGCAGGAAACCCACATTCATCGTTACAGTTTACAGAATCTTACTGGGAGCACTTGTGGCATTGTTTGATCAGATGACTGAAGAAACACAGCAAAGTGCTCCCTACAAACACGAACGATACGCGAAAAAACGTTGTGAATCACGTTGATGTTGTAATACTGATAGGTTGATTGTTTAGCGAAATCCCAAATCTGTAAAGGGAGAGAAGGGAATACATCCTCGCCACTAGCAGTCACGTTGTAATAGTTGGAGAAAATAAGCTGGAATGGAGCTGCTAGCTTTGCTTCGAAGTTGAGACTTTTTTTGTGTTCAGTTGTACCAGTTTGTTGTAGAAGGCCAAGAAAGAGCAGGAAAACTTGACAGATTGTTTCGCAGGACGACAAGGTGTGGAGAAATGCAGCGGCGGGAAATTGTATCAAGCAAACTTGGTCTTTCACGACCAGGATCGTCGACGGCCAAAAGGAGTCGATTCAACGCAAACCGGAGGGAAATGATGGGAAACAAACATATCTAAGAAAGATACTCTGTTGACGGCGACGGCGGCGGCGGAGGTGGTAGAACTTTTGCCTGTATAAGGTGGCGCGAAAAGACGTGTGTTATGAATTTAGGAGCGCGATAAATTGACGAAAGGGACAAATTGACGAAATATTACAAAATGATTAAATATTGTGATTTTGTACAACATTTGATATATTTCTTTGGGGGAAAAAAGGGTGATATAATGATTCGAAATTGTAAAAACAAAAAAAACTCATGGAAAGGAGGAAAGTTTATGGGAAGTTATACGAACACACGAGGAAAAGATGATGCCATAAAAATTCATGCTAAAATGCAGAAGGAAAAAAATAAATGAGAAAAAAATTCATGCCATAAAAATTCATGTTCGTATGTCTGCCACTCTGCTCCACCTTTGTTTCCTTCCTTCCTTCCTCGCTGGATCTAAATTTCACGTGACTAGCCCCGAAAAGAAAGGATTGAACTACCGTACTGTATCGTACCGACGATTCGATCATAAAATACCGTACCATACCGACGGTATTTACGATATTAAGTGGTTGAACCACGATTTCAGCATAAAATACCCTATTGCTTGCTTTTTCGGTACAACCTCCGGTACGATATTTCAATCCTTACTAAAATGTCCTTGTTATAGTTTCTAGAATGTTGTAAGTACACTATTCCACATACTATACAAGTCGCCTTTGACGGGGGAGGAAAAATGCATGTGGAAGTGATGCAAATAGAAGTAAAGAAACGTGGTTATATTGTTTATTTCATAAGAGAATTTTTGACAAAATGGTTGTTGGAGGGAGATTGACAGAGTCGGTGGTGTGAAATGTAAATTTTTTTTCTTTGTGTTAAAAAAATGTCAGAGCACACGATAGCTGCATCGGGCGGCGGTGGCCCGACACACGTGCGAAGCGGATTTTTACCTACTGTGCAAGCCGCGTGTTGTTTTTTTCCGGTTGTGAATGAGGCTCCGATTTTTAGGCACATTTTGGCACACATTTCCTCGATGAGAGCAACCCTAAATTTCGGTATTAATTATCGTACGATATTATGAGAATTTTTCCACTTCGTTCATATATCAGTTAAAACGCTAAAGCGTCTGTCTTTCTACTAAAAAAGAGCGGACCACGATGAAGCCCAAGAACTTCTAGAACCATATATATGCCAGCCAATTTCTGGCCAACAAACGGGAAATTAGAATCTAGTGATGGGTCGTACAATTGTTAGGCATCATTATTGTCCGACCATCTCAATGTTTTTTTTTTTATAGAAAATAGTAATAATAATAACAATTTCTGATTGCTTTCTTTCTTCCTTTTCTCGTGGTGGGAAATCAGAGGCCAGTTGCAATTTGAACGTAGTATTATATCCAAAATCTAACAATTCATTGGTCTCTAAAACAATAGTAACAAATTAAATAATACGCAGTCAAAAGTTTGATTAATCTTCGCACTCGTGACAAAGAAATTAGAAAAGTGGCAAGTAAGATCTACTCTATTAGCGATCACAATTGAATATGGAATCTGGATTTGCGGGTGCACACATCGATCCAATCCGATCAAAGCAGGAAAAATGGTTGTTGACGAATTTTGGACTGGACACATATTTTATCCGCTTATGAAATTGTCAGATTAATCGGATGCAAAAATCCAATTCGCTTTCCACCCCCCTTCGCGTCCCAAAAAAAAAACAATGTTGTTTTGCATATTACTTTAGTAACTAGGGATTATTTTGCTGGTTAGATTTGGATGATGAGTTTGGCATTCACATCCAACTTATCATGGAAATGAAACACATCCAACAAGTACGATCTAGGATCAAGAAACAATAAATTATTTTGCTTGTTAGATTTGAATGATGAGTTTGACATTCAAATCCAACTAATCATCAAAACGAAACAAATCCAACAACCAAATTACAATCTTTTCCAAATCCACTGTACACTTCATTGCTCTTATCAAGTTATAGGAAATCTACAGTCATACACCTCATATCACACACACTCTTTCTCAACCAGCCCCACTGACAACTTACAGTACATATCATGTCATGTCATTCCAACTCATGTTGTCACTAAATTTGGGCCAGTTTTCAGTTTTCACCTACCTAGTTAGCTTCTTATATTTACCAACCTTCCCCATTCAATTCAATCCAATATATACATAGATGCTTCTTATCCCTTGTTTTTTATTATTTACAAATGGATTGTTTGCATTGCCCTTTGAATGATCGATTACAAGAGAAATCAACAGGAAAACCAGAGAAAGATCTTATTTGTTAGAAAATAAGGTCTTAGCATAAGTGGTGAATGTGTTTAGACTATTTTCGAGAAGTTTCAGATTTTGTAGTAATATATCTGAGTACAAGTGTACAACCAATAAATACTTCAATTAAAACATAGCAGTAAATCGAACAAGGATTCACATCCATATTTTACATGAGAAAGAATGTAATTTTTTACGAAACCATTAATATCGAAGGAATAGTATAAGTTAAGTGAAGTAGTGAAACTTCAAAAAAAATAGTATAAGCAAGCTGGCTGCTCCCAAAAACCCCTAATAACTGGAACACTGACCACTTATCATTCACCCACCTAACCACCTTGTAGGGAAAGGTACATCAACTTGCCATGGAACCCACCTGCCTGAATGACGAAACTAGGCCACAGTCTGCCACCAAGTGACCTCTCTGCAAATTGAGGAATACCATATGCACCAAAACCTACATTATAAGTTGTCATCAATTTACTCAAAAAGAAATAAGAGAAAGAAAACATACACCTCTTCATTTTGTACTGTTGTGTGTTTCTCTGCACACAATAAGAGGAGCTTTCCTTGAGCTTCTGGAAACTTGAGAGAGGAAGAGCAAAAAAACTAAAAGTGAAAATGCAGATCAGAGGCATAGCTCAACAATCTCCCCTGCTTTCCCTTCAAAACCCACGTTCAAATCTTGCCTCTCAACCTAGAGTGTGTCGGTTCAATCACAATGACCTGGGTTCACTAGCATTCAGGGTTCAGCAACATGGGTCTGGTTTTTCAGGTCAAAGTTTGAGACTTTTCCCCCTAATAGATGAAGGGGAGAAGAGATCTCTAGTGTTGCCTTATTGCATTGGTTCAAGCAACAAGCTTTTTGGAGATCATGAGCAGCCTGAAGGAAGTAGTAGTAGTAGTAGTAGTTTTGTGCCTAAAGTTGCATCTGCAGCAGATTTTAGTGGGGAGGAAAGAGGAGTGGAAGAAGAAGAAGAAGAAGAAGGGTTTGAGAGGCAGAGTTTGTGGAAGCAATTGAAACAGATTGTGGAGTTTTCAGGACCAGCCATGATCATTTGGCTGTCTGCTCCAGCTATGAGCCTTGTTGACACTGCTGTTGTTGGTCGTGCCAGTTCAATTGAGCTTGCTGCATTAGGTAAACACCATTTCTTCTTCTTCTTCTGGAAAATGAGGGTTTGAAACTTTTCTTGGTTTTGGGTTGGATTCATGGGTTTGATGACGGGTTTGATTTGGGGCACAGGACCTGCAACTGTGCTGTGTGACTATGTGAGACTTGTGTTTGTGTTCCTTTCGGTTGTCACATCAAACATTATTGCCGTTTCACTTGCCAGACAGGTTAGATTTTGAGAAATTCTCTCTCTTTTTACATCTTTTGTACCATTATCTTGACTTTTGTGATTGAGGCACCATGACAAGTAGGGGTAATTTTTGGACGAGGTTGTAAAAGTTGATGAATTACAGTAAGATCTAATATGAATTTGGGGTGGCAGGACAAAGAAGAAGTTCAGCACCAGATATCTATCCTACTCTTTGTTGGGTTGACTTGTGGGCTACTGTTGCTTTCATTCATCAAATTCTATGGTGCATGGGCACTTACTGGTAACTTAACCCAACTTGAATTCCTACTTTTTACTCTGATGAGATGATATGGTTAAACTTGTGAGTAAAAATTTCTCTGTTTTTTTTTTCCTGTTTTTTTTTTCTTCTGTTTTATCAGCTTTTGCAGGACCCAAGAATTCTCATATTGTTGCAGTATCAAATGGATACATTCAGATTCGAGCCTTGGCATGGCCTGCAGTTCTTGTTGGGTTGGTGGCTCAAGGTGCAAGGTGAAACACATTTTACTCATTCCCTGGAAAACATTTGGCCAAGCTGGAAAAACATTTTAGGAAACTGACAAGCTAAACTTCTGCATCATGTTTCTTGTTGTGTTACAGTCTTGGGATGAAAGATTCCTTGAGACCCATGAAAGCTTTGGCTATTGGTGGTATCTTAAATGCCATTGGTGATGTGGTCCTATGCAACATGTTAGGGTATGGGATTCGTGGAGCTGCTTTCGCTGCAATTGTCTCACAGGTATGCACACCTGTTTTTTGCTTGTTCTTAAATTTTCCTTGTTTTGGAGACTATGTTCGTGTTAATCGATTCTGGCTGTCAATTTTTATAGTTTGTTGCAGCTTATGTGATGATTGAAGGCCTGAACCAGAAAGGTTACAATGCATTTTCCATCAAGGTTCCTAAGCTTGACGAACTCGTTACTATACTTAGGCTTGGTACACCGGTGTTTGTGACAACAATGTCAAAGGTCTTGTCAAATTCCCGAGCTAGATTAGTCTTTTCTTTTCTCTCCCGCGATTTTGTTTTCTTCAACTAACTCTGATTCCCATATGGTTCAGATGGCCTTCTACTCTGTGATGATATACTTTGCAACCTCCATGGGGACATATTCTGTTGCAGCTCACCAGGTTCAGATACCTGTTTCTTTTATACTTCAGAGCTACTCTGAATGGAGTTGAATAATGATGGTGTGGAATAACAGAGCTTTCAACTTTTATTTAGGTCATGGTCCAAATATTCACCATGTGTGGAGTATGCGGCGAGCCTCTCTCACAGACCTCTCAATCATTCATGCCAGAACTGATATATGGTGTCAACAGAAACTTGGCCAAGGTTAGATGCTGTTGCCATATCTCTCTAGCAGGTACTCAAGTTATGCCTTTTACTCAAGAGTAGTCTAAAGCTGTTAATCTTGTGGAGACAGGCTAGAAGTCTGCTGAAGTCCATAGTTTCACTAGGGATGATAGTTGGATTGATTCTAGCCGCCATTGGAACTTCAGTCCCATTGTTGTTCCCAAACATCTTCACACAAGACCAAATGGTTGTTCGAGAGGTTAGTTAACTCTTCCTTCTACCATATATAATCATAAAAGAGCTTGTCAACTGAAACCAAAATGTTAATTTCCCACTTTTGCTATATATGATCCATATATACCAGATGCACAAGATAGTGGTACCTTACTTCATTGCATTGGCCATCACACCTTTCATTCAGACCCTTGAGGGAACCTTGCTGGTATGTTTTCGTTGTCGTCTACAACTTTAAGATGTTTCTTAGACATTAGAGATTATTCATTTGGTGCTGGCTTGATTCTTTGTGCATGCAGGCAGGGAGGGACCTCAGATTTCTGAGCATGTCAATGACGAGCTGCTTCTCTTTAGGCGCTGTGGTGCTCATGGTATAAAGATCCAAACTTTGAAGATGGGTATCCTTCCATGATCCATCATGTTTGTTTTGTTTTGGCCTAATGAACGACGCTTTTGGTTTTCACAGCTTGTGAGCAGCAAAGGGTATGGTCTACCAGGCTGCTGGTTTGCCCTTGTTGGATTTCAATGGGTAAGTAATAGAGCCATAGAGTTGGCATTTCAAGTTCTCATTCAAGCCACTACCTGGAACCAATTCTGATCAGTAAGCATATTTCAATTGCTTGCAGGCACGGCTTTTCCTGGCTTTCCGCCGGCTTCTGTCTCCCAATGGAATGCTTTACTCCGATGATCAAAGCAGATACAAGCTAGAGAGCCCGAAAGCTGCTTGAACTTTGAGCTATTACAGCGTTTCGACTAGAAAAGCTAGACACTTTCTTAGGCATCACATCATCCCAGCAGCCCTTCTTGCCCTGGAAAAGACATGGAAACATGAAGGAGTTGCCCAGACAGCAACCTTTGAGTCTGGGTTTTTGTTGGCAGCTGTATCTGTATCTATACTGTAACTGTCCAGAATGTAGACTGTATATATATATATATCATTCTGCACGTCTAATAAGATTGGTGTTTTTGACATAAGGAAATGGAGAAGTAAAAGAGACTGGAATGGAAGTTTGAAATTTTGGGGAGGAAGAGAATTTGGTTGCCGAAGTATGCCTTTTCTTTACCTTTTGCACCTGTCGATCAAAAAGGAAAGTAATTGGCTTTTAGTGTCCAGGTACGTTTGCTTTGTTCAGCGCAGGCAAATGTTGGGTATTTTAGGCCATAGAAACACCAATAGGGAGGGGATTGAGAACTGGAGGTTGAAAAGGAAGTGAAGTTGCAGACAATACTTGTAACCAATTGATCCCAGCCGTCGGTTCCTATTGGTGGCTCTAAACAAAAGTTCAAAACTTTGGCTCCAAAATTACGACTTCCCTTCCCGTCACTTTGCCCTTACATTACAACTCTCACCAACCGCTCTCCTTCCTCCAGGCTTCAAGTTCCAACCTTTCCACTAAAAACGGAAGGGAGAAATAAAAGGGTAGCCAAATACCTCTTTGTCTCTTAGGCAGAAAACCCAAAGCAGGCAGAAGAATGCAAATTCAAACCCTGTTCCATTCTTCCTCCAACACTCGACTCCACTCCCAAAACCCAAAAGCTGCAATCTTTACCAAAAGCCCATATCGGGTTTACTCTCCTAGGATCTTGCAATTGCGGCAGTCGCCTTTGCTACCCTCATCTTCATGCGTTTTGAGGTCAAGACATAGACTTTCGACATGCTGCATTAGCCCAGGCCAGGAACTCTTAGTCAATGGCGTGGTTGGAGAGGTTGAGAGTGAAGTTGTTTCAGTTCTTCCATCGTCCGAGGAAGAGGGAGAACCAGTGAGTGGGAAAGGGGTTGGATTGGAGAGCCAGAGCTTGTGGGAGCAAATGAAAGAGATTGCGATGTTCACAGGGCCTGCAGCTGGGTTATGGATTTGTACCCCTTTGATGAGCCTCATTGACACTGCTGTTATTGGACAAGGAAGCTCTGTTGAGCTTGCTGCTTTGGGTACTTCATTTTAACATGAACAATTGGTTTGTTTTATCTCTCTTTTTGAGCAATCATCATGGCCATTAAGCTTAGAATTGATCAAACAGGTCCTGGGACAGTTATGTGTGACAACTTGAGCTATCTGTTTATGTTTCTTGCCATTGCTACTTCAAACATGGTTGCCACTTCTCTTGCCAAAGAGGTCAGTTTTGTATTACTCAGTTGTGCAATCGAGATTGTACCTAGTAGGACGATAGTGAGCTCAAAGAATATTGATGGCTCAGGATAAAGAAGAAGTCCAATACCAACTATCCGTGTTGCTCTTTATTGGCTTGACTTGTGGCGTCATGATGTTCCTCTTTACCAAGTTCTTTGGCCCATCTGTTTTAGCAGGTAAAATCCAGAAGAGAATCACAAACGAGCTTTTCTGGGTTGTTAGTTTCACACCATTGGAGTTTTATCTCTTCTGCTTTTCCCTTGTTGTTTCTCAGCTTTTGCCGGTTCAAACAATTCACACATTGTACCTGTAGCAAATACTTATGTCCAGGTTGGTCCTTCTCTTCCTTTGATCTTTCTTACTTGCTTTCAGTCAGTCTAGCAGCAAGTTATCCTAGAAATGTCTTATTGGTAGATCCGAGGCTTGGCATGGCCGGCGATTCTTATTGGATGGGTTGCTCAGAGTGCAAGGTAAGAAAACTCATACAACATTACTTGAGACTTATAAGAGAATCTCACTTGGAATCTTTGTCCATGTCAGTCTCGGGATGAAGGATTCTTTAGGGCCATTGAAGGCACTGCTGGCTGCTACTGCTGTAAATGTTATTGGTGATATAGTTCTCTGCTCATTTCTTGGATATGGCATAGCTGGTGCAGCATGGGCGACAATGGCTTCACAAGTAAATATCTAAAGGTCTACAGAAATTCTGTTTTTGAACTGATCCTTAAAACTTTTATGCTTATGCATCACGTATGTTGATTTGTTTTACCCAGATCGTTGCAGCTTATATGATGATGGATTCACTCAAGAAAAAGGGGTTTAATCCATATTCCATTAGTCTTCCGACGATCGATGACCTAATGAAGATATTCGTGCTGGCTGGTCCAGTATTTGTTATGATGATGTCCAAGGTAAACAAGTAGTAATATTAATTTTGATTAGAGAGCTTTGATCTTTATCATCCTGTTGATACAAGGGTTGATGTGTGGATGTGATTTCAGGACAATAATCTTCCGAATGTTCTATTTTGTTCTTTCTTTTCTAGGTGGCTTTCTTCTCACTCCTAGTGTACTTCACTACATCTATGAGCACACTCACCTTGGCAGCTCATCAGGTCTTTTTTTATTCTACTCGTTCTTGCTTCGGTCGATTATGTCTTCTAGGCTTTTCAGTACTCACAATCTTTTCAAGCTCTCTCCCTCCAGGTTGCGATTCAAGCTTTCATGATGGGTACAGTCTGGGGAGAGCCGCTTTGTCAAACTGCACAGTCCTTCATGCCTGAACTGCTCTTTGGAGTGAACCAAAGTTTTTCAAGGGTAAATCTTGAAACAACTTCCAAAAGTTATCCAATGACGTCTTTTTAGAATATGCATTGTCATGTTGTTCGGTTACTTGGGGAACAGGCTAGGATGCTGCTGAAATCGCTGATGATCACTGGAACAATCCTCGGAGTATCATTGGGAGTTCTCGGAACTTGTGTTCTTTGGTTCTTCCCCAACATCTTCACCCCTGATTTGGAGGTCATAAGAGTGGTCAGTCCCATGTACACCTTCATTCAAGCCATAATTTGGTGCTGAGGAATTTGTTCAGATTCAGAAAGTCTAAACCATTTCCATCCACAATGTTTACTTCTCCCATGCAGATGCACAAGGTTTTGATTCCATATTTTCTTGGACTTTCTATAACACCTTGCATTCTCAGCCTTGAAGGCACATTGTTGGTATGGCTCCAAAATTTCGCACTACTGGATTGAATGTTAACAGTATAGCGTCATTTGATGTTCCCTTCAACTTGTGCAGGCTGGAAGGGATCAGAGATATCTTGGCCTGACAATGAGCGGATGCTGTACACTGGCTACATTAGGATTGATGGTAAAAAAAACCTTCTCTCCACTGGATTCTCATTGACACACTCTAATTTACTAAACAGACCAGTTTGGTTTCTCTCTGTTTCCAACCAGTTCGTTAGCAGCAGAGGCTATGGCTTACTGGGCATCTGGTTCACAGTAGTTGGTTTCCAATGGGTATGGCTCTCTCATAAAAAGACATCCAAACAAGGACAACCTTCTCTGCAATATGATTTCTGCAACTCATTTTCTGGGTTCTTTTCCTTCTGTTTGAAACTTTTTGCAGGCTCGATTCTTCCTAGCACTCCAACGCCTTCTTTCACCAAGTGGCATGCTTTTCTCTCAGCAGCAGTTGAGTCGTTATGAAATGCAGGAGTTGAAAGCGGCTTAGCTTAATATTTTATCAAAAGTTTTAGTTTTGGACTTAGCATACATGTCAATCTGTAAATATACTGTTGATGAAAAGTTCTTTTACCTTGTTCAGAAACACAGCTACGGCTCCCATCTCAACTTAGTTGAGGGAAAACAAACGCAACGACAAAGATTTAAGAAGTACAATTTTGCATTTCATTCATTTGGCTCAAGTACATAGTATAACCATAAGGCGAATTCCTGAATCCCCTGTTTCTCTGGTATACAGAATCAGTAGTCCAAAAACCATCCACATGGTAACAGAAAGCTTTATCTAAGCATAGACGCAAAAAATGATGAATGAGGTGATCTGAAACATCAAACCAACCTACTTCATCCCATCCATCCCAGCTTTCTTTACTGAAAGATGCATCTCAGCTAACGAATTTGGACCGTCACCTTCTCGATTTCTACCATTAAAGTATCGATTCTTCAGTGGACAAATCTCCATCAGTAAGGTCACAGGAAGCGGCTGTTCCCTCGACGTCCACGCCCGTTCGTTTTCGGTTCATAGGAATCGTGCTCAACCTTAAACGGTGGCCTGAATGTTGGTTTGTTCGATGCCCTCCTTACATACATTTTCCGATCCTGCCTCCTCTTCTCTTCTGCCTTCATTTTGGAAATGCTCGGCCGATATATGATCACCGTTCGACCAATTTGACTGACCACAATGGAACCAGTTAGTTTCACCAGATGCTGCACCACGTCCTCCATCTCGCCTGGACATGTTCTGTGTATTTTAATCTGTTCATGTAGAGCAGATCAACCAAACTGATCAGTAAAATACTAAAATGTCATAACATGAAGTAACTCAGAGCTACAAGCTAGAACAACAAGAAGCTAATGGGATGCCAATAACTCATTCATAGAACAAGCTTTGAGTGCCGACCTATCTCCAAGTGACCAAACAGATTCAGCAATCTTTCAAGGATATTACTCGAGAAAACCCAATTCTAAGAGCAATTTATGTGAAATCGAAAACAGCTTCTCCATTCTATGAATGCCTACTCTGCAGAGATAACTTGAAACAAATGGAATCCACATCATCCTGATACCACCACACAGAAGCTCATACAAAGAATCTTGATACCAACTCCACACACAGAACGGCTGTCCACTGGTTTTCCTGGGAAATCAACAAAAGCAATTCTCCCCCCAAAAGTTTCCTAGCCGCCATACATAACAGCGGAACAGATTCATAAACAGATAACACTACTAATCTACTATGCTATTTAGCCTATGCAAGTAATGGCATAAACTCCAGAAGTAAACCAAAGACTGTAAATGAACAAAGAGGGGTTCTTTTTTGGATTACCTTGAGGAGTTCGTTGGCTTCAAGGGTCTCGATGAAAGAGGTGGCGACATTATCTGTGACACCAGACTTGCCTACTAATTGGGACTTGAGCTTATCCCCCAATCCATGGGCGTAGGAAGCCAACTCTTTCTTCTCCTTCACACTCAATTTGGGCAGGCTGGCTTGTTCAATTCCCTTCGACCCACCACCGCCGCCATTGTTCACTTCCAGCTCCGCACTCAATATCTCGCCATCCCCTTCTTCCTCTTCTTCTTCGTCGTCGGAATCAAGCTCAATGTCATCGCTAAAACCCTCGTGGGCGTCGCCTTCCTCTACCTCGTATTCACCATCATCTTCTTCGTATTCCTCTTCTTCTTCTTCATCAAACGTCAGAGCCGGCGAGACGGCGGATTGAGGAGGGGAACAGAAGGAATGAGTGGATAAGAAGAGAGCGGAATGGGATGGGAGAGGAGAAGCGGCGGCGGCGGCAGAGAAGAGGGTGATGGGGGTTTGCCGGCAACGGCGGTCATAGGGACTAGGTTTTGAGCTCGCGGCGGCGGAGCGAATTGACCGGAAGAAGAAGCAAGGGGGAAACGGCGGCTGCCGTGGTGCTGGGTGGAGGAGTCGCTGGAGGATGTGGGTAGTAGTAGTGGTGGAGGAGGTCATCGCCGCCGCCATTACAGTTTCGCTATCGGCTTATCCTATTCCCAGCTTCAGCTCTTCCTCCTTCACAACATTCCGAAAAACAGAGTGTGATTTTCTTCTTCTCCCATAAAGTGAAAATCAGCTTTCATCACCGTTTTGATCCTTGAGATGTTAATTTTTTACATTTTAACGCAGACAACTTTTTTGTGGTAACATGCATAACTCGGTCACTAAACTAGTCTTTCTTAATTTAAGCCACTTTAAGTTGTTAACACACTACTATTTCAACTATAATTTTCAAATGAAAAGTTATAGGCTGGTCTTTTACTCATTTGGTTGAGGAATTTTTTTTTGTAGAAATATGAAGACAGAAAATTGTAAGATTGTTGATTGATAGTAAAATCTACATTTGAGTCGAGATGCTAGGGTAGTATATCAGATTCAACGTATTCTAATCGATCTTTGATATCAATACATAAATCAACATAGTTTTGCATTGGTATATGATTGGTATCCGGTTATACATTGACTTGATGTACATTACAATGTTATAGTCGTAAGAAATTAATTAGTTTTAATAATTGAAAAAAGTTCAATTGTTTTTTTTTCAAAGAAAGAAGTTCAATTATTAATCTTATATCATTTATCAATATCGGTTTAAGAGCGATTTAGTATTGCAATCCTTGGACTTGGTGTACCATTGTTGATCAGTGGCATCCTCGTCAGCATCTTACTAATGTAAATGAAGGAATATCTAACGACGATAAAGTTTTTAATAAAAGTGGCTAAATTTGTCAAAAATGTTTCTAAAATCTGAACATTTTGTGTATCTCTAAGAAGTTGACTATTATTATTATTTTGTTGATAATTATAACTATACAAGTGGATTTTGCATCTAACAAACAAACAACAAACTTTTAAAATCCACAACCGAACAAATCCATCATAAATTCTTAATTTTTCAAAACCTTCATTTTAACCAAATCCCTCACTTTTCAAATCCAAGACCTGAGTAGGATTTTTACTGTTGACAGAATGCTCAACTAACATTATAACTGTAAAAAATTTTACTCATGAATTATTCAGGTGAGTGCCTAATGGGGTAAACTGATGAAGAGGTCACTTTGTTTTCACACTACTTTTTGACTTACCTTATGTGAATGTACAGAAGATAGAAAAAGGCAGAGGAGAAGAAGAAAAGGAAGGAAGAAATAATTGCAGAAGCAGAATCATTATGCATACCATTAGAATGCATCATTAGCCAAGATCATGCGTACAAATTGCTACATTACTGCCTAAGGAAACACTTTGGACCAAATTTCTTTTCCTATCTACTTCCCTACACCCTCCATGCTCAATCATTAACCACACCAGAGTAGGCCACAGCATCTGTTCCAAAAGTCTAACCCATTTGTCTTCTTAAGCAACAACAATAACCATTAAGATGAACAAGAAGAAGAAAAAAACATACATATCTCAAGAGATCATGGCACTTCAGCAACACATTGCAGCTTATGGTGACAAGCTTCTTGCAGCTTTCTTCCTATTACTGTTGTTTCTTCACTTGTCTCATTCTTCTGCTCACATTGAAGGAGCAAGCCTTCCTCACATGACTTCAGATGCCAGTGAGATAGCAGGAAAGTCCTACGACTACATCGTGGTAGGCGGAGGCACTGCCGGCTGCCCCCTGGCTGCAACCCTCTCCGAGAAGTACTCGGTGCTCGTCGTGGAACGTGGTGGCTCGCCATATGGCAACCCTTGGATAACCGAGAAGCTCTTCTACGGCTTCTCGCTGCTCCAAACCGATGAGTTCACATCAGTTGCTCAGGCATTCGTGACCGAAGATGGAGTTCAATGCCACAGGGGAAGGGTGCTGGGAGGATCGACGGCTATCAATGGAGGGTTCTACAGTAGGGCTAGTGGTGATTTCGTGAGAAGAGTGGGTTGGGATGAAGAGCTGGTGAAGGAAGCTTATGAATGGGTGGAATCTGAAGTTGTTTCGAAACCGGAGCTGACCATGTGGCAGGCTGTTGTCGAGTTTGGACTGCTTGAAGCTGGGATTCTTCCTTACAATGGGTTCACCTGGGAGCACGTTGAAGGGACGAAGATCGGCGGGTCCACGTTCGATGCTTGGGGGAAAAGGCATACCTCTGCAGATCTTCTGCAGATGGGGAACCCAGAAAACATCACGGTTCTGTTGAATGCAACTGTAAAGAGCATCATATTCAATGGCAGTGGTAAGAAGAAGAGTTCCTCCTCTAGCCTCTTTGTTCTATTTAAGCTTATTATTTCACCTTTTTTTTCTATATTCTGCGTGTTCCCTTTGAATGATGCAGGAGATGGAAACAAGACAATTGCTCGCGGTATTACATTCATAAGTAGCAGTGGCGACGGGAACCAAACTTATGATTATGAAGCTTATCTCAACCACCATGGCGGCGATGTGATATTGTCAGCTGGAGCTTTAGGCAGCCCACAGATCCTTCTGCTGAGCGGCATTGGACCCGAAACCCATCTCAGCCAACTCGGCATCCCAGTCGTGTTGAACTCGAGCAAGGTTGGCCACGGAATGAAAGACAACCCTGGAATCGCACTCCTGGTCGACTCCAAACCAGAAAGCCGATTCCCTGACGCACCACAAGTTGCTGGGATAACAAAAGGATTCGAATTCATAGTCGAAGGCGGCATCTTGCCAGTGAGCTTCAACACAACAAGGATCCCCGTAGCAGTGAAGCTAGCATTCCCAGAATCCAAAGGCAAGCTGGAACTGAACACCACAGACCCGAGAAGAAACCCTGTGGTGTCATTCAATTACCTGAAGAAGGACAGAGACATGGATCAATGTGTGAAGATGGCTCAGTTGCTGAAAAGGGTTGCTGGGTCGCCTTCTGTGGCGATTTTCCTTGGCTACGTACCTCAGAACAAGAACTTCTTCTTGTCGAGTTCTGATGAAGAGATGAGAGAGTTCTGCAGGAAGAATGTGAGGACCTTTTACCATTACCATGGCGGGTGTGGTGTTGGATCGGTTGTTGATGAAGATTACAGAGTGTATGGAGTTGATGGCTTGAGAGTTGTAGACGGGTCGACATTTCTGGAGTCGCCTGGGACTAATCCCATGGCTACTCTCTTGATGCTTGGTAGATATCAGGGGGTCGAGATTCTCAGAGAGAGGGGAGAGGTATCGTACTGAAATTCTAATATGATCAATGTGTGTTTCAGCTCAATTTCATGAATAACCCAACTGTCAATCCAGTATATATATCCATAGAAAGAGAAGAATTAAGAAGAAACAAAAGAAGCCTGAAAACTTTTTTTGTTTTGTAGATTAACTGCAAACCATTCCATATTCTTTAGTATCAAGCCAAAACCTGTAGGTGTTCATTGCTTTACTCGGCGTTCGGGTAACCCTTCAAGGCCAGCAATGCAGCTCCATAAGCAGCTTCAGTCTGCATTGCCCGGCTGACAGGGACGCCGATTACTCTCTCCCTGATCTGCATCCACTTCTCGTTCTTCGCTCCGCCTCCTGCTGTGAACACTTGTTCAACTCCACTTGCTCCCATGTCTCTCAACAAGTTGTATGCTTTTGCCTGTTAAACAACAGAGGAACGATGATGTGAAAACACAGATATATGATCAGGCAGCAAATACGGAAAATGTTGGACGAGTAAATAGGTATACCTCGATTCGTGCAATGGATTCTAGAATGCCATGCAAATACTCAACATCGCTTTCTGGTCTCGGATGCAGCCTGCATAGATATGCCCCTTAGATTGGATGGACTTGAAAGATCACTTAAAACTGTTAGAATGTGTGTCCTTCACTCGGAGAACACATCATCTGAAATCACAGGTTCCATAAGTTCTATCTGATGTATAACCAAGAAATCTGCAAAACGCTGCATCCACTGTTACCTCGGAGCCATGTCAGGATCAGCCACGGGAAACCTTTCACCAACAACTTTGAGTGGGTAGTAATCGAGAGAAGAAGCTTCTGCAGGATTTATCTGTTCGCTCAATTCCTCTAGCTGCCCATCAGAGAACAGTTGTCTGAGAACAGCCCCGCCGGTATTTGATGCACCTCCAACGAGCCATTTGTCCTCCAGGCGATGGCTGTACACACCGAACCGTGCATCCTCGATCCTCGTATTGCTCAGTAACTTAATAGCCATAGTTGAACCCAGAGAAGTAACCTGAAGAGGGAAAGACTATAACTTCAGAGAAGGAGCTAATGGTTATTATGTAGAAGAGGGTCCATAGTTCTCAAACTTACAGCTTTCCCTGGTTCCGTTGCCCGTGCTGCAAGAAAAGCAGCTATACTATCTGTTGTGCCGGCACATACAACACAATCCCCTGGAAATCCTGTCACGACCAAATGGATTTCACCGTGGCAGCCATAATTGCAGAACCAGAAGAATGCCATATAAGCAAGAGGAAATATTTACAAGTCAGAATACTAGGAAATGGGTCTGTTCTGAGGTTGAAACCTAAAGTAGTTTATAACTCAACTACACTGCAGTAACCTCCTCAGAAAGTAAGCATACTGCCTGAACCACAGAATCTCATTCTTAACCTACATCTTGCCAGAGTCGATTCATTCAGGATCCTATTCTATAGTTTTGCAACAAGGAATAGGGCACTAAAGGAATGACCAACAGAAATCCGTATACTGCAGCTGTTCTTCCTCTTCCACAATTCGAAGTCTACCATTGTCAAGAAAACTAGGTAAAAGACCAAGTAACCAGCTGCTGTCAGAAGATAATAGCTAATAACACATACCAAATTGAGTTCTGATATCATCCTTCAAGTGGCCAATGGAAGCTCCAGGAGCTGAAACAGAAGGCAACAGTTTCGCATACGGCTGACTGAGCAGCCATGGAGGATAGGATTCCGACTCAGGATCATAGCCAACCTGTGCAACACAGCAAATCAATAATCCAAACCATCGTCTACCAAGGAAAGAAGCTTTTCCACATGGATCATAAAATGTTCCACCAGCAGAAACCCAAAACCTTGAGAGCATTGTTGTAATCTGTGACTCCAATCTTCCCATGAAGAAGCCACAACAGCCAATCTGCTTGGTGGAGTAACAACGCAGATTCCTTCCTCGGACCATCGATATTCCACCATGAGACAAGCTTGCACAAGGTCGACGATCCAGAGCAGACTGTATGAGTTGGAGGAGCAATGGATTTCACAATCGGCAAAGCATCAGGACAGCTCTCATTGTAAAGGAACGGTCTCCATATCGGCTCTCCAGTGTTGCTGTGATATTTCAGACCGTTATCTACTTAGGAGCACAAGAACCACGAAGAAACATATAGCATAGCAAGTCTTGAGACATCTTTTCACCTGTCCACAATGATCGTAGTTGCTGAAGTGCCATCGATGGAAATAGAAGCAACGAGCGACCTGAGATGACTTGGAACATCTTCTAGCAGCGAGAAGAGTGTCGTTCTCCATGAACGAACCCAATCCATTGTTTCTTCTTCATTCTTCCTAGACAACCCACAAACAAGATGCAAACTTCATAACTAAAAACCGACCGGGTCCTCTACATTTCATTATTAAGTTCCCTACCCAGCTATTGCCAAGTCAAAAAGTTGAAGCCTCAGAAATAACAGCACAACAGAAACAGTTTACCTTGTAAATTGGGTATTCCCTTTTCCCTTCAGAATGAAGCGTCCCTTGTTTGTCTACAACAGCATATCTCGCACCAGAAGTTCCAAAATCCATACCCAGGTAGAGCCTTTCTTTACTGCCATGGTTCAAGGAAGCCATCTCCACCCGCACTGTTCGTCGTCTATTTACACTTCTGTTCCAACTGCAAATCCGAGCTGCTGCTGAAACATGGGTCAATGTTGTTATAAACTAAGGTGGACAACTTTCAAGCTCCTTGGAGCTGGGAAAAACAGAGAGGAAGAAGAAGGTTACCACGTACTGAAGATGGCTCGCCGTGGGAAAACGCGAAGGTCAATGTGGCTGCCGGAGGAGCGATTGTGGCTGTGGAACCGATGGCCATGATGCTGTATCTCTTTCGCTTCTATCCAAACGTGAAACAGAAAGTGGATATATGTGGCTAACGTTGTTAAAGATAACAGCTTTTCATAGTTAGTTATCCATTGTCCCGTAGGCCGTAGCTTCTGCTTACGTCATCAAGGCATCTTCTATTCTTCTCTGCATTTTTCTTAAAATTTAATAAATTTTGATACTTTTTTGACGATTTTTTTCATGTAACCATTTAGATATTTCACACCAACAAGAACGAATATGCAGTTCCGTCAACACGAACATTCAACATATGACAATAGCACATTGATAGACAATGAGGGAATATCCAACCAGACTAATTCAATGAGGAATCGAACTAGTCGCGGAGGTAGTCATATACAGTGAAGTCATCGTACAAGAGAGTCCAATCCTCAGAGTAATGAAGAAGGAAATAACAATTCTCGCAGAAGTAGCAGGGATTATAACTCGCCAATTTGTCATTCACCGTCACCTTTTTAGCTCTAAATATGTTGCAGACGTTGCATTTCTGCAGGCGTGATTTCAGTCGAAAGCTCTCGATTGGATAAGCAGATCGATTCTGGGTGTCATCAGGATGAATCAACCTCATGTCTCTTATGACGACTGTATGCTTGCATTCTCCCTGCCACAAAAAAACAAAAATACACTTACCACGACTAAAAGAGATGGCAGCCTGAAGGAAGGTTGATAATTAATCACTTCAGTACAGGGGGAAGCTTATACCTGATGACAGTATAGATATGGAGCACCTAGCCGAAACCTTAAATCACAAAAACGGAGGGATTGCATCTCGGTGCGTCGGAATCCAGGTACTTTTGAAGGTGGCATCTTATCTAAAAGAGCTTTTTGCTTGCGTTTCATGTCTCCTCTTATAATGTACTCCCATTTTTTATTTACCTCTTCTTTCGAGTTCCTAAGCCAGTCGAATATAGGCTCACTGTAATCTATTGAAATGGTTTCCCTCAGATCATTGCAGAACAAATCCTATAGAAAGAGCACAGCAGCATTCATCAGCTATATTCTTACAACCAGTTCAATTTTCCTAATGATTATATGAATCTGGAGCAAGTGGAATACAACTTACCTCTATAAGGAAATATCCTGAAGGATCATAATGCCCCGTCCTTCTCATCATCTCGTCATTCCTGCAAACGATCTTGTCCTTTAGTTCTGTCAAACATTGTCGTCCTAGCACCAAAAACTCTTGGGTCTGCGAAAATAAAATAATTAATGGTAAACCCACTGACGGAAGTGTAACATAAAGTCAAACGTTATAGAACACATCACTAGAGAATCAGGGAAGGCTACCTTTTGCGATTCATTAACATTGTGGTACACCTCCACAACAAGGATTACCTCAGGCAGCTGCACAGGTACTTCTTGTTGAATATCTGAGGTCCTCATGAGCTGTGCAATTTGAACAGGAGAGAAAAGAGTAAATGAGAAACATCACAATTCAAAAGAATGGAGGAACAAGATTTTCAGTGACCACCAGAAGAAAGATAAATGTTAGCAACATGATAAATAAAAATACATCAAGATGGGACATTCTTGAGAGATGAGACTACCTTCATATCTGAGTTGACAGATCTCAGAGATTTCATTCTTGTGACACTCTCCATGAATGCATTAGAACTCTGGTTGGACTTGCGACCAGCACTAGATTAAAACAATGAGGCACAGTAAGTATAATACCAGAGGATGATGCATTTATTGGAGTAAAAAAAATCCACAAACCTAAGGGAATGCAATTTAGCGGTTGCTTTTTCTTCATCCTGCTTCTGTTTTATTTTCAGTAGCTCATCAACTTTAGCAGGGTAACTCTCCTGGACAAGCAAGATCGCATATTCAGTAACTTGGATGAAAGCATATAATAGAAATGCTAAGTTCAAATTGGGAGCTTGGGGCGGTCACCTAGCAAAAAAGAAACGGTAAGTCCCATTGGAGCACTTCTTTATCTAACTTTAGTGAAGAATATACAGGAGGAGGAGAAGTAGCCAATCCTTTTAAGTGGTCTTGAATATGGCAGAAAAAATCTAAACACCACGAAACTAAATTGGTTAAATATCCTATGATTTACCAGGTGATAACCATCAGTTATAGATAAGTATACCATCCTTCTCTATCCAAAACTTCCAAACTTCAAGTTAGTGTTGTCTCGATAAAATATTCACATGCTTGAAGAACTTACTTCTGCACAACGAGACTTCACTGTGTCTTTCTTTCTCTTCCTGGACTTCTTGTCACCTTCCCTAGTGTCGCTACTGTCAACATTGGATACTAAAGAAGCTGAAGTACCACCTCCTCTCTGGGAGCTTCTTGACCGAGTTTGCACCCCACTCGACACAAGATCACTTTCCGCTCTGAAAGACAACAACACAATTAACTTGGGAAAAGGATGACATGAAACAAAGGTACTATACCCGCATAGTAATACAGCATATATGCAATTATATCTGAAGTTTCACTAACATAAGATGCATGGATACCAATACCCAATGTGCACAAGCTTTAAATTAGTCATTTCAAAGCAGCCATTGGAGAACCATCGATTTTATTGAAGATATGAAATTCCCACTCCGTACTCAAGGTTTCTGATAATAATCATTCAACTACACAAGTAGGGGGATCGTAGCTAGTGAAAGCAAAGATGGGTTCACCTTTCATTCAGCTGTGGTTCAGACCGTTGCGACGAACTTACGCTCTCCCCTTCATCCTCCTGTGAGAAATAACCAAAAGAGCAATGGTGAGAAAGATAGGGGGGAAAAAAGAGAAACATAGCACCAGAAGATGCTAAAAGAACATACTTTAAAAACTTCCCCGAATGCCATCTCCACCAACTCCTCAGTGCTTAGAATTTTAATGTCATCAACCCTTCAAATTATCCAAAATTATTGTTCGTGTGAATTCACAGTTAACTATAAAAAAAACAAACTTTCCAACCAGAGGAAGAAAGAAAAACATCAATCAAGAAAGAAGGCGGGAAAAGTACGTGATATCATCGTCATGGCAAGCCTCAGAAGAATCAAAATCTAACTCGTTCTTCAACCGCTGCGCCAAATCAAACCAGCTAATCAGCTTCCCTACGCAATTCACAAGTTCAACCAGCCCGATAAGAACAAAGAGCGAGAGAGATAGAAAAGAAGACCTGGAGCTCGCTGAGAATGGCATCTTCGAATTCGGGGACTCGAGTGAGGGGACTGACCAAATTCGGCGTAAACAAAGGTCCGCCGCGAGCAATTAACAGAGGCGGCGGCGGCCCGCTAGTCTGTTCCCAGTCTTCCTCCTCCTCCGCCACTTCGTCGCCGTGTTCTCTAAACTCCACTGCAGACTCGGCGTCCATAGTTTGCTCAAACAGTTCGCTCCTGAAAGCGAATCAACCAAGGATTCCAAAAGCACTGGACGGCGTTCGGCGGCAATGTCTCCTTTTTGGAATCGGCGTGTCCCAAAGAACTCGACGAACTGCTTCCAGTTAGAAAACGAGGGGGGAAATCATCTGATCGGGTTCCCAATTGGGCTGAGGCCCAAAGGAATGACGAACCGGAAAAGAATAAATTTTTAAGGGAAACACAAATCTGACAACCCAAGCCCAGTCGAGCCCAGCCCAATGGGCAATATATTTCAACCAAGTAACTGCAGGTGGCATCTTCTCCATTCCTAAACCCTAGACAGAGCTCCCGCTGCCCTGAACTCTCCAGCGGCCAACGCAGTTTTGCCAAATTACAACTCTGCTTCTGCTAGCTTCGCTCTTCTCTCTGTCTGTTCTTCGCGTTCGTCTCGCGTCTCCTCCTAAGGTTCGTGGGTCAACCCCTCGGAAACCTGCCAGCTCTTCGATTTTGCTTTTATTCGTTTGGTTTCCAGAAAATGCATGTACAGAGAGTCATCGCAGCTTTGCAATGGTTTAAACGGTTGATGAACCTCCCGCTAGAGCTTCCTAGCCATATCATTTCCGTTTCTTCGTTTTGAGTGTTTACAGCGAATTCCACTTCATCTTTGGCATGAAAGCTGGGTGAATTAGGTTACTTTGCGTCTCTGTTTTCTTTAGCAGTAATTAGGTTAATTTGTCATCGTCTAATTGAAGAGAATCCCTGATTTTGTCTGTGTAATTTTGGTTTCAGTCAAGGCAGACTGCACCCTTTTCATTGCATAGGTTATATCTGGAGGGTATAGATTATATTATGGGACTTGTCTTTGTTGTTTTTAATGGAACCTGTAGTTTTTGAGGCTACGCAATTGAAGCTTTACATTTGGGAAATGCATATGGTGCTCGGTTGCTGGATCACTTTTGTGATAGATTGAAATTTTAAGCTTATAGGGCTTCAGCTTGTATGATGATCTACTTATATACTTGAGATAAATGGCAAGTAGTAGAGTTTTTGCTTGGATAACTGTTAAGTGTAGTGATTTTACACTTTTTGATCTTTTCTGCGTTTGATCTATCAATGCAGTGCTGTTAATATGTATACCGCTAAGCAGAAGATTCACAAGGACAAAGATGTGGAACCTTCCGAGTTTGAGGAGACTGTTGCTCAGGTATTGAAGAAGAAAGACGCTTTTTTTAGCAAGTTCCATTAACCTGAGATACATTGATTCGTAGTAATTTGTTTTGTGTTTCATTCATGCAGGCTTTCTTCGATTTGGAGAATAGCAACCAGGAACTGAAAAGTGAGATGAAGGATCTTTACATCAACTCTGCAACGTGAGAATCCATTGGTCTCTGTGTTGAAAAGATTGAAAATTTCTTGCTTTGCTTGCTGATGATAATCATTGGTTGTTTGTTGTCCTGCAGCCAAATCGATGTCACTGGGAGCCGGAAGGCTGTTGTGATTCATGTTCCATACAGGCTTAGGAAAGCCTTTCGAAAGGTTCACCTTCGACTTGTGAGAGAGCTCGAGAAGAAGCTCAGTGGGAAGGTAACTGAACTTGTCATTTCCGTGCCACTATGTGTGCATTTACACTTCGGTTATCTTTTTTTCTTTCCCGTTCTAGAAAGTAGAAACACTTCGATTATCTTTCTCGTTGATGGTTCCACAGAAGATTAAGTCGGCACTATTTTTTCAGGATGTCATTTTGATTGCGACCAGGAGGATAGTAAGGCCACCCAAGAAGGGTTCAGCTGCTCAAAGACCACGCAGCCGCACGCTCACCGCTGTGCATGAAGCTATGCTGGAGGACATTGTGATGCCCGCTGAGATCATTGGGAAACGCACCAGATACCGCCTTGATGGATCCAAGATCATGAAGGTAATTTAGACTCTTGTTGATTGTCTAAAGCAAACAAACAAAATGAAAGATGTTGCGGATTCCCTGAACTCATTTTGTTGTCATCTCTTTTCCACTCAGGTATACCTGGACCCAAAGGAAAAGAACAGCACCGAATTCAAGCTAGAGGCCTTCTCCAAGGTTTACCGAAAGCTTACCGGCAAGGATGTCGTCTTTGAGTACCCTGTTACTGCTGAGGCATGAGGAGGTTATAGCTAGCTAGCTAAGCTCTTTTGTTCGTTCGGGAATTGCCACCGTATATTAAGACTTCCTCTTTTGAGGATATGGAACTTCTGTTTTTTCTGCTATTTATCGCCGATTCTGTGTGTTCATGTTTACATCGTTCATGAGACTCTCTATGATGGTTGTTGACAGAATGATCTTTGTGTTAAGTTCCTGTCGAACGACTGGCTTAGCACCTTTGGACAGCGCTGCCATGTTAACCCAAGCTGTTGCGAGGAGGTAAGAACCGAATGGTTCAGTAGTGAAAGACTGAAAGATATCATAGGATCGAATCAATTGTGCATGCGGTTCAGATTGGGTCGATCCAAATATCAATTCGGTATCAAGGATCGGTTGTGTGCGTTCAGGTATGGATCAATCTGTTTCATGCCCCCTAGTTGTGAGTTGGGACATGGATCTGGTAGTTTATGTGTTGGATTACACTTTTGGTTCGACTCCCTGAAACCAAATCAGCGAAGTATAGATGGTGGACCAAAGGAGTCTTGTAGCCAGAAATGTTGGGAGGAAATGTGAGCAGAAGTGCACGTGAGCCAGTTGTAAATAGCACTCGACAGATCAGAAAAGGTGGAGGAGGGGATGATGCTTTGCTCTTCAGCTATAAGCTCCATTTCCTCTTGATTGATCCCTCTGCTAGGGCCAAAAGGTGCCAATGCCCAATACAGCTCACAATACCACCATAGCTATGGGAGGAGAGATTCAATTCTTTTTTTATTTATTTATTTTATCGTTTAGTACGAGAGAAATCTCGTCGGAAGTTAGAGTCTCGTCAGAACCCTGCAATCTCCGTAATTGGAGGTTTCGATAGCCGATATTCCCGCAGCGTCAAGTCATTGGATCTTCTCCCCTAATTTCTCTCTGTCGAAAACGTCTTCCTAACTGACGATTTCGATTGTCGATATTCTCACAACCTCGCATCATCGAAGCTTCGCCCCTAATCTCCATGCGACAACAGGATGACGGCGGTTGTAAGGGGGACGTTGTAGATTCCGGTTGAAAAGGTTCACAGTAATCTAATTACTAAGAAAAGAGTTTCGACGAATGGTTAAAACATGGCGTGAAGTATTTGTGTTGTTTGGAGATCGAACAAGGAATCGACGGTTGGATTGGAATTCGGACGAGGTGGAAATGGACCACCATATCAAGAAGGGAAGGTCTAACGTGCCAATCAACACCACCCTACTACTAAGGTCTAACTAAAAAAAACAGAATTGTTGTATAGTGGTGGGATGATTTACCAACTCACTAATCCATCTCTCTAGCTAAGTGGGGCAAAAAAAGAAAAAAAAATGTTTTTTTGACTTGGGTTGCACTCCACCATCGACGTCTGGTCTCACATGCTTATAGGAACCAAGAGAATAATTGGACGTACGAATGGATCATGTCTCGGCCCCATTTCCAATGATTCACTTGACAAAATACTTCATTTTCATGTGCTCTATCTAACCACAAGTCGAGTTTTGTTCCCCCCGCAGATGCTAAGGACCGTTTTACGACGGCTATGTGGCTGTAAGCTAATCGGTGTTACGGTGTTAACGTATTGGGTTTAGAATGTTCTAATGTGCTCGGGAACCGTTGGATCGCGCATTTGCAATCTACATCTATTGAATTATTGTTAGGACGTTCTAATCTCAATAGTCGTTCAAAACTGCGGTTTGAATTCGTTGTGTGCCGCGTGTTGGCTATAATTAGAGGGCGGCAAAATGAATTGGATTGGTGGAATTATGGATCCAGCTGACATCTAACCAGTGTACCATTATGATTTTTTTTTTAAAGGTACTGGATATCATCATAAAAATATTTATGTGCCAAAACATCGTTTTCTAATTATATTTTTCACTAGAATTTAAAATTTATGGCACGTTTGCTTGTTGGATTTGAAAATGAGGGTTTTAGGTTCTAAAACCTTTGGATTTATGATGGATTTGTTGCATTATGGATTTGGAAAAGCACATTGTTTGTTTGGTTCATTTTTATCATGAATTTATGATTAATTTGTCTCGCAACTTTGCCTTCCATTATCAAATCTCAAGGCCTTGTTTGCTTAGGGCTCGTTTGCGTCGTGGATTTGAAAAATGAAGGTTTTGGTATAACTTGGGTTTTGAAAAACCATGAATATATGAGGGTTTTAGGTTCATTATGGATTTGATAAACACCACTGTTTGTTTGATGGATTTCATGATGGATTTTGTTAATTAAATTTGTATGTATGAAGTGTAATTTACTTTTACTACCCTCAATGATAGAAGAAGAGAAAGCAAATATGAAGAGTAGGTTGGTAAAAAATGATGGACTTCAAAGTCCATAATCAATTCCCATCTAAATAGGTGAAACTTTAAAGTCCGTGGGGTCCACGGATTTGGTACCTTAAAATTCGTGGGACCCACGGATTTGTTTTTCCTAAATGCATGAAGCAAACAATGGATTTTGAACAAAGTCCATGATGGATTTAAATCCCTCACAAAATCCATCATCAAATCCATCAAGCAACACAAGCCCTTAATGGATTTCATCATGGATTTGGTACATAAAAACCAATCATCATGGACTTTGCACACAATCCATCGTTTGCTTGAAACGTGGGATTTGCAAATTCATGGGGTCCACATATTTGAATCTAAAAAAATGGTCCAAATTCGTGGCCTCCACGGATTTGTGTCCCTTAGCAAACAATGGATTTGTGTCAAGCCCTTGATGATTGGGATTCGGGTGCCAAATCCATCAAACAAATCCCACAAGCAAACGATACCTAGTTATCAATTTGTAAAATATACAATATATAGGTAGTTAATTGCAATTTTACATGAATTAGCCAACTTATCTGAATTAAATGAGTTGTATTAATTAAAAATTTTTAGTGGACGATTGAATTTGATTATTGGATTCGCCACCTCTAGCTAGGGGTAGGTAGAGCCGTAGCCCGTAGACGGGAATAGTTCATCACTCCAGCTACCGGAGCCGATGCCCTCGCCGGCCTCCTGTTTCCGCTTAGAGCTTTGAAGCCACGCCTCGTGATTACCAATAATGCCCTCACGGAGACGGCAGGGTTTTTTTTTTTTTGGCTTGCGCGGGATGCACGCAATGTCCTGGAGATAATATTACTACATCGGCAGCGTGATCGTGAGCAAAAGCAAAATCGATGAATGGAACCTCCCGTCGAGTCGGGTCGCGTGGGAGGTTATTTTATTTCTCCGATCACCGGGCACCGCCGTCGGCCTTAATTTTGGACGAATAAATTTAGCATTATTGATTTCTATTTGTTCTATAAATGATCGAATCTCGTTGGATTTCCCCATTTGTTCTGACTTCTGGGATATAATTGAATGCTTTTTTTTGTTGTTGTCTCTAGCTGTATTTGGAAGAGAAAGAGAACAAGGCATAGATATGGTATAATACAAGTAGATTTCTCACTTTAAATGATTGAAAATTTTTTATTTTATTTCTGAGTGGTGTCAATAGAAGAAAATAGTTAAACTTACAATTCTACCCAGTACTCCTAACAGATTCTAAAGAAGTCACCCCAAAAAATCAAAAGAATCTAGGTCTACACGGGACAAAAAGCAGTGGTTTACGCGCCACTCTACGGGCAGCACTGTTGGCGGATCTAGGTATCGCCCTAAACTCTATACAAACAGACAAAGAGCTAAGGATCTGAAGACACTCTCGTAACACCGGACCACCAATCAAGTCTTCAAAGACGCCTTGACGGACTTGGTTGGCCACCACTTTGGAATCACCTTCGACTATCACATGAGTCAATGATCTTGAGACTACAATGGAGATAGCGTCTCTAAAAGCAAGAAGCTCTGCCAGATAAGGATTGACTATTCCTTAATGCTGCAGCTCGAGTGCCAACACCACAAGCCCATCTGACCCACGAATAACGAGCCCAGACGAACAACCGGTGGCACAAACAATTGCGTCGACGTTGATCTTCAAAAAGCCTAATCCCAAATGATTGAATTATTTGGTTCTTTGAATTTGCAAAGCATATTCAACGCATGTGTATTCCCCTAACGTGATGTCCAACTTATTAGTTTACCACAACTTTATTAAGCTCAAATCACAAATTTGGGCTTAATAATTTTGACATACTATGGAAAGGAGAAGTACATCATCTAATATTTAAATTTTGAATATTTCCCCCTGATAATTGAATAAATATATGTTGAATCTGTTTCCTTTCCTCCTTTACATAGCTCTTCGATCAAGCTCCCCATAAAATTTAATTACAGACGTGTTTGGGACAAGTTACATCGTCATTGCTAAACAAGCAGTAACTCGACATTGGTATCTAAATTTATTGGATTCGGAAAACATTGCGCAAAAAGCGTATTTATCAGGGGTTCTTATATTACACAGAGTGACAACTCATTTTTGCATAGGCTTGTGTCATTTATATCCGTCGAATAAAATTGAACCATTGTCCATCGTTACTTGAAACACAAGAATACTAATAGATCTCGATAAATAAATCATTCGGATTTGATCATGGATGTAAATTCACCACAATGCTTACCTAGCAACCATTTCCATAAAAAACTACTCATTTGGCTCTGAAGAACTTTTTTTTTTGTATATATAATGCTTCTGAAGAACTATTGAATTGGACGTAAAATTAACGGAATTTGTAGTTTTATGTGACTATTGATCTAATTAGTCCTGTAAATTGTGAGTTTAAGAAAGAAGAAAAAAAAAAAAAGAATTGCATACGTGTTACCACCACAACTTACTCTCGCCAAGCTAACGGCCCCCACCGTTTTGTCCCACGCGCCAGTCCCCACACAATGCTCCGCCGGTCCTGTCACGGCCTTACTCTCGGTCGTGCGACCTTAGCTCTCAAATCCGTTAGAGAACTAAACAGCTATGTTATCACCTTGTTGGCGCCAAATCATCTGCCACGTGTACAGTCCACGGCCGCAAACCCACGAGGTATTCTAGTAACTTGGTAAATCAAAACAGTAATAAAGTAATAAACTAATGTTTTCATATTTGACGCCTCTTGTTCTTGGGGTGGGTTATTCATTCCCGCTCATTTTATTTTCTTGCCTAATTTCAAAATCACCCTCGGCCTCCACTTAAGCGGGGGGCGCGCCCACCATCCTCTGTTTTGATTTTTAAACTCCTCCTCCATCCACCTCACGCCACACCTTGCACAGTAACCGATCCCCAAATCTTCTGATTAAAGGGTGAAATTGGCGATTATTACTTCAAAATATTCAATTATCAATCAGTGAGTGTGTTCGGTCCTTAGAATATGTATACTTACAATTTGATCCCTTTAGTTACCATTCCTACCCATGGCAAAAGTTCTTCCAATCCTGTCAAGTTCGTCAATTGGGTGATTTGTTCGTTCGGTTCGGTAAAATCTCTCGAATAGTTCTATTTTTTTTATTTGTGATATCATCTTTCATCGTGAGACTTTAGCTTTGTAACTCTTCTATTTTTGAAATTAATGCACTAGATAATAGAAGAAAAGCATAAAAAAAAACAAAAAAAAATCCTATAAGATAGCCCATAATCCATAAATAGATTCATTTTTACTCACGTGGGTTCGATAAATCAAACGATATTACTTGGTGTGTGACGAGTATACTCTTACTTATTTCCTATGATTCGAAAAATTACAAGATTATAAACTTTTGTTTTGGGTTGAAAGGTAGATAAATATTAATCTGAAATACTCAATTCAGGTTATCCAAATCAATATTGTATTGTAAATGAACGCGCTCATTTTCTAATTATTAATCTCTTAAATTCTCAAAAGTTCGATCGCTTCGTGCAGCAGGAGCAGAGATCAATCTATCCAAAATTGTAAATCAGTTTGGCATTCGTCTTCAAGATTTTGAAAGGAACTAGTTTAGCAAATGAGTCGACACAGGATAGTTTTCTATATGGGCATTTGTTTTTGTATTTGAGCTGCTCTTTTTGACTTACAAAGTACTCTCTTGTTTTATTTTCCAAATTTTAGTGGTGTTTATTTTGCAGAAGTTATTTCTAGCCACGCAAGGATGGCTTTGGACGGATCGAAAACTAGCGGAATCAGATCTTTAGCTGGGCAGAATTCCAAGGACCAATAAAACTTTTCAAATCAAGAAGCTCAATAATTACTTTTTTTTTTCTCCAAATAATAATAGCAATAATAAAACAAAACCTCAAAAACACACTCAAAAGTCCCTTCTTTCTCAATTTCCCTTTCTGCTTCCCCATTTCTCTGCAACTCCTTTGTCTTAAAGAAGAAGGAAGATTCTCGCTCCTCCTCCTCCTTCTTCTTCCTCATCTCCGCCTTCCATTTCTTCTCAGGTTGCTTATCGGAGCGTAGTTAATTGGAAAAAACAATAATGTCCACCATGTATTTCGCTTTCCATTACAGCGCCATGTGACTTCACTGACACATTCTTTTCCGCCATTGCAAATCCCTCTTTACGCTTCCTTCCTCGACCTACTCGGGTCCTCATTCCACTCGACTCAGCGAGTCGGTTGCGAGTGCGAGACAGAGAGTGAAAGAGAGAGGAGAGGGGGGGAACCTAGGGATTTGAGAGCTGCGTATGGCATCGTCCTCCCGAGCAAGGAGCAGTTCGCCATTCTCACACCGCAAGCCTGCTTCTCCCAGTCCTTACTCTTCCACTTCCTCGGCCTCGTCGTACCTGAGCAGCAGCAACCGGCTTATGCCCCGCTCTTCCTCGTCCTCGGCTTCTTCTTACTACAACGGCGGCAGAAGTGTTGGTTACAGCGGCGCCCGATCCACGACTCCGAGTCGGTCGCAGTCGGATTCAATGTACTTAGGCAGTAGTAGCTCGTGCGGCGGTTATGGTGGAAGTCGGACGCCGGTTGGTTACGGCTCCGACGAGCTCTTGGCTGCTGAGTCGCTTGATGCTCCTAGGAGCGGTGCCGGTGAGAGTATAGCGGTGACGATTCGGTTCAGGCCGTTGAGGTAAAAAAAAACGGCAGATCTGAGTGGAGTGGAGTGAATTGGATCGGATCGATCTACTTTGCCTTTTCTGTTTAGTATTCTAGTTAATGTGATTGATTGCGGTTCTCTGTCCCTCTCCTTCCATTTTTGGTTACAGCGAGAGGGAGTTTCAGAAAGGCGATGAGATTGCTTGGTATGCCGATGGAGATAAGATCGTCAGGAATGAGTATAATCCAGCCTCCGCTTACGCATTCGGTATTACGCGAATTCATTTCCGTTGTTTGGTTTCTTGTGATCCTCTGTAATTGATAGGACGGAGTAGATTGGAGATGCTAATACTGAATTTGCAATCGCGCAGATAAAGTATTTGGACCGCATACAATCACACAGGACGTGTATGATGTAGCTGCAAAACCAGTGGTCAAGGCTGCAATGGAAGGAGTCAACGGTAGGTAGCTCGTATATGAAGTTAGTGAAGTGGCAATTAGGTTAAGGTAGTTCAGTTGAGCTTTGAGGGCAATGTAGAGTGTTTTTGACTCTCCCATCTCTTACAATGTTTTCCAGGAACCGTCTTTGCCTATGGTGTTACTAGTAGTGGAAAGACTTTCACTATGCATGTAAGTTGTTACTTCTGGTTCTTCTGAGTTGTTCGTTGATAATTTCTCAATGGAAACAGAATGAATTGTTGAGATTAAGGTGTTGATGATTGAGCTTATAGTGCAGAATGAATTGTTGAGAATAAGGTTGATATTGGAAACAGAATGAATTGTTGAGAATAAGGTTGACGACTGAGCTTATAAATTGCTTGCATCGAGTGTCATGGCCATTATCTCGTCTTCAGTTGGAAGCGATTGGGTGCAAATTTTGCTTGAGAGGAGGAGAATCCTGTGCTATGCTGAGTTTTCTTTTAGTGAGCGGCTGCGTTTGCATAGTTACTGACTTTTCTCGGTGATGGCTTGCCCTTATGTTGATATGTGCAGGGAGATCAAAGTGCTCCTGGTATTATACCTTTGGCAATTAAGGACGTTTTCAGCATGATCCAAGATGTAAGTTGTCCTATTACTGTATCAGTAATGGCTTGAATTAGACTGTTTAACTGCAACCTGAAGATATGGCATGACATTGTGTTCTGTATCTTAGCTGATTCAATTACTGGTGCCTGTTGTTTCTGATGGAGATAATGCTAATTTAATGATTTCTAGTGCTTGTAAAAACATAAGTAATCTGTGAGATTCTAACTGCCTCAGGCATATCAGTTTTAGTGACATATGTGAACCGGTTACTACACTAGATGATCTTGGTGGTGATTGTGTTTAGCTAGTGCTTTCTGTTACTGG